TCAGGGCACGAGGTGCAGGGATTAGGCCGCCGCAAAACTTCGGATCAAGGCACTATAATTGGGCTCTTGCGTTGCCTGCCACAAGGAACAACCTCGCACAGCGATTCAGCTTGTACACAATGGTCGCCGATGGCCTCTTTTATTCCCAGCAACATCTCCTCACCGCATCTTCACCGAGTCTAATACGAGGAATGCAGCAAGAGCCTTGCTAAGCTTTTTCATTAGCCAGCCGCGTCAAGGAAACTGGGCCTCGTGCCCCCCCAGCAGCAACACAATGCTGTGGCCGTCAAAGTAATTTGCAGCATCGCCTACTCACGGCACTGTATTGGCCCCGTAGCTGAGGAGGGTCTAACATTCCGCCCCATGACCGTTGCAGCACCACAAAACTGCATACGCGCACAGACTCGATGGCTGTCCAAGATAGACAGCATTGAGTCGTGATTACTGATCCCATGCAGATGCCAATAACAGGTTTCTTCAGCCTCCCAACATCCACAACTGAGTCCCTTCCTATGCACCCCTAACAAATCAGCGATCCCATCTCACTAGTGAGAAACTAGCTCTCGGCTGCCATTTGCCCAGCAATACTTGTCGTATTCCCTCGTCGCTGCCGATGATGGATGTACAGACATCCTTGCAGGGCAAGCCGACCCCCACGCTGAAAACTAACCATGATGCTGATCCAACAAGCGAGTTGCGACCTGCGACGAAAAGGGGCGCAACGCACACACCGTCCGCCGGTTAGCAAAGGTCGCCGCGGTCAGACTATGCTTCATCTGATATTCAAAGTTGTTACCAATAAAGGATGATTCGACACTGTCATCTGTCCTGAAGAACAAGCTTGTCTAATGAATCGAGGTTTTGGCTTTTTTGGCTCACTTGACTTACCTTTTTTTAACAGCGCACCGGATGGGTGAATTCAGCGTTCACCAAGCCCTAGTTTTCCGTAAGTTTCTACTCTTTTTGGTTCTACAATTCCGGAACTAGGCCATTGAATTGTGTTTTGCTATCAGATGGGTGAGCTGTGTTGAGATCGTAGTCTCATCCACGGTCAACAGTTGTCACATCCGAACACACCCGCCACCCCTGCCCACGGATTGATGTCACCGAAACTCTTCGGCTCAGTGGAGGAGGTGGCTTTGGTGTCCAGCTGATCACATCTCTTTGCCCCCGGTTGCAGAACAACGAAGTTCAGCAGCTTTGAAAGTATCAAGAGCCTCATAGCGATGTTGCAGAACATATCTTTACACCGGAGTACCGATCGAGCTCGGTAAAGTTTCACAACCGGCCTCGCGGGTTGCTGCTGCGGGATGCGTCTTTCGAATATCTGAGGTTTGTTCTGCGTATTCCAACAGTCCGGTTCCTGCTGTCATGATCGAGCAATCTGAGAATGTGATGCATGATCCAAAGAGTCGCATTAAAGGGACCCATGCAGCTCTTTGAGAACTCTCTCTCTCTTTCGGCTTGAACGCGAGAGCTCCCCACCGATCACTTTTGCGATGGCATCTGATTCAACGAGACGTGCATTGAATATTGCGCCTGCCCATGGAAGAGGCTTATGTTAGCGTTCCATGGCCTCACGCAGCGGAGGCCCAGGTCCGCGTCGTCGGTTCTTGTCAGATCGCCCATGGCTACCCCACCACGCATATCCGTGGTGGAACTCTTTTGGCCACCCTGCAGTGGTATATGCTGCTCCTACGCTCGTGATTGCGATATTGGAGGAAGGGCGGTGACGCTAGACTGAGCCTCCTCTCTTCTGTCTTGCACGTCACTACCCGCAATTGCTGTCAACGCATGTGGTATCAACTCTCACGCTGAGAGTGGTCGAGCGTGGTGTTAACTCGAAATTAAGCAGCAGGGCTCCCCCAATGCCCCGTATACAAGATAAGGGTTGCTACGTGCAATCGCATTCTTTGGATTTAATCGCCGAACAATCGTCGTGTTATGCCTGAAGATGTCAGCCATGTCATAGCATACAAGAAGAAAGTCAACTGTATCTTTGGCTAAGGGGGCATCTCTTTGTGAAAATCGTCTAAGATGTAATATGCTGCCTCGTCTCGCATTGCCACCGCGATAACCTCTCACAGACAGAGACAGATATGTCCTTTTAGGGGCAATAGCTGACACACAACAACAGAAACAAAGCAACTCTACACCGCAGATTTCCAGTAGCGACCTCAAGACATCATTATCATTTGCGCCAACTTGAACCTGCTCCAAAAGGAATTCCAAGTACATCGCGTCTCAGTACCAGGCTGGCTCTTGCTTCACCCTTCGTCAACAACGTACAGTTTCCACGCCGAGAAATGAGGTTAGTTTGTCTCGCCCTATCGACTAGTGTGGTATGCGATTCACATCCAGCTAACAAGACATACACGCAACACCGACCGCGGAGCCTCTATTTCACCATTCGTTTCATCGCCGGTTGGCTAGTGCTGGCAGTGCATTCTCACCACTGCCACCATTGACTCAGCCATGTCAGAGTTTGATCTACGAATGTACATGAATAAAAGCTACATGCGCAACCTTGACAACTGGCAAACTCCCGATCCAAAGCTACTATCGCCGTTTGGCCTCCGAGGTAGCGAGGATAGTCCACTGTAAACCACTGGATGCTTCTCGGATGGGGCGCTGGACAACGCCAGGCAGAAAGAAGAGGAGGTCCCCAGAAACAGCGCAATGGCCACAAGGCTGGGGCTGCACTTTAAAAGTGTCTCAGTTTCCTCATTCAACTCCAAGAGAAGAAAAGAAGCAAGTTCTCTAAGCAATGTTTCAGGGGTCCCATGCCACTATGATGGAAGCAGTCTCACGGGCTTCTTTCCGCCTTTTGCGGCTCAGTTCTGGGATGCTTGACCTTGGGTGTATGTTGGCTGTGTATTGGCGCAGCGACATAAAAAGAGCAGTCGTCGGAGCCACTTCAATATCCACCAGTGAATTCAACGTGGAAAGAGGCAACAACAGAGCAGCAGTCCAGGATTGGGAAACAGAGGTGTCAACAAAAAGGGGTGTGAAACAAGAATGTCAAGCGCGCTGCGTTGGCCCCTGCAACGAGTTGCGGTGGCCCTCATTCGTTGTGGCTATGGAGGGGAAGGGAAAACGGACGCACAGAGGTAACGCAGGCAAGATGGAGTTGAACTGGGTCAGGGATAATGGCACAAGAAAGGGACGAATACTAACCTGACAGGGTAAGGTATCTGCGTGAAGCGGAGCTTGACAGGAGGGACCGGAGAAGGGATGGGAAAGTAACAATATGCTTTTCCCATCACCATACACCATACACCACACACCATCACAATCAAATAGCTGATCCCTACTCGGGGAAACGAACCGCCTCCGTCCCCAGCTGAATGCCAGCCTTTACCACGAAAGCTCTGTACTTGCCAGTACAAATTTTGCATCTTTTTTTAAACTTTGCTTTTTACTTCGCTTTTTCTCCAGTCTTTTCACCGTCGCAGCGAGCGTTATAACGGGGGAAGAGGGGTCGACGCTGGGCAGGAAGACGACATTATTCGTACCACGGCTCGGCCCTCTGGCTTCCGGGGCGATTGGCGTTTGTGGCTCAAGTGGACTTCTGGGCCGTCATTGCTTTTTTTTCCTTCTTCTTGAACTTTGACCTGGCACTAATTTATTCACTAGACAGGTGGGAAGGCTGAGCCGGTTATTTCGAGTGGGTAAAGCTCCTGACAGACGCCCTCTCAGCATAATACTCCCGAAATAGAGCATCTGCAGTTTCATGCGCCACGAACGTGAAATTAATTTAATTAAGGGGAGAAAGAAGACGACCAGGAATATCAGTTTCTTGTTTTCCATGTCGCAAGAATCGCTGACACCGGAAAGTTCGGGCCGCACCTCGGAATGTGTTCCCGTCTAAGCCGGGGAAACGTGTTGAAGAGAAAGAGAAAGGAAGAGAGAAGATGGCGGGTTTAAGGTTTACTGTCATGTTCCATCTAAGGAGCTGAAAAATGAGCCCGGCAGAGACGAGCACAGCTCCCAGATGATTTTTTTTTTCCGGCGCGGCTATAAACTTTCTACGCCATCGCCATCGGGGACGATGTTCACGATAAGTCCCCGAGGATGAGGATTTTATTTTTATTTTTATTTTCTTTCTTTTTTCATTTTTGAGTTGCGTCTCGTCGGGAACGTCCCCTCTTTTGGGCAGGTCGTTTCGACCACGGACAATGCATGCCCTTGTTTCTGGCCTCATTTCTGCTTGGAACCTTGGCAATCTCGTCGTATCTCACTTTTTTGTTCCTCTTTCGTGACTGACGCATTACGAGAAACGCCTCGTGCGGCGGCTGCATGACCCGATCCCCGCGATCCATCTAACTAGGCAATGCAGCTCCGAACCGTAACCATTTGTTGGTCGCCGACAATCACACCACCCCGCCCCTGACATGACCCTGGACCGTGATCCTGGCTCTTCTTCGTCGTCGTCGCGATTACAGAGTGGGAGGCTTGACAGCGCGGATCGGTAGGGGAGGGGGGAATGGATGTTGATGACAGCTGAAAAAAAAGAAAAATTGGAGAATGAAAAAACTTTTCGGTCCCTTTGACGGGTTTTATATGCAGGAAAAAGGTTATTTAATGGGTAGCTTCGGCTGTCGTGGCGAGATGGACATCAAGATATGTACTGTACGTCCGGCAGTTGGTTTGGTGAGTATTCGTAGGACCGAATGCGGTTGAAAACCTTAATCATGGCTTGTGATTTGCAAAAGTAACTAGCTATAGATGTGGTATCTGGCTCAATGAACCTAAATGGCTAAGAAAACACAAAATAGACAACAATGCTTGTGGGGTGATGTCCCCATGAATGCACCCGTACTCCTGGATTCTGGCGCAATTTATGCACGAAAGAAAGATAGTGTAATCAATGGTACAGTGTAATTGTGACAATTTCGATCCCACCCACCCTTGTGCTGGCTAACCAGCCCAAGAACATTTCGGACGCAGAGCAGCGGACATTTGTGGCACATCAAGAAACAGCGAATAGGTCTACTGACTCACCGAAGCTTTTTGACGACCTTGACGAACAACCGGCCCTGTTTAACAGGATGGCCTGCCATATCCATCAACTGGATGAACCGATAGCCTGGTTGGAGCCGGTCCAGTCGTATGCACGCCCATGCCCGCGTCGGCCAGTTGATGACGCCAGTGACGCCCACCTCGTCAATCTTGATTCTGCAATCGTGAGTGTTAGTCCAACCCAGTCTCTAGCTAGCAATACGGCGGCTGAACTTACAGCAGAAAGCTTAACTCCTCCACGACGTGTGGAATGTCATGGAACGTCAGCGTCTCGCCAGATCTGCCAAACGAAGGATGGTCTGACTTGTAGACCTGCGTCTTCTTGGCGTGCGTATCGTCCGTGAGCGTGCTGTCCTTTTTGAAATCTATGAATCTTCCCGTGCGAATCTCGGCCCTGGTAAAGGTGTGCAACGCGGCGCCGTGTCGCTCGGCGTCGTCCCCGGCGCCCTTGACGGGTATGTGCTGCGCCTTGAAGATGGTCAGGGCTAGGTCCATGGTGCGTACGGTGGCCGCCTCGTGCTGCGTCTGGCTCGAAGTGTCGGAGTTTCGATAACCAGGCGGCTTGAGAGCCCAGCCCAATTCATCAGCAAACATGCCGTAGTTGAGCATCATGCCATCGTCGGGATACTGCCAGTTCATGGTAACCATCTGCACGCCCTTACGCCAAAAGTAGGCGGGGTTATAATTCGAGCTGTTGACCCTCTTGAGGCCATCTGGATAGCTCCGCATGAAGAAGCTCTTGTTGTGCAAAAACATGGCGCGATGGTGTTTTTGGTCAAGGTTGAAAATGTCGTCCTCGCTTATGGAAAAGATGTGGTTAGGCTGGGCCGCTTGCTTCGTGTCTAGACCTTCGAACTTGACACCTCGAGTATAGATTGCCAGATTTTTGAGCTTTTCATGGATTGGTACTTTCGAATTCGAGTCGTGAGGCGGAGCGGACGTCGCAGAGGCAGACAAGGATTTTCCCAGCTTGGCATGGGGTTGCGGCAATTCGCAGTCATGGCCGAATTCCATCTGTGTTGTCGGCGCGGAGATGGACGTGAAAGGCTGTGACGAGGTTTCGTGTGCCCTCTTGGCCTTGATGAGAATTTTGCCACGCAGCTGCTCCAGCCGCGGTACTTGAGATTGGGGATCGCACTCGTCGTGGGGAGATCCGAGGAGCATGTCTTCCCATACCTCTTCCATGATGTTGACCATGACCTCCTGTTGCTCCAGATCTGCATGCATCTCAAAACTAATGATAACGGGCAGTTCACTGGCCACAAAGGCGGTTTCTCTGATGGCCTCCGCAACTTCGCGAAATCCACAGTAGTAAGTCAACATGGGCCCATGGCGAACTACAGGTTCTCCTTTGGCAATGGGACTGCGACCTCGGGGGGGGCTGCGACCTCTGGGGGCAGGGGCCTGTGGCAGATGCAGACGGTCGGTTCTATCAGCGGTAGTTGGGAATGCGTGTAGGCTCGATTTTGGCGAATCTTCGACTAGAGTGGCACTATTGGCACTCACACTTCTAGAGTGTGAGGCGCTTCCCAGGTATTTCTTCGTGGTTTCGCGAACTTCGTCATAGACGTGCGTCAAAGAGGTCGACGATGCCTGGTGATCATGCATCGCAGCGGGAGACTTTGAGCTTGACCTCGGAGTTGCCGGTTCACCGTTCCAAACGTCAATTTCTATACATCGGCCTCCCTTGAGCAGGACCTTTGGGGAGAGACATGGTCAGTAAAGCTGTAAACACGAGGCTCTATACTCGTGCGTCTGCGGTCTGCGACCTGCTGCACTCACATTTTTGTATGCTTGGGGTGAACTCTTGGACAACACTTGATGTCCCTCCAGGTAGGTATTGTGGCTACTACTTATAAAGTAGTCTGTCAAAGGCCGTGTCAAGTCCTTGTCGGGCAGCGGCGCAGCGGCATTCCAAGAATAGTTGAAGTACCACGTCGCTTGAAAGTCGCCGACTGTATAGCATTTATCTTGTAAGGAGACCGTTTTCTCGCCTTGCATATTGCGGAGGAACTGCTCGAATTTGGCCTTGGATAAAGTCTTGTCGTTGCCTCGCAGCTCATCGTAAATGTCGTTGAGAACGCTAGTGATATCGGCGGGCAAATGGACGGTGCCGGTGCGACTGTCGGCCGGGAACTGGCCCTCCAATGGAGCTGCTTTGGGGGACGCAAAGGCCGTAAATTTGACCATTTTGTGCAACGCGCCGGTCGCTTGGCCGTGTGTATTCCCGAAAATCGACATTGTTCGCATACGGCCGCGCTTGTTTTCGGGGCGAGACTGGCGAGATTTACGACGTGGCTGAAGAGACTTGGTCAGTTATTGATGGGTGATCCAAGGCGCCATTTGTAGGTGCGACTGCGATCGCTCGAACATACCCAAAGGCCGCAAGAGAGCGACATGGTGGCCTGACGGCGCAGCCGAGGCGCGTTCGCAGACAAGACTCGCTGGCAGTTTGCGGGGTGGTAGGCCAGGCAGCGACGCAGGTCAACGATAGCAGTAGCGCAGCCTCGTCAAGCTGAGACGTATGTAGAATGCACGACATGCAGCGTGTAGGTGCTAATGCAGCCCGCACAAGAAGTGAGAAAGGGCGAAGAGAAAAGCAGCGAACGGCCTAGTTTTGTTGCTGGAAGGGGCGAAGTGAGAGGGAAGTCTCTCATTTGCGACTAAGAGAGGCCATGATTATAATTGAACTGGCCAGGCGGATCTTCCCTGAACGGATACGGGATGGGTACGGGGCGACAAGCAAGTGGTCTTCAGCCTTTGGCAGGTCGGATGAGGCTGTGGACTAGTTTTGTTGTTAGGCTTGTTCGGTGGACGACGGCGTCAACGGGACGGACGGACGGCTCTTCCCAGTGGGTGGTGGCCGGGGCAGTGCTGACCACCAAAGATTCAGCTCTGAGTCGCGTGCTGGGTGTACTGGGGCAGTGGTTCAATGTTGTGGATGGACGACGCTGACGAGGCTTGGGCTTGAGTCGTCCGGTGGACGATGCAATTGGCGGTGATTGGATGGAGGGAAAGTGAGGCGGTTTGAAAAGAGTGCAACTTTGATACCGGGCGGCACTTGGCAATGCGTGCAAGATGGCAGAAGTCGGATTGCCCGTGGCATGGAATGAAGGGATGAAGGAAGATCATGCAAACAGAGCCCTGCCGTCCTGCAATAATAAATGTCCCTGGACGATACATGAACCTACAGTGGGTTTCTGTATGTACATACTGTACATAGCCCCCTCAAGGTACCTGTCAGTGCATGCATAGAGGTATCTTGATTCTTGATGCCTATTGGGGAGGTTGTCTCCGGCCCGTTATTTAGTACCGAGATACTATGGGCACTCTGCGATTTGTACCCCTAAACCCCTAAGCCTGCTCCTGTAACCTGTATTCCGTTCTTGGAACAATAACTACCTATTATCTAAACCATGAAATGTTGAAGATGTGTTGGAAGCCGAAGCCCCGTGTCAACTACTGTTCCTATCGTGCCTGCGGCTAGCACCGAGTACCTACAGTACATATGTATGTACTGTACATACATACATACTACTGATACGGGCACTCACATAATGAAGTGCCCGCAGACTTGACTCCCCCACTCAGCCCCCTCAGGCCCGCTGGCTGGTGAGTGGCACTGCCTGTACGCCCAAAATTCAAGAATGCAGATCCACATCTTGGCCGATGTGAATAGCAACTATCTTGTAGCCTTGCATTGTACCGCTTCGTATTTTCCATGACAAAAGCTGGCACCGCTGTAGAGTGCGTGCCGAGTTGTGCGTAGATATTGAGGTCAAAATCAGTGCCTACGGAAGTGCGGCAACTCGTTTCCAGCTCAAAGGCTTGCCTTCTGCCTCAAAACCAAGGCACCCGTTTTGTAAACTTCAACACTGATTGCGGATGCGGATGGCGCACCAAGTTCCTCCTTGCACCGGCAATCTCAATCTCAACATGCCAATCTTATTCTCGTCAAGAACTGGGAACAGTCCCCGACGCGTAGCGCTGAAATCAAACACGCTGCCCTTGTCCATTCGAATACGCATCTGGGCCAGCCAGTTTATCTCACCTCGGCCGGAGTCGCTGTGGAATGGGCAACGTCATCCGCCTGCCGTTTAGGAAGGTCATCAAGCTCAACACCACCTGGGACGAGGTAGAGGCCATGCATTTTGTCCGCGGTCATACATCGGTACCTGTCCCCAAGGTCTACGATGTATATGAGCGGCCTGATGGTGCTATTCATGTAGTCATGGGATGAGTCCAAGGCAGTGACATCGCCTACTCGGCCATGGGCCCAGAACAAACTCGTGCGTTTGGCGAGCAGCTTTCTGCCTGTCTCCACCAACTACGAAACCTCGAACCACCCGCGGAGGACTTCATCGGATCGGTGAATAGAGGATCGCTACTGGACCACCGGGCTTGTCATATTCACTTCGGGCTCTTCCATTGCGTGGGCGACTTTCAGTCGTACCTACGTCTCGGCGGGCCTCTTTATGCATGGCTATACGACTCAGTGGTCAAGACAGTTCATGGAAGATCGGATGAATGCCGCGTCAAGTTCACACATGCTGATCTCAGCCCAAGAAACATTCAATACCACAACGGGCGCATCACCGGCATCATTGACTGGGAAACCGCGGGCTGGTACCCTGAATACTGGGAGTATACTAAGATGTGGTTTGTCGATCGTCCCGCTCATCAGGAGTTCTTTAAGGCCATAGAGGGCAATTCGACAATTGAAATGTATCCGGAGGAGCTTAAAGCTGAACGGGATATTTGACGACGCCTTAGCCCCTGGGCATATGACGATTACTATGGAAACCAGAAAATATTGCTGCATTCAATAAATCCATTACTGGCACGCAAGGCCAGCGTGGAGAAAGTGCGGTTAGTGATCGTTAAGACTGTATGAGGAGTGAAGCTGAATCGCAGATTTGGCTTGGCCGGCGATAGTTGAGGATACCACGTCAACTAATAACCACGCGAGAAGTTTTGGACCACTTCTTCTATATATAGAAGAAAATATAAAACAGGTAACAATACTCCATGTCACGTTCTTAAAGCCCGAGATGGGCTCCCAGCGCAGCAGATGCGTGCCTTGGCAAGCTCTGCAGCTTTACACTATAGGAACTTTTCCAGAGAAACAACCAGCAACCGGGTCCCGGACGCCGAACCGGTTGAGTTCTTGTTTGGCATGTAGGTGGTCGCTGCCTGAAATGACACAGCGACTTGTCACGCCCGGCTGTTTCTCCTATAAGGCCTCGATTTGATGGCAGGGTGTAAGAACGTTTGGCCCTGCCAAGACCCTATGCCAACCGACTTTCTGCCCTGAGTTCGGTATGGTATCATGCCCCAGTTTATAGTGAGACTCCTCCTGCTACTCCTGCGAATGGTCAAGGTCAGCTCTGCATCATGCCAGGCAACAAGTATCGAGTTTCGGTCGCAGCCTTCACGCGCGATGGCATCACGAAGGACGCTTCTTTGGAGGCAACGTACGGTCACGCCATGTATCATTGGTCTATCTGGGTGGAGCCAAAGAACAGCAACGGATCAGGACGTATATATCAAGTCGAGGAACATGAGACCATGAACAGCGCGACTGGCCCAATTCCCGGAGGCTGGAAGTTTGGCTTGCGTGACTCCATTTCCATGGCCAGCAGCCGTCTAGTTGGGCGGATAATGATCGGAAAACTTCCAGCCGGTAGGGGTTTCCCGGAGACTGAAGCTCTTCTGAGTCAGGTTCCGCTACCAGCCGAAATCAATGAAGATAACTGTCTCAGTTGAACGAAAGATGGAATCCATCTACTACAGAGGTACCAGCTTCCTGGGCAGAGGCGTTCAATGTGGACGAGCTCATAGAGTTCGCTTATGATCGCATCAAGGCCTGGCATGGTACAAATCACTGCATGTACAAGGACAAGAAGGAAACCTACGTGAAGAGGAAGTTTTGATCAAGTAACTTCCTTGATACTCGGCTTGTAAAATCCCAGGGGATCATCTAAGCTGTCGTGGGTGCGAAATGCACAGCTACCGCTCCGGGGGCGAGCATGTATCACCGGATGTTTCCCAATACGATATATTTCTAAGCCATGACGCTCTAGAAAATGCCTGCTGTTCATTAGTTAGGAAGAAAAGACGCTGGGAAGCAAGATTCCCATACACACACCCAATGGTGCGATTGCATTTGCTTGCCAAAGCCATAGGACTACAGAAAATGAACCAAAACACCCAGTGTTGAAATATCTGAACGGAGCGCAGTATCAATAAGGGTACTCCTTGACTGAATGTTATGATCCACCATGGTGAATCCAGAATGCACGAGATTCCCGAGAGCTTGGGCTGTGATCCGTGATCGCACCGTGATCCGCACCGTGATCCACATCCCCCTCACAGCATCGTTTATCGCTTTTCCCCATCTTCTACAATACATGCATGGTGAAAGCTAGGGCATTTTTGCTTAAACGACACTACAGAGTCGTTATTTCCAACCATAGCAGCCATGCGTAAGCTTCATCTCCGTATTCTGTCTCCAGCAATCTCAGCACTTAAGAAGTTCTCTTGACTCAGTCATGAGCGAAGTCCGAGCTCGCCGTTTATATAGCCGCAATATCACGACAGCCCTTATTTATTTTATCCCATTAGCTTTTGATAGAGCCGGCTTTCTATTCTGAAAGGAAGCGTAGATGTTACCGAACTTATCATATGGAGTAAAAAGGATTGCTTATCAGGCCATTGCGAATGCACAACCGTGGCTACCTGCTAAATCTACTCTTTTTGAAGTCGCTGTGCGGCCTTCTCAGTCAGTCTCGACCACATATAGAGCCGGGTGCCAAGAGGTCGCGGTGATTTGAGATGAAAATAATTCTTCTGCCTGTTTTTATCTCAATCTTAGGGAATTGCCTCTTGAACCTGACCGCCAACCTACGGCCGCTGGGTGTTAGCTATGTCTGAATGTATTGTACCTTGTATGTACATGTAGCATCGCACTTGTTTATACCTACACAAGAGGAGTAAAAGGAGGAATACCGATTGGGTGATAGCTTAGTATTTTATGCAGCGGGGTTCTAGTTATTTCTGATTTACTGTATTTACATTTGGACTGTCAGAAAAGGTGACAAGGTTAGAGAATATGCATTATCTACATTACCTAATTAACTTAGTTGTAGCAGGCCAGGGCAGCTTACCAGGGTGCCTAACACTTCTGAAACCAGGTACCTTGGTACGTTACCAGCGACAGTCAGCCCGTCACCTTCTGCCACACCTTTGCGCTGCCTCATAATACGAGTATTTTACTACAGCAAGACCGTCATCGACGCTTCTGCGCCATCCTGAGACGCCATCCTATTACTACGGAAGCTGAATCCAAGGATAAATCATGGGGCTTTAGCCATGTGTTTACCTGGACGGCCTTGAGTTATCACCGAAGCCACCCCCGTTTAGTCAGTTCCTACCCTGTAGTTGGTTCCTCTCCCCAACATGGTATATTTGGTCGGACCTCAAGGTATCTGTTCTACCGTTCTAGGTATCTTAAGTACACAACTATCGTAGCAATAGCCAAGTTACCTACATAGCGGGGGACAAACACATGGTGCTACCCACGCATGCACGGCCCAACGCAATAGCACGTCGTGCTATACCCCTCCAGCCCATTGTTTGTCCTGCGGCACTCCTGCGGCATTATCACTATTACTGATTTTGGCGACTGAGCTACGGGGATCGCCCGATATTATATCCAAGCACGCCAGGTAATAGCATGGCGCGTGGGGGCTGGATCGATGCTGGACCAAAAGCCGACCAACCCCAGCTTCATTTTTCAAGGGAATATGTCGCCATCAATGGTCAGCACGCGGGGTCGAGGGGCCTGGAACATATACTGTATCCTATACTATATCACTCTTTGCGGGACTGGGAATAACGCGATAGTGAGTGTTACTCAAAGTACGTCTTCGTGGGATGCTCACACCCACTGTTCAGAACCAACGGCATACTGAACTCACAGATCTGTCTAAAACTGGAGATAAGCTTCCATAATCAGTTTCATTTACCTTTTGGGCTTACCTGTAACTCTATCGCGTGCGTGATGAGCCAAGAAGGCAACATATCAGATGAGTTGCGACTGCTGAGTCCATGCGGTAGGATGCGACAGGAATCGCCTGTCGCATGGTAACATCTATTCCCAGAAGCTCAGCTGACATTGACGAGCCGAGCAATAGATAAAAGTATGAGTTACATCCCGCTCGATACCGAGTCAGCAAGGCTGCCCGCCTCGTGCAAGTGCATGATCGATTCCCGCCCAGAGGACTGCTTTGAGCGCAACAAAGCGGCGACTGTATAGAGTAGGCTAAGGAATCGCCTAGAAGTAATTGTCTTATCTAGACAAAAAAAACCATCGACAAAAAGAAATAGCCTGACCTCGGAAAGTATAATTTACGTTTTCACGTGCTGGTTCGCGTCGGAAGGAGAGGATGAAACGTGGCGAGTCGAGACGGATGGTCCTTTTGCTGGCAGGATGCCTTTCACAAGGGCAGACGATCAGTGTAAACACAATTCTAAAACAGAAAGCCGAAAATAGCCAGAACCATTGCTCGGACGATTCCGCTCCGCGTGCTCTCGCATGGGTGCATTCTGCAACACTGGGTCCAACACGGGGGGCCGAGCATGAGAACCTTGAAAACGGCATCGCCATAGCATGCATGGACGGATGACCCCTCAAATTGCCGTTTCGCGATTTAGCTTGTTTCACGGAGTCTTGGACTTCATCGTGGCTATTTTTTTGACCTTGTGCTCGTTTGTCTAAATGCAAGTATGCTGCCACTTTCCTTTGATTCATTTCTTTTTTTTTTCTTGGCTGGCTGTTGGGGAGTTGCTTTCATCATTTGTCGTCGTTTTGTCCCCAACATACTGCCTCAGCCACTGTTGGGCTTGGATCCCCCTCCAAGCCACACCTCGTTTTTGCGACAATGGGGAATGTCCCTTCAGCACTCGAGGAGCCGAGAAGCCCATGTCGCCCCCGAAGGCGTCTCTCGAAGCATCAGGCCGTCATCAACTGGGTGCAGGTGGTGGGTGAAAACGACTACCATGTTCATGATGCGCCGACGACGCCACGAAGTGGTGCTGGCTACCGCGGCCTCGACGAAGCGATCCCGACGGTACCAAGTCTCGCGTCGATGCAGGGCCAGGGCCCGTCGCGCATTCATGAACCACCCAACAAGGGAAATTTGACCCTTGCTCGCGGCCAGCATCTCTCAGCCGCAACTGGTGGACACAAGAGTCGACCCAGCCGCCACAGCACGGACGCATTCCACCCACTTCGGAGCGCTCCCGTGTCAGGGAGCGCTCGGGCGGCCAGCATGAAGGAGGGTGACGCGCCGGGAAATGACGTGGAAAAAAACAAGCTGGACGAGCAGTCTTTTTCGTCGCCTCCCGACCTGAGCAGTTCATCGTCGACTGAATCCGGGCGAACTCTGTCCTCAGACTCGGACGCCAGTCGAGAGTCGCCTCATTACATCCCGTATCGGCGCCGCTCCCTGCAACAAATACCCGGCCTCGCCACGCGGCCCGGAAAGGAAGAGATCCGCCGCCGAAACCTGCCAACGTCGCCGCCACATCACCCTTACTCTCCCCCCGACCAGGCTAAGGACAGAGGCGATCCTGCTTCTTCTCTCACCACCACCACCCCCACCCCTGTCCTTGTCCTGAACGACGACGCCAATGACCTCGGCAACGCTTCCGAGGTGGATTACAGGCAACTTGGAAGTATAAAATTTGGCTCCCTCCGTATAACAAATGGCTCGCCCCTTTCAATGCGGAGAGGTGAAGAAACCAGTGCCGACCAATTGGTGGATCTCGACGGCGACATGAATGTGAATCAGGGCTCGTCGAGTGATGCCACCAACGCACATCTTATCTTGCCATCGGAGCCCCCTCCCATCAAACATTTCTCTCCTGCCAATTCAAACTGGTCCCCAGAGAAGCCTCTCAACAACATGCACGTCAGCGAGGCCGTTCGAGGGCGGCAGGGCCGAATGTCGAGCGACACTCCTCGGCCTTCGGTGGAAACAATACGCAATAGAATATCATCTGTCATCGAAGTCATTGGCGATGAGCAATTGAACCTGGTTAGACGACCACGAAGCACACTAGTGACGACAGACGACAGCTCCAGTATATATTCGGATAACCTCATTCCTGTTATGATTTCCGACGACATCGCGGCTGAACAGAACTATATTCATACCGACAACAGCAATGGGCCGCATTTATCTTTTCAATCCTTTCGAGATCTTATTCGACAAAATAGAGTCAAGAGTTATCTGCAGGCAAATAACAAAGCGGCAATCATCAGCAAGCCCTCGCATTCAAGATCAGCATCTAAAGAAGACGCCTCTTCTATAGCTTCGGTGGCAATGAGCCCGGTAAAATCACGCCGCAAGCTGGCCAAGAAGAACCATGGTCCCGCGCCGCCCTCAGCACCATTGCTATCCAGCGCGAATACTCATGATCCCCAGACTGCGCAGCATCGGCCACGAACATCTAGTGGCTATATTGCTGGCGAACCTAGGAAACGTCATGTCGGGAGTCATTCGGATAGCCAAGTACCTCGCATGCGCTCTTCCAGTCTTGAAAAGGTTGCTGTGCCTCGTACCCATCGTCAACCGGAGCCTATACTCCGCAATCGCCAGGAGTCTTATCAGACGACCACAGAGCATGTGCCGATACTTCTTGATAGAGCGAGAGCGACGTCGAGACCGCATGTCAATTTCGAAGGGGATTTGCCCAAGCAAAAGTATAGACCAGCCAGAGTCGAACAACTGCGGCGGTCTCAAACAGCGCAGTTTAAGCCTCTGCCCACACCAAAGCCCGAGTTGCCGCAAAGGCGAAAACCGGTCAGGGTTTCTGCACCGCCACCCATTGTATTTGGGACCCAAGTTTCTCAGGAGAGCCCCGTTGAGGGGCGAAGTACACAGAGCTTGTATCCCCCTATGCCGTCGCAGGTCCAGTCTGATAGGATGCCTCTCGAGGGCCGGCAGTACATGCGAACCCGCGCCGCCGACGACGACACCCCCAAGCTACGCTTGTTCTTCCCCGATAATGACAGCCCGTATGTATCGCCGCTGAGCGACGACGGCGAAGACTTCTGGCCCCTCGACGCGGATTTTCAGCCCCGCGAGGTATCGCCGATACGCCAAGCAAAATCGCTGTCCAACATTCGCAGCGGCGGCGACGATGATGAGCGCGAGACTCGCTCGCCCGCGCCGCCACTGGTCAACACGCCCAGCCGCCGCGCGCAGGAGCTAGCTGAGCGGTGGCAGCAGCAGCAGCAGCAGAGTAAGCAAGTGCAGCAGCAATCGCGCAGGCCGTCGCTGGAGCCGCAGCAGACTCGACCTCCGGCCTTTGACGAGCAAGCTTCCACCGATCGTCCGACGACGGCGAGCGCAATCGACGAGTATTACGGCTCGCCGCTTCTTCTTGTCAAGCGGGACAGCAGCCTCCCGCCAATGGTCTATCGCAACGGGACGCGCAGAGGCGCCGAGATTTCTTCGGCAGTGTGGCGGCCGCCGTATCGCGTCTTGCATAGCTACTATTCGCCAGCATATAGCAACGCGCCAATATGGGGGTAATAGAGATGAAGAGACTATGTGTTGGATAGGAATAGAACGGGATAGAGGTGTAACGAAGGATCGTGCCATGGATGGGTTTATGAGTATAACATATAAATTAATTTAAAATAAGAGGATTCCAAAATTTAATCCACATAATTACCACGCAATAAGATTCAACATAAGATGCAGCAAAAAGTTAGAATGCGCCATCGCGCTTGGTATACGACGGCCCCTTGACAAGTTCAACCTTGTTCCTGCTCGTCAAGACTGGCGGACGGGAAGTGAGGGACAGGCCTGGGATCCTGGCGCCGTCACTGTCCATGGCCCAGACGGCGACGCCCAGCCAGTTCTCTCCATTGTAGTTGAGGATGCCCTCGGGCACCGGGAACTCGGTCTGCGGGCCAATGTTGCTCACGTACCTGCCGTACTGGAAGCCGTTGACGTAGAGCAGCGCGCGGTACGTCGGCGCGTTGCCGTCGCCGTCGAAGCGCACCGCGATGGGGATGTCGTACTCGTCGGCGGGGAGGTCCAGGTCGAACTTGGCCGCGTAGTAGCTGACGCCGGCCTCGGCGGTGCCGTTGAACGGCGAGGCCTTGGCGAAGCGGTCGAGCGGCGGCGACGGCTGGTGGTAGCCGCTGCGCTCGAAGAAGAAGCCACCCTCGTTCAGCGGCCCGCGGAAGCGGTCCCGGTAGTCCTCGCCGCCGAGGTTCCCGGCAATCTTCCAGTCGGTGATGGGCGTTGGCCCGCGGGTGCTGTTCGCGGTGGAGTGCAGCTGGTAGTCGAGGATGCCGCGGGGCGCCTTCATGTCATCGTTGCCGGGCGTCAGGTTCTCGTTGAATCCCATGCTGTCGACGACGACCGTCAGCACGTGGCGGCTGCCGGCGGGCTGCGGTGGGATGGTGTGCGTGACGATGACGGTATCCCAGTCCTTGCGGCCGGCAAAGGACCCGACGAAGACGTCGTCGATCCACGCGGCGGCGGCGTAGGCGGTGCCGCCCGACGTGGTGAGCAAGAGCTGGTCCTCATCGCCGGCGGCGGTGAAGGTGCCGCGGAAGAGCAGGGCGCCCGCGTTGAAGCCGTAGTCGGCACCGTACAGCGACACGGGCGTGCGGAGCGGCGCGCCGCGCGGGTTTGGGGTCGCGGTGAGGTTGGCGCGCGTCCAGAGCGCGTCATCGTATGCGGGCCGGATCTCGGGCAGCGAGTCGACGGCGTGCCAGTTGAGGGCACGGAGGTCAGGCAGCGGCACGGAGGTAGGGAGGCGGATGGACGGCGTAGACAGCCAGGTGCCGTCGGCGGTCTTCTTGAAGCGTGTGGGCTTGCCGTTGACGGAGAGCTTGGAGGCGCGTCGGGGCGCCCCGATGACCTCGAGGGAGGTGGTTTGGTTGAAGTCGGCTTGGATGGACACGGTGGCGCCGCTGACGGAGGCGGAGCGGACGAGATAGCCCCCGTTGACGATGATGGTGTCGGGGTTCATCACGGAGCTGCCGTACGCGGAGCCGTCCTTGGGGAGGACCGGCACCCAGTAGTCGTAGGCACTATTGCGATCTATGTGGCGTGGTGTTAGTAGGTGGCCATTTATGTCTAGGGTTTGCGCGAGTTGTTGTTTAACTTACCGAGCATGAACACGGTAAGGTCGCCGATGCGAATGACCTGACGCTCCGGCGTCGGCGTGAACTGGACGATGACGGAGCTGTTTCGCTGCTGATAGGCCACGCTGCTGCCGTAGCTGTCGCCCACCCGCACGGCGTTCTTCAGCGCGAACTCGTGCATCTCGCCGGCGCCGCCGTATAGGATGACAAGTGTCCGATTGTCGAACTTTTGCCAGGTCATGATCTCAGCCGTGGAGTAGAGCAGAGTATAGTCTCCCATCACGTAGTCGGTGACGTGGAACTTGGAGTCGCGGCCGGACAAGGTCAGCCTGCCGCCGGCCTGCGGGATGGACAGCGTTCCTTGCGAGGTAGGCAGCTTCACGACGTACGACGTCGAGTTAAGGCTTTGGTAGTCGGCATGTCGGACGACGAAGTAGTTGCCGGCCTTTTTGGAGAGCATGGGCGTGATAGCAATGTCCTTGCTGTCGCTGTACACACCCGTGGTGGCATCGCCAGGCGTTGTTTCCAGAATGGAGGGGGAAACGCGCATGAACTGCGCTTCCAGCTTCGTCTCAGAGTATTTCTCGCGGTCAATGTAGCGGTCTTCTCGGATGCTCTGTGAAAGAATTAGGTTGACTGGTCTTTCCCAGGCACAGACTGAAAGACAGTAACTCACAGCACCGTAGTCGTACGATGTATACCCATTGGGATGACCTAGGTTTCCCCAGTTGGTGCCGCCAAAGATCTGCCTCCGTTAGACATCCGTCTGTGGCGTCTGTTTTTGCACTTACCATGTAGATGTTGAAGATATTCACACCCGCAGCAAGGTTGTTCTTGTCAAAGACGCGAGAGAATTCGTGGTTCACCAGCTTGTAGCATTGATCAAAGCCGTAGCCACCAAAAGGATCATAAGATCCGCCTTGGAACTGTAATGCATGAAACTTTAGTTCTTAGCTCTCTCTCGAAAGAGAAAAAAAAAGTATTTTACCTCAACTATCGAGAAGGGCGTGCTTGGACTTAGTCGCATGTGCGTCTTGTGCAGGTCGGTGGGCAAGTTACCTGCCGGCCACACATCCGGATGAGCCTACTGTGTGTTAGTCAAAAGAATTGATTATTATCAAGAGATTGCTTACGCAGTCAAATCCAAGGGGATAAGAGTCAAACCCCTAAAAAAAAACAGTTAGTACAGGACTTGTCTCCATCTTCGAAAGTTTTACATACATAAATGTCGACTTCGCCCTCACCGGTGCCAGGCGCACCAGTGCCGCCGGGATAGGAGTCGTTGTCGATCAGCGGCACCACGATGCCGGCCTTGCGAGCCTGGTCAATGACGTACTGCATGTACTTTTTGTTTGGGAACGGGGACACGGAGGCACCGCTGTACTCATTCTCCGGCTGGAACAGAATGACCGGCCCTCCGTTTGTGATTTGGGCCTTGGCGATAATGGCGCCAATGTTGGCCATGTAGCTGTCGTGCCCGGTAGTTAGCCAGACATGGAACACAAGACCCTTACGTGTCGGTCCGCAACTCACTTGTCGGTCGCCGCGAGATAGTCCGGGGCGTCAGTGCGCAGCAGGCCCTTGACGCGCTGCAGCCAGCCCGGGTAGCCGCCGCCGGAGACCTCGGCGTTGATGTACGGCCCCGGCCGGGCGAGCAGGTAGATACCGGCCTTGGTCGCGGCCTCGAAGAAGGGCTCGAGCGCGAAGATGCCGTCGGCGCGGAACTCTCCCGGCTTGCCCTCGAGCAGCGCCCAGTCGACGTAGAAGGAGACAGTGTTGAAGCCCAGCGCGCGGATCTTCTGGAGGACGTCGAGGTAGAGCGAGGGTACCGGCAGGCGGAACGGGTGGACCTCGCCAGAGAAGAGCAGCGCGCGCTCGCCGCGGATGAAGAGCGACTGCGAGTCCCAGGTGATGAGGTCCTGCAGGAGTTCGCGCTTGCCGGGCTCGTGGATCACGTTGTACGATTTGGAGCGACTTCCGAGTGTGAGGCAACGGGTTGCCGGCGCGGCAACAGCCGCCAGCAAGGTAAAAGAAAGCTTCATGACTTGGATAATGAGGAGTTTGTCTGTCTCATTACAGCAGCATATCGCCAAGGACAGGGTCGTGTAGGGGGAGAACTGGCACCGGGCTCCTTTTAAAAAGCGATCAAGCGCCAGTTCTTCATCCTGCTAATTTATAGCAGTGACACTACATACATACTTGCAGCCAATATTTGTTCACGTATGCAAAAGAGCCACGCCGTCTCGGCTCCCCGCTGACGCGCTGCGCCATTTCGGATAGGTCAATGCCGAGATACCAAGTTGAAGCACGGGTATTGGCGACTTCGCACTTGCTCCCGGGAGACGATGGACTCGCGTCCCCCATGACGCCGAGCACGAGGGTAAAGTGGAAGCGAGTTACTGTCTCCCGTGGGCTGTGTACGAAGGACGCCGAGGGGACCGGTAGTCTGAGTCACGATGGGAAAAACGGGTGAAGTGGTTCTAGCAAGGAAGTTGGTCGGACAGAAGCGGAGTTTAGAGAGAAACGCTATTATCACTGGAATGAAGGGGGCGAGGTTGGCGATGGGAGAGTCGCACGGGGCCAAGGCCGCAACCTTGCTCTCTATCGGTTCTCACTATCCGTAGTAGCAAATGTTGTGCCGCTACTTTTTTTGAGTCAACAGCTCGTCTGGGATTGCAGATTGCGCTGGACTGTTAGCGTCGACCTTTGTCGTGGGCTGGGAAGACTTGACGCCAGGTCCAGTGCTCATTTTGGCCTGCATCTGCAGCGTCACATTCGGCATAATACGACCGTGAACTGCGCTCGAGACTTGACAACCTGACTAGGTTCCGGTGTGCCATCATTAAATGCTAGCTAGGAGCGCGACGCAGGTCGTGTGGTTTCGGGGCGAGTTATTACATGAATAACTGCGTGTTGCCCTTGTTGTGCAGCGCCTCTTGCATGCAATATTTATGAGTACTGGATATAGGCATGTCAAGATGGACGCCCTTTCATTTCAATCTCCGAAATGTGATAGTTACACAAGTTCCCAGGTAGCGTCGGAGTAAGCAGACTCTTCCATGATGCGGTCAATAAAGCCGACGGGAATGCCATTTTGCTTCCAGACATGGGCGTCCTTCATGACAAAGTTGACTTTGCGGAGCGCTTTGCTGTCGACGCGGGGGTCGGTGTCGAGGGCGATGATATCGGCGCGGGCTCCCTTTTCGAGCCAGCCAAATCGATATCCGCACGCGTCCTTGCCACATGACTCCCAGCCGCCGAGCATGCAGGCTTCCAACACATCCTCCACAGGGACGCCGGCTTCCATCAGAAGCTCCATTTCTCTTGCGCCTTGCCCGTGGTTGAAGGCACCAGTGTCGCCGCCGGCTGCAAGGCGCAAGCCCATAGAATGGGCCTTTCTCGCGATCGCCTGGACCTCTGGGACCCTGTCTTTGACTCCGGACTCGACGATGGCGAGAGTCGGGACGTAGATGCATCCGTTGTCGGCCATGGCCTTAATCGCGCCGTCGGTGGCCTCGGTTCCATGCTCGATGCTCGTTACGCCGGCTTTGGCTGCCATAAGAACACCCCTCACGGTGCCGGCGTGACAGGCGACAGGCAGGCCGGCAGACTTGGCCTCACTGACAATGGCGTTCATCTCTTCTTGGGTAAACATGACCGTTGCGGGGTTTCGGTTCATTGGAGGGAACAAGATGGCGTCTCCTGATAAAGGGGAACGCAAGGTGTTGCGCCTGTAGTCGGCATAGAATTTGATAATGTCGGCGCCCTCGGCCACTCGTCTGCGGACGGCGCGTCGCACTCCATCGGGACCATCGCAAGGATCACATATGAGTGGGGGCTTCATGCCATTGGCATAATTTTCCGTGCGGATTTCGTAGGAGCCAGTCGTAGCCAGGCAACTTGTCGCGACAAATGTGCGCGGTCCAGGCGTGAGGCCGCGATTTACCGCGTCCCGAAGGCTGGCATCGTGGGAAGACAGGCCCTCCGTACCCAGATCGCGATACGTAGTGTATCCCGAGAGCAGTGCGAGGCGCATGTGGCTGACGGCACGGACGGTTCGTTCTACAATGCTTTCATCTCGCATTTGTTCCGCTGATGAGCGCTCGCTGTGTCCTTGGTCAGTGGCATTATCCTTGCCTTTCCACCACTTGTTGGTGTGCGTACCAATAAGCATGGAGGAAAACATGGGTATGCGCATCTACAAAACCAGGCATGGCGACCCTGCGACGCAAGTCAATGTCGCCAGGCTTCACCTCGGCGGTAATGCTGTCTCGCTGAATGACATCTTCGATGGCACCTGAGGCGGGGTTGACGACGATGGATATGTTCTTTTGAATTGCTTAGAGGTCGGGTCGAAAAGGGTGCCAGTATGAACAGTGAACGTGGCGGTGGCCATGCTTGCGAGATGTGAAGAGACAAATCAAGACGGACTGCACTGCACACTGAGCTAAGGAATTTTCAGGGAAGAAGAATTATGAATGCGAGCTTCTTGGATTTCCAACGTTGTTTGTAGCAGAGATGCATTTGGCGCCACGGATCCTGGCTGGCTGGTCAGGCTTGTTAGCCCAAGCTAACACCGGAATTGGCCAGACGCGTCGCCGAGTGAGTGCTCTGGTGCAGTCACCTTCTGCATATTCGGTAAGCAGTTGCGCTCTAGCCATCTAAAAGGCAATTGCAGGATTGATTGACGTTGCACGCCCTGCCGTGAGTGGTTATAGCCTTGTGTGGCTATGTGCTTCGAACCTGGGCGGGGGATAATGATGCATGCACGGAAGGATGGGAGAGCGGCAACCAATCTTGTGCATCTTGTGCCAAGACGCCAGTGCCTGATCCGCGAGCTGACAACAGACGTACTGCCCATGCTTGACCGTCTTGTGACGGAGGCATGGTGCCAGCCAGCAGCGACCTCTGGGCCAAGTTGGGAGTTTGTGTTGTGAAACCGGGGAAAGTTGCCGTGGACCAAGGCCGATTCTGTGACAAGCGCCGTGATTCTACATCCAGCCTTGAGTCGCTGACCACCACACCGGAACAAGTTCAACTGGAGAGAATGCAAATTGAATGTAAGAACTGATGGCTGCAGGCTGCATGTTGGCTGGGTCTCTCTGTATTGACGGGGCCAAGACACAAGTTCTATTTTTGGAGGCTGCTGTTGAGCACTCCTACAACTGAACTGGCCTTGTATGGTATGCAAGCATCATGAAATAAACAATTGATGCTATGCGCAATGCTTACTCCGTAGCTGCTTGGTGAAAGCCAGAGATGTTTTTTCTGCATCCCAATCGGTCAAGTTGCAAGGCCTGGTTTGACCCCTGCAACTCTGCGACATGAGCAGCCCCGGGACCAAACTGGCAACAAGGTTGGTGAGAGACAAAGAGTCAACTGATGATGGCTGGTGCATCAAGAGAGGCTGGAGCCAGGCACTGGTCAACCAGTCAGGAGAGAATGGCGGGGCCGTCGTTAATGCTTGTGTCGATAATAGTTGGCTTGGGTTGCGATGAGTCCATCGTGACAAACCGAGCCGCCAGGGCAGCCTGCGTTCCCATGAGCCTGCACTTGAAGATTCCTCGGCGGCAAAGCGATGGTGTTACGCGGTGTCTCCCGGCAGATTTCATCGATATCTTACCCAGTATGGTTATGGACGGGTTCGTTGGCGCCGTGAAATATCGCGACATGATACCGAATAGTGTTATTATTATTGCTCCCGTTGAGCGACACGTCAGAGCAAGCCTTGGCGGTTCCGCCCAGCAAGTTAAAGCCTAACAAGGGTCAAGTGAAACGGTCACGGCTTACCACGTAACCTCTGTAGCAGGTGGCAGTACTTACTTGGTACTTACGGTGTAGCACCACGACCTTGCTAGTTCCAGCTCCCTCACCCCAGCTTGAAAGTACCGTGTCAGTATCTGCAAGTATCAAAGTGGCGCCCGCTTGAATACGAGCCCTCACACACTCCTTTTTGCAGCGCCAATCTGCAAGCCCTGGTTCATGGCTTTTTAATATCTCTCTTCCCTTCTAAAGTGTATCACTTGGCTCTCGAATAAATCTCTCCGTTTTTTTGTCGTTTTCTCGTCATTTTCTCTTCTTCGCTTGCCCGGCCGACTCCTCTCTCTTTTCCTTCGTACTCTTTCGCTACCGCCTTGCTGTCATACTCGAGTACCTGACAACAAAGACCCACGACGCCTTGCTATTCTTTTCGTTTCACTTTCCCGTCATCGTTGCACTCTCGCTGCTCTGGCCTGAAATACCAGTAGCGACATTGACAGCACTTGGCAAGCTGCTGCTGTAGTATTTCCGCCCCCCCCCTCCCGTTTGAAGCGGGCCAACCACCAACCGCCTTCCTTCCTACCCACTCAACCATCCATAGCGACGACGACGGAACCAAACGGCATCTTGGCCGCAACTGGTTCTTTTACGGGATTCATCTTTGCCCTGCGCATACATAACCAACACATCAATCGCTCGATACGCTTACACTAGCCATTGTTCGCCATGTATTCGCCTCGTTTCTTACTACTCATTGTGGCAGCGCTGTGCGTCGCTGACGCGGCCTTTCTGGATCACTTCCATCTCGGACGCCGCGCAGACCTCGCCGCCAGCGCGTCGGATACTGGCAGCAAGAGCTCGTCGACTGGAGGTGCGACGACACCGGCTTCAACACCCGCGAGCTCCTCCCCCGCCTCAGCCTCGACCTCGCCGCCAGCCAGCTCCAGCAGTACCGAGCCGTCCTCCTCCTCACCCCCCTCGTCAACTGCGACTCCTACCTCGCCCCCCTCGCTGACTCCCACGCAAGCCGAGCCATCGAGCACCGCCGCGGAGCCCTCATCGCAGCAGCCCACATCGCAGCAGCAGCAGCCTACCGCGCAGCCGACTTCGCAAGGGGACTCGAATCCCAAGTCGACCTTGACCAGCTTTGTCACATCGACCACCACTCAAGCCCCGGCTAGCACCTCTGGGGCTACGTCGACACCCGGTCTCAGCTCGGACAAGGACGGTGCTTCCTCGGGCATGCCAGTCAAGACCCGCAACACGGTTATCGGCGTCGTGGTCGGCATTGGCGGTGCCATCCTGCTGGGTGCCGCTGGCATGGTTGCCTATCGGATCTGGGGCCGCAGGAAGCACTCAGAAGAAAGCGATGGCTTGATGAGCTACGATATGAGCACCAATGGCTATGAAAAGCACGAACCGTCCAACTCGATTAGCAGCAACAATCAGCGAACGCCTTTCCAGTCAACTTTGGACAACTACCACCAGCCGAGTAACGTCAATCCCTCGTCCAACTTTTAAGCCTTGCATCTTTGAGGTAAGGGCTTGTCGGACTATGCATTGTACCTAAGGACCAGGTTATTGAAAAACAGAATGAAGTGGAAGGAGGTAATGCAAGCGCATAGAAGCGGCAAACTGTCCAGCGCAGCTTACACATTATACGCACGATTCGAGTGGTTGATTGCTTGCTTGCTTGTTTGGTTTATTAAATGAAGCGAGACCCACGGTCATGGCGAGCCGCGGGCGCAGTGCCTCATCTATATCTTTTTTCATTGTTTGTTACTGTTACCTTTTGCGCCACATAGCGAGTATTGCTGTCACTATTGTACTTAGACCCGTTTAATACTATATCGCATGAATACCAATATCCGGCGCGGCGCTGTGCTTTCTTGCGATGCTGCAGGCAACCGGTATGTGAGTGTGGTGCTTGGCTGTCCTGCACCCAATGCAGTAGGCCGCGGTACCGAACTGACTTGATGAACTTGTTAGATTTATCTACACATAGCGCTCGCGTTGGCGATGATAATGTCACTGACGGCGACCGTGCATTTGGTGTGCCAAAGGACGCTCCGGCCCTACGTCATACCTTCTTTATTATTAACAAAGCCAACCCCAGAGTCCCCGTCACTTGTCGACTGCAAGCTCTTAGCTACATGGCTCACATGCCTACTGTCATTCTCGTACTGGCGGCTTTGAATACCAGTCCGCAGCTTTCTCTTCAACCCAAACCTCTGGCCCACCACCACCAGAAACCCGCTGAAAAGGTTGGGCCTTGGGCGGGAAGCGCTCGGCTGGTCCCCTGGGCCTAACCCTTTCTGGGACCCCACCAGCCCCCGTGCCTTCCTTTCTTGTGGAGTCAACTTGGGCAGAAAGTGGGCGTCATCATTTAACTAGGTACTTTTTGGATGGCGCCCTCAAACTTTTTTTTTTGTGTTCGTTCTCCTCTGAATTACTGACCTACAGCTTGTCAAAGTCACCGCCATCTATTGTAGAGAGGTAATTACTGGTAGAAGGTGCAAAAAGAGAAAACGAACGACTCCCGAGACCAGGTTTTACCAGCACCTGCGCTACTGGTGAACTCAGTGTCAGAAAAGCCTAGGTTGATGCTCAGGTATCTGCACCAATATATCTGGTTACGTTGCTGACCCTGAGAGGCGTCTATCTTCAACTACCTACCTACTTGCCTACTATGTACATACACATGTCCAGGGTAGGTATCAGTACATGCGCTGGCCCTTGACAACATCTGTACGCAAAGGCCAGTGGCCAGTGGCAAACTCAACTGGCAAAAGCGCTCAACTGATGATGGCCCGGACCCCTGCTCTTCCAGCCTTCTTCTCATTCACAAGAAAAATTATCGCAGGGGAGATTAAGTTACAAGGTAATCCGTAGGCTATACCAGGTACCTGCCTAGTAGGTTACTACCGCAAGAAAAATGCCACAGGTTGTGGTCAAAACCAAAAGTCGCTAATAATACAGCAGACTGGCCGACTTACTTTGGTCCAATTACAAACCTTGATACTTCGTGGGGAGGTACCCTTCTTGCTGTCACCCCAGCCAGCGCTTTAAAGACAAGTCACCCACCCCATCCCCCCATCCCATCCTCCAATGCCGCCAATTCGAACTTCTCTTCCAGCATCCCTCGCACCTCGGTCGCGATTGTCTATCCTCCGATGTGTTCGGGCGCATCGACTCATCTCGCCCTCGTTTTTTAAGCAGCTCGTCTCTGTCCGTTGTTGATACCCCCGCTGCTTTTGTCGCTATACGCCGGTAGCATTTTGCGTACCCGCCCCCTTTAAATTCCCAGAAAGGGTCGTCATAAAATCGACGCGCGACGCGTACCCACACACCAGAGCCAACTCCCTTTTCGATCCTCCGGTTCGGCATCTCGAAAAGAAAAAAGGAGGGAGCACGAGAGTGGACTTATACGACACATTTGAGAGAATCAGTGGCAGGCGACAAGTCCTTCGTCTGCGCTGAATCTCGGTTGGTAAGGAAGCAAACGCCCGTTACCCCTTGCATAGACTCGCCTTGTCTTATGCATTGCCACCGACCCGAGAACTACGGGCCGTCTTGATTTACATGCGTTTCGGCCATAATGATCTCCGACTAACCGACTGCTCCCACCCATAATTAGACCCTTCATTACGACGTCGCCCCCAAAGCCGTCAACTACCGGCCCTCCACGTGCGCGGGCACTGGACGGTTCTGGAGACTATCAGCCCAAGCAGCAACCACCAGCATCTCCGGCCTTGTCTACCGCCTCCACCGCAGACGGAGACGACGACGCAGACCTTGAGTCTTCGCCTCCTGCCCCGGAACTCCCAGCGCCAAAGCTGCCTGACCGAATTTCGGCCCTGCTCCAATCGCCAACCCGAGCAACCGACGACGTCTTCGAGACGGCCAGCTGGGGCTCACCCTACCCCCCGCACGACCGCAACGTACGTCGTCAGAGTTCCAGCAGCGACCTCTCCGAGGACTCGCCAATTCACCACCTGGACATCGACACCCCGTTTCTTCGCCCAGCTCCTCAGTTCCCGCTACAGGTTGACACTGAGGCCCGCGAGCCGCTGAGCGCCGCTGCCGCCGTTCTCGCCAACCGGGTCAGGCGCAGCAACAGAGGACTCACCGAGGACTGGATCCGCGCGCACACCGCTGCCGGAGAAGGAAACATCGAACCCCGTCTCTGGCTCAGCGACGGAAGCGATAGCGAGCACTCTTCATTGAGCGGCTCCGAATTAGCCTGGCTAGGCGAGCTTACTCCTAGAGCCGTCAAGGCTGCTCAGGCTGCCAAAAAGCACACGCGACAACCACGCGCAAGTGCCAGCAACGAAACTCTCAAGCCTTCCAAGGGAAAGAGTATCAAGCTGGGTAACTCAACGAGTATGGCGGCAGAATCAGAGCTCATGCTTGAGCCAGCCTCCAAGGCCCCTCCCCAGCGCAACGAGGCCAGCGCCCAGTCTGCTGAGGAGGGACAGATCACGTCAGAACATGCGACAAATGCGGGCTCGAGGCCGCCATCAGAACCTTCACACAAATTGGCTGACAAGCCCGCCAAAGCCGCCGCGGAGACTCTGGCCGCGACCTCTATTCCCTCGACGCCAAAGAGAGTGAAGGAAAAGCCTCTACCGAAAGAGCCTCCCATGACACCAAGAATCAAGAAAAAGGTTCCCTGGAAAGGGAAAAATATCATGATATTAGTCCCTCGCGATGACGACCGTGGTAAGCCTAGCAAGACCCCCATGCCGCTGCGCCCTGATGAGATTGAGCGCATGTTTGCCTCTTGGAAGGAACTTGGATACAACGTGGACGGTTTCGATCTTGTAGTCAAAGACTACCAGCCCCTCGGCACCGACGACTCTCAGAGTCGAGACTGCTGGCCCTCCACCGACGATTTGACCAAGGAGCGATCGAGCCGTCACTACCCGGTCAATCTGCCAGACCTGAACGCATGGAAGAACTACGTCCAAGAGCTCCAAGAAGCCAAACTCAGAGCGCTTGGCGTTTCTGATGCTACTGAGGAACCCCCTGTACCATCCATATCGCCGTCGCTTACTATTCCTTCGCGACAAGCTTCCGCGCAATACCCTCCGCTGCCTTTCTCGCCACCGATTCCCACTTCGTCCGCGTCCAGCAACCCTGGCTTCAACTTCCAATCACAACTGCTCTCTGGCACTACAACAACAACCCAGAGCCCTGCAATTGCTTCTCCGATTCCCTTTGGGCAAGTACAGGGCAAGTTCAACCCTCGTCAGTCTATCTCTTTACCAACAGGCAACTCTCCCTTCCAGTTGTCGAATGTTCAAGGGTGGCAGAACCAAGCCGGCATTTTGCAAAGCCTTGCTCGCATCGATTCACCGCTTCTCAGTCTGAATGGAATTGTCTCGCCACAGTCTCCCTATGATCTGGACGGCTTTCCCATTTCGGCAAGCCCTGCCTTCAACGCTCACCAAAGACACCAGTCTTTGCAGTACTTTCCTCAACACATCTCTAGGGCGTCGCCTCACCTGCAGCAAGTGCGCGAGGATGAGGAAGAAGAGGTGGATGACTATGCTAAGAGCCCTTCCAAGACACCAGAGCCCACCAAGACGCATCAGCCCTCAATGCAGGCTGAAATGCAGGACGCTCAATATCACCTGGAGGAGCAGCTGCGCAATCAGCTCGAACATGAGGACTACAACCCGCAGGCCCAAGGAAACTCTGCCACCAACCATGAGAATCTCGCTTTGGCCCACGACCGCCAAGCCTCTGGCAATTTGGCTGTTTCTGAACACTTTGCTAATGACCAAGTCAAGCCTGTCGTCCTTCATCATCCCCGTCCTCATAGCCGTGGCCAATCTCTGACGCAAACCTTTTTCCGAGATCACGATGTTCAGGCTGATGGATCCACGTTTGGCCGGCTCAACGGCATCCCCGAGTCTAACAAGCCCGAGGGCGACGAGGCTTATGAGATTGAGACAAACCCTAGCGACTTGGGCACTCCTGTGCAAAACTTTGACTTTCCCGCCATGCTTCATCAACATCAGAAGACACTGTCGACTGCAAGCAACCCTTGGAACAATGTGAATGAATCTGTCGAGGCTCCTGAGCATGAGAGGAAACCATCGACATCGAAGCTCAACGTTAAGGCGCCTGAGTTCAAGTTCAATCCTACAAGCAATTTTACTCCTGGCTTGTTCAATTTCTCCTCTGCTGCGACTTTCCAGCCTGGCGCAGCAAGCTTCCAACCTGCAGTCCTCCAGGCTGGCGTCAGCGACTACGTTGAGCCTGCTCCTCCTGTTGCCCAGTTTGGCAGCAACAGTTTCGGTTTCGCCGCTGGCTCTCCATCACTTAACCCAGACCAGAGCGAATTCAGCTTTTCCACTTCGGGACCCAAGTTCAGACCTGACGCCCCGTCCTTTACCCCCTTCCAGTCACTGTCCAGCTCAGTCAAAATCCCTCGCAAAGGGCACCAAGGGCGCACAGACTCTATCTTTGGGGACATTAACATTGACACGAGCGAAATGGTCCGCCCGGTCCGCAAATCAAAGGCCATTCCCATCATCCGACCGTCTAGCAGAGGGTCTGCCGAGTTGCCCCTTTTGGGTGTTGCCGAAGAATCTGGCGAGGATGAAATGGATAGCGATGGCCGCCCCCTTCAGGATGAATCGAGAGCCAAGCGCGCAAAGTCTCTGGCGCCAGAAAGCCAGGATGTCGCCTCATTTGCTCAGATGCCTCTTACTAGCATCTCGGAGAGTACCAATGATAACGCCCTATTCATTGACACATCAATGTCGTCCGCTGGTACTCGGGACGTTGTAGAGACTGATCAGACTACCGCCGCTCCTTCTGAGACTTCGCCGGCTACAAATACACATGAGTGGCAACCCCTCCAGGCCAAAAAGGATGCTGTCATTAACAGCCACAAGGCCCAACATTCTGCCGAGCTCAAGTCGAAGAAGCACGCTCATAAGAGAAACTCGCTCTCTGCTACTGCCATCCCGTTCTCGCCTGGAGCTCTCTCCTATGGAGAGGAGTCACCTGCGACATTAACCCGTGCAGAGCCAAGCCCTGTAAAGATGACGCACTCCGGTTCTATCTCCGAGCTTAAGAAAGACTCCCCGAAGGTCTCTGACGAGTCTCAATTCTCTTCGCCGATGCCTTCTGCTAAGCCGAAGGGCCTCAAAGCCTCTCGCTTTGCGCATGTCGAGGCCATCCCCGCCGCCGCGACTCCTGCCCCTGCTCCTTCCTCTTCTCCCGCCCCTGCTCCTGTTCTTACCTCTGCACCGGAGCCCGAACAGCCTGAATCCGAACAGCCTGGATCCGAACAGCCTGGATCCGAACAGCCTGGATCCGAACAGCCTGAATCCGAACAGCCTGAATACAAACAGGATACCGTCCAACCCACAGCCACCGATGTCATACCATCTATTGAGGCTCAAAACACCCTGGTTGACCTCAGCGAAGAGTCCGTTAAGACCGATGCCAAGGCAGATGAGCCAACCTTTGAGGAGATTGACGCCGTCATGCAGCAAATGGAGATCGATCCTACCATGGGTGTTAAGAAGAAGCCCTTGGAAAAATCGATCTGGAATCAACCCACTCCAGTTGCCAGCCGCCAGGCCTCGTACACGCTTCGCCCCGCTGTACACGACTTTGTCCCCCAATTCAACCAGCCAGTTCCTCCTTACCCCAAGGACCCTCAACTGGAGGACCCTTTCATTGACCCGCCCAGCGCCTGGGACAATGGACAACAACATGAGGCTATGCCTCCCAGTGACTGGGAAGGTGCTTTCTCAGAGGATGAGCATTCCAAGCTTGAGAGCAGGACACAGTTCTTTGACGGCAGAGTCAACGAGATTGTTGGTAACTTGTTGACGTCCCGCCTTGAGCCTATGGAGAGAACTCTGCTCTCGATCCAATCCGTCCTCGCCAGCAAGAGTCGTCGCGCTCCCTCCTCGCGCCGCGACATCAGAAGTACAACTGGTGAAAACCAGGAAAGCGATGCTGATGACGAGGATGACGAGCTGATCGTGAATCGCTCCATGAGCCCGCGCAGAGACCGCCGCATGGATCAAATCCGCGTCGCCATAGCTGAGGCTTTAGCCGCACAGAATGTCCAAGCCCCGATCGAGACGCCACCTGTCGATCACACGGCCATCTTGACTTCACTTGAAGAGATGAAGGCTCATATGAGCACACTCGCCAGCGCATCGCACCTTGACCGTGAAGTAGAGGACGAAAATGACGAGGACATTCGGCCTAGCACATCCAAGTCTGATGATGCTATTCTCGCCAAACTGGATGAACTGCAGACAAAGAATATTGATCTGGAACAGCGCTTGCAATTCGAGCAGCACAAGATTGAGAAGGAAGTTCAGGAACGTCGTGAGGCGGAAGATGCTGCTGCTGAGCTTAACCGTAAGCTAAACGCTGCCGAAACCCGCGTCGAGGTTGAGATCATCAACAAGAGTGTCTATGACCAACGCGTGGCGGATCTTGAAGAGCGCCTCAGGCTGCAGGAAGAGAAGACGGAGGAAGAGCTTAAACAACGCCGCCTTCTCGAGGACAAACTCTGTGATGTGCAGCGCCAGCTCAAGCATGCTTCCGAGGAGGAAAGTCGTCTTACCGAGACCCTTGAGGAGCGTGATCGCAGAATCAAAGAGTTAGAGCAAACTGCTGGCAAGAAAGCGATGCGCATGACTCTGCTAGAAGCCGCTTCCAACAACGCGAGCCAGTCCCAAAGTGAGATGACGAACAAACTCAATGCTCTCGAAGGCGACCTAAAGGAGGTCCGCCAAGACAACACACATTGGCGCACCGAGGCTGAGCGAGCTGACGAGAATGCTCGTCGCAGTGCGGGCGAGCTTGCGGTTGTCCGTGACGAGAACAAGAGCCTCCAACAGACCATACAAACCCTCACTTCTCAGTTGCAAGAAAATGAGCGCCTTCGTGAATCCTGGCGAGGCAAGTTTATGTCCCTCCAAGAAGACATGGCAAATGCTGCTCGCGAGGTCGCTGAGGAGAGTGCCAGGCGCATCAAGAAAGACCAGGCTATGCTTGCCCGCCAAGAAGTGTTGGATGCCAGATTGCAGGCTGAGGCCAAGACGCGCGAGCGCTTGGAGGTTGAGATGGAACGCCTTCAGACCAACGAAAGAAGCGGCATGCGCGCACTCAATGAATGCACGCGCCTTGAGGGGATCCTTGGTGAGCTCCGTACTGAGAAAGATAAGCTCCAGCAGACTGCTTCGCGCTACTTGCGCGAGTTTGAGGAGGCCAGAGAATCCGGTGCCAGCGAAGTCAAACGCACCAGAATTGCCATGCAGACAGAGATCGACAACGCCAACCACCAGGTCAATGTTGTCCGACAAGAGCTTGAGGAACAAAACGCCAAGCTTCGCGCTGAGGTTGACAACATCAGACTCGAGGCTGACACTTCCAAAGCACGCAATGAAATGCTTATGGAAGAAGAGCAGACCACCAAGGCCAAGCTCTTGGAGGAACTGGAACGTAAGCATCAGAACGAAGTCGAGGATATGCAAACCCGCTACGAGCGCCAAATCAACAATGCTGCCGAGGACAGTCAACGAGCCGAGGAGGCCCTTTTGGAGCGCCTCAGCCTATCCTCGTCCAAGATCGACCATCTCAAGGACCGCGTTCTGCACCTCGAGGACAAGCTCGAAATCTCCAAGCAAGCTGCTGCCGCTGCCGCTCAGGCTGCCAAGGCTGCTGTTGCCCCGGTCGCTGCCCCTGTTGCTGCTGCTCGCACTGCAGTCGCTTCTCAGTTGCCCGAAAAGATCTCACCCCAGGCACTACGCGAATCCATCATGGTCCTCCAAGAGCAGCTCCAAGCTCGCGAGCAGCGCATCGAAGAGCTTGAGCAGGACGTTGCCAAGCTGGACCCCGAAGGACCTACCAAGATTTCGAAGCGTGATGACGAAATTACCTGGCTGCGTGAACTCCTTGCTGTGAGACACAGCGATCTGCAGGACATCATCACGGCCCTGGCTGTCGACTCGTTTGATCGCGAGAGAGTCAAGGACGCCGCCATAAGACTCAAAGCCAACCTGCAGATGGAGGAGCAAGAGCGCGAACGAGCCGTTAATGGTGGCTCGGCCATCACCCTGCCCAACATTGCTCAGAGTATCCAGGCCGCCACCCCGCGCGTCGCTCAGACCATTGGCTCCGGCATCAATGCGCTCGACCGATGGAGGAAGTCAAGCCAGCCCTCATCGTTCTTTAGCGTGCTCAACACGCCGACGAAGAGCAGGACGCGAAGCAGGAGCGGGCTACTAACACCACCTACAGCTCGCGAGGTTGAGGGGGCTGAAGACCTTAATCACGACTTTTTTGAGGATTAAGGGTTCAATATTCACTTACTAATTCTATTTTTCCTTTGTTTTTGTTTTCACCAGCAGATGTGTGTATTAATTATACCAAGAAAAGCGCCGAATCAGCGAACGTTTTCATTGACACTCTTTTTTTTATTGTTGATTTATTAGACTGGGAATAAGGGCATGAGTTTATAGTGTTTATTTATATAAATATACAAGTAGTTCTCGATTGGTGTACCATCTGATCGAGCATATATCTATTATCCAGAATTGTCCAAGTCAAGTTTTCTAGTTGTTGCTGAGAAGCTTCTCAACAGCCCACTTGACGGAAAAGTTGCGCAAGTCCGAGTAGTGCTGGCCGACGCCGACAAAGAGAACAGGTACATTGGTAGCGTGGACCAGGCTGACGAGGGTGCCCACCATATCGCCGACAGTATCGCATTTAGAAATGATAAAGCCATCGAGGGAGCGAACGGCACCAAAGGCAGCGTTGAAGTTGCGTGCCTGGGCGACCGAGTCTGTACCAACAAGGGCCTCGCCGACCATAAGGATCTTGTCAGGCTGAGCAAACTTGGCAAACTTTTCGAGCGACGACATGAGGCGTTGGTCGTTGTGCCGGCGGCCGGCCGTATCGATGAGGACCACGTCGTAGCCCTCCTGCGCGGCGTGGGTGACGGCGTCCTTGGCCACAGTAGCGGCATCCTTGCCGTAGCCCTTCTGGTACAGCTCGACCTGGCCGCCCTCACGCGCCGTCAACTCCTTGAGGTTGCGAACGTGCACAGCAAGCTGCTCGACCGCGCCGGAACGGAATGTGTCTCCAGCCGCGATAAGCACTTTGTACTTGTTTTGCAACAAAAAGAAGCAAATCTTGGACAGGTTAGTTGATTTGCCCACACCGTTGACGCCAACAATCGACATGACATAGGGGCGGCGCTGGCGGAGAGATGTAACAGGTGGTGAAGTGATGGAGTCAATGTCGCGGAGCAGATCAAGAGATGATGTCGGCGTGAGCATCTTGGTAAGAGAGGCCTCCATGGCCGTTTGGATCCTCGCATTGATACCTGTGAGCCACGTTAGTATTAGCGATGGTTGGTGGATTGTGTTCGCAAGCTTGCCTTCAAAGGTTCCAGTCTTGGTGCCTACTAGTTCCTTTTCCACACCTTCGCAAAGCCGCACAGCAGCTTCTCTGGCCACATTCTTGCGAAGCAAGTGCTCTTCCATGCCTTTCATGGCATTTGCGAGGTCCTCGGATGTCAGGGTCTTGCCGCCAACGACGTTGCGGAAGAGTCCACTGATAGCGTTTACACCCGAGCCGAGGATACCAGCTTTCGCCGACGCCGCACGCGATGCAGCCGCCTTTTCTGCCTGCGCAGTGGCAAGGATGCCTTGTACCTCGTCGCCCAGGTCACGCAGCACGAACTTACCCTTGGCCGATGTGCCCCAGGTAGATGAGTCAACTGACTCTACTGTGCCAGACTTGCCTGCGCCGCCACCATCATGTGCAGAGTAGTCGAGCTGCACATCATCATCTTCGTCTGCGAAGCCGTCGGCGTCCCATTTTCTACCCTTTTTGCCACCCGCAGCCTTCTTCGGGCGAGAGGCTTCGTCTCCCGACGAGACAGGCGCCGAGTTGTGCTTAGCTTTGCGCGCACGCCTGGACATCTTGGCTACGGGACCGGCCTTAGCAACTACTAAATTGCTGGCAGGTGTCGATGGCCGCGACGTATTGGGCGTTGAATCGGCCGATGCTTCCTCTTTGCCAGCGCCATTAGAAACAGCTCGGCCTCTGTAAGTCAATCCTGGTGCGGAGAGTTTCTTGCTCTCTGGGGAGTCGCCCACATCATCAATAGCCTCGGTAGGATCCGAGGTACTGGATTTGTCGAGTTCCCGAAGTTGTTGATCAAAGTATTCATCGAACCCGTGGCATTCGACCAGTGTCGTGCGTGGTTTCTTGACCTGCTCGCCATAGAGACTGACAAAGATGGTACGGATGTTGTCGACGAGTTTATCCACCCAGCTTAAGTGAAGAAGTGATCGATATACAACCTAGCAGCTCGTCAGTATCTATGATTTTGTTTCGCACTGGAAATGCCATCGGCTTACAACAAAGATAACTCCGAGCTCCTTTACCATGGTCCACTTGAGGGTGTGATGGTCCATCTTGTAGGCGGGATTTGAGGAGGCCGATTGAGAACTTTGGACGACATTGCCAGAGTGCTTTTCTTCAATGAAAGTATCGGTGATGAAATTGTTAATGATCGAAGGGTTCACCGGGCTGTATGTGCGGGACCAGAGGACAACGCCCGAAGTCGTTATGATTTCGAACGTGTCCAGCATTGCGATTAAACTTGGTGGGGAGGCGACAAGTGGCAAGATGGAAACGAAGGGGAAGAGAGGGATCGAAAGAAGGTGCGGCGGTGAAGATGAGATTAAGAGGAAAGATAAGCCATGCAGGAGCAAAGGTTCGTCGTCTGTCTCGAACACTCGCTGCGATGTTGTGGGTGCTGCAATTCGCAACCTGGGATTATTGGAGAGCTGGCGGCGTCGCCGGAGGTATAGCGGCGCGACGGATCAGTTAGCCTCACCTGCTGGCACCAGGCAGTTGAAAGTGGTGCCTTCCGGGAGAGTCTGGCCCGTATCACGTGTGGTAGCCAGGTTGTTGAGCCACTTATGTACACCATCGGTGTGGCTGCTGCTGTCGTGGCGTAGGGGCCAACTTGCAGGCTGCCAAATTGGTGGTAGAACTTCAGGGAGCTCAGCGCTAACAAAGCTCCCCTTGTTGCTACTGCCAGAAAAAGTGGCCAGCGCGACTACATATCCTCCACGTCCACCTTTGGCCACGGTCGCATCCATCTCTCGTCTCGCCATTCCGTTCGCCATCTCCGTCTGCACGCTGCAGACAACTCAACTTCGACATGCAGCGAGCCAACTATGGGCAGTCGCCGCCCCTGCACCACCCCGTACCCCAGCACGTATCGACTGTGCCCCAGCTCCGGTCGCCCCCCCCTCCGCCAGGCTCCGCGCAGTCGCAACAAGGCTATGGCGGCAACCCGTATCAGCAGCAGGGCGGCGGCACGGGCAACGTGTTTGGCGCCTACGGACAGTTCATGAACGATCCTACCGCGCAGGTCGCCGCCCAGTTTGGCCAGACGGCGCTCAAGCACGGCCAGGAATACGTCGAGCAGAACGTGAGCCACCGTCCCCGACCCCTCCGGTTGTCCCTCTGCGGCCACGACGACTAACCAACCCGCCAGATCGGTCGATATGTCAACGTATCGGCTCTGAAGCACTACTTCAACGTCTCAAACTCCTATGTGATCAATAAGCTCTTCCTCGTGCTCTTCCCTTGGCGGCACAAGCCATGGGCGCGAAAGCAGGCCACGGCGACCAATGGCCAGGAAGGCTGGTACCTGCCCCCGCGCGAGGATATCAACAGCCCCGACATGTATATCCCAGGTTAGTCGGTCTGCTGCGCGCTCTGCGGGCATGTACTAAATTGAGTCTTAGTCATGGCCATCGTCACGTTTATCCTCCTCTCAACTCTTATTGCCGGTCTTCGAGGCGATTTCCAACCCGAGCTCCTAGGCTACACTGCAACAAAAGGACTGGTCGTGGTTATCGTCGAAATTATTGCTCTTAAACTTGGATGCTATCTTCTCAGCATCTCCAGCCAGTCTCAGCTTTTCGATCTGATTGCCTATTCCGGCTACAAGTTTGTCGGCATCATCGCCACGATCGCTGTTGCCGAAATTGTCAATGGTGGCAAGGGCACCGGCGGTTGGATCGGCTGGACTGTATTCCTTTATACCTTCTTAGCCAACTCCCTCTTCCTGGTATGCAACACATTGAGAGTTCCGGTATGGCATTGCTAACGCTACTACAGATGCGGTCTCTGAAATACGTTCTACTGCCTGAGAACGCTGGCAGCAGTGGGGGCCCTATGCAAACCGACTCAAGGGCGAAGCGCAACCAGAGAACTCAGTTCCTTTTCTTCTATTCCTATATTGTGCAATTTTTCTTTATGTGGGTGTTGACACGAGCATAATCCCGGCACAGTTCCAAGACGGCTGTCAGTAGACAGGATCAAGGAAGACTGTGATCTGGTATCGAAGGTGGGAAAGAAGGGCGAGCTTCTTGGTGAACTGTATCTCCCTGGCAGACGGACCTAAAGATAAAATTAGACTAATCTCGACGAGAAATGTAATGAAGTATACGTGACATGTTCTCAGGAAACCAAAGCCTTGGTTGATACCATGTTCTCTCCCCTCGTGAAACATCGTGAAACTAGCAGACAATTGAAGTCGTACTTAATACCACCGCCTCTGCTCCTCTGATTTTAGCCTGAAAATGCATCCATCAGTACATTACTGCATCACTGCATGTCAAGGTCGGTGTGCTGGGATTCCAAGTGATTCAGGGCACGCCCCACATACGACGCTGGACAGCAACCAAGAGCCAAGTCGCACCCGTTCTGCATCAACCTTTCACCCCCCCTATTCGGCCTCACCTAGGCAATTGACTCTTTCTTAGTTCTCCCGACAAAACGTACTTTACCATATATTTTTGCACCCACCTTGAGACCTTAGACTTAGACGCCATGCCCTCTCCAATTGTGGAGGCGACGATACAGTCGGCCGGCCTCGGCGTCCTCAGCAGCATCTTAGCGCAGTGCATCACGGCGTACAGACAAGCGGTAAGCATTCCGCGGTGCAAGTTTTCCACGGTTTTTGTTCTTCTAGGGGGGTTTTCTTGTATTTTTGGAAATGAGTTTCTAACGGGCTTCGCAGGCGTCATTGTCGATTGATTGGATCCCCGTCTTCCAGTACCTGCTCTTCATCATCGTCAGCACGCCGCCCAACTTCTTATGGTAACCATCTCCGCCGGGGCAGATTTGCCCCCTTCCACCCATCATGAAGAAATGCTAACACAGGTCGCTGCAGGCAAGAGTTCATCGAGGCTACTTTCCCCTCGCACCCTGAGCCTGCGGCCACCCCCGCCCAGAAGAAGAGCGGCCAGCCCGCAGAGCAACCGCCGCTGTCCACGCGCAACACGGCTATCAAGTTCCTGCTGGACCAGACCGTCGGCGCCGCCGTCAACACGCTGCTGTACAGCACCTTTACACGATCGCTGCGCATGGCGAGCGGCCACGCGCCGCGCGTCACCAGCGTGGCCAAGGCCGTCCGCTACTGGGTCAGCCCAGACGCCGTCTACTTTGGCAGGGTGGACCTCGACGCCGTGTGGGCGGAGGCCAGGGCAGAGTTCTGTCCCCTGATCCTCGCGGGCTACCGGCTCTGGCCGGCCGTCTCACTCATCAACTTTACGCTGGTCAAGTCGGTGCAGGGGCGGAACTTGCTCGGCGCGCTGGCCGGAGTCGTATGGGGTGTCTACATTTGTTTGTTCTCGTCAAACTGAGACGAACTTTGCTTCTCTGCCTTGTATTGCTTGAAGTCTTGGTTTTCATGCTCGTATGGCATGATTTGAATCACGCTGCGGACGCGTGGGACGCAGCACGTTATGTGAATAGACCGTAAAACATTTCAAATTTTCAATATCGCTAAATTGATACCCACCTGCTTCGCTAACCTGATCGTGGTAAGAAATACCAGAGGATTCTACTCATATGGCGTAAACAAATCAGCGCTTCTACCTTCCTGCAAAGAATGGCTCAGTATTTCGGATCTCATCTCGGTCATGCCCGCCTTGCAGCTTAGCATATCTCGTTAGCACCGTAGAACTCGCGATCCGGTGCTACCCTCGGGCTAAGGGGTGGTAGCTAGGCCCGGAATAAACTCGGGAGCCTCCGGTCGTAATACGTGGTGCACAACCGTTCCATTCGAGCTGGTCGAGTCATCCTCTGCTTCTTCTAGAGTCGCCACAGACGTAGTATGTTCACTCCCATAGGCTTGTTGAAACCAGTCGAGTTCGGGGACAAACACAGGAGCATCAAGCTCTTCAAACACTAATCTGGCAACATTGAGCCAGTGTTCTAACCAGCTTCGCATATTCCACATAAAGTCTTGTGTGTTATCAGGTCGCAGCATGTCACTCGCGAAATTGAAGATTGTCGCAGCCAGCCATCTGCACGGCGTGGGAAGATTGGGTTTAGATTGAGCCATGCATGCCCAAAGTCTCGCGTCTTTATAGATCTGATGGCCGGTGGACTCCCACTCAGCGAGAGCATTGAACATGTTCACTTGTTCGTCGTCGTAGATGCAGGGCTGAAGAGCTTCGAGACCTTGAAAGGTTTTGAAGCGGCACAATCGAATGCCCAAGCTTGAATTGCTCTCGATCAATACTCCATCGATTGCAGCGTAGCTTGGATCGTGAAAGGGGATTTCTTGGAAAATGTCGTCGTGCATTCCTTGTGGATAGCGGAGGTCTATTATTTCGCTGGACGAGGTCTCTGAGCCGCTGTCGGTTGAGGATCCGGCTCGTCGTCCGCTTCGGACCTCGGCCCAAAGCGCTGTCAGGTCCAGCATGGCGTGCTGTACGACAGCGTCTTCGTTCGTTGTGCGAGCGACAGAGTCCTCCGTGCGCTGCTAGACCGCCGAGGGGGACTTGTAGAAGAATAGCGCAGCACATTCGCCACATAATGGCTGCGCAGTTTTGTGCTCGAAGCGTATCGCATGATATCGCCGATGCAGAGGGCAGTGGTACTAGGTTGTCCCGCGGCGTGAGCTTCTGTGATGATGGACGTCTCGATAAGGCAGGGAATAGCACCGTCCGGGGCAGGCCATGACGAGATACGGTCGAGTGGTAATACTATGTTCTCGGGTTGTAAAATCGGAGAAGAGGTCAGAGTAATGATAATCTAGTTTTGCTAACGAGCGGTGAACATGAATGAAGATGATGCAAGTCCGAGACTGATGGGAAGAGAAGGAACCACAAGGGGGCGATCAAGCACGGACCACCTTGCCAGCTGCACAAATCGTGTCCCCTGACGCGCTTGCCTTCCGACTCACGCTCAACTAATAATGGCATTCCAGGTGCAGCTTTTTGGTTCTCGGAAAAATCACTGCCTTGCTCGCATTGGTGAATTCTTCAAGCCGTGAATTGATGCCCGCACTTGGCACACCGCCTTGGTTTGTCTCTCTGCGCCAATCCCGGATCCTGTAGCAATGAAAAGCCCAGACAGCCATCTATTACAAGCAGGCTTCTCATTCAACATAGCCAAGTCCCATGGAACAATTCCATCCTGCATTCTTTATTTATTGGCTTCCCGGGATTTTTGATTGGCCACTTGATGAACCGCAGTTCCTCTCCAGACCTAGCAATGGCGGGGTAAAGTATCCATATATAAGCGGAAATGTCGGAATAAGGAATCGAAGCCGCCTGCCCCTCTTGGTGCCTCTTGGTGCCATCCGATTCAAGCCGCTCTCATGAGCAGTAACTAGGCATGACTTACCTCCGACAAATCCCAATTCCGAAAACCCAATTTCTGCTACGAATACCTCTAAGACTCCGTTTCCCCTTTTTCTGCTATAAATAAGATTGCCAGGAACTTCTTTTCTTGCCAGCCCATTCGCCATTCCAACCCCAAATCTCATCTCCAACAGTACCTTCACAATGGCCGAGCGTGTCCACCGAGTTACCCTGTTCAAGCTGCCCAAGCCCGAGGATGTCGACAGGTTGATTGAGCAGTACAAAATTCTCGAGGCTACACACCAAAAGGTTCGTCCAATTCGGTCAACAGTTGAGGTTCTTGTCTTGATAGACATGCTTACTGATCACTCCCTCGCAGAACGGCAAGCCGTACTTGCAATCCGTCGTCATCGGCAAGCCTGAGGCTGACCCTCGGGCTCAAGGCTATACCTTGTGCGCCAAGACTGAATTCGCCAGCGCCGAAGATATGAAGTACTATGATGAGGAGTGTGAGGCTCACAAGACGCTCAAGGGCGTCGCCAAATCTCTCACGCTGGAGGGCGCAATGAGCGTCTACTTTACACCCACCATCTACAAGCCCAACATCTCGCAATAAGGAGCCATTATGGAAATTATTAACATCACTGAATATATTCATCAATTTGAAGATCAAATATGTTTTGTTGAACTTGCGCCTTTGTCATTTTACGACTCCACTAGCGCATAGCATTGCTTCAGTAGACAGACCCTCTATCTTTTCACAACTTCCTCAGCACTTTCGGTGTTCTCGACAGGCGCCGGCTGCCTTTGAACCGCACCTCATCGACCTAAACAATGGGTCTGTGCCTAGCGAACTCATAGAGCTCTGTCGAGGAATCGCTGTTCCTACTGGGCCCCATCTTTTCTTTCGGTAATGATGTTAAAATCTCCAGTGAGGGCGGATGCCTCTCCAGAGTGAACAGCGAGACCACCACCATGACTGCGCATATGACTACCATGAGCCTCATATCTTCTGTAAATGCGCCAGAATATACATGCTTCACAATATCCTGTTTCTCGGTAGGAAACTGTAGTGCTGCGACTGGTGACCTGTGTATTTGCGCAAGTTGCTCCGACGACAGCTCTGACTTCAACGATCCATTTACGTGGGCATTGAACACAACGGTACAAACCGACAATCCAATGGCACCACCGAGTACCCTAGCCTGTGCCACAGCCCCTTGAGCAGCTGCCCTTGTCTTTTGCTCGGGAGCTATCAGGTTTGTCATGATAGTCGCAGCTGAGAAACACAGCCCGACTCCCAGTCCGAATACAACCTGGAACACGTACTGGGTTGCCTGAATATTGGACTCAATGATTGCCATGAGCGTTATCCCAAGAAGCTGAATGCATGCCGCTGCAATCAGAGTATAAGAAGTATTGTTTCTCTTGCTCGAGATTGCCCCGCCCAAGAAGGAGCCCGTGGCACATGCCCCAAGCAACGGCAATATGTGAACGCTAGCCATCAAGGCCGACTGGCGCTCAACGATTTGAGATCTCTCGGGAATTGTAATTACTAGAGAGATGTAGGGAAATCCGGTCAGAACGGTGACACTGTCGGCGCTCTTTTGTTAGTACGTGCATGGGACTATCCCGCCGGGCCGGCTTACTCACAGTAGTCCAGCGGAATACACTCGTCGCTGCATAAGCCGTATTGGGAATATTGGCTCGATTCCACGATACATTTTCTTCTCGAGGAGAATTTGCCACATAATAAATAATATCCAACATATTATGGACATTATGAGGGTGACTATAATCTCCGGGCTGTTCCAAGTGTATATCTGCGATCCAGCCTGCTGAACGGCAAACACCAAGAGGCCGGAGCCAGCCAGCAGTGTAATGCTGCCGACGAAGTCAATTTTGATGAATGCGTCCCAAGAAAGCATATTGGCGGCATCTTCAGGCGGCCAGAAACTGGTAATGGCAAGCATTGCCACCAATCCGAAAGGGATGCTGGTGGTTGTTAGTGGCGGCTCACACGCGAGCGACATCTCCGAAACTCACTTCATGTTGAAGAGCCACCGCCAGTCCGAGAACTGCACTACCACGCCGCCAATAATCGGACCCAATACGAACGCAATAGTCAAAGTAGCGCCGACCATTGCGCCGATCAAACTTGGTCTATGAGATGGGCCAACTTCAACCAAGCTAATCTGGGTCAGGCTGTAAAGCCCAGATGCGCCGATGCCTTGGAACCCGCGACAAATTATTCTGTTGTCGAGTTAGTATATCATGAATATTTCAGAGTGGCACTTGTACACATACAGTGCTACCATGCTTTTGGACGAGGCACAGCCCATCGAAAATGCTGTGAAGAGAACCCACGACAGCACGAGCATGTTTCTTCGGCCGTATATGTCACTCAATTTGGATATAACGACTGCAAATCCTGCAAAAAGAACAATTAGATGTATGAGTTCAGTATGCGGCGAATTTGCCTTTACATACCCATGTATGTCAAGAGATAAGCCAGCACGATCCAAGGTGCGTTTGCGAAATCACGCAGTTCTCGCGATATAGTCACCAAGGAGGTGGAGGCTATCGAAGTATCCAGACTAGAGAAAAGAAGCCCCAAAAGGAGACTTTTTACTGATATTTAGCTTAAGCGACCATTTAACATTCAGGGTTTGCGACGTACCATGTCACCAGGACAGTCTGGCTAAGCCGGCTCGTTGAATGCTTCGCAATAACAACTGATTCTTCTTCTGGCTTTGTCAAGGGTTGCTCATCGCTATCTCTTCTTTCGTTTATTGCATTGTTCATCTGGCAGAGGGAGGGGTTTGGATATGTCAACGAGAGACGGAAGCTGTTATCCATTGCGTTTGGCATGATGGCACGAAGGGGACCCAGCTGCTGCTTCGTCTTGGTGTCCGGAGAGATGTCGGCCGGTTATCACTTGGTGTGAAGAAGTATGTACATTTATTTGATAGCAGAGATAAATTGTCAAAGGAGAGCATTGATGATGCTGTGTGATGGGGAAGGAGCGACCGAGGGCAGTCAAGTAAGTACGCATTGGCCCCCCATGCAGCTTCATGCCATCGTCTGTTGGAGCATTTTTAGTCGAGCCTGCCCATTGAGTCTTGATCTGTGGTACAAATACTAGCCTTTCAAAACCTACGTTTCCCGTGTCGCCTCCGTGTGGCAAGTTGGGCTACCAATCAAGGCAGCAAGCACTCACTCCGGAGGCGAAGATGCGGGAGCAGCCCGAGGATAATAGTAGTTAGCGACTGGTGGGTATTGCCCAGCAGAAACAGAACAAACGTTTGGTCCATCTTTGTGATGTTTCTAAATTGACTTGTATTGTGGCTTGTCTATTGTTGGTAGGGGGTTCGTCAAAGACATGCATGTGCATGCGGGATGATTTATCAAGACAAGGAATATGATTGCTCTGCTAGTTAACATGAGAAGAACTCGACGGAGTGTGCGGAGTACGGAGTAGTTGAGTGGGTTGATGATGGATATCATTTTCTTCAGAACAATCAGGTATCGCCCTCGCCATCCCTGTCTCATCCCCTGAATTTCGGATGTCAGTTGCATGATGCGACCGAGGAGGGCCGGCGGTTGTCATGTCATTGGTCCTTGATGTAATCCGTACTTGTTTTCGAGGTCCTTTACCGGTGTATACAGATTACAAGCATCAACTGCATCTCGTGCCTGTTCGCAAACATTGTCGTTTTTTAGCATGGCTTAAGCACCGTTCTGTTTCGCCGATGGCCCAAGCCCCCGTGGCGTGTACCATGTTCCCGTCGCGTCGCCCGTTTAATAAATGGCATGCCATGTGGCACAGCTGCCAAGGCGAGGTGAAGAGATCGCTTGTGGGAGGAAGGACTGGTGACTGGTGTGACAGAATGGTCGATGGCGACGGATTGCAAATGCAGGATGACGAAGCAGTGGCAGTGGTACGTACCAGAGAGAACGGCTTGCTGACATGTCTGGGATGGAACGTGCACGTTTTTGTGTGATGCGTGATTGTGTGATGTGTGATGATGTGCAGCTACCCGTGTGGTACGCGTTCTCGATTGGTCCATGCCTTGGTCTGTACCGGCCAGTATGGCTCTCTCTTGTTCTACTTGGTCGTCACGGCATGTTTGCGCACGTCTTTTCGGAGTTGACAAACCAATACACTAAAAGAAATTAAGCCAAAAATATTTTTTAAAAGAAAAAGGGGAAAAAGAATGAAGGAGATGATGATGATGATGATGATGATGATGATGATGACAATGGGCTTCGATCATGTTTGCTCGGCGTGATACACCTTGCGGAGCGACTCGCGGTCGCAGCTCCATCCAAGTTTACAAGTCTTGCTTGGGTCGACTCTTGTCTTTCTTTTCTTTCTTGTCCTTCTTGTCTTGCTACCGTGTAACCGAAACCCTCCCCTCGTACCAAACGGCCTACGTCGCGGCAACAATACACTCCACACCACCACATGACTTGCAATGCTCAAGATCGATTCACTCCATATCTATGTATATACCCATTAATAAAGAGGTTGTTTTACGGCCTTGTGTTCTCGGAATTGTTTGTCTACAACCTGCATGCACCGTCTGCGGCCCCAGTCACGGCGCGGGTTGTCCTGCGAGCGCATCACCATCAGCTAACCCGAACCCGAGAGCCCGAGAGCCCTGCTTTGTCCACACTTTCGAACCATTCTAATTAGTAACAACTCATGCCCAGCCTGATTCTGTGCTCCCCCGACTTGCACACCGTACTTGCTCACGGGCCCGCGCGCTCTGGGATCTCTCGCCATGTGGCCCCGGTAGGTGGCCAACTGATTGATGTCCGGCCCGCACTGGGGAGTTTCAAGTTCCCAAGATTAGACGGCTAAATGAGCATATCGGCATCTGCTTTGTTTGCTACTCAGTTTCAGTTGTCTTTATACCTCACTAAAAGTCCGGGTCATGCTGAAGATTAGCCTCATCGTGTGTCCGCTTAACCAGCTCTGGGGAATCTTGCGAGAAGAGCCGCGGCCCTTCCGCTTTTCTACGTTGATAACATACTCGCCCAGTAACCACGGGATTGTAAACCTCTGTATTTTTCAGGTGTTAATTAATCAATTAATGAGTAACAGGTTTCTTCAACGCAGTTCTTCGAGGCGCATCCGTTGACATGGCATGCTTGCTGTATGACCGAGACGGCGGGCAAGCGCCGATATATCCATTCATGGTCTCTTCCCGTCCGTCCGCAGCGACTCTCGATCGAGTCATTGCCTCTTTGTTCACTTTTAATATTGTTTCTCAGGACCAACCCTTGTCGGCATCGGATCCGCCTCGTCCTTGTCTTGGCTCGGAGTTTTGGATACGGCAGGCGACATCCCCATCCTGCGCGGCGGTATTTCCACGACGCCTCCATCGGTCCGCTCACCCAACCCGGTAATTTATGCAGGCATCACATCTTAAGTGCTCGCTTTTGGTCGAAGTTGATGATAGCACAGTCAACTACCCCGTGCCGGCTTCTGCTGATACTCTTGCTTGAGCTCCGCTCCCTCCTTGGGGCTCTTCCTAATCACGGCATAACGGACCAGCAGCCCGAGACCCTGAAAAGAAAAAGAAGTGGCAGCCCTTTTACGTTGGCTAATATTCATTCTTAAACCCTCTTCTTTTCCCTTCAGCACTTTCGCTTTCTCATATTTGCCCTGTTCTTTACTCAACATCGTGGCGTGTCCGTCTTCATCATGGATGACATTGCTGTAATAGGGCTGGGACTTCGGTTTCCTGGTGACGCCTCATCTCCACAGTCTCTATGGAAGATATTAGAGCATGGAGAATCTCAGTGGTCAGAGATTCCAAAGGACAGACTGAACATCAATGGCTATCATCACCCTGGTGGTGAGCGCCAAGGATCTGTAAGTTCCCCTCATCGTAAGAAGCAGCCTCCCAAACGACAGGGCTAACTCACTACCAGATTTCTTTTAAGGGAGCTCATTTCCTCAAAGGAAATGTTGCAGAATTCGATGCTTCGGCAAGTAGACAATTTACCATTATCAGTGTGTCCCCACGACTAATCCAAGCTGCCAGTTCTTCTCCATCGCGGCCGCCGATGCAAAGGCGATTGACCCGCAACAACGCTTGCTTCTAGAAGTATGCTACGAAGCTCTTGAAAATGGTATGCAGCTCATACTCCCTCCACCTTTGCTGGGATACTTTTTCCTGATTATTTTTCTTTAGCTGGCTGCACAACAGAAGATATTGACGGTACCGACACCTCCGTTTATGTCGGGTCGTTCGTCAAAGGTACGAGTCCTCCTCCAACGAAGGTTTTCAAGATCAAGTCCTAATTCGACCACCTAGATTATGAGCAAATCTGCTTGCGTGATCCAGATTGGCAACCTCAGTATGCAGCTACCGGCAACGGCATTGCCATCATGGCAAACCGCATTTCTTATTATTTCAACCTTCATGGTCCAAGCATGACCATCGACACGGGCTGTAGCGGAAGTCTCGTGTCTGTTCACTTGGCTGCGCAAAGCTTGCGTTCTGGTGAATCATCTCTAGTATGAATTTCTTTTCCTTTTCACTTTTTTTTGTTTGCTTTCGGGTTTATCTCTGTTATAAATGCTGACTTCCCTAGGCGATCGCTGCTGGTGCTGGTCTGATTCTGACACCGAACACGATTATGCCAATGACAGCACTCAGCTTTCTAAGCCCAGACGGCAAGTGCTTTACCTTTGACGCTCGGGCAAATGGCTACGGACGCGGCGAAGGCGTCGGCGTTGTCATCTTGAAGCGTCTTTCGGATGCTATCAGGGACAATGACACTATTCGAGCTGTCATTCGCGGCACACACGTGAATCAAGACGGGCGAACTCCTGGTGAGTGCAGGTCGCATGCAATTAAATATCTTTACATATACCAACTACTTTGCAGGTATCACTCTTCCGAGTAAAGAAGCACAGGTGGCCAACATCAGGTCTGTCTACTCCGCTGCTGGGCTTTCCTTCTCCGATACTGCTTACGTCGAGTGCCACGGAACAGGCACACAGGCAGGCGACTGGCGCGAGCTAAAGGCCATCTCGGAAACACTCGGAGCATCTCGTACTACAGATAATCCCATATTTGTCGGATCTGTGAAGCCAAATATAGGACATCTGGAAGGCGCCGCTGGCGTGGCTGGTTTGATCAAAGCTGTGCTCATGCTGGAGCGAGAGCGGATCCCCCCTCACGTCAATTTTGAGACGCCAAATCCTGATATAGATTTCAGGGAATGGAAAGTCAAGGTGGACATTTCCTTTGCATTGCATATCTTGGTCTGAGGCTTACATGCATTTCTTTATCAGGTTTCTCGAGCGGCAACGGCCTGGCCCTCCAACTTGAAAAAGCGGGTCAGCGTCAACTGCTTTGGCTTTGGCGGCACAAACGCACACGTAAGTGACTGACACTCTTCGAATTCTTCTCCATCAGTTACTACTACATAAAATTGAGGCTAAAATTCCACACCACTCAGGTCATCTTGGACGGAGCCGCCGAGTATCTCCAGACGAAACAGCTTGTTGCCCACCACGCCTCGGCAAGTCCCCGAGCCAACAACGGCTTGCCACTGCGAAATGGATCGCTGCAAAATGCATCTTCTCACTCAAAGCACCAGGGGCTGGGTCAAGAAAATTGGCAGATCTTTTGCTATTCTTCCCATGAGCGCTCCGGTATGGAGAGATTGGTGTCCCAGCATGCCTCGATGCTTCGCGAATCAGACAATCTCGCCGACGACTTCTTGACAAACTACGCCTACACGCTGGGATGCCGCCGTTCACGTCTTGAATGGAGATCATTCTTTCTGTCTGACTCGATTTCGAACTTGGCTGAGCAGATGGGCCAGCCACAGCACTCGGTAATACGATCTACCAGGCAGGCATCTCCACGGCTCTGTTTCTTGTTCTGCGGTCAAGGCGCTCAATGGGCACGCATGGGCCTGGATCTGAGGCCGTTTCCCGTCTTCTGGAATAGCATCAATTCTGCGGCCTGGTACTTGAAAACAATTTTGGGGTCTCCTTTTGATCTTATAGAGGAAATTTCCAAGGATACCCAAGACTCTGCGATATCCAGCACTCGCATCTCGCAGCCAGCAACCACCGTGATCCAGATTGCCATCGTGGATTTACTACAATCATTGGGGATCGAGCCCGATTTTGTTGTTGGACACTCATCAGGTGAGATCGCAGCTGCCTACGCATCCGGCGCCCTTTCTCGTGAAGAGGCATGGGAAGTCGCTTATTATCGTGGGCTCGCTTCATCGACATTGCAAAGCAGGCGTCCGGGATTTCGGGGTGGCATGATTGCAGTGTTCATGAGTTTGGACCAAGCAACCTCGTACATCCACACATTTTCCGATCCTCTCGAAATAGCGTGTGTCAATAGCCCAAGCTCTATTACCCTCTCCGGAAGGCGTGAGACGATTGAGCATGCCTCCCGCGACCTTGCCGCAAAGAACATTCGCCAGCACGTCCTCCCGGTTGACATGGCCTATCATTCTACTCACATGAAGAATGTTGAGGACCATTATGTGCACAACATCAACTGCATCTCACCAAGACCCAGTCGAAAGGCCGTGCGGATGTTTTCGTCCGTGTCTGGCTGTGAGATACAGGGTTCCAGCCTCGATGCTGGCTATTGGGGCAGGAACATGGTGTCTACGGTGCAGTTTTCCTCGGCCATAGAGTCACTGATGGCTCTTCCAGAGGACCAACAGCCGTCTACATTCATTGAGATGGGACCATCGGCTGTTCTACGAACTCTAGTTCTGAATACTCTTGGAATACGTGTCAAGCCCGAGCAGATTCTCAGCGCACTAGACAAGCGTCGTCCCGGCGTGGCCTCGATCCTCAATGTTGCCGGCGGTTTATGGTCAGCTGGCCATGAGGTCAATATCAAGAGCGCTATATCTCGCCGATTTGGACAGGGCCGGCCCAGATGCCTAACAAATCTACCGTCATATCCCTGGAACCACACCAAGTCCTACTGGCATGAGTCCCATCTCAGTCTAGCCAACAGATTTCGAGAATATGGCCGCTTAGACCTCATTGGAGCACCTACTGCAGATTCCGTCTCTTTTGAGCCTCGGTGGCGCGGGTTTCTCAGAATTTCTGAAAACCCTTGGATCCAAGATCATCAGCTTCAGAAGACGGTCATCTACCCCGCCGCCGGCATGATCTCTATGGTCCTCGAGGGAGCCCGGCAACTGAAACGGGGCTTTGAACATCTCATAGGCTACGAGATTCGTGACATGTGCTTCGAGAAAGCGATTGTTGTGCCAGACACTGCGCACGGCGTTGAGATGGCGCTGAATATGAGAGCAGAAACCGACGCAGGGAATCAGCGTCTCCCAAATGGCCATTTTACATTTTCCATTTATACCAAGGCCTTGGAGAAAGAATGGGAGCGGCATGCGACGGGAAATCTGCACTTTTGCTGTCAATCGCAGGATAGGGAGGCGCTCCTTGCCGCTTTCCACAACCAACACGGCCAAGTGAGCGAGGCGTGCACCGCATCAGTCAACCCGAGACAAATGTACGAGCACTTGGATAGCGCTGGCATCTCCTACGGCCCAACCTTTCGAAACATTCTCGAGGTCAAGAAAGGGTCTGACCGTTGCATCAGCAGGATTCGCGTCCCAGACACCAGATCGAAGATGCCAGCCAACTTCGAGCACCCACACCTGCTTCATCCTGCAACCCTGGATTCAATGTTCCAGACGCTATTTGCTCTAGACCCGGTACCCAAAATCCCTTGCTCGGTTCAGAGTATATTTGTCTCCGATAAGCTGGATATGAACACCAGCCAAGAGTTTGTCGGCCACGCCGTTGCCAAACAACAGCAGCGCAACGAGGCCGTAGCGCAGATCTCAATGTGTTGCACGGATAGACCACTGGATCAAATCATCATAAAGGGGCTTCGCTTTAGTGGAAATCTCTTTGCCACGTCTCGTCAGTCTTCCTTCCTCCCAAACTATCGAAATTTAGCCACCGAGATAGTGTGGCGGGAGCACTGCGACACCGCACAGTTCAAGTCTTTGAGGCATGCGATTTCGTTGCTCTGCCACAAGAACCCCAGGCTTTCTATCCTCCAAATTGGAGGCGAACTGTCACTTGCGCAGTGTGCCTTGCTGGCGGCTTCGGAGAATGCAGACCAGCCGATACGTCTTGGGAGGTACTCTTTCATCGATCAAAAGCAGTCCAGCCTGGACTTCAATGATGTCAATACAGCTCCATACAGCAGATATCTGGAGCAGATTCCAGACATGGCTCTCGTTCAGTCCAAATACGATCTCATACTGTTCAATGGGTGCGCCGAGGACGAGCTCAACGAAGCTGAACGCTTCTTAAAGCCCGACGGCATAATGCTCCAATCGATTGCAGTTGGTAGCGGAATTGAAACGCCAAGCGGCAACAATACCACCTCCAAGTTTGACCTTGGTTGGAGCCGGTGTGATCTGCAAACTGAGTGGCGTCGGCGCACTGGGACGCCATGTGCTCTGGAGATGGATGAAAGCTCAGGACCAATTCTGCGCAGAATCTCTACTCGCGGTCAAGGGCTACACTTGCCACAGAGTGTTGTTCTTCTCTTTCCTTCTACCATCACTGAAGAGGCATCTATTTTCGAGGCACAATTTGGCGAGTATGCTGCCGTAAACTTTCCAGCGACCACTCTCTCTGCTCAACAGCTATCAGATGCAGCACGCCGTGGTTCATTTCAGGCCGAAGCGCTCTATATTTCCCTTGTCGATGTTTTTTCAGAAAAAGCCACGGAGGGATGCATTTTCAATTGGAGTGAGGCAGATTTCAATGCCTTCCACCTTCTACAGCGCACCGTCAAGACAATTGTTTGGATTACTAGGGGAGCTGGCATGATACCAACTGCCCCCCGCGCCTCGCCGATTATTGGTCTTCTGAGAACCCTCATGTCTGAGGACCTGCAAAAGAAATTTGCTACATTCAACTTAAGCCAAGAATCTTCGTTGTCTGCGCCGAAAACTCTGGACATGCTTGTCACCGTCTGCCGCAGCATGACAGACCCTACTCTCAGCGCCGGGGCTTGTGAGGTGGACTTTGCAGAGAGCGGCGGTGCCTTATTCATCCCAAGATTAGAAACCTTGAGCACTTTAAACAACTTTATCGAGAAGGGCGATAGACTCAATAGCATCGTGGAAGGGAGCTTTCGGACTACGGAAAGTGAGGCCGGCCGTCAAATTGTACTCGAGTCATCTCTCCACCAGCAGGACTCACCACCAGAACTAGACTCGCCCTTTTGTTTCAGAGAGGTTGACATGGGTGAATTAGGCCCCCAAGACATTGCTATTTCATTCGAGTCCGCCATCTTGGTGGATGGGAACCCTGGTGCCACGGGTCAAGAGGCTCGCAAATGGCAAAGCTATGATGTTGCTGGCTACGTCTCTGCTACAGGGAAGGACATAGAAGATTACACAATAGGCGACAAAGTGATGGCTTTGGTTCCGGGAGGCAACGGTTTGCGGACCACAGTCCGAGTTGACGCGGCGCTGGTCATGCCTCACAAGCCTGGGTTCGTGCCTAGCCATTTCCTCTCTGCATACTATGCGCTCTTCGACATTGGCAAAATTCGGAAAGGAAAGAGCATTTTGATCCATGCTGGCGCAAGTGGCTTCGGTCTGGCCGCCAGCGAACTCGCCCTCATGTCTGGAGCCGTTGTCTTGGCCACAGTCAGGGGCCCACAACCCGACAGGCAAAGAGATATCTTGCAAAAGCGCGGCATTAGGCATGATCATATCCTCGATGGTAACCATGACAGCTATCCCTCTCTTGTCAGGCTTCTCACCAGAGGTCGGGGAGTTGACCTCGTCTATAACCCTACGCACATGGATACCCAGCTCTCGGTTGCATGCGTTCGTCAATGTAAGTTCAACAAGTGTACACACATCTCGAACATTGCTAACAGAATCAGGCGGGACAGTTGTTCACTTCATTAACTCTTCGGAGGACTCCTCTCCTGTTAATGCGCCTGGAATGCCGGTGACCATGGTTGGCTTTGATCTAGCCACTTTGCTCCTCGCGGATTTGGATCATGCGACAGAGATGATTGGTGCGCTAAATGACTTCGCCGCAAGTACATCCTTGGAGTGGATGTCGGACTTCACTCTCCAGCAGCAGTTCGATATATCTCAACTGCCAGACGCACTGGAAGCCGTCGATGAATCTCCTCACATCGGGTCTGTGTGTGTGACTGCGGAAATGGCTCAAGAATGTGCAAGCCCAGTTCAAATTCTTCAACAAAAATCTTCAATGTCTCTGAGCGGTTTCATACACGACGACGCAACATATGTCTTAGTTGGAGGGTTAGGAGGACTTGGAAGAAGTATTGCTGAGCTGCTCACCGCTAACGGGGCAAAGAATATCGCCTTTCTTAGCAGATCCGGAGCATCATCCTCGACATCGACAGAGTTCTTGCAGTGGCTTTCTGAACAAGGGGTGACGGCCAAGGCGTTTTCCATTGACATATGCGACCAGGCGGCTCTTGAGCATCTTCTCAAAGCCACTGTTTCTGCAACCATGCCGCCAATTGCTGGCGTGTTCCACTGCGCAGCTGTGATCAAGGATGCCGTCTTCGACAACATGACATATGAAAACTGGAATGCCGGGTTCAAGCCAAAGGCTTTGGGGGCAGACAACCTCGTCAAAGCAGTGGATGCAGTCGCCGACGACCCCTTCTACGTGTTTCTGGCAAGCTCTGCGGGTGTCATCGGCACGCGCGGACAGGCAAACTACTCGGCCGGCAACGCCTTCCTAGACGCCCTGGCCGGGAACTTGCGTATTCGCGGCAAGAGAGCCACGTCTCTCGACCTAGGCCCCATTCTCGGCGCGGGCATGCTGGCAGAGGACGAGGCCCTGCTTGACATCCTGCGGGCGAGCGGGTTTTACGGCATTCGACATGCCGACTTCCTTACCGTGATCAAGCACGCCATCACCGGGGAGACATTCCAAGGCGTGCCACTGCCGTCGCAAATCGTTCTCGGCGTCGGCACCGGCGGGTTGATGCTGCAGAACCAGCCCGCAGACCCGTACTGGTCGCGCACGGCCATGTACTCGTACCTGAACATCGTCGACGTTCCGGAGCCAAACCTGGACGCTCCTGCAGCCACGCCCTCTCTGGGCATCAAGGCTGAGCTGATGAGTTGCGGGGATGCCGAGGCTGCCGCCAGCATTGTCTGCGGTGGCCTGTCGAGCATGCTGGCCAAGTCGATGAACATGGCCGCAGAGGAGATCGACCCATCCCGGACCCCAAGCGCGTACGGGGTCGACTCCCTGGTCGCCGTAGGTGTTCGGAACTGGGTGTCCGGGAATTGCGGAGTGGACGTCTCTGTTTTTGAAATCATGAGCGATTTGACCGTTCTCGAGTTGTCCAGGTTGGTGGTCCAGACTGGCAAGTTCGGGTTGCGAGCCCAAAAGCCATAGGGAAATAGATAGTGCACGATGAATCAATCAACTCTACTTTCGAGTAACATTTTCGTCTAAAAAGAAATCCAACTACAATGGTGAAGCACAAAGACAAAGGTCGGGCAACAGCAAAAATTATGGGCGGAGCAAAAATGCGTGATCTGGGAATCGAACCCAGGGCTCCCCGACGTTGCTGATGGCAACGGAGAATTTTACCACTAAACCAATCACGCTTGTGATCAACTGATACATACCTTAACCGTATTTAAATTCATATAATGTATCAGATGCAGACCCCCAAACTTGAATAATAGTTTCGATTTGAACTTTCCACTCCATGAGGGCTACCTTGAGTTCACATACTACTTGACTTGAGTATTATCGCTATATTTGCATATTTACTAGTAAATTTCAGCCCATCCTCTAGTCGGTAGGGTTGTTCAAGGCTACAGGTTCCTGTTCTGGATCCCATACAGCCTCGACCACACTCATGCGACAGCCTTCTACTCTTGTAACACCCTGCCGCAAGTTAGTCTGAGTTTGAGTAATTACTGCACGCTACTAGGCTCACCCGGAATTTAAAACGCGGATCCGCAGCAGCAAATAGTGCCTTGAACTCATCCTCGTCACGCTCCTGGGCATTCAACAGAGTGAGCATGATCATGTCCATGCCCCTAATCAGCTTCTCATCCCAAGGATTCTCCGTGCCAGGCAGTCGCAAGCAATGATCATTGATCACAATTCGCGCTCCAGGCTTCAAAGATGGTATCAGGTTTCTGAGAATGCTAATCGCATATGGCGTTGAGTAATTATGGATGATCCAGCGGAAAAAGTACACTTTCATTCAAATGCGTCAGCCAATTCGGACAGCTTACTGACAGGTGCATGGATGACTCACCGTCCGCTCCTTTGACGGGTTGTTCGGTAAAGAAATCGTGAGCTTGCATCGTTATTCTGCTTGCGACAGACTCGTCCTCGGCGATGGGACTTGGGGCGCTGTCAACGGTTTTCGGTAAATCCTGGACGATGAACTTGATGTTCTTCCACTTCTTTGCCAGATCCACGCTAACAAAGCCATGGCTACCACCAACATCAACGAATGTTCCGTTGCTTTTGTCGATTTCCGAGAGATCATAATTGTCGACAAAATACTTGACTTCGTAACCTTCGCCCCCGGTGAGGCTAGCCATAGCGGCGCCCATTCTTTTCGCGGCCTTTGGGTTCTTTCCGAATGTCACAAACATGGGTTCCTTGTCGATGGTGTCAAAGGCGAAATTGAAGCCGGTTGTGGTGAGCGAGGTCGCCTCGGGATACGCTTTAAGAGACTTTAGCACGTTCGCCGATGCTGGAAAAATGTCTTCCGAGTTGAAGCCTATCCAGTTTTGCAGTGCCGTATCTTGGGCGAGGCAGCGAGACAAAGCAGTATGCGCAATGAGCCCTGGGGTCGGCTCGCAGAAAATATGATTTGTCATTGCATGCCGCATGATTCGAGCGAGATTTATCGCGTCCAGAGAAGTCTTAGACTGCAGTTCGGCAAAGGAGACGGTGCCCGAGGCAGGCACGAGAGTAGCTACGCTGACGTTAGACTGCTGGCATCTTCGTAGTTGAAATCTTGCAATACCTACCGATATCATAATGATTGATAATCTGCAGAGTCAACGAATCCAAGAACTGTGCAATGTAAGTGCAAGTCGCGTGAGACACACAAAAGCTATCAACTTACTCCCCAGACACCCCATCTCACACTCTCACGCGGGCCGCGAACTAAAGTTGAGAGCTCGCTAGCAGCAAAAATGATTTCTTGGCGGCTCTTTTGAATATGAGCAGGGAGCTTCGGAAAGTCTTCGGGAGCATCTGCGTCAAATGACGGTGGCGCAATGCCTTGGCTCTTGCAAAAGCTGTCGAGTTTATTGGACTCTTCGCTGATGATTTTTGCAAGATGAATCATACGAGAATCGACTGATGTGTCAGGCTTCGTCTCTGTTGCCGAATTGGATTCGATGTCCGATTCCTTGACGCCTACGCGGCTGTCGTTTTCTCGCTTTGATTTGAGATTTGTGATCCCCGAGAAAGATCGCCGATTGAGCTTCTTTTCCTCTGTCGTGGCCGACCGTGACGACACGGCACTTGAGCCTTGGATCCAAGACTTAAACTTCCCCATTTCCAGCAAGTACAAGGATGAGATTTGTCTGTTTCTTTAACGAGGGGAGTATCTAAGTCTGGTAGAGGTCAGCAACGCAATCGGGAACATGAATTGGAGCTGCATTGGGGTGGCGTTATGGGCATCGGTAGCATGAGACAATGACAGGCAAGAATTAACAGAGTTCAAGGAGAAAGGGTGACGCTGGTGGCAGGCAGGACGGGCAAGCCGTAGTCTAGTGTCTTGCATCATGGAGTCGGTAGCCCATGCAGTCGCGATAGGAGGAGAATCGTTCAGCAGCTTCGAGTTCTAGTCTCTACCTGGTTGTCCATGTTGACGTGAAGAGGAGAGACTCGCAAGATCCTCTTCAGCAAGCAACCCAACTTGGATAGCTACCGAGTAAGTAATCGGTAGATTGCTGCTTTGAGCATATGCGTGCCGAGCTGTGCTCCTTGGAGACGCCAGGGATTGGCAGTACACCCCGAGCTGGATCAGTAAGGCAGCTCGGACGTCGTGCAGAGCGGCGGCGGCGGCATCCCCGGTGAAATGGGAAGAATCACAGGGCCAAAAAAAAAAAAGGTAGGAGGATGGTTTTGATGCAGTATGAGGTGATGATTTCCTACATTTGCGGTTGGCAGTACCTTGCGGAAATGCTGATGAAGGCCAAGCGATTTGACGGGAGGGAAGTGATGCATAAACGGCCTCGGAGCGCCCTCTGCTGGGGTGTAGCAAGGTTCAATGGCAGTCCAGAAGCATGTATTGGTCCGAGAGCAAGGCGATGTAAAGCAACAATTCGGCAGAGAATCGTACCGCTGCGGGATCGAGTATGGAGAGCGTAAATAGAAGAGGTGCAGCTCCTTTGGTGTCATATTGTGTTAACGTGGTAGCTGAGGTAGCAAGGCACTAGTTGCCTACATAACTATGGACAGGATGGGGGGGGTTGCTGTACCTCCTGGGTAGGCAGGTAGGCAGGTTGCAGGACAAAGCGCTCAGGAGCTGCATCCATTGAAAGTGGCGCCACTGCTTATTTCACCCGAGGCGGCGGGACAGCTCGGCGGTGGAGGGTATGTAGCGGTACTATTGAATCATCAACTAACCTAACTTGCCTCCCTGTGCTCTGGCTAACGAGTGGCAGCAGTAACTAGTTTAGTACATAGTACTATGTGTAGTGCCGCTGGTGCTAACTAGTCAAGGTAACTCGGCAACTACAAACATAAGGTAGGTATAGTACCTATCTAGGTACGGATTGTTTTAGTCGGGTTAATCGTCCCCGCTGGCGCAAATATATATCCAGTTTTCGTGAGGAGACGTGTCTGCAAGAGCCACTAAAGAGGCGTGGCCTTGCTCCTTCTTGGCTGCCTTTTGTGTCGCGCGCAAGCTCACAGAGAAGCCTTCCTCCCACATGGCGGCCCCTAACTAATTATAATAGCAAATGACAACAAATTACCCCCACCGCTCCAATGCACTGCAACGCTGGGCGGTGCAGCCAACATCCTGCCGGCTTCTTCACCGTGCTGCGGACAAGCAAGACCCCATCCCATCCCGTGCGTGGCATTCATGCGCAGCAAGGCCGGCTGGCTGGGCCATTGTCACTTCACCACCACACCAAACCAGCCAGCCTCGCCTGGCGGCAGTTCAGGCTCGGCCGGGCGTATGTAGGGTCTCAGCAATGGCCGGACCAGCCCGGCTCCGCGCAACTTGGAATCTGGAAAGGCCACATGGACCAATTATGACAGGTCAGTCAGACAGTCAGGCTCCCACACTTCCAGCCCCCCCGCGCGTTGGCTTGCATGCAAGGGCGGCGCCCCGGCAGTTTCTGTCCCAATGGCGTGGACACTTTCGCCATTGGACCATGTGTCTGGTCTTTCATGATTGGCTCGTCCAGTGTCCTGCAGGTTACCCTCATGTATAATACCATAATCCGGTATAGTCATGTCTTGCTTTGTCCTTTCTTTTCTTTTCCTCGCCCTAGTCACCCTGTGCCTTCTCAGCCGCGAACCAGACGATTTCTCTGCCTGGGCTCTGTAAATTCCGCGCATTTGGCGCTGTAAAATTGGTATCAGTGCCGACTAGCCCCGTCGTGGTGTCCCCAGAAGATACCTTCTCTATACTCCGTGTTTGCTATGTAACTTATACCTCCCCGCTGATGAGACGCACGCCGCCAACTTCCCCTGCCTCCGAAACTCAGGGTTGGATATACTGGAAAGCCAATAACCGGACAACAATCTCGGTAGCTACCTCAATAACCACCCACCCATCATTTCTACGTGCAATCTTCGTTAACCCATATCGCCTGATAGCCCAAGGAGATTAGACGTCTTCCAAGACAGCCACCGCAATCCAAGACACTCCAAGACAGGAACTGAGATCAAGTTTATATCGACGCTGCTAAAAGTACAGACAAACAACGGCGGCAGGAAAAAAATAGAACAATAATAGAAATCAAAATCCAAGCAAGACTCAGTACGTAACGAACATGGTATCCGCGGATTCCCTGCTGATTACCCCGTACGCAATGCGACAAGTCAATCATCCCCCATCATAAATGCTCCCAAACCAGTGTCCGAGCCTCCATAAACACCGATTTTCAACGCCCTGATAAAAGAAATACAGCATTGTTTTTATAGTCGGCAATTCTATTCAACAGCCTTGACGCAGTGCGACGGCCCCTTGTGCCTCTCGAGTACTTCCCTTAGCCTTCATCCCATATTATCTGGCTTCTGTGCATATATGATGTGAAGAGGCATGTACATGAGTGCGGCGTTGTCGTGGTAGGCTGTCCTAACACCGGCCAGAAAAACCTCTACCTCTTCACGATTCCAGTTCAATCCGCGCATCATTGGTCCAAGAGCGATTGCTTGCAAGCCATCTAGAAGAATTGTGCGCCAATACAGTCCGACCGTCTTAAGGACCTTGTTTTTTGGCCACGTACCGATTGGCACGTGGAAAACGCGCTCCGTCACATTCACGTAGCCTGCTTCTTGCAGCATCTTGGTCAGCTGGCCGCCTGAAGAAATGTTGAGATCCACGCCAAGCTTTCCCAGCCCAGCACTAACGTGAGACCAGAATTGCGCGACTTGGTGGGTTTCCGGCAAGTCTTGCTCAGCATTGGCACTTCGGGGTGAATGGTGAATTTCTTGCAATTCTATCCAGCCTCCAGGTTTGAGATGCCTTGAAGAGGTGTTTTAGTATAGTGATTCTATAAAGAAGTGGCAAAACACTTACTCCAATGCTCGACGGAAGAGTCGCATCCAGTCCTTCAAAGCCATGACCGTGTGTCGGGAGTGAATGTAGTCGAAGTGATTCCGAGGGTAAAGCCAAGGAGACTCGGCATCATCGACAATAAATCTAACGTTGGGCGGTAGCCAATCAGGCTGGATTGGGGAAAGATCTATTCCAAGAACGCTGGCACTTGGAAATTGATCGCCCACTGAACGAGCAAGCCAATCGATGTCAGCTTCTGTTTGTTGCATTTTAGCCGGGAACCTAGGGGACTCACTTTCAATGACCCAAATTCCGGTTCCAGTGCCAATATCCAAAATCTGCTGTGGGTTATCTCCAATCGGGGCAAAGAACAGCTTCTGGCCACAGAGAAGCTTTACCATGGCATGCTTCATATCTTCTCTTTCCTGTTCCACGTCATCATTGGGGAAGTTGTAGGCTCCCTCGCGGAAGCGATGGTAGCGGCGACCATTTTCATACATGTAATCCCGGACGGACGATTCTGCAGAAGTACTGCCAGAGCTGAACCCTTCGCTTGCGTATCCTCCGTCTGACGCATCGTCTCGGAAGTCCTGCGATGCGTCTTCAGCAACAATTGAGTCCTCCGCCTGGGTGAAGGCTTCCCATGACATTTGTTCTTGTTCCGTCGCCGAGAGTGATGGAAACATATTTACACCATTCGGATGGGTAAGAGGCGACACTAGAAGTGATTCTGGTCTACCACTTGCCTGCGAACGCCCAGTCTCTGACAGTGTTTCTGCGGTTGCAGCCGAATCTTCCTCAGACGCTGCGCGTTGGTTCGAGTCTGTTTTTTGGCCCTTATCTTGTGTTTCATGGTGTTCCACTGTGTCACTGGGCTCCTTGCTCGTTGGGTGACTCGCAGTTGTAGAGTCGAGGGTACAGTCGGGAGCTTTGACATGTTCACGATTCGCTTCAGTGCCCAATAATGTCCCTTCTGCGCCTTTGATTATGCCTTGGGCCGCACCGGTTCTGGCTCCAGATACTGCTGTCGACGTGTCCTCGGTGGAGGACTCGTGTTTTGGGGGCATGTCGATAGTGGACGTCCGTCCACCGCCACCATTGCTCGTTCCCTCCAGAATATCCATTGATACTTGGTTTGTTGTGTCGGTCTTTTGGATGTCGTTTTTCAGATCCATCTCCGTGAGTGATGACGTTTTAACGAATTATTCCCGGCTTTCGTTATCCACACCACAAAGATAGTGAAGAATGGCTGATGTCTAGTCACGGTATTCGGTTGTACGGGCACGGTGTAAGTTTATTCGCATGCGCATCGGCAGCACATTGTCGTGCTGGTCGTATTTGCTTATCGCGGCGCAATTGTGCCGAAGACTAGGAGTCCTTTAGCACGACAGAAGGCGGCCAATGCTGGCGACAAAGCATACCAGATGTGTAGGCGCAGTAATTATGTCGAGATCATTCGAATGCACGCAGTCTCCCAGTGTTGCGCAGCGCCGGTACGATGCAAAGCAAAGAAAGACGAAAGAAACCTTTCCTGGTGGTAGTGGAGAGAATGTTCGGAGTGAGAAGTGAAGGGACGGCAGGTCGTAGTTTCGTGAGGAGTGCTGTCGGACGAGTGATGAGAGCTGCTCCATTATCCCGAGGGTCAGCCTTGGAGTTCTCGGGGGCCGCTTGTGGGTCACGCCTGGAGCTCCGCCAACCTCCATTCTAGATAAACTCGCTAAGCTCCCTACTACGCAAGGTACCTGCTAACATCTTGAGTCCGCTCTCGCAGGTACCAAACGACCGCATCGCTATCAGCAGGTAGTCATTTGCTTGGACCTTCCAATTATCAGTCTCCCATGGCTTCTTACATTCCCATCCTCCCCTTATGCAGAGGGATAAGGAACCCTCCATGCCCTGCACTGGTACAATTCCACCCCGAGCGTCTGCAACCCCCTTACTTTGGGTAGGCTAGGCGGTTTGGGCGTGATTCATGTGTGCAATCAGCAATCCTCAATCATCTGTTATTCGGCTGTCAGTTATTCAGTGTGACAAACTGTTTAGTTTCCACCTGCTTCTAGATCTGACGATGTGGCGGCGAGCCGAACAATATCGGCTTTAGAACACTTGGCCCATATAAAGCAACATACAGGTAACAACCCACCTAAAGCGTGCAGTAAACGACTGGGATAGAGGACACATGAGTCTTCCCCTCACGCTTCAATACAGAGTACCTAGGGGACGTCGACTACCTTCATGACTACCTGTCTAGTTAGTAGGTAGATGCGAATTTACGAATGGACGTACATACATACATACATATGAGGTATGTACACACATACCTTATGTATGTACTGTACGTGGGTAACCAGTAACTGCCTAGTAGTAAGGAGGTACTAATAAGGTAGTATGTTGTACATAGGTGTCCGTCAGAGGCAGTGGGCGACCCACCGACCCAAACGAAAAGCAACCTCTCGAAACGGCACAACAGACTGCCTTCGTTAAAAGACTCGTCTCACCACGTGTGACACAGCCCGACTCAAAATGGCACTTGAATTCAAGAAATACTGTGTCGGCTCTGCAGAATTCGAGCCCTCCACTGTGGCCGGTGATGATAGCCTACAGGCCAGAATCGGCGAGCTTCTAAAGGAAGATGACCTTCTCGGTGCCAGCAGGGTGTTGTTTAAGCTCCCGGAGAATGACGGCTACATATACCATGCCACTGCCAGCGTCAGTCTTGCTCAAGTACAGCACATATTACAGCTTGGGGATGTCAATGGGCTGCACGATTGGTATAAAAACATAGATGGGACGCGAGTAAGTCCCCCATGGCGCCGCGCGCGCAGAACGAGCGTCAATTGCTAATCACCCACTGTGCAAAGAGAGATGCACCGTCGCGAGCGGATACAGCCGCGTATACATCAATTTTCGATCCCAAGACAGCAACGCTCTCCGCTCTGAAAAACTTCAAGACCAACGCCAAGAAGGACTCGGTTCGAGCCGAGTGCGCCACCTATCTCGCCGACAAAAGATTCATACACCAGGCTCTGGAATCGAAGCTGAGAATTCCGAAATTAAAGTCCTCGTCAATTTACAACCCGTATTTCCAGTTCTGGGAATGGTCATGCCGCTCATTGCAGTGGTGCGGTCCGTGTGCCTCTTCTGAAAGGGTAGCTACCAGTCATCATGTGCTACCGATTTTTATGCATCATTTCGGCTGCGCGACACCTTCTCATGAGGCTTTACAGACGCTCAAAATCTTGGCAGATGGCCGCAACATTGCTGACATTGGCTCCGGAAACGGGTACTGGAGTTACATGTTGAGAGCATACGGCCTGAAATGTCACCCGGTGGACAACCTGCAAAGTATTTGGCGGGTATCCTGGGTTGACGACACAGCGGTATCAGAAGGTGTCAATTGGCTCAAGCGGCACGAAAATGGCAAGCAGATGGTCCTGCTCCTTGTCTACCCCGTCGTTGGAGGCAGTATCAGTGGTGGCGTACAAGGCGCCTTTACTAGAAACCTAGTCAACGCATACGACGGTGATACCATAGCTGTGGTCGGCACCCAGAATCAAAATGGATATACTGGGTTCAAAGGCTTGACAATGGCCGAATATATGGAGAAAGAGCAGCCGCACTGGATCAAGGTCGTCCAAATACCTCTCCCCAGCTTTGGCGGCAAAGATGAGGCCTTATTCATTTTCCAGAGAGGCGAGCGCGTCTCTTACCTAGAAACAGAGCTCAACCAATAGTATTTAGGTAGGCAAGAGTTCTCTCTATCTCTGTCATCCATACATCCAATGTTTACTTCTTACATTAGTGCGCCGCCGACTGAGTTCGTCTACAGCCATTGTTCTGTAGCACAAGTAAGCATATAGGTACTCAGGTATGTATACATATGTATGTATGTACATAGGTGCGTAGGTACTTATCTACAGGTGGTGAGTCGCACTACCTAGCCAGAAATAGCATTGTAACAGAATATCCGACATCAAAATGGGTGCGCCAATCGCTGACATGCGTCAAGAGTTTTAAACTCGTCATTTGACAGGGAATTATCAACTCAGCACCCCCACCTCCAGCCGCAGGATGATGAATGCTCCAAGGCAACGGCACACGCTGCAGCTAGCTTATTAGCGGCTACTAGCGTTATAAAAGCAAAGCGTTGCTAAGAGGGGGCACACGGCCATCCACTTTCAGCAGCTACGACGTCGCGCTCGTTTTTCGGCATCACCAAGTGCGCAGGAGTTGCGTCCTCTAGCTGATTTCCCGCATCCAGTGCTGAGGAACTGCCCATTTGAACACCGCTACTTCTCCCGGTGAACGCGCCCTTCCAATACCCTCCCTTTCCCGACCCCGCATAGTCCACCCCGCTTGAACAATGTCTCTGGCGGTGCAAGGCGAACGGCACCGCGATAGGTCCAGGTCCAGGTCGCGTGACCGACGACCCAAAGACGAACCTGAGCGAGGGGCAATCTCATATGCAGATATTCGAGGATCAGGCTATGGCTACCCCGGCGATGTTTATGGCGACAGATACGACGATAAATACACACAGCCTGAAAATGAACGGCTCGCGTATCCCTCGGGCAGCAACTTTGAACCGTTAATGTCTGGTGCCCAGCCGGCGTACCAGTACGACGAGAAGCGTTCTTCATATAGAGATAATTATTCTCGGTCAGACTCCCCGGAGTCGAACCACCTTCCCGGATCTTTCCCTGACGAGGACCGGCCTCGCCGAGGCGAGAAGGATGCTCGTCACAAGAGTCGCAAAGAAACCCGTGGGGAAAGAAACTACAGCAAATACGACTATGATTATGATGATAAGCGAGACAACCGCCACTCCGAAGCTAGGCGCGACAGGCAAGACACAATTGAGGCCAGCGACGATCGACTGAAGTATCTTCCACAAAAATACAGTCAGAATTATGATGACAAGGGAGATACTCGAGGAAAAGTCAAACACACGCGACCGGACTTTGAAGATGAAGCCTTGACTTATGGCGGCCCGCCTCCATTTGATGCACGTTCGAGCTCTCCTCCAACGTATGGGAGTTACATTCCCGGGTCAAGCGCCGGTGACAAGCGCAGGTCCAAGTACGAGGACGATTACCATGATAATAGGAGACGTTCGTACAGCCTCGAACCAGAAGATCGGTTGTCTAGGAAGCCAAAGAGCAACTCCTATCGGGAGTACTTGGACGATCCAAGGAGCTCCAAATCGAGCGCTCTGGCCGTGGAATCATCTCAGCGAAAAAGGGATCGCTCAAGGGATGCCAGAAGGCTTGCCTCACCAGGCCCAGCGTTGTTGACAGCCGAACCTGACAAGCATGGACGGGGCAAGTCTCGCGAGAGATCTCGCGACAGGCGGTCATCCGAGCGAGAATCCTCGCCTATGCCACCCACCACCCGGATGTCAACCCTCACAGTCGACACAAATCGTCCCGTCAGCATGTCGCTAGCGGCAGCTCCAGGATCCCCCCTCCTTGAGTCATACCATGGCACCTACCAGGACTGTTCTCCTATGCCATCGCCGCTTCTTCTTGCGTCGCAAGCAGCCAATGAAGCCCCAAACATTGTCGACGCGCTCTCCCCTCTCAACTCTGACGTCGAGGGAGACAGCAGAAAACGCAACCGCAGAGCTCGTTTCCATGACCCAGAAGACATCGCATCACGCTTGGCGCGCGCTTTGAAGGGCGATAGACCGCCTGATACAGAGCCTCTCATTGAGATTCTCCCCAGTTTGTCCCACGATCAAGTGATGGAACTCCGGACGAAGTACAAGCGTATTGTCAAGACAGGCTCCGAGCGCAAGGGAGTTAACATCGCGAAGCATGTTCGAGCGCGACTCAAAGACGAAGATGCCATGCTGATGAAAGCGTGCTACTCCGTTGCCCTCGGAATGTGGGAAAGTGAAGCCTACTGGGCTAATTTCTGGTATCAGGGAGACAAGACGCGGCGCGAACTGCTCATTGAAACGTTGATGGGGCGCACGAACGACGAGGTTCGCCGTATAAAGGATGCATTCACTGATAAGAAATACGACAACAGCCTTACTAAATGCATGAAGACCGAATTGAAGGAGGACAAGTTTAAAAAAGCGGTTCTGACGGTCTTAGAGGAGCGACGGATGGAAGATTATGATCACTATGGCCGTACAGTTCCGCTAGATTATGATTTGGTCGATCGCGATGTGGATGAGCTGAGAAAAGCAGTCAAGGCTGAGAAAGGTGGCGAGACTTTGATGATTGCGATCGTTTTGCAACGCAGCGACACTCATCTCAGAGCTGTTCTGAAGGAATATGAGCGTCACTATAGAGGCAATTTTGCCCGCGAGGCGCTCAAGAAGAGCGGCAATCTTGTGGTAAGTACTTCCATCTTCCGCTATATCTAAGTACCGAACATGGAGGACTAATTTCCCAAGGGCGAACTTCTCGCTCATATTTTGAACGGGGTAATCAACCGTCCTGTTCGAGACGCCTTGCTACTACACCACGCACTTACAGCCTCGCGCAAGGACGCCCTGCGTCGCGAGCTGCTCGTTTCCCGGCTTGTCAGATACCATTGGGATCCTATGCACATGCAGGCGGTCAAGAGAGCTTACAGCGAGAGGTACGGCCGCGAGCTTCAAGACGCCGTCCGCGATGCAACCAGCGGAGAATGGGGTATATTTTGTTTGGAACTGTGCATTGCGCGAATGCCTAACCACGTTCGCCGCATCGAAAGGGTCAGCGGAGGTGGTCGCTAGGCGGACGTAATGTGTTACCTGAACGGTACAGGTATGCTTGCACAAACGTGTATGTCCGAATTCCATTTCGTATTCCACGGTGGACTATATAGAGCTAACTAGATAAGAAAATGAATTTGTCTTCTATGCAGATTATTCTTTACCTGTCATTTGCCCTTTTTGCCACCCTTTGCTTGATTCTTGCCTCCCCCGGTGCCACGGCCGCCTTTGGAGCCGGAGTTCGCACCAACAACGACGAGTCGAACTCGCCCAGCAGGTACAGTGTTGACAATCTCCTCTGGCTTCATGAACTTGATCAATTCCACCTCTCGAGGCCACATCTTCTCCATGTCCGTGCTCGTTTCATCCAGAGCACCTTTTCGGCTCGCGTCCGCCCTCCAACGTTCCAGCAACTCCTTCACTGCTTTGCCCTTCTTCACGGGGCCCGGCTGGAGCTTAAACTTGTATTTGGATCGTCCCAATGCAGCCCAGGGGGCGCATACGACTACGGCTTCCAAAATTTCGTCACCAGGATGAGGCGTGCCGACCAACAGGTCGATTGGCGCCTGCTGTTCCTCTTCGTCGTCTGCTTCGTGATCGAGAACGGCACGTCTCCTCTCCTCGTGTTCAACTACCTCTTTTTGTTTCTTTTCGTGCTGTTCGCGACGTCTCGCCTTCGCATGTTCCATTTCTTGCTCTCGCTTCAGCTTCGCCTGCACCTCAGCCTCAGCTTTCTGTTTGCCCGCAGCAGATCCAATCAGCACCTCAGCAGCAGCACGGTCCTCTTCATCCTGGTCTTTGTATTTTGCAGCGATCTTTTTCGCTTTTCCTCTCTGGCCTCTCTTTAGCTTCTTAGACTCAGGCGGTATTCCACTACTGGCCGCAGCCGTGGCAGTACTTTTCGTTTCTGTGCGAGTTTCCATGATGACAGCCGCCGATTGGACAGCAAACCGCTCGTTAGCGCCCTCATCACTCTCCTCTGTGATATTCAGAGAAGCCAGTGTCGGTATCGTTTGTTCCTTATGTTCCTCAGACCGCGTGGTCTCGCCGCCAAGGTCCTCGCTATGGAGAGGATTGGCTCTGACGGGTTCTTCATCCTCATCTTCATTGTCAGTTGCATTTCCTTCGTTATTGGACTCATCGCTGGCTTTTGTGGTAGTGGTGTCTTGTGGGGTATCATTCGCTGTCATTGCCGGTTCAGCGTGTGAAGACTTTGAATCAGTTTCCCTTTGAGGAGCGCCCTGTTCGTGTACACGGTGCTTGTTATGGCGCGCCTTGCTTTCTTCACTAATTTTGAACATGACGCTGAGACCGAGCATCAGCTGCCCTGGGGGTAAAAAGTTCTTCTCGCCGCTGATGTTGAAGTTGCCCGGTTGCAGAATGTCTCCTGTTGCAGTTGACTTAGACACCTGGTCAGAAGTAACCCACCAAGCTCCAACCCCAGCTTTTGAATCCCAGGCCTCGGAGGAGCAAACACTCAGTTGGCCGGCTTGAGCGAGCGTGGCTGGTGCAATTGGTGCCTTCGCTGTGTTCGGGTTATTTTTCACAACGACAACGGCAGCATTATTTGCGTCAGCATGGCAGAAGACATCACCAGTACGCAAATGCCGCCGATATAGAATCTCTGCTTGAGACTTATCCTTTGCGCCAACGACAAGATAGCCATCAGAAGAAATGAACCAATAAAACTTCTCAAACCACATGAGATTCCGAATAGGCTGCAGTAACGCCTTCTCTTGCTTCAAGACTCGCTTCAAATCTTGCTTAATCTTCTCTTCGGTGCTTTTGATGGCCTTGTCGGCCTGCAGCTGAGTTTTTTCTTCCTTTATAACAGCCGTCCTTCGTTGATCGTAGTATTCTCTTGCATTGCTCCAGGGACTGAGCGTTAGGACCACTTCAACAACCAGAGTCCTGTCTGCACTTGTCCGATCCTCCTTGAGAGCTTCCAAACCGTCTACAGATTCCTCATCACTGTCATCTGTTTCAAATGGGTCCTCCTCTTCGCTCTCGGTATCTTCTTCTTCGCTCAAGCGAACCGAGATGATATTGTCGGCCAAATTCAAAGGCAGGCAAATCAGGTTCGCAACTGGGTTGTTTTTCTTTTGTTCTCTTTCAACAAGCTTCCCTATGTCGACCCAGTCCATTCCTTGTCTTAGAAGGCCATTGATCGAGTCCATAGCCTCCTGGACCCGTTCAATGTTCGCTTCAATCGCTGCTGCTTTCCGGAAGTTGTCAGACTGGGCAGTTTTCAGTCCCTTGATTCTGGTTACTTGATCTTGTTTAGCTGAATCGAGTTTCCGTTGAGCAGCTGCTTCTCTCTCCGCAAGGCGATTCTCTAGTTTTTGGCCCTCCAAAGATGAGAAGAACTCATCGACAGTTTTGTTGTAGCCCTGGAATCTGAGAAGCTCGATATTGCTCTTCTTCTCGAATTTGGTTGGGACAAAGGGATGGAAATCTTCGTAAAGCAGGCCGGTCCTGGAGTCGCTGTCCTTGCGCTGCTGGATTTGTTCCTGGTGTGTTTTCTTTGCAAATATAAACCCAGTGCATACTGCAGGTGATGTGATAGATTCAACAAGCTCTCTTGCTTGGCGCAGATTCTCCGTCAGATCATTGAGAAGAGAACCATCTTCCAAAACTACCTCAGGCTTAACAGAAGTGTCGAAATTGTTCGCCTGTAGAATGTGGTCGACCAAAATAGGGGGCAATTCCGTAATCGACAAAGCCAAGCATTTTCGGAGTACATCTCCTGGTTTGGAGATCGGTTTCGATGTGGGAGCTTTTGCGGCTGACGACCTTGTAACAGCCTCAACCAGTGCAGCACGAACTCTTTCTTGCGTAAGATCTGGTATTCCAAGGAAGTTTTGTCTGCTTTCAAGGGAATAATGTAGCCCAACCTTCTGCGCCTCTTGACCTTCTCCTTCGGTTACATTTCTAGACAAGGCAAGTATTTTGAGCTCAGAATCGGTAAGGATTACATTTCCGCTCTGTGCATATTCAGTCAATTGCTGGGCTGCATACATCGCCATGGATCCGCAAGCATTCTTACAGCAAAAAATTCGAGAAACAGCCTGTATTGACCATCGCTGAATTGTAATTCGAGGATGCGGTCAGTTCCTATTTGAGATACCGAAGTAAGGCGTCGTGTCTTGAGGACCTTGCGCAGTCGAGAAACAAACGCCGAGGGAGTTCCTGCGGTCGCGCGAGCAAATTCCGTAGTGTGGCAACGAAAGCCGATGTCTATAAGCAGTTGCTTTTTCGTATCCGGTTTCGCAAATTTGAATAGCAATATCTTTGTCGAGAGGTCGTAAATATTGGCGACTCGAAGCGAAGTCAGGCTCTGGTTCAGTTCATGAGCAATCACCTATGGCGTGCAAGCTAGCCGTCAGCAAGATCGAAGAAAGTGTGGCGCGTGGGGGAATAATTGCTATCACCTTGACATCTAGAGAGGAGAACCTTTGCTTCATATTGGAGGCTCGCCTATAACTAGGATCTCAAGCAAGCTTCGTCTGTGAATTTGCTGGTCTCGTTCTGTTCTGCGCCACCAGTAAGTACAGGTAGTCATACGTGGGGCAACCAACCTTCTACATGGCGGGGTAGCAAGACGCGGCGAACTCTGAAAGTTCTTTCCGGGTAGGGAGCTTGAATTGTCACGTGTATCGACAGAGAATCAGCAGTATCATCACCACATATCGTGATTCATTGATCTCTATCGTTCCAATCACTATTTTCACTATTTTCACCGTTGTTGTTGCTTAATTCAACATACCTTTTGTGGCGAGTTTACGAGTTCTGTACGCTTCCCTTGTCCACGCCCTTGTTGACGGGAGAGCGAGCCTCCATGCAGGTAACTATCTGGCTAAGGCCAGTGTCGTCAATTGCAGGCAGCGAACCAGACCTTGGCGTCACATGTTAGCCACAATGAACTAAATAGGTAGCCGGGAACCGATATCAGCAACGAGCTACGTACATATGTATACCTTGCCGTAATTAAGCAGTTGTTTTCACAGCATTTTTAGCCCAAAAGCACATAGATGGTAACAGATATGCAGATGTAGTGGCTTGCAGGTACAATCTGCATGTATTAGGTATCCAGATATGTGCAGCAATACTTCGTAATCAGCAAGGTGTATGCATCCATCAATACAATTCTTTAGCAGCGACATATACTCCGTACGTACATCTACTACGAATCACAGCCGAGGCATAAACGTACACAGAAGTTAACTTTACAATGTGCCGTCATGTCGCTCTTAGCGCCACATAGTTAATTAATGGCGAACCATATCGCCGAGGCGGGCTCAAGTTCATAAAACAAACAGGCAGAGTGCTTGTTTGATTGACGGCGTAAGCTTGTGAGAGCAGCAATGGGCAGCAAAGAGTGCCAAGATGGGCCAGCCCCTATTGCTACCTTTGGTTGTCGTGGCAACCCTGCTACAGCTTGCTCGGTTGTGCGATCAGACGCGTCCACCGCTAGAGTCCAGGAGCGGCCGGGTTCGCTGGGCCATGGATTGATCGGGCAGTGCGGGTAAGCTTCATTCAGCATGGAAGCTGTTTCTACCTACATACCTTTATATGACACATATATGTTTAAAGATGACTGCCAGAGCCAAATTGCTCGCCAGATCTAACCGTTGGGCACCGGAATTTCAAGCCTTGGGCCCAAATCACGTCCTTTCGAGGTACAGATTAGTGCTGGTCATTTATTACTGGACCTACGAATACGGGGACGGGGATATTTACTTGATGAGGTTCCGAGACAGTGGAGCCTATCCAAGACAGTTTTGAAAAGATCCCGTTTTGAACAAAGCCTTCCCACATACCAGCATGGCCTAATTGTGGGCAACAGCCAGCTCATCAAGCATTGTTGAATGCAAGCCGAAAAGCCCAATCACCAGAAAACCCCGAGAAAGACATGACAAACGTCCTAGGCAGAATGATTCTCTCCGCTTTTCTCTTCGCCTGATAGGTCCCGTTGTGCACCCTAATAATAGGTTGGGTCGTATTGCAGAGAGCTTCCCCCTTGTTTTTACTGCCTCGCCTGGGTCACGGTGCCACCCGCCGCCCACCGCCTCCCAGTTGCCAGCCTCCATGCAGATGAATCAGCAAGGGAAGTGCCGGGTTGCCTGAGCCGGCGCTTTTGGTGGCCGTGCATCTCTATTTCCTACCAGTAGCTTCACGCTGAGGCGCACCCCAGTGGGGAGGTATCATCAGACTATTCCGGTTTCGCTGAAAGTAAACAAACCCCCAGCCCGTGTCAACAGTGAACACGCCGCAAGGCATCGAATCAAGAGCATGGACGGAGTACAGACCCAAGCAACGACAGGCCCACGTAATAACATGTAGCCAGCCCGAATCCCCGTCTCCCCCGGTCCTCAAAAGCCATCGTTCTGCTGCATCCGTCAGGCCGCCATCCTCCCCTTTCCAAATTACTTCCTCCAGACACAGACGCAAACTCACAGCTCCTGAAAGAAAAGACTTCGTCGAGGACCTTTCCCTCCCTTTTCTTTCTCCCCCTTCTTCGACTTTTGTTCCAAAGACAAAAGCCAGAGGACTTCTTGTCATCCTTTCGTGCTCGCTACGGAAGGTTGTATGAGAAGATTCTCTCGCTAGGCAAAAGTCGCCAATCTGGACTTTGAAGCCCGTGTCCCCGTGCCCTTCAGCATCTTTCCCTCGACGTACAGGGACAGCGAGTCGCAGACAACCACCCAGACCCACGAGGAGGTTGACATCACTCTTCCCAACAATCAGCCAGCCGGACGGGAAGGCCAGTTCTCTTCTCACAAGGTCAACGAGGAAGAAGTCCGTTTTACCCGTGAAGAAGATCTTCGCCGCCGTCCCGGTTTCCAGTCGGAGCAGCAGTACGTCAGGGAAGATCGCAGGTAAGCCCATACGCTTCTCTTGTCACATTTGCCCCTCTGCAGCACCTGCTTGCCAGCTTCCCACAATTTTCCCCATCCATGCAGGCTCTACCCGCACCCCCAAGGTCAGAGGTGCGGTGAAGCCTCGCCACGACGCACCCCCGATCCAGGGGTTTCAGTTGCCCCAGGCACCATGCCTCCTATCCATCTACCTACCTACATACTACTTGCCAAAGTTCTCCCAGACAAGTACGGGTACTAACGATCTTCCCAGACCTGCACACACCGAGTACGCAGACACTCACATCGAGGTCGATACTCACCGTCAGTCCTACGGCACTCCCATTGACAACATTGAGCGTGAATATCGCGAGCGCTACCGCCCTCGATACAACACCACTGTAGACCCCCCTGCTCAGACCTTCCAGTCCGAGCACATCCACGTCGACGAGTACACCGTTGACGCAGGCGCACGCCCTTCCTCTGTTCACAAGGAAGATATCAAGATCACCGAGGAGACCTTTGAGCCCTACCGTTTCGGTCGCGCTGATCAAAAGTCCAAGATGGGTTACTACGACGAAGACGGTATGTCCTGCCCAGCAAGCTACCCAGCGCAAGCTCCCAGCTTCTAACATGATTGCCAGGCCACTACCACTCCTTCCGCCACGGCATCCACAAGCTTGCTGACCGCGTTGTTCACCCTCGTGGACATCATCATGAGGAGCACATTGACGTAGAGATCCGCGATGGTCCTGCTCCCGCTCCTCGCGGTCGCCCCTCTGAAGCCGGCCAGTACCTGCCCAACACCGTCACCATCCCTTGCCACCACATTCGCATCGGTGACTTCCTGATGCTGCAAGGACGCCCTTGCCAGGTCATCCGCATCTCTACGTCCTCTGCCACTGGCCAGTACCGCTATCTTGGTGTTGACCTCTTCACCCGCCAGCTGCATGAGGAGTCTTCCTTTGTCTCCAACCCCGCTCCCAGCGTAGTTGTTCAGACCATGCTTGGCCCTGTTTTCAAGCAGTACCGCGTGCTTGATCTCCAGGGCGGCAACATTGTTGCTATGACCGAGACTGGCGATGTCAAGCAGAACCTGGCCGTCATTGACCAGTCCAACTTGTGGTCTCGCCTTAGCAGCGCCTTCGAGTCTGGTCGTGGCAGCGTCCGTGCTCTCGTCCTCAACGACAATGGTCGCGAGCTCGCTGTTGACATGAAGGTCATCCACGGCTCTCGTCTGTAAAGAGCGTCGCTCGCTCGTGTATGAATCAGATCAGATATATTACTTGGATATGTAGCTAGTTTATATCGGCCTTGTCGGCCTCGACAATATGATGAAAGACTCTGGTCTCTCTGTGCCTCTCTTTCACCCTCATGTAGTGCTCTCATTACGTCACCGCTCTTTTCTTGGGCAGGTCCATCCTGCTTTGTACGTCTCCAATGCCGTTGTCCAATAACCTAGCGCTGTCATTCATGTATATCACATGTAAACATCCATTTAAAAGTCAGTGACATGACATGGTCATTGACTACGGGTACCTTATCGGACTGACTGTCAGCACATGCCTCATTGTATCACAAACTAGCTCTTTGAGCCATCAAGGTTCTTAAGCCGTCCAGATACCAACTGTGCTCTCCCGCTACCGGGAACCGTCAGAATTTCCTATTAATCGCCAGGGGGCATTTCAAGAATGTAGCCTTGATATTTATATGGTATAATGTAAAACGTATGCTATAATGTAAAACGTATGGTATATTATGTAAACATTCTAACGTTTTTCCCTAACGTTACTCTCCCTACCGAGTGGTAAGCACGGGTAACAGACCCGTGATGGTGTGTTCGATCACAGGGAATGGCCGCGGCGGCAGGGTTATCATCCCGGGTTGCTTTCAATCCAGGAGTCTAGACCCCAGCTTGGGCTCTAGTTAGATCCCGTGGCCTAGTTGCAGACAGCCGCCAGGGTGATTATTTAAAGCGCGAGCATCCCAAGCAGCCTTGTTCAGGATACTTCAGCTGCCTCACACTGATACATCGAACGATACACATGACCATCGGTAAACTTGGACTTCCTTTAACAGCAACTCAAGAATACAACATGGGTGGCCAGATGTCCAAAACGTCGCAAGCAGTTGAGCCAGCATGAAAAGGCGGTATATGATCGTGCTCGCAAGCTTTGTATAGAGGGAGATTACGCTCAAGTATGTAACGAGAAAACAGATCGGTGGACATTGCAACTGCACCTGAGACCTCCACAGGGTGTCGATCCTATCACTTCAAACGAATTCATTCGACAGGTGCTTGAAGACCCGAAAAACAGGTACACATTACTACTCCAGCAAAAGAAGCAATGTCCGTATCCATGACTCGGTTGTTAACTTCTGCTCAGACTTGCTCTTACAGCGCTGGGCTCGTCGAACCCACGCCAAGTGTTATTATCCTCGGCTGTTTCCCAGCTTGATCAGCAGATTTTCAGCCATAAGATCCCGTTTGAGGGAGATCCAATTACTTCCCAAGGATCAAGTGGTCGCTGCTGGCTCTTCGCCTCAACAAATGTTTTTAGGATCGCGCTCATGCAAAAATATGGACTTGAGTCCTTCGAGCTCTCCCAGGCATACCTGTTCTTCTGGGACAAGTTTGAAAAAGCCAACTGGTTCCTCGAACAAATCATTGATACCAGCCAAGATGACATTGAAAGTCGGGTTGTCCAGCAGCTGTTCGCTGATCAAATCAGCGATGGTGGACAAATGAGCATGGTACAGGGCCTTGTTGCCAAATACGGCTTGGTTCCCAAGGGCATTTATCCTGACAATTGGAATGCGATGAACTCAGGTGTTCTGAACTCCATATTGAAAACAAAGCTACGTCAAAACGCGCTCACGCTGCGGAAGCTATTGCGCGGAGAACTTGCTGTCGAGCCCCTCCCGGCGATGGTTGAGGGATATAAGGCTAGATTTCTGCAGGAAGTATTGATGATCATGACCCTACTCCTGGGGCCGCCCCCAAGTAGCACCGAGTCATTCATCTGGGAATACAACGATAAAAATGGCGAGGCTCATAGATTGAGCACTTCGCCGAAAGCGTTTGCTCGCGATATCTACGGGTCAGCGATCCACGTCAACTCGGAGACTTTGGGCGGGATGATTTCGCTTGTTCATGATCCGCGTCACAAGCCAATGTCTCTCCTCACAGTCGACCGGCTGGGCAATATTGTGGGAGGCCGTAAAGTCGAATATGTCAACGTCGACATGGAAACTCTCAAATTTGCGTGTGTGAGGATGATTCAGGCTGGTATGCCAATCTTCTTTGGCTGCGACGTCGGTCAGTTCAGCGACAAGGATCTAGGTGTTATGGATACAGATCTTTTGACTATCAAGTCGGTATTAACACCAATATGCTGGGAATGAGCAAGGCCGAAAGGCTGGTAACCGGAGAGAGTAAGATGACTCATGCCATGGTTTTGACGGCCGTGCATATTGACGATGCGACTAAAAAACCCATCCGATGGAGAGTTTAGAATAGTTGGGGGCTAGCGGCTGGTGACAAGGGTTGGTTTGTGATGACGGATGCTTGGATGGATGAATTTGTTTATCAGGCGGTTATTGACCCACGACTGTGCACGCGGGCAGTGCGAGATGTCTTGAAGCAGGACCCCATTTCATTGCCACTGTGGGATCCTATGGGCTCTCTTGCTTGATTATGACGCAGCCACGCGAATATGCTGGTTGAAGAATTGCTTTGAGAATATTGCGATGCTGCATACGGAGTAGGGATGCCATGTCTCTAGCATCCCTGCCGTTGGGCATCATGATGGGGCCGGTGCCAGTAACAAGTGGTGCCCAATGATGTCGTACAGATATGGGCTGCTATGTATATCCTTTACAGTGCCTGGTAGTATGAACTACTCGAATGCATAACTTTTTGGGGGTTGGCGAAACCTTGTCACGCCAATGTCGGGCAGCCATTGGACATCCTTCACGATAGTGCGGCATAAATTCAAAATCAAGGCAGCCATGTCGGCGATAGCAAGGCAAGTGGGAGGTCACTGATGGTCCAACACGTACTACCTGGTTAATACCTCGAGCAGTCGCAATAGTGGTTTATCGGACAGGCCATGTAGTGTTATTAGCTTCACCGAACCCATGCCGGTCATGCAGCCCACGTTCCGAGAATGCAAGTAGCGCCCTAGTTAGGGGAGCGCTGGTAGGTTTCTAAAACCTAACTCGCGGCTGGTATCCGTAAAATGTATAACATAGCAGGCGAGGAGTTTGTTCCTCGCTCATCAGCGGTAACACGACAAGACAGGGCGGGGGAAGAAATACAGAGTTGGCGCTCTGGCGGGGTCGTTTGGCTAATGTGGTGCCATGGTACGGATAAGTTGGTTGCTGTTGACAGTCGGGACTCAGCCCTGTAGCCCCTGCAAACTACAGGTATACCTATGCACATACATACCTAGGTACTCACTTTGCAGGTACCGACCCTAAGGTACTAACGTTCCCTGACCTGCACGTACCTATGTAGGTTACATATTGGCACTCGTAATGAATTGAGGGTACTGCCTATGTATGTATGTACATAGGTACGCATGTACATACATGTACATAGGTATGTGGCCAGCGCAGCATTTACACCAACGCGGGGATGCGGCCTTGTATTCTCCGAAAACTTTTTCTCGTGCCCGTTCCTTGTCACTTGTTCAAGTACTTGAATTCCAGTAAGTGGTGTCTACGCCCAGTATCTTAACCTAAGTACGTGCCAACTTATTTAGGTAACAATCTGCTTTTTGCAGGGTGACGTCGTTGGTGGTCAGCCTCTCGCTGGAGCTAGAAAACCATCCAACCTTCGCCCGCTCCATCTCCATCTCCCATTCCATTATAATCTGTGTCTGGCACCAACCAACTTCTGAGTTTCCGCTCGTTGCAGGGCAATCAGACTTTTTTTTCATATAGCTTTCTAGCGTTGCATCACAATTGTCACCTCCCTTGAGCTACTATAGACGAGTATGTGCCCGCCTCACGCTCCCCATTGTCGCCCTTGGCAGTGACTCAATACCCATCCATTCCTACCTACCAACCATAATACCATGGAATCTACCAGTGCTCTAACGCGCTTCAAAGCAACCCGCAGCTAACTATTTAGCTAACCTACATCGCATTGGTGGATATTTGGCTCTCTTCCAGCTCCTGTGCGATCCTACAGCCCTGAAAATCCTATACCAAACAACACACAGTGTTTAACGACAAAGCCCCGTGCACAATACCAGCTCCCACTAGTATTGTGCGCAGCCCCTCACCGATAGAGCGGGCGCTCGCGACCACCACGATTCCTCCGATTTCCACGTTGCATAAAACGGCGCTGCATTACCGACCCTAGATGCTGCCTATTGCCAAGGCTGCTTGAATCAGAGACTTCAGGCTTCGATCATGGCGGATCGACATCGCAACTATCATCACCTCAGCCGCCCGGCAAGTACGAACCCTTCGCGATCCTCTGTGCCGGCTGGGGTGGTATATCAGACGTCATATGCAGACGACTCATATTTGAACGCGGCCAGCAGCCGCCATCCTGCCACTTCGCCTCGTGGCCACTCCAGCTCCGCGGCTTCCTCTGGCCAGCCCGCCACGATAAGAACTTACGCTTTCCCTCAGAATCCCCGATCTCACCTTGCAACCCGCGACCACATCCACACCAGGCGATCAACCATGGACTCGGTAACAAGGCCGCCTATGATTATAACTACAAGACAAGTCGATCGACCTCATAACAGCCCAGTTCATAGCACCGGTGCTCGTAATAGCAGCCCCGTCCGCGACGACTACCGCCATGCCAACTCCCAGTACTATGCAGTGCCAGCCTCCACGAGCCGTTCCTGCAGTGCTGCGCGGCCCTACTACGTTGAAGGCCATACTCACCGCAGAGGCCGTGGAGACAGCCTCCTAAGCCCCAACGATGCTGAGTCTTATTGTCTACCCCGGCCTTCCGCCCCCTACTCCAGCAATGCCCGCCATAGTGCAGCATCGATCGACTATGGAGATGACGGGTACAAGTACACAAATGCTGGAGAGTTGGTCCGGTATGATCTTGACCACCCTAAACCATCTCGGTCCCAGCGATACGACAGCTTTGAACGGGGCTACTATCGTCCTCGAGCATCGTATGCCATGGACCCCAGGAGTGATGGCGCGAGACACGAGATTGATCGGGCCTATGCCGTGCCTCATGGACGACCAGATGCGCGCAGCGGCCTCCCGCCATCCACCCGCAGATTCGACAAAACGCACAGGGACTACACCCTCGACCCAGATCACCAAGCCCCGCCTGCCGCGCCGAAGCCTCCGCGGCCACTCCCATATTCCGAAACATCTGGGAACTTACGGGACACAGGAGTGAGGCACCGGCGACCCGTTTCCATCAGTCAGGAGCCATCCTATTGGGACAATTCATATACCAGTCGAGAGGCCCTGCGAGATCCTCCCAGCCACGCTCGTGATAACAGTGATGACAGGGGAGTGGAGAAGAGGCGACCTCATTCCACACACTTTTACGATGACAGTGATCCAAGTCGTGGCTTTGGTGTTCGCACAAGCCCGGATGCTGCCCCAGACAACCGACCGAATAGCCGACGTGATGGCCAGCGTGACCGAGACGAACCTCGGAGAAGTGATCATGTACGCTCTGGGGAGAAGCCACTTTTTGAACCTCGCAAATCTACACAGGATCGCCCAACGCTTTTCACTAGTGAAAGCAAACATCTGGAGGGCAACCGAAAGGATAATAGCAGAGAGACTTCTCACCGTGTTCTTGAAACCGCGGGCACAGGCCTCGGCATAACCGCTGCCACGGCCGCACTTTCTGCGTCTAGGAGAGACAATGAGCCCGAACCGGTCAGCGGTCTTGGTGAGCAAAGAGACGCTGGGCCCAGCTCCGCTACTAGGGACTCGATCCGTCGTGAGACATCAGACGCTGCGAGGACTTCTTCACCCAAAGGCTCTGCAGAGGCTACGAGGGATCGGTATAGCCCACGACCAGAAGCTGCCAGAATAAACGAAGATTCCGGTGGACTCTCGGATAACGGGGGAGCTTCTTTGGTCAAGTACAGTACGCCGTCTGTATCTGACTCAGATGATGCGGGGAGGGGCAGAGTTGGAAGAGATTCGCGGCCGTCCAACTCTTTTAACCCCAGAGATGCTGATGATCTCCGCCGGGTGAAGGAGCAACTTGCTGCTCTGCGGATGCAAGACAGTCAACAGCAGGGTAATGCTACTCCGTGCGGTGAAAATGAGCGTTCGGCCCGCTCCCCATCCCCGCGAAAGGAGGCCCCGGGTGTTCCTGCACCAGATAATGCCAACCAGAACTATGCTGTCGGCTTTCCAGCCGACAAGAAACATGCCCGTGTCGTTTCACCTCCTCGTGATAAAAGAGAGGACAAGCCTCTGAGGGGTATCCTCAAGCAGCCAAGCGCCAGCTTCCCTGAGGAGGCTAATCCTGTCCGGGAGGGGGTTGCTCCTCATAAGGAGGATAAAAAGCTCAAGGAAGTCCCGCCTGGGGCAAGGTGGACAAAAATTAACCGGAAGGTGGTCAATCCCGAGGCCCTTACTATTGGGCAGGAGCGATTTGAGGAGCGAGATGATTTCGTGATTGTTTTGCGAGTCCTCAGCAAGGAAGAGATACAAGCATATGCTGCCGCGACTCAAGTTCTTCGAGGTAAGCTCTTATTTTGCTTTGCTTAGACGTATGATTCTAACTTGCTATAGAGCGACGGCGAACGCGGGATCGGCCAGACCGTGAACAGGAGCGGAGGCATCGTCAAGACGACGACAGCTCCCGTCATCATCGCTCACATCGCCCTCATGGGTGGGGTGATGGGTATAATAATTCCAACGACGGTAAAACACGGGCTATTGATGGCAACGTTGACGCCAATGGGGGGCAACTAAGTGCCAGTGATGACGGGACTGACGGTCCTAGTGGTGGGTTGGTGGGCGTCGATGGCGAGGGTGGTCGGGCGAGGCGATCGAGACAGGAGGATGAGGACAGTGATACGGCGGCTAGAAGGCGAGACAGGGCCCGTGATGATAATGCAGATGGGGATTCTGAGCGACGGAGAAGGCCTGCGAGGGATGATGACAATGGGCGTGAACAGCATCGTGGTGATGGCGATAGATATCGCCGTTAGGGCCGGTAGTTCGGTAGCTCTCCTTGTGCTCGCCTAGTCCATACCATTTGTCATGCTGTGTGTCTGTGGGCTTCTCCTTTGTGATTACTGTATGTTGAGCCACGTGTCTGAGCCAATCTTTGCTGGGATAGGCCATGCCTATTCTAATTATTGTAAATATATCGGTTTACACAACCATCACAAGTGGCGCCGGACTACAGCCAATGACCTCGGCGTGCATATCCCCTAGCATACGCTTGTCTTCGAGGACTGGGCCGCGGAGACGCTGGACGAGGTCGGGTAGCCAAGCCATGTGAGTAAGCAACAGGAAAACCAACGAAGCAGCCCAGGTGACACCAACCGGCGTACTACAGGGTAGCAGGGCGGCACCCCCTAGCCACCACCACCTGTTTGGCTGGACAGCGTGTATGCACACAACCACATGGCGGCGCTCCAGAGTAGGAGGACCATGCTATAATACACAGTGTGTTTAGATTTTGCTTGTCGCTGCTGGCTATACGGGCAAGTGTTGCGATGGGACTATGCATTGACGCCCATGTAAGTGGTTTTGTGACATGGGGACCGTGGACAATGGCGGTGATTTGAGGCCCCCCCAAAAGACACGCCATATCGACCAGACTCTCCATCCCATCAAGTAATGACATGAGGGATAAATCACGAGAAAGGCCGCCAAGAATACCTGCCCAGGCAAGGGAAGGTCCACATGCTTAAAGCCTGAGAGTATGTGCCTGCAACGGAGGTATTTGTACGGATGATGGAGACCGTATTTTGAACTACATACATACTCCAGCCTGGCAAGGCCTTGGCGGCGCCTTACGTGGCCGCTTCCAGTGATGGCTGCGAATACGGGATGATATGATTGGGGGTGGAATGGTGTCGCGCAACGACGAAGAAGCAGCGTCAAATAGACAGAGAACTGGGCAAGGAGCTCATAGCCAGAACCATGATACTGCCGACCTCGTATAGTCGCACTAGTGTTAAATTAACAAGATCGAAAGAAAACCCGAACGAAGTGCAAGTGGCGGGCTCGAGTCCCGATGGTACACGGAGGCGCGCCGAAAAAAAAAAAAACCCTGAAAATGGGAAAACGTAAAATCAAATAAAATGAAATGGCAGCGAACGCCCGACGCCCCAAAACCGAGTGCGTGACAACCGCGTATGTCTTCCGCAGTGACGACGGCCTGAAACAGAGCAGTGGGGACGGCACTTGCAAGCTGACAACGCCTGCCAGCCATTATCACATCCCGTCACCTCGCACTACGAGCATTTTTCGCGCTGATAGTCACAACAAGTGCTTTTATTGGTTGGTAGTGGCGGTCGGGTCTCTAGTTTGCACTAGTAGGGCGGAAGAATCGAGAGAAAGGCTGCCAGACACTGCGGCCTGGCTGCCCAACGGGGGCGCAGTCGTGCTGGATGGAGTATTAGGAAGCAACTGGCAGTTAGTACATAATACGGAGTAGTGAGGGATGGTGGTTATCCCTTGGTGCAGATCTGTTGGCGTGCTGAAGCCAGGCCAGCTGAAATCACTAAGTATAGCGCCGGTTCGATGAGGCATCCATTGTGCGTTAATCAAAGGCGTTGCCGACTGAACACTGCACATGACAACTACTATAACGACGCCTACCAAGTCAACTAGGTAGGTAATTATTTACTTCGGGGAGGGCGCGCTGTTCTCACCTAAGTTGGCCGCTACAAGTGACCACAGCAACATGCGCGATTCAGTCTTCGCCCAGAGGCCCCACGAAGGCTGCATTCCGTGTGAGCAGAGCCCACTCCATCCGAGAAGGAGGGTACCTGCCTGCTCCATAGGTAGGTAATAGTAATAATAAGGCGAAGGTACGAATTAGTGCGAGGAAGATAAAGGCTGAAATCAGCAATCATGGAAAGTGAAAAGGGCGTCCAGACGGGTGCATGTATTCATTCACATGGTCGCGGGGCTACGCATCTTGCATTAGCATTAATAAAGAAAGATTGATTCCACAATGATGATTGAATCAGATACGCACGATTTTGATTCATGTGCGACAATATGTTGGCTGCTGTGAGAAGGCGACGTTTCATCAGGGGTGGGCTTTTCAACTCCTCGAATTGCGCCACCCCTTGTTGCCTCCCGCTCCAGCCCCTTTTCATCTTCTCGCCTGTACTCGTTAGCGCCACCTCAATGGATACTGTCCTTGCATTCCCTTCATGTTCTGCGATTTCTGCCTGTGCCAGGGCCGAGCCTCTCGGTAACCCGTCGTCCGTCAGCCGGATTTACTCACCACGATGGTACGTACCGGTGTTGCAATTATTCAGCTAACCACCGACAGGCGCTCTAGAAAGTTATTACGACTGGGTAGGTCGCAACACACAAGTAGACCCCTGGTGTTAACTAATTGATTTATTAACCGAAATGCGACTCACATTTCTCGGAGACACAAGATTAGATGCAGGAGATCGTGCAGCGATGCTAGCTGTGCTACCGCGTATCCATGGCATGAATGCACCTCTACTTCTGATCGTGTTGAACTGATATGTTTCCTCCCGCTAGTTGGCGCTAGGATTTACGTTGACAGTCGCAAGCCCTCCAACTAGCTAAGCACAGTAACTACCGTGCTTACATAGTTGCAAACAGAGACACCACTACATAGGTGTTCTCGTCAAGGGGACCGTAGAAGGATTCTAGCGTTTCTGCCCCAGATCTAGAAGAAAATTAGTTTCTGCAGGTTTTGCACCAGTCTCGCCAGGCAACCTACCCGTGCTGCAGGGAGAGGCAGCCGGGGTGGGAAGCCCACCACCCAAAAGCTTGGATAATACAATGTGTATTTACAGTGGTATGGTGGTACTAGAGGTAGGCTCCTGCATGGAGGCCCTGACCCTGTGCAGGCATCGGGAGCCCCTGCCTTCATGCCAGGCTCTGCAACGATCGAGGCTGTTGCCGAGTATATTGATGTTGCCGCAACGGCTGAACTGGGATGTTATAAGACGGTGTACCTTGAGATGGCTTCCTGTGTCGGCATAGGAAGACCTTTTTGTCCGGCGTAGTGTGGTAGCGATGCTAATCACCACGTGGTCAAGCATGATAAGATACAATACGAGCCAGGATTCAAGATGCACGAATTCAAACGCGCGAGAGCTGACTCAGCGATATTAATCGACACTCTTCGACCCTATGAATACGTGTTTTCGCTGGTGACTGAGGTTAGTATGTGAGATCGAGTGTTGAGCGGTGACAGAGAGACTTTTATGTCTTTTGGATACGACATCCAAGGTAGCAGCCCTAATCAGGGACGATATGCCGATCACTAAACACCTCAAGGGTTTAACTTTTAATCCACCTGCAGCTCCGCCCATGTACGCATCTGGAGGTTTGTTTGCCTTCATGAGATCGTGGCGTATTACCAGGTTGAACAACGATCTAAAAGAACCCTGTCGTGCACAGAACGAGGGGAAAGGCCCAGCCAGCACATGAACGTGGTAGCCTTTGTCCAGGAACGATGATCGTGGCAAAGTTGCCCATTGGCTGGACTAGCATTGACTACATCGATGAAGGAGCAAGGGAGTGTCGGGCAGTCGAGGACATGCACTTGAGGCGGCGGCACCCACACACTCGCCACCACCAACATCCTGGCCATTCTGTCGTGTCTTGGCGGAGAGGATACTGGTAGAACGAGTTCATGTTGATTAAGCCTTCAGCCTGAACCACGCCACCGGGTCACGCATCCGCATGAAGGCTTGGGCATTGCATACTAACTAGTTACGTATGTATTGGTTGGACAGGGGTGGAGGGGGAGTCGCAGTAAGTTGATGCTGTCTGCAGGTCATCAAAGACTCGAGTACGGATATCTGGGTAGTAGCTATGTAGTTTCATTACCATCCTATCTTTTGCACACGCTGGTCTGTAATGACTGAGATATTGAAGTGGATGCTCTGTATCCATTTCGTGGAAGTTACCGCACATGGTACGCTGTTAATATTAGCAATAATGATGTTAGCTACGCAAGTAGGTATGACGAGGAGCGCCACCTCGGAAGCATAGCGAGCCAAGGACAAGTCACGTATCTTGGGTAACTTTGCTTTGAAGGTAAAAAGGCATTATCTGGAGTTACAAGCCGTACCAATACTGCTGGTAAGTTGGTGGCCAGCTTCGTGGGGCACAGGCAGACTGTCCCACGCCAATTTCGTCGAATCCGCCAGCGCCCCATTCAAAGACTCCTCCATTACGCCAAGCCTTCCGGTTTTCGTCCCGAAAGGTTGAGCTCCAGCGCTTGGTCCAACTCACTACTAACTAGAAAGGGCCGTCGCTAATTATTAACATGCGGGTGCTAGTAGGAGGGAAGAAAGGGGAGTGGAGGTGGGCGCTCACACGGCAGCCAGTGTGGGTGTGCCGCGTGCGTGCCTGTGCATACATATGACGGAAGGATTGATTGACGATAGCCTAAGAAAAGCAAAAGCCACCACCTCACTCGCTGCCAGCAGTTATCTTGCGATGCATGAGGCGCAACATGGGCATAATGCAAGCCTCCAGGCAATTAGAGCACATGTACCATGTAGAACGTAGGTTCGCCAGGCAAATTACAATTGTCATGGCAGATGTTTCGGATGAGGACAATATGCTATTAATATCGCCCGAGGTGAGACTTGTTGTCCCCCTTTTCCGGCCCACCAGGCAGGCTTGACTTTTTAGCCAATTTGCAGTAACGGCATGCCGGTAGGTTACTTCATGGTAGGTATTTGGGGACCAGTTGTTCGGTTACGGGCTTGGAGAATAGAAGTGAGCTTCCCATTGACTGACCACCAACCCAAGTCCGTTCCTCTGATCCAACGGCTCCGCGAGGACCTTGCATTTGAAAACAGGGGCAGCCTTGCCTTGCTGACCCGCCCTCCCTTTCCACCCTGACCTTGTTCTGCGCCAACCGTTCTTTTTTCTCCAACTTCCTCACTTTCTCACTGTTTACAAAGTGCTACTGATCTGGACGTGTCAGCGTGTTTCTTGCGCCCATCTTGACGAGCCGGGTTTCAATTCGACGCTGACCAAAGGACAGAGTTTGGAAGAGTGTAATCGCGAAGCTTTTCAACTCATACCAGGCCCTCTGGTGCGCCAGTTAATCGACAACCTCGACGTCGCTCTGCGTTTCTTGGGACGGCTCGAATCACCTCGAGACTTCGCCTTCTTCGATAGCACCATATCCCTTGCGGGCTCGAAGTACACACAAACTGGCGCAGTATCTTCTTGATCGTTGCGCCCATACGCTTCTACACACCCACAACCGGCGCGAAAGTGCTGCTGAGACAGCCTCTACATTCGTGCCTACTCTTCTTCTGGCGCTCCCCATCATAAGGCCTCGCTACCGCCTACGATACATACATACACACAAAACCAATGTTCTTGGAGGAGTGCGTCTGGTAACCGCCAACCTTCCTAACTGCCCAGTCATACCTCGACTGTACAATTGGTAGTTTTTGGCGTCACCAAGCTCCAAGCAGCCTAGGTAGTACACACAACATCAAGCAACGACAGGGGGTTCTAGTGCTGACCCGGCCTCTAGTCCCACTCTTTATCGCAACGGTCCCACTGCATTCTACCGACATACCAAGTTGATATCACCAAAAAACTGCAAACTACGTCGTCACATTCAAGTGCAACAGAGACTGCGCGTTTCGCTTCTTTCTGCAGACTAGGTAAGGGGCTAGTTCTACGATCGGATTTCTGGAATGCAACATCTGTACAGCAAGGGGCTGATCAAACCTCTTTGCGAAACCAGGGCGCTACTGACATGACCTGGCGATAGTTTGCGTCCCTCACGAGGTGTATTCTTCTCGACGTGGGCGACATTTTGCCCAACTTTATTGCCATATTTACGCCGTTGGGTTTTTTTCCTTGCAGTGTTTTGCGCTGACTTCAACGTCGGACCTTTGTGGAATTTGACAATACGAGCGTTTGCCTACACTGAATCTTGCATCTCGAGTAAGTTGTTCTTTCACGGAGCTACATTACATGTAGTCCAACACGCCATCACTGGCAAAACATGCAGCCAGGTAGAACCGCAGCTTCAGACCATTGCCACGAGAAAAACAATCGGCATAATCTTGAGCAATATTCGCGTTGTGTTATCAGAATATCTGCTAATGGTGGACTAGGCAATACCCAAACGAAACGCTCATGTCAAGCGTCGCAATCATGGCTACGTCTCAGCAGGTCCGGAACCACTTTAAAGATGATTTGGTAAGTTGATTGAAATCTCTTCCTGTTGCGTTCTTTCACATGAGCAAGAAAACACCAATGGAAAATCACCGGAGACTGCGAGCACGGTGAAAACCAATACCATCCAAGTGGCTGAGGATTGGTGTATGTTCACATTGCGTGGTGAAGGAAGCGAATTTCGAGGCGGCTGAGTGCTACTCTGTGCGCATCCGCGTGCACAATGTTCGACAATTCAACGCCCAGACTAGCTTCACGGTTCTTTCAAGTGATGGAATCCACGTTTGGCGACATGGCCGCCGTGGTTGAAAAATGGTTAAGCCAACTGTGCCAATAGGCAACTTGTGGGTGACTGGCTGTCAGCGTGAGTGGTGGTTTGCGAAGCTGCAACTTGCCCTGGACCCTGACTCCCAGGGCCGGTTGGACATAACGGGCTCAGCGGGACATTGATTTCACTTGCAAGCCGCGCCAGCCTGCCAGCATACCAAGCTGCCTCCCCAGCCAGTGGCTGCACAGAAACACATTCTTGTGGGCCCGCTAAGGGGCTTATCCGATGGCAAGAAGAAGAAGTCTAGCACGGCTGAGGAGCAAGTACCGTTGAGCGCGAAAGCGCCACGCCACGACTTCTGCGCGGACAGCTTGCTACCTTATGAGGACAACCTTCGAAAGCTGTTGCGCCACAGCATGCTAGCTCGGCGGACAGGCCCTGATTCAGGCTCGCGGCGCCCCCGATCACAAAATGACCATGTACCTACTTAGGTACTGTCAGTTGCTGTTGCAGATGGGAGCAGTTGTGTGCGGAGGTATTCGAACAGCTGCTTGCTCGTGCATGATGGCAGTCGCTGCAACTGGTGGGGAGTGACGTGGGTATTCTCCATCGTGATCAAGGCCGGTCACGATGGATGGGGAGCCAGCCTACCCGAGTCCAAGCCTGCCTGTGCCTGGTTGCTTGCCGTCGACAAGGGCGGCAGACGTGGGCATGGGAGGATGGGGAAGACCTGGTGCCCCCCCCCGAGACAGGGGCAACCCTGCGGCGACCTGCACACCGCTGTCGCCAGCCAAAGAGACGCAGCGCTTCGTCGCTGCGCTCCGTTGGTCTTCGTTATTGCAATCTTGCCACTATACTTCGCCATTGGTTATTTAATCAAGAGCCGGAGCCTGTCTTGGTTCCAGTGTCGCTGGTCAACTCTGGCTCGCTGCCTTTCGGGGCACTCTCTGCGCTGTGCAGCAAACGCCATCTCCACCACTGGACTCGTACCAGTCCATTGCGGTATCCACAACCCCCCGGCGCTGCATGAGCGCTTCACACAGGTCCTGGTTGCATCCACCCCCTTGTTGACCAGGCCGGCAACCAAGGGGATAAGAGGACGCGAGGAAGCAAGCAAAAAAGGAGACAATATGCCATATATGCAAAACTGCGATCTCTGCCATCGCTGGAATGCAAGAATAGGAGAAGAGAAGTGAACGGCAGGGCGCCGCGGCTTCGGCACTGCTTTCAGGCCCAGCGCTCCTCTACCCTGACTTGGCACTAGCCCGTCACTGCTGATGGACATTACTACTCAACTTTTTACTCAGACTTATTTCCCAGCACAAAGGTCGCGCCGTTTTTCGTCTGTGTCATCTGGGATGGTGCCAATCACCACCCAAGCCGGCATCTTCCCCTTCCACCACCCCGCTCCTGGCCATTTGGAGCGCCCAAGTCCTTTTATCAGCTCATTTTTCTTACCCACTTCAGTTCCTACTTTGGACTCTCCTCTCTTCTCTCCCCCCTCCAGAGCTGTCCAGACTCCCGACAAGACAGGTTTTTTTAGACTGGCTCGTTTAGCCACCTTGCCCGGCCAGCAAGCTCATCCCCGTCCCCGGTCTGCCAATCTGCCTCTCTGCTGAGATGTGTTGATCTGCCCCTGGTCGAAGCTGCTGGTTCCCCGTCAAGTCGTGATCTAGCATCATAGATGCGGCGAATCCTTGCCTGTTCTACAAGTGTTGAACGCGCAAGGGCTGGTTGCTCGATGGAAAGGAATTAATCCCTGCCAGCACCTACCAACCTGGGTAGTACTTGCCTAGCCCCCTCTGTCCCAGCCGGGCTGGTGCTACTTCCCCACGTTGTGGCCCGCCACCCCCCAACGCTCTCTTGACTGGGCAAACAACCTGCACCACGACCCAGTCTGCTTTAATCAGCCCCCTTTCTAGGCCTAGCACGCCTCACCCGTGGCATCCTAGTCTGGTCCCAGGGGACTTACACGCTCCACCACACGCCTCCCCGGACCTCTTCGTTTTTTTCTCTCTTGGACCATCAAGGGGTTAAATAAAACACCACCACTGCCTGACAACCTGCTTCACCAGGCTCTGTTTTCTTTTGCGCCTTGGAGCCTCTCTTCTTTATTCTCTCATTAATGTCAATGTCTTACTGATGGGCCTCCTTTCTATGCAGCATCCTCCCCACCAGCAACAGCAAGGTCCTTCGCCTACGCAGCATTTGCATCACTCCCGGCCGCCTAGCATTGTTCACCAGCAGCATCCCAGCCAAGCTCACCAACAACAGCAATCCAGTCACCACAGTGCCTATCACCCGCCATCGCAATCCCTTCCTTCTGCGTATCAGCAGGGAAATCAAACTGGAAGCACGCAGGACAATCTCAACTATTACAACCACCCCAGTCCGTACAGCACACCTGGTGCGACGAGCGGATATACTTCCGCCGGTGAGTGCTCCTGATACGCCTCTCTTTGTGCTACGGCCCTTTCTTCTCGATTCGATCTTGCCGAGATCTTCCAGTGGCATGGCGTTGCTAATAGTAGCCTTTGCTCACAGACACTTCCGACATGATGGCCGCAGCGCAGATGCCCCGACCGCCCTACCCCCCCATGTCCTATCACACGCCGCAGTCCAACTCTCCTGCTTCTGTCGCATCTCCTTCTCAGCATGACCAGCACCGAAGCCTCTATGGACAAGCGCCTTCCCAACACTTGTCTCAATCTATGTACTACCAACCGCAGCCGCCGTATCAGCCGATGCCTTCTCAGACCGGACACTCTCCGTATGGCCACCATGCCCACCATCCGCAACAACCGATGACTTCGCAAGCCAACTTGATGATGTCTCACACGACTGCGCCGAACCAAATGCAACAGCATGCCCCTCAGCATACACAACCTGGCATGACCAGCAGCCCCCGGCCGAAGATCGAGCCTCAGGTCCCCCTGCAGATGCAGAAGCAAGCTCAGGGATCTCCAATGCCCCAAGCAAATCACCAGCAACAACCACCTCAGATGCAGAGCCCCGGTAACCATAGTACGGCCGTTAACCCTAATGCCGCTCCTGGTCCGATCCCCGCCACGACGCCACTTGTTGTGAGGCAAGATGGCAACGGTGTTCAATGGATTGCGTTTGAGTACTCGCGCGATCGAGTCAAAATGGAATACACCATTCGCTGTGATGTTGAATCCGTGAACACAGATGAGTTGTCGGCCGACTTCAAACAGGAAAACTGTGTTTACCCTCGCGCCTGTTGCCCCAAGGACCAGTATCGTGGCAACCGCCTGATGTATGAGACGGACTGCAACCGCGTTGGCTGGGCTCTTGCCCAGCTTAATGCTCCGCTCCGTGGCAAGCGAGGTCTGATTCAGAGGGCCGTTGATAGCTGGCGCAACAGCAACCAAGATCCCCGTCTACGAAGCCGCCGAGTCCGCAGGATGGCGAAGATGAACAATCGCAAACAGTCCCAAGGTCCTGCTCACCCGCCCGCTGCCCATATGCCTGGCCACGGGCCACCTCCAGGTTTGGCGAATGGACCTAGCTCCATGGTGCCCAGTCCTACACCGACGATGGAAAGCAAACCTAGCTTGGCGAGCATGGGTCAACCGATGCATCACCATCATGCAGGTGGTCATCCTGCGGCCGCCACTGGAGGAGGAGATGAAGTCGGTATGTTCCACCAGATGTGATACCCTGCATACACCTTGCATCTGCCACACTTTGCCTTTTTTGTTCTTTATTCATCATCGCATTGCCCTCACTGCAACTGGTCGCATTCTGTCGCCATTATGCGTTCTGATTTGATGATACCACCCATTTTCTGCTATATATCACCCCCAAGGGAGAAAAGTTTTGCGTCGGTTTATTTATTCTCACCTCAGTTTGGACTCACTGCACTTGATACTTCATCTACTCAAATCCCTCTACTTGTCCTATATCTGGTCCTCTCGCTGCTATTTCCTTGTCGCTATCTTGGGGCTTACGCTGGGGGGCACACTTCCACGAGAGTTCGTTTCTGTACAAGGTTGAATTCTGTCCGTTACCACTGATTTTGTTTCATATGTCGGGAAATCGAGTCGGGTCGTTGCTTTACTTGTTCTCTACACATTTCCGCCTCGCAGGCAAGGGGCTGTCGCGAAACCGAGTTGTCTTTCCTTTTTCTCTCCGCACACAATCCTGTACATTATTGTCTTAAAACCAACACCTCAGTTTGCAGCTGATTCTGTTTACTTCTGCTCCAGAACGCTGCAGGGTTTTGGCTGATTTTTAGAAGAGCTTTCTGAGCCTCTTTGACTATCAATGTTACACTCAAGAGCATTTTTAGTCGTTTTTTTTTTTGGATTCCCTGATTGCTGCGACCTATCCTTTTAAGACCCGATGTCTTCCTTCGCATTCCGCTCACGCCCTCGCATCATTCACCGCCATCTGCCGTGTAAGCTAACATACATGTGCAGCGGATAGCAACTCGCATCAAAGTGATCTGCCATACCCAAGCAATGGCCAAAGCACCACGAACACACAAGACGTACGGACTGCCCACGTATTCACGGGATATGGTGGCCATAACTACCCCTCGGCCACACCGGCAGGTGCGGTATCTTCGCATACGCCTCACACCGGGTCCGCGGTACCCGCAAAGCAACGAAGCCGTGCTTCTGGCGATGACCAGGATGGTCTTTTTCCCGACCTGCCGGAGGCGAGGAAGCGCAAATTCGTCCTTGTAGAGGACAGCAGACGCGGCTCTCGCCTCCGAGTGCGCGTGACCCTTGACGGCGTGGATACCAACGAAATCCCGGATAGCTTCCGAACACGTGCCAGCGTCTACCCGCGTAGCTTCTTCCCTCGAGAGATGCAAAATCCGCCACCCAATGCCCTTGGAGCACATTTCTTCTCAGATGATGCGTCTGACGATGGTATTCAGGATACCGACGGGCGCGATGTCAGCAGACGCGGCTCGAAGCTCGCCTCGTCGACCTCCGTCAGGGTACCACTGCCGGACAGTCAGGACGGTGAGGTTATGATTCCCAGGATGAGAAGGTCAAGGCGCGCAAGGGAGTTGAAGCTCAACGACATGGGTCACCGTATGGCCTGGCTCCAGAGCAGGGTTTTCTCGGGCAGAAATTTATTTTTGCAACGCGCCTGTAAGTTTCTTGCGACACTGTGACAAACTCCATATACTCAAGGCTAACAAATCATTCCAGTGGACTGCTACCGGACCAAAACCTGCGCTGCTATCGAAGGCAACATGCAAGACGTCCGAGCTAGTGCTGCACACTTTGAACTGCGGACAGGCAAGCGCAGATGGGTTGATCGTAGTCGCCATGGCACCGACAGATCAGCAAATTAGAGCAGCATGCAATCACTCCCCTCACAACGAGCAGAACCCGATCCTCGTTGCAACGCGTCTTGGTTGGACTTTACGGCTCCCTTACTTCGGCTCCGGGCGTTTCTATCTGTAATCGCATAATTTTAGGAGCCTCTACGATAGTATTTTCTCATTCTTTTCAGCCTCGTAGCGGTGCTGATGTATCTAAATGTTTGGATTTTCAACGCCTTCGGTGTTATGCTATATAGCCTAAGGCTACCTACGCTGTAGTGGCTTTTTAAATTCAATTTGTCTTGATACTCACTGTGAGTAGCCTTCAGCCACTGGGTAGCCGCATAACAGGCTGCAGTGGCGCTTGGTTTTCGTCGTGTTCTTTCATTGTTACGAGGTTTGCAGGTAAATGTACCCACGCACCCAACCCGTGTTGGTAGTGGCTACCTACTGTACATACATACCTATTGTGGCTACGACTACCGTTGCTCAGCTTTCGCGCTACCAAACGCTGACGTGCGTATCAACGTACTCTCCGCAATTAAGTTGCGAGACACACATTGCTACGCCGAAAATGTCGCACCAGCATCAAGCAACGAATATGTCGGATGATCATTATTGCCCCGCGGAGCTGGAAGCCCCGCATGTCAGACTCCCGCAGCCTACCAGCCCGGATACCGCTGTCTTTGAGCTTCCGGGCGAGTCGTCGTTGCCGACGCAGTCCATCCTGCACGGCGCATCCTTCCGCGTAGGCCAGGGCGCTCTGCCGCAAGCAAACCCCTGGCCGTTCCATCTGGATGATTTATCGAGAAAAACTGGGAGTCTCGAAGTACGACGGGACACTAATGTGACAAGTGACACCAACTACCGTCTCGCCAACCCGTGGCCATACCACGGCATTGAGAGCGATAGCCTTGACATTGGGAATGCCGCAGGGAATAAAAAAGCTAATGAAAATTCAACTGACACGACAATATCGCGTGCTGAATGTGACGGAATAGTGGCCAGGAAACCTAGCTCGGACTTGCATAGTGACAAACCAGTGGTTGAGTTGGATGGGCTCGCGACAGACCGCAGCAACGATCGTGCCCCCCTCGCTTTCGATGAACATCGACGCCTAGATATGCCGGAATCCCATTTCAAAGACAGCGAAACTACGGCCCCGCTGCAATTACTAGCGTCGACAAGCACACATACAAATCCTACTATCGTATTCCTGAACAGTCCTGCAAATACAACTTGCGAGCCTCGGATTCGCAGAATTCTGCGCTGCAGTGGCACATCCGAAAACTTGAGTACGTTTGAAGAAACAATGCCCCCATTCTCCACACGCAACTCCAGGAAATACATCCACTAACAAGTGAGGGCCAGATAATATCACACTTTGTACCCAGGGCACCTTGTCAGATTCGGAGGAAGACGCCGCTATTTCGCCGGAAAAGCCTTTGGATTTCACCAAGGAAACACCTGGATTTCAGAGAGAGCATGAAACTCCTACACACTCATCTCATAATCTCCAAATGCAAAATCAAGTCACCTTGAACGAACCCCTGCACTCTCAGCCAAGATGGCAAATGTCAACCGGGATGGACTCTCAACCACCACCACCCTACTCCCTCCAAGAATCCACAGCCTCGAGCATCGAAAACATGCACACTGAAAGCCACGTTCAAAGTCAGAGCCCATTTGCATCAAGCATCAATACCGCCCGGCCATCGGTCATCGTACCGGAACCTTCCGCGCCTGTTCATACTCAAGGGCAATCATTTTCTGCTGAGCCTAGATTTCCTCCCGAGGCGCCACCTTTACCGCCGCGACATCCCACTCAGACAAAATTCATGACAGGTCTGAGCAACGGACCTCATAACAATGTTGCTTTTCCCCCTCCTCCAAAAAGGCATAATGTGACACCATCACGTTTTTCACCGCCAACCCCGCAGCGACCGATGCTATCTTCATCACTTTCGCCGTCAAAGTTCTTAGGGAGCTCATCGGCGAAGAAGTGGTTTGAGAAAACAAATCAAGTTATAGAAGATACTTTGGATGCTGTGTTACAGGGCCCGGCGGGACATCCCAGCCGCCCTGCCTACAGTAGCCGCCCTGCCCAAAACTCGAGCCAACAAACACCTCAATCATCCATGGGCCTCTATAATTCAACTCAGGAAAGACGAAATTATAACATCTGAACGAATGTGGGTAGAGTCCAGCAAATCTTGGCTGATCGCTGGATTAAGCGTTCGGCTGTGTTTTGCATAGCTTGGGCCCTGCCTTTGCCTTTGTATGTCCTCAATGTATCAAATCTGGCAACATTTATATATAAACTCTACCAATACATAGATTTTAAAAATTATTCAAACCTGGCTTTTCAGGGTGTATTTTCTATCCAGGTATTTCATTCACATTAGCGCTTCCTGCGTAAGGCGTAACACCCAACGTTTCCACCTGCTCAGTATTTGACAAGTACGTGCGCACTATACACTGGTCCATAATGTAACTTTTCAGTGAAGATGATGGCATCATATCACGCGTCTTTCGTAGTTCAGATTATGGACGCGTCGATTTTTCCATTGGCACGTGGAAATGCTATTTCAGGCGCAAACCAGACGCTTCGCATGGCGGCCGCGTCCCTTCCAGCCTTGCTGCACATCCGCATTCCATATCAAGAAAGGGCAGGAAAAAGGCTCTGCGCCCTTGCGTGATAACTGTACATCGGGTGTATTACCTGAGGCAAGCCTGACGGCCGCGTGGATGTTGACCGCGCCCAACGAGTTATGAACAAGGAAGGGCGTGGAGCCCAGGCGGGCGCCGCCCTCAGTTGCCACTGGATTTTCCGACACACCATACAATCATTCCTTCATGCAGAGCATAGATTGCTATGCTTTCTTTCATACTACTACATTTGCCAGCGCTTTGCATCGCGTGTGCTGCCAAGAGCCGAATACTGGTATTGCTTTGCTGGTTGTTGGGCAACGTGCTGGGCTGGGCTCACTCACCTGGCACTAGCAAAATGCTTAGGTACCTGGGCAGCTTATCTAGCTGGGCAAGGTACCTCCTACCAAAGGAGTTTGGTACAAGGCATTAGTCGCAGGTTCTACAGCCCAGAAATGTACCTGCCACTGGACTGCACAGGCCACGCACAGGGCGGCAACACCGCTCCACCGGCTGACACAAGCCCAGTAGCCCCCTCGAAATTCCTTCTTCGTTCATAAGGCGCCTCTCCCTCTTCTCCTCCCTACCTAGATACTCTGCCACTTATCGTCCTCCACCCATCACCCTCTCCCCCATCTGCCAACCTCTTCATAGATCGTTTTGCATCTACTTTCTGAGGCCATTCTCCCCTCATCATTGATTTGAACCACGTTGCAGCGTCCTTGACCGCGGAAATATTGCCTGCGCTTGCGTGGAATTCTCCATCTCGTTACCGCCATCATCGAGCCGAAAAGCCGTCACCGCTTGAGCCTCTCCATCCGACACTGACGGGTGCCATTCATCTCTGTATTTTGTGCGGTTGCCGGTTAGTACTCTTAGTTGCATGATTCCCAACGGTTGGATTCGAATTGTTCTTGTGTACTGGGCTGGGCATGATACCAGCCTGATTCTCACTGCCAATATGGGCCGAGGCAAATTTGGGTGGTTTTCAATGAACTATTCGCATCTTTACATCACCTTGCATACCCGCTCTTGCGTTTGGAGTTTCAGTTTCTTGCTGACACCTATTGCTTGCTTGTCCCAGGTATCCTAACAACCCTCGCCCTCGAAAATCGACCCATTGGGTAATCGGGCCCTAGAACGACTGCACAACTAGTTGCTTCAGAATGACGACCATGGTATGACTCAAATAAAGCGCCTTTTGAACGGATAGCTCTCGGGCCCTCCCTCAAAAACTAGCAGCCCCAAGCAGAACATCTGCCCTAACAGGCGAGCAGGATCTCCGCGTCGGCAACAAATACCGAATCGGTCGAAAGATTGGTTCTGGTTCGTTTGGCGACATTTATCTGGGCACCAACATCATCTCTGGAGAAGAGATTGCAATCAAGCTGGAGTCGGTGAAAGCAAAGCACCCTCAGCTTGAATATGAGGCACGCGTGTACAAGTCGCTGGCTGGCGGTGTAGGTATCCCGTTCGTCCGATGGTTCGGCACTGAATGTGACTACAACGCCATGGTTCTTGATCTGCTTGGACCCAGTCTGGAGGACTTGTTCAACTTCTGCAACCGCAAATTCTCGCTGAAGACTGTTCTTCTTCTTGCCGACCAGCTCATCTCCCGCATCGAATACATTCACGCCAAGAGCTTCATCCACCGGGACATCAAGCCTGATAATTTCTTGATGGGCATCGGTAAACGTGGAAACCAAGTCAACGTCATTGACTTCGGTCTCGCTAAGAAGTACCGCGACCCGAAGACTCACTTCCATATCCCCTACCGCGAGAACAAGAATTTGACGGGTACGGCTCGCTACGCCTCCATCAATACCCATCTTGGCGTGGAACAGTCTCGCAGGGATGACATGGAGTCTCTCGGTTACGTCATGCTCTATTTCTGCCGTGGCTCTCTTCCCTGGCAGGGACTCAAGGCTGCTACCAAGAAGCAGAAGTATGACAGGATCATGGAGAAGAAGATGACGACGCCCACCGAAGTCCTTTGCCGAGGCTTCCCCAACGAATTTGCCATCTATCTGAACTACACACGTTCTCTCCGATTTGACGACAAGCCGGATTATAGCTATCTGCGCAAGATTTTCCGGGACCTCTTCGTCCGGGAGGGCTTCCAGTACGACTATGTCTTCGATTGGACTGTGTACAAGTACCAGAAGAATGCTCAGGCTATTGCCCAGGCTGTTGGCCAGGCTGCTGATGACGATGAGAAAGCACGTGCCTCGCGAGCAAACGCCACTGCAGCCACTCCATCTGGTGCTGCCAAGCCTGGTGCCATCCCTAGCTCTCGCCGCAAGATGCTTGAACGTGGATCCGGTGCCGGCGTTGACACTCCCGACACCAACCGCGCTATCGGCGGAAGCGATAGGATGTGAGTTTCTTAATCAAACCTAAAACTAATTTTCAACAACTCTCATTTCTACGAATATGTGGACTTCGCTTTCGAACGTTACGCGGAAACAGACATTTGCTGACAAGTGCGGCTGACTCAGTGGACGATAAACAGGCTTCGCTCTGCTTCAAAAGGAGCGAGATACGCCTCTGGCAGCTACCGACAAGAATGACGTTTACAAGGGCTCAGCTTTCGGGTACCCTTTTGAGACTGCAGCCCGGGATATGATGGAGACGATACTCGCCAGCAGAGGGCAGCCAAAGAACGGCTGCTATGTTGTGGCAATTGCTGGAAGTTCCGTCTCTGTCGCACAAAGCGGCTCTCAGTCTATCTCTAAACAACGCATCACACTATCTTGTTCTTCAACGCATCATACATTTACGACTTCAGCCATGGCTCGGATGGTATTGCACGTGGGAAACAGTATCAAAACAGGCTTACACGCAGTCTGTGCTTGTACATCCCCGTCAATGCTCCATCGGAAAGGCATGTCCGGGAATGCCACGCTGGCATTCCCGAACTTCCTGGCCCATCTGTCACACCGCTGAGAAAGGGAAGCTTCTCGGCTTTCTCTCGTGGTAGACTACGCACCGAACCTCTGTGGTCCTACGAAATCAAGCTCGTCGATGCGGAAGATGCGTTCGGTATTCAGTTTTCCTTGTTCTTTATGTCGCTGTTCGTGTTTTTTTTTTCATCTTGGTATGGGAATCTGGCTTCCTCGGTCTTCTGGTTGATTTTGCCGCAAGCCTGTACAGGCTTGAAGGTGCCACCAACCCGGCTGTAAATCGGGTGCCGAGCGACAGCGCAACCTCGTTGCCTAGTTGTCGACCATGTCGACCCGTTTCCGCTACTCAATCTATATTGACGAAAAGCTCTGCCGTGCCCATACCGGAAAGGATGCCGGACAACTGCGTGCCCGGTGTCAGACGGAAGCGTTCCATAGAACCTGGCAGCTGAAGATCACTGGGAAAATGGAACACAATGGTGGTGGTTATGCATCGCGCACGGAATATCAAAAGAATGCGCTTCAAGACACGCGCTGGAGGAGCCTATTACCCATAGTACAAGTGTGCACCGATAGTTAACAGATTGTTTTATCCCCTATGCTATCTTCTACCAAAGAATCAGCCCGAATGGCTGTTAGCCCACGTAGTTACCCGTAAAGACGTGGTGTAATTTGCGGCAGCGCCCCTGTCACGCGCTCATCACGCGGCCTTTCAGCTCTGTTGGATGGACTGGTGGCTTTTTACCGCATGACCGCTTGGCCCACGATAACTTGCCGCCTGTACGTCACTTGGCTCGATACTTACCTAGAATTTGTAGTCGTAGCGACATGTGGAATAAATTCTATATCAACAGCACTATTAGGAGGTATGTACATAGCCGTTGCCCTATTATTATTAAAAGCTCTCAGCAGTTAGTAGCAGGCCAGCATGTTTCATGCCCAAAATGCAGATAAGCGAACCTCGCCTTGTAACTTCGCAGCGTTGCACAGCCCACTTGTTCCACAACGCAATCGAAGCGCTCCACCCTCCCCTCCGTAGCGTAGCCTTTATACCTACACCCTAGTACTTTCCTACCTACATTACTGAAACCTTCAAACTCTCCCCGACCAGAGTGCGTGCGCTGAGCAGCAAGACGCAATGGCACCGTCGACTGTTGATCTCTTATTTCTGACGTTTAACTGCGCAAAAGCATTGATAAATACGCCGGTTTTCGCGAACCACCTAGAGGTGGCCTTTGGGCAGAATGCCACAGAGCTGCCAGACCTCGTTGTCTTGTATGTATCAGTGGTGCGACGCAATGTCTGTTCCGCGAACTCTGTGCTAACTTATCGCAAAAGGTCTCTCCAAGAAGTTGCACCCTTGAGCTACGCCTTCATCGGTGATTATTTCCTACGGCCGTACATCGAGCGTTTCGACACCGCTATTAACCTAGCCGCTTCCCAGCACGGATTACAGCGCGGAGCTCCTGTCCCCGCCATGTCCACCGCCGAAAGAACGACACAAAGAAAGCGGTACGAGCTAATAAAGTCCAAGAACGTTGGATACACAGCTATACTGCTGTTTGCAAAGGATCCAAGTCGCATTATGGATATTAAAGAGGCAGAAGTTGGTTTTGGCGCTGCTGACATGGGAAATAAGGGTGCCGTTGGCCTCAGAACTATTTATGATGCAGGCGAAAATGGGTTTGCCGAAATGACGTTTGTTGCGACGCATTTGGCTGCCATGGAGTGGAACCTGCCTCGGCGCAATGCTAACTGGGCTTCAATCATGCGGTGCATGACGTTCGGCGACCCGCTGCCTCTGCTCGAGATGATGCGCGGTGGGAAGAACCCTACGGCACCCGAAGGCGACGCGCAAGGGGAAGGCGCAGGACTGCTACAAGGAGAGCAAGTTGCACCAGACATGGACGAGCTGCGAAAGCAACTACACGAGCTATCACTATTCAAACCGTCGTCGCATCTCTTCGTCGGTGGGGATCTCAACTATCGTATATCAACCAGCTCCCCGCCTCCCAACGCTGCCTTTCCTAGCTTGGAACCTGGCTCAGAGAACTACTACCCCAGGTTTTTTGAGCTGGACCAACTTACGCGAGAAAAGGCAGCAGGGAGAACTTTACATGGTCTGACCGAAGCCCCGGTACACTTTCCTCCGACCTACAAGTACGATGTACTAGCGAGTGATGGTAAGGACGAGGACGAGATGGCTCCTGTGCTTTGGAATTTTGCGTCGCATCGCTATCCTAGTTGGACAGATCGTATTCTGTATTTGGACTTGCCCAACTGGGCCACTTCTAAGCAAGTGGGCAGCATGAAGGTCCGTGAGTACGATGCTCTGCCGCTGATGCGAACAAGCGATCACCGACCTGTTTTTCTTCGTATCGAAGCTCCCGTCCTAAGCTTATCGGATCTGACGCCAACCGCAGAGTGGCTGGCCACCTCTACAGATCCCCGAGTACGGCTGCCAACAGAGCTGGACCCGGAGGCATGGCAGCGTCGCATGGTGGCGAGACGGCGCGAGCTTCTTGTGGGCTGGAGTATGTTTCTTTGGAGCACAAAAGAGGGTGCGTGTATCTTGGCCACTTTTTTGATTGCCTCAATTGGCGGTTACTGGGTATATCGCTCGGCATAGAAACTTTCACGCGTCGTCATACGGCATCTATTGAACTGTCTCGTGATCGTAAAGCTCATGAATGCAACAACATTCTGTGTAGTGGTCATCGTCGTTATCGTGTGTGTGGCTCGCCTCAGGTACCATGGACGCCTATCCAGAAATCACTAGTTAACTGCCCGTGCCATGCTCTCTTCGGATGTTGATAGGGCAGAGACCAACCCCACGCCAGCAAGGCGGTTGACCTAGAAGTCCCGGAAGTACTCATCATACTGTTGGGCCATCTCTGATGTATACGTGTCCCGCTTCCCATCGTCCTCTGGATATATATCAAAACACTGAGCATCGCCGGGATAGCGGACGGGCGGGATAATAGGCCCCGAAGTTCGTCGTTGTAGGATATCATCCCAGTTAAGGTCCTGGAAGAAGCAATGCGATTTTACCCTGCCTGCTCCACCACTAATGTTTCCAAGTCTCCGCGAGCGATCGACCGTGCAGAAGGAGCAAATAATGTCCTTCGCCGCGGGGGAAATGGGCGGGTCTGTTGGGAACGTAATAGGCTTCTCTACAATCCTGCAGCGATAATTAGGAACAGCTTTGCGACGACAAGCCACGGTGTTACTCACTGCTTGTATATCTCTAGCGGGTTTTGATGCCAGAATGGGGGATATCCGGTGAGAAATTCGAATAGTAAAATGCCCAGCGCCCACCAGTCCACAGCTGTAGTGTGCCCTTTGTTATGTATCACCTCTGGTGCCAAGTACTCCGGTGTCCCACAAAGCGTGTACGTTTCCACAGGTCGGTCATCATGATGCCCAAGTCGCTTGGCGAACCCGAAATCAACAAGTTTAATATGACCTTCTCTGTCAAGAAGGAGGTTCTCAGGCTTGAGATCCCTGTAAGCCACGCCACCCTGATGCTCGTGGAGAAATTCAAGCACCAAAACGATCTCCGCGGCATAGAATCGAGCAACTGGTTCTTCAAAGTGTCGAAATTTCCTGAGATAGCTGAAAAGCTCACCGCCAGGCACATAGTCAAGGAGCATGTATAGGGAATCGGTGTCGGCGAACGAGGCGATCAGATTCGTGATGAAGGGGTGGCCGGCAACGTCTGCAAGGACAGCTCGTTCGTGACGCACATGGTCGATTTGCTTAAGTTTGATGACCTCTGTCTTTCGGAGAATTTTCAACGCGTACACCTCGGAGTCGTCTTGCCGGTCCAGTGCCACAGTTGCACCAGCCGGCCGGACAAGGCAGACTCGGGCAAAGGTGCCTAAAGCGAGGTCAGTTTCGTGGACAGCAGTGGGGCGCGAGACTGTAGATTGAGGGTACACGAACCTGTGCCGAGCGTTCTGACGAGCTCAAAGTTAGACAGTTTGAGGGGACGCGCTGGCGGCAGCGTGTGCACTGTGCTACTGCCATGAGCTGACCCCTTGGGCTCGGCGCCCGCCATACCATAGCCAGCATGCTGAGCAACAGAAGAAGACGCCATGGTTCGGGTAAAGTGTCGGACTTCTCGACCGTGGCGTGATCAAAAAGCAGTAACCTCCATTCGTAGCCCGTGACCGATCCTGTGAGTACAAACCGCAATGTCTAGCACAGCCAGACGATTGATCAATGCTGCGATCGGGTGTGATCCATGGCCGCAACCAAGCAGACGAATTGGCGGGCTGAAATAAGGTTCTAACTCCAGGTTAAGAGGCGCTTGTAGCAATGTTTGCGCCAGCGGGTTCTTAGGTACAGTTGAGTCCGGGTCAGAAAGACGTGTGTGCGTTGAATGCGATGCAAGGTTTGGATCCTTCGACCGCGACGACATCGACGACGCCGGCGCGAGTGTGCAAGGTGGGGTAGTGGCGGGCGCAACGATGTACCTACAGTCGCGACAGCAGGTACATACAGCGGCTCTGAACGGTACCTCCAGAGTGGAGAGAGGTGCAAGGCGGGGCAGTCTGGGTCAGACAAGTGTGGCTTGACGGCGCAGAAAGAGTGTGGCGCCACGGCCTAGGCCCCCTGAGCAACCTGTCGTGTAGGTACCAATCACATCCCACTAGCGACTGATACAAGCTCTCTCATGTAGTTAGTAGAAGGGAGCTCCACCGACTCGAGTGCAGGCGATGACATAGGTACCACTCGCAGCCACACAAGCGAAGAGAGCATCACATCACGCCCAAAGCCGGAGCAGCCCCGGCGTCGTTTAGGATCTCCCAGTACATCGGGCCTCGCTTGCCATTTCACGGATCGCGCTTCCATCATCTGCACTCACCTACACACGATTTGGTGGGCTCTTCCGCAGTGGCGAGGGTTGAAACGACAACGGCTCCGTTCGTCGCCATGCGCGTCTGGTGAAAAGGCAGAAATCATGTTCTCCAACTTGACCAATATAGTGCAGAAGGCACAGCAGCTCATTGACCCCACGCAAGGACTTAACCTCTCCAGCTCCGATCGAAATCCCTCCAAGGCGTCGCTCTTCCAGAGCCAGTTCCGTCTCCCAGCCTCCCAGAACCCCCTCTACGAGATCACCGCCGAACTGACCATCCCACCATTGAATGGAACAGGGGGCGAGAGAGAATACGATCGAGGCTGGCACTATGCGGGAAAACTGCACCTTTCCGAAGCTTTTATCTGCTTCTCGACGACACCCACAAGTTTCCTGCAGTCGGCGAGCACGAGCACTTCAGCTGCCTTCACAGGCCAGACGCACGGCGGCGGGCCCAGTGGGAATGGTTTTACTTTCCCTCTATGCGCCATCAGGCGTGTAGAAAGGCTCAACAGCCAAAATTTTCAGGTACTGGAGAGGCTCGGGGCTCATAAGGTAGTTGCTAACAGCGCCTATGTAGTTTGCACTGGCCATCACGACCTGGAACGGCCTCCTCGCGGAGAACCAGAAAGACAAGGACACCGGGACGAAAGATAGCAGAGAAACCAAAGAACAGCGAATAACCATTCACCTCGCGGGCTCTAGACAGGCGTGCGAGAGGTTCTGCGACGGCCTGAAGAAGGGCTTACGAGCCGGGGTGGGCAACGTGGGAAAACTGCGTAGGGTCATCGCCGAATGCTACTCGGAATACCTCTTGCGGCCGGAAGAAAAGAGAGATAGTACCCCTCCGGACGCAGGACTCGGTCTCACGTTTCGCTACCCTGGCGACCCGAAGAAATTGAGGGATCGGGCGAAGATGCGACTTTGGGCAGAGTACCTTCGCGACAACGGCCGTGCCGCCACGCTCATTCGGCAGCCTACCTTCCACAAGCTTATTCGGGTCGGCTTACCAAACCGGCTGCGAGGCGAGATGTGGGAGCTGACCTCCGGTTCGCTGTACCTGCGCTTGGAGTCCCCGACTTTGTACGCCGATACGCTAGCTAAGTTCGAGGGCCAGGAGTCGCTTGCGATCGATGAGATCGAAAAGGATCTCAACAGGAGCTTACCCGAATACCCTGGTTTTCAGAGTGAAGACGGCATCGGGCGTCTCCGCCGCGTATTGACGGCCTACAGCTGGGTTAACACGGATGTCGGCTACTGCCAGGCGATGAATATTGTCGTGGCCGCTCTCCTCATATACATGTCCGAATCCCAGGCCTTCTTCCTGCTCTCTGCTCTCTGCGACCGGCTAGTACCGGGATACTACTCCACCACCATGTACGGCACCCTCCTAGATCAGAAGGTCTTTGAGTCTCTCGTGGAGCGCACCATGCCTGTCCTCTGGGAACATCTTGTCAAGAGCGACGTCCAGCTGTCTGTGGTTTCGCTGCCATGGTTCCTTTCCTTGTACATCAACTCCATGCCGCTTGTATTCGCTTTTCGTGTCTTGGACGTCTTCTTCGTGGAGGGTCCGAAGGTGCTATTTCAGGTTGGTCTGGCCATCCTACGCATCAACGGGGAGGAGCTGCTTGATGCCGCAGACGATGGTGCCTTCATATCGGTTCTGAAGACGTACTTTGCGCGGCTGGACCAATCTGCCCACCCCAAGTCCGAGAATCCCAAGCTTCGCGCTGTCACGCGGTTCCAGGAACTCATGGTTGTCGCCTTCAAGGAGTTCTCGGGCATCACCCACAGTAGCATCACAGAGCTGCGTCTGCAGAAGAAGGATGCGGTCCTCAACAATATTGAAAACTTCGCTAAGAGAACGGCTATCCGCAATCTTGGCCCAGACAGCAAGCTTCTCTCCAACAATGAGCTAGCCTCTCTATATGACAGGTTCTACAATGTGCTCTACGAGCGCCAGCAGCGAGATCGTATGATACAAGAGGAGGCGCAGCGTCGTGCCAAAGCCAGTCGGATGCGAGCATCCGAGATCTTCGCCGCTGGTGCCCCGGATCAGGTGGAAAAAGGTCGCGTGGGGCTAGGGCCAAGCACCAGCTTAATGGACTACGACGCCTTCCGCGAGTTCCTCGCCAGCATGTCCCGGTGGGCAGTGTCTGACTCGCCCGGCCAGTCTAGGAGGGGCACCGGGGCGGAGACCGAACGACATGGCAGAGTCAACGGCGGCCGCGGCCTCTCGCGCTCTCCTTGGGGATTTGGACCAGAGCCGGCCGAGCATGAGTTCTTGCAGCGCCTCTTTCAGAAATGGGATGTTGATCGTAACCAGGCGCTCACCTTGCAAAATGTTGTGTCTGGTCTGGCAGGCATCAAAGGCAAGAAAGATATCATGGGCACCATCACGTACTTCTTTGAGCTCTACGACGACGATGGAGATGGTAAGGTTGACCGAGAAGGCATCTTGCGCATCTCAGAAGCGCTCTTGTTCCTATCGCGACGCGGTTTGGAGGGCTCTTTGAATCCGTCAGCCCTGGGCAGCACCGATGGCACTAACGAGCCCTCTGGCAGCCAGGCAGCCAGTGCGTCAGCGAACGAGAAATTCCTTGGGAGCGTCAGCGCCTTCATTCGTCGTTGTTTTGAATATGCAGATCCAGACTGTCCGACGAAGGAAGACGAAAATGAGGATCTAATCACGGTCGACGGTGACCACGGCCAAGGATCCAAGGGCGAAGACGCGTTTTCTGTGGGTGACGATGACGACGACGTCAATGATGATGAAGACAATCCCGGGCCAGCTGCACACGCGGAGAACGACCTACTTGGCCTTGCAGCCGTCGACAATACCGCCTCCAAAGCCGAGGGGAAGGGCTCTTTGAGCCGCGATAACAGCAAGGCAAAGGCAGAAGCCGCCAATGCGGCCTTGGATCCCGCTCACCCACTTCACATTACCCTGCCTACGTTTCGGATGGTAGTGTTGGCAGATGAGCTCTTAGAGCAATTCTTCGAGTCTTCATTCCCCTTGTCATTTCACATCGTGGAAGGAGTTTCAGACACTCTCCCTCCAACTGGCTCTCTCACAACTTTCTCCAGTTTGGGCTTTGGCACAAGGCATCAAGTATCGCCACAGATCGGCCCACCCGGGGCGGGACGGGGACTTCGTGGTGTATTGGACAACATAGTGACCGACGGCATGCGAGTCGCCACGGAGGTGCGACGGCGTATGGAAGAGGCGCAGAGAGAGCTGGAAAGGAATGCGGCTCCTGGCCAACGCGCTTCTGATGATGACGATGATGATGATGACATGGCTCTACGTGCGGAGGTGGTATCTCAGAGTGCAGACATCGAGCGCCGCTCTGTCCGAAGCTCCGACCGGGATTTGCTGGAGGGTGCGGACGCTTCCGCTGGTGCCTCGATGAAAGAAAACGGGGGGCAGTTAGTAGACATGGGAGCAGAAGATGGATCTGTTACCAAATCTGCAGCACATGACGGCGTGGGCGTGGGCGTGGGCGTGGTGGAATTTGACACTTAAGGCAGAGGAGGCATCGTAAGACGAGGAAGGTGTCGGGTTTATAGTTTTTTATCCATTGCGAAGCTGCTCAGAAAGTTACATCAACCCCAACGACTGGGGCCTGTGGCCACGTTTATATGTCGTAGCCCGTGTTGCACATATCTGCCAGAACTTTTTCTATCACTTTCCCATCAGCCTCGGCGCTCATTCGTGCTGCGGCATCTCTGGCATCAACCCATTCGAGTTCAAACCCTTGTTCCCAGGCTTCCCTCGTGTTGTCATCTGGCTTGGTCGCGGAATCACCCTTTGCCGCGAACCAGAATATTATCTTGAACGAGTGCGTGTCCCGACATCGGTAGACGCAGACGGAGGACGGCTCACAGTTGACGAACCCCGCTGTTAATCCATTAGGTGTAACAGTGAGTGTGCTGTCCCCCAACATCATATCCGGTGTTGGTGTCGCTCTTGTAGCAACCTTTAATGGCAGTGGAGAGAAGTCCAATCCTGTCTCTTCGCAGGTCTCGCGAATGGCGGCAACGTGGAGATCCTCGTGAATGTTCTTGCGGCCCTTGGGTAACTGCGTGTAGCCCGAGTTGTGGTCATAGATAATTGCAATCTTCCGCGTTGCAGGATCAACTGGCACACAACCACATGAGATCATAAGATAGTCTGCCGGAATGAAACGTTGGATCTGCTGGTTCTCTGAGGGCTGTTCTCCAGCATCAGCGTTGTCTGCTACCGAAGCTGCAGTATCCGCCATACTGTAGGTGTATTGGTTTGTACAAGAACACGGTCAATGTTGCCAAGGAAGATGAATAGGCATCCACGTATCTATAGTGGTCATCGTAAGATATAGCACGCGATTTCCTAAGGGGGCTGCCTACGATTATGACTCCTCGCCGATAGAAATCTTTGCTGTGGTGACCATACGACACGGAGCTGGACTGACTATTCACAGCAAAGAGCTTCACCGGTGAGGAGTCATAATCGTAGGCAGCTTGATTTTTAGTATAGAAAAGAAAGTATTGTATGTCTGTCTGTCTATGTCTATAATCTACTCGGAATATTAAGTCGCGAGAGAAACTTTAACGAAGCTAATTGAGGAGCCTCTATAACAACAGCAGCATTCTAGTTGAGTTTGGCTATTATTTTGTGTCCTTATTTTATTTCCGAAGGCTCCCTCTACACCTGCAGTGTTCGAAGAAGGTGCTACTATTCGGCTGGATTCAATTAGTTCTTGAGGAGGAAACTTTACTCTGGATTAACGTAGTTCTTTTTCTTTGGCCTAATTACCCTTATCGGTAGCGCGAACACTTTTTTTTTTTTTTTTTTTTTTTTTGGCTCGGCAGCTGAGCCTACCGTACTAAACAATAGAGCTAAAAAGAAAAGAGAACAAAATGTGCTCTACACTTTTTAATGGTTGCTACGAGTCTATAATAATAAAAAGTCTCATCTCGGCCCATTACTTTATTTATTGCAGTAGAATTTACTGAACTTTGGCCGCTCCTGCTTCGTGTTTTTTAGTTCTTTTTCTTTTCGGCTTCGCGGCCCAAGTTTAATATATACGTTTCTTTTTTTTGGCAGGGTTCTAGAATGTTTTGGCAGGTCACTGTTTTAGTTTTAACACAAAGAGCTAAAATAGACTTGTACGGTAGCCATGCCCAGGGCGAGCTCGTCCGCAACATCTCAAGAGTCCTCTGCCAACAACAGTAGCAGGATGGTCACTGTTGCGACAGGATTAACCCGTTCTTAAGAGTCTGCCCACACACTCTGCACATTCAAGTCATCCGTGAGTGGTGATCCTATTACGTAAAGCTGCACTGCACTGGTAGTTGTCTGTAGATTGCAATACCGCTTTTGTCACCATGTTGTTTGTACTGGTCGATAGAGAGGCACCTTGGAATGATGGATATGGTCCCGGGTCCGGTTCTACAGTTGCAACCAACGCCCTGAGGTTGCGTCCGCACACATTTATTAGTCTCATGAATCCGTTAAAAATAACCAAGGTGCCTACTAGGTAATAATGCGGCCGCTCCTCGTGGTGGATCGTCAATAAAAAGTTAGTTTATCCAACTGAACGCGGGTGCTAAAGCGGGACAAACAGCCCCCTGGCAGCCCCTTTTTGTGCCAGGGGCTTGTCACCCCACGGCGCCAGAGGCCAAGTCCTTTCAACACCCTCACCCAGACACGCAACCAGACACTCAATCAGACACGCAACCTCATCGACCGTGATATCTCGGTATTTTGTGAACTTCTCTCAACCATACGCCAGCAGCATCCTGCTGCAACAGAACACCACAATGTCAACCGCTGGCTCTTCTGAGCCGCCAGGTAAGAGTGCAGGCACTTCCTCAACAGGTCCGCTGCCGGGACCCCGCGGTCGCAGACACATGTTTCGAAGCGGGTTGTCTCGTTTCGAAATACATCTCTAATCTCCTTCGATAGGACATCAGGGAGTCAAGAGAACTCACTTGTCTGCAAATCTCCTCTCCAACAATCCATTCCGAAACCGTGCCGCCTCTCCGTCAAACGTCGCGACCGGCGTGTCAAATTCTCCGTTTGATGACCCTGCGCCTCACCGACCGCTTTCGCGCAATCCGTTCCTCGATCAACCTCCTGCTGTACGCTCACCGGGCGTAGCATCTACCCATTCCGACTCTCAGAGTTTGTCAGCGGAGGATATATTTGTATGTGCGGCAACAGACCGTCCTTGGCAGCCCGCAGCTCGCGCATAGCACCTGCTTGCAGCCCCAGGCCGTCTGGTGCCTCCTTCCAGAGTCGTGCCGCTTAGCTGTGATGAACGCTACTGACAACGAGTATCGTGCAGAATTCATTGACTCTAGACGATAGCAAGCCTGTAGATTTTCAGCCATCATCTCTACCCAACGCGAGGCGACCAATGGAACGACGCGCACCGCCTCCCCGTCCAGGCGAGAAGCCTGGACCTCAGCCTCTGCTCAATATGCAGAAACATCGGCCAACAAAATCCCAAGAAGAGGCTCTCAGAGCAAAGAGGCAGGCCCAAGGCTTGCAGCCTGGGTCGTCAAAATCTCCTCAAAGAAAGCCCCAGCGCCGTCCGCGACGCAACTCTGAGTCTTCGGTGATGGATTTCGATATAAAGCCCATCACGGAGGAAGAGCGGAAGATGATTGAAGAAAAGCGGCGCGGAAAGGACAGGCTGCGGCGTGAGGGCCGCGATGGAAAGGATAAAGGCCGGTCCGGCAGACCGAGCCGCCGAATCGACATAATTGACCAGCTCGATGCGACAAGCATCTACGGAACTGGACGTAAGTACTCTCGCGACTGTCGGGCCGGATACATGATACTAACAAGCTGGAAGTGTTCCACCACGATGGCCCTTTCGATGCTCTGAACCCGCACCGCAATCGACAAAGTAGCCGCCGCGCCCCGATGCAAGCATTTCCAAAAGACTCCCTCAACAACTCTCTTGGCGGTTCTGGGCCGCTGAATCAACAACCAGACCATTCAACGTTCATGGGGCAAACCGACGAGGCATTCAGAGACTATGCTGCTGGCGCTCGAGCCAAGGATGCCGCCATATTCAATCCTGTATCTCGTGGTGAGGTGATTCATGGTAACGAAAGCCATGGACTCGGCACCTCGACTTTCTTGGAAGGAACCCCGGCCGCTCGGGCGGCTATTGCTCGACATCGGGCCGAGGAGGCGCAGGAGGCAATGACGGTGGGTATACAGCGAAAGAAATCTTTGGCGCACCGCATCCGTCATATGAACAAAGGTCCCCGTGAATACCACGGCACCGGACAATATTCACCTGACACAATGCCGTCTCGACCTGCTGACGGCTCTGAGCCCAATCAAAGCTACTTCGCCGAATTCGGAAAGGGCGAGGATAGCATAACGGTACAACGTCGAGACGGCACACTTTCGCCTGTCAGTCCGCCGCAGGTCCCAAGGCGTGGTTCTGGTGCGACGCTTGAAAGGCGAGCCACGACAGATGCTACCAGCCCAGCAGAGGAGGCTCCTGCAAAGCAAAGCAGCCTTCTGGGAAGAATGAAGAGCTTGAAGGGTGGTAGAAAGCCCAGGAATGTAGACAGTGTCAACAACACTTCAGCGAACCAGGGCTGAACCTGCAAAGGTGCCAACGACTGAACAGCGGACGAGCAAAGGACACCATTGACTATGCCATGATAGCCGAAGTGTGGCGGTGTTCGCAGCAGGCACATCAGTTTTACCACCACTGAGTTGTGGCAGGAGACTGGTACGAGTCTGCTGCGGACCGGTTCTGTTCGCGGAAACGTGTGAGACGCCAAAAATGGTTATTCCGACAACAACACAGCAGCTGAGGAGGCTGGCTTTGGTCGGTGATCGTCACAACGACGGGTGGGCCGGTAGTAACATCGATATTCCTATCTGCAAATGCAGAAGTAGTTCTAATGACTCAATTGACAATCCATCAAGTTGCTGTTGGTGTTGAATATGTACGACGGACCATGTTACCGTAACACGCCTTGATGTAGGTGGGGCTAGTTTGGACCACATCACCAGAGGGCCACGGACCTATTGACACAATTAGGCCCGATAAGCTACCAGCAAGTAGGTTGTTCCACCGTTTTACTGTACACGACAAGGCGTGCAGGACGTTGTTTATCAGCTACATCTAGCCTGGCGGAGATGAATCCCTTTGATGCTTCGACACCGCCTGCAAATGACTCGTATCGCGAGCCTATTCCCGTTTGCGCGCCAATGCTCGCCGAAACAGAAGCAAGCCTGCATAATCGTCTTGGCAGGTTGCAGCCAGTCAAGTATGGGTGTACGGACCTGGACAGCACGATCCTTTTTGGCGGACTGCAGAGAGGCTCCATTGTAGGCATCAGCGCCGACGACGCAGATGGTTTTGGTCTACTGGTACGTTGCCTTCCCCCGGACCTTCCAGGACGGATGCTGAAGCGCTCAGATGGGGTTGCAAAGTATGATACGGGCAATCCTAGAAGGCTCAGTGAATTGCGCATTGGTTATAACGCCAAAGCCGCTGGCATCGATATCAAAATTGATCGTGGAGATTTCAAAATCTGAGTTGTCAAAACACCGATTGAACCCAGTCCAAACTCAAGAGAAATGCCGGGCTGTGCTGGATAGCGTGTTGCTTTCAGTCGTCTTTGACATAGACGGCATAAGGCAAACGCTATACGAGTTTCCACAACCCCTCACCGCACTTGCGTCTCCTTCTACTACTCTTGAGAGACCGGAGGGAATGCCCATCCCCATCTCGGAAAGCGAGGGTGAAGACACGTCACAATCCGTTGGACAAGTTCACGCCACCCCGTGCCAGCAATCAAGCGCGTCAGCGCATGAAGCTCATAATTCGCGCTCGTCAGCCAGATGCATTCCAGAAGTCATTGTCGTGACGCATTTCTCGGCCCTGCTTAGCTCTCTCTTTGCCTCGAGAGAGAAGACGGAGGCTCATAGATCACTGGCAGTCTTGAGAGGGCAATTACGTAGGCTGGCTCATTCTTCGATCACGAGTCCTCTGTTACTCCTAGTCAATTCTACCACAGAAGAGACTAGTAGCAGGTATAAAGAATCAACTTTAGACCTCAGCAGCTTGATTTCGAATCACAGGAGCCCCGAACATATGCCGCATTCGATATTCGCCTCGGTGCGTACCCTACGCCCTTCCCGACCAAGTTTCGGTCTCGTTTTCAACCAGTTTCTTGATTTACATCTTCTCTGTACTGATCTTGAGAAAAATCAAACAAGTAAAACATTCTTACCTGAGAAATCCTTCATCTCAACAAAGAAGGGCCGTCAGGGCCACTCTCCTACGTTGGTAGAAGTTCTGCAAGACGATCTAGGACTCCAAACGGCCCATTTTCACAGACATCACGAGCAGCGATGGGCCGTTTTCAAAGTGTCTAACCTGCAAATTGTAAATGGTTGTGAGACTTGACACCAGAACCACGTGGTAGGCTAGTATTTGCAGAAGTTGACAGTTACCAGTTGTGTCAATCCAAATCAATGCTCATGAGTTGCAAGTTCCCACAACTTTCTCAATAGCTCATGATCTGTCTTTATTGTATAGAGTTCAACTATAGCTCAAACACAGTCGGCATGATTGAAAAGGGAATTTTTGGATCAAAGTTACATATCTTGCGACGCCTTCTCTACACTTGATATGATGTTGACCGAAGTATAAAAAAGACATCCGGAGGAAAACTATCTGCCGCCGAGGACGTAGAATCCCATTAACAATCAAATGCACAAAAAAAAACACTTCGCTCATTTTCGCTTCTAAAAAAAAGGAGTTGAACAGCAAATCCTATTGCAGCTCGTTTGCTGGGATATGAAACAAGCTCCCATACAATCAGGGCGAAGACGAGCCAGGAACATCCGAGCGTCTATTGTTCTTCCAAAAGTCAATTGCCTCCACGACGTCTTCGCCCTTTTCATCCTCGTATGCATACAAAATCTGGTGATGGTTAGTTTAGCATTGCATGGGCGGTGGGGGCTGTTGGAATACCTCATGAGTACTGCTGTGCAGCATCCTTATACTCTTGTGCGGCACAATATGGACGGTGCCATTTTCAATGTTGCGCAGTTCGATGAAATTAGGCTCGAAAGCGAGAATAAATGGATAGCTCAATGCGAAGCTCTGTGGTGCGCCTTCCCAGTCAATTCGCCACTCTGGCCGAGCTCTCCAGCCATTGCGATTGACGAAGAACGAGAATTCCGAGTAGTTGAGCAAGAACTCGCCATTCAACCGCTCAATGTGAATAGGCCGCACTCCCTCCCTCCTAGCGACGAAATCAAGGGAAGTGTCGGCTTGATCAAGAAGAGATTGCGTCTCAAGAGTTTGCAAGGACACGACTTCGAATCCTCTCGCACACGCCACACAAAGAACCGACTTGAGAAAATGGACTGATGTGGATTCCGTGGGGATGTAAAACTCCTTGAATGGTCTAAGTTCATCATGACCACTACTGATAAACTTACCAAGTCCCTTTTGTTTCTTTCCCTTCGTCATCGCGTCATTAGGTTCGAAAACTTTGATGGTGGTCGATAGTGTGGTGGACTTAACGCAGCAAACAAGGTGCCTGCCTAAGCAGATTCCAGTCTTGAAGAAGCTGCAGTGGTTCTGTATCTTCTTCGGTCTCTTAGCCAAAGCTGGTTCGTCGGGGTTCAGAGCTGACAAGGCGTATGACTGTAACGTCTTGTTTGACAGAACAAGGAGTAACTGATATTCCTCCAATATATCGATTTGCGTGACGTTCGGCGTCTCAAGAACCCGTCTCGGCAGTTGCTCCTTTACTTTGCGATCGGAGACATAGATACCGCTATCAGTGCCGTAGAGTAATTTCCTCCCGCCGTCTGTAACCGGTTAATACATATTCTCTCCACCGCTAATCAGGCTTCTCTTACCAAACGGCGTAACACAGTTCACCTGGTTGGTGCCTCCAAAAAAATTGCTCGAAATTGGAGTCGTGTTGAAGAAATCGGCGCGAGCGCGAAGGCGCTGCTGGGCATTGTCGATAAACTCTAGCCATTTCTTTCTTGCTGCTTGATTAGAGGCATAGAGAGTCTGTTCGTAGCCCGCTTTCCCTAAATGTCGAAATGTGATGGGCCAGCCTTCGCCCTTCTTGGTATCTGACGCGGTTGTTCGGATTGACGGAATAAGACTTGAGGACGATCGTTTTATCGAGCCCTGCAAAGGTATCACTTCGTCCATCTCTCGAATCGCAAGGAGCTCCAGAGGTATCGGTCGCCGGTACGCAGTGATGTCTTCTATCTTCCCCTTTTGCTTGATACGAACCAGCAAAACGGCATGATCAAACAGGAATGCTGTAATCTCAGCTGGGTCTGTCGGTGACTTCTTGAATTGACTCTTGAAGACGAGTTCACGTCCTTCTTCAGTCAGTCGAAGGTCAACCTTTTCGTTTGGTTTAAAACGTAGCTGCTCGTGCAAGCGTCTCAGATTGAAACGATTCTCAGCCTTGCCAGATTCTGCATTCACGCGGCCAAGGAGATCTCTGATCATGGTGAGCACTTTGGGTATGTCAGCTTTATCGGGATTGTCATCCTCTGTATATTTGAGGACATTTTCAAGCAGGAGGGGGTACCGAGCCAATCGAGTGGTTGGCTTGGTCAAATACCCGTTGAGTTCGAGTTTGCGGGATTCCCTCTTTCTCTCAATTTCATCGACAAAACCGGAGAACTGCTGATTTATTGACCGCTCGTTTTCAAACCCGAATTTGCCCTCAAGCTGCTTGGATCCGTACCAGATGAAGGGCTCAAACTGGGGTACAAATTCCAGGAAAACATCACCGATGTTATGAACAATCGGATCCTTCTGTTGACGGTTGGTGAGAGATGATGCGAATCTTGAGCTGACAGTATGTATGCTGGGGTGGTCGATGATGTTGCTGAAAATTGTTTTGACGACCTTCTCGCGACGTTGTGGGGGTATTGGCGACTGCTTTGACCTCAGAGGGAGAATCCAGAAGTCGCGCAAATACTCAAGATCCTTGACGAAGTCTCTTTCTGTGTAGCAGATCTCAGAGATGACTTCTTGCCTCTTCTTTTCTCGCTCGCCAACAGCATCCGCTATTTCTTTCGGTACTGAGTTGATCCAGAGTTTTTGCTCATCAGTCTGGTCTGCCTCATCATCGTGCAGGTTTGTAGCGTCATCTTTTCGAAGTCCAGGGTTGATTTTGAGATTCAAGCGTGACACCTGTTCCAATCTGCGAGGACACGCAATCGAATAACAAAGTTGCTCTCGTGTACAAGTAGGCGAGTAGCATTCGGAAAGTAAGACGAAGACACCATTAACGGATGATTTTTCTTCGGGCTCGTCCACCAAGGTTTCTTTGAACTGATACATCTCGGACTGGGAGTCTCGCAGGCGATGCTCGTAGGTAACATCATGGAAGAATTTTTGTGCATCCAACGCACGACCAAGAAGAAGTGCAAGATTTCTATCCGTCGTTCTGATAATGTAAGACAACACATCGACAGCCTCAGAGCCGCTAAAGGCATTTTTGTACGTCAGTTCGTTCTTGGTGCGGTCTCCGACGTAGATCTTTTGTCTAAAACACTCGGCGACTCGGGAGAGTAACGCAGGATAAACAAGCGGGGGGCGAATTTTTGTTGCCGTTTGTGGGCGCTCGCTCTCGATAGATTTGCTGCGAGATGGGCGTTGCACAAGTGTCGCTGAATCAGAGTCGGAAGGAACAACAGTAGGCGCAATACTAGATGCCATAGACATAGTTCGAGCATGCTCGTAGGTGCTTGTCGATGAAGCCATGCTCGTAGTTCTGCCTTGCGCATGTGCATACGATCCACCATGTGGCATATATCCGTTCGCGGTCTGTATGTCTGACGGCGTTCGTCGGTTGGGAATGATGCGCCCGCTCATCGTCTGATGGGCATCTCTATCTTGCATGTTGTATGGGCCGGTCATTGACATGGATCGATCCTCGTGCCTTTCAGGGACAATACGGCCCTGGGCAGTGGTCCTTGCAGAATGCGGTTGCGAATAGGGGGCCTGGCGAGATTGGTTTGCAGGCGACTGTTGATAAGGATGTTGTGACTGTGGGTAAATTTGAGGTCGAGAGGTGGAAGCCAAGGATTGAGACCGATAAGAGTCGGTGTTCAAGGCAGCTCTGTGCGGTATCTGATACGTTCTATGCCCAGGGTGCCTGCCGCCTGCCGCCTGGGGTGGTCCGCCACCTCGAGACTCCATCCTGGGAGGTATCGGGCCTCCCGGATTTGGATACTGGCGTCGTTCCTGCGGCATGAACTGATTTGGTGGATACTGCCCGCCAGAGATAGATCGTTGGCCTTGGTAATAGCCAGCAGGCATATTACCTTCGGAGATCCGGCTGCCAGCGGAGGCTGGGTACTCGTGCTCACCATAGTAGCCTTGGAGATGCCGCTGCTGAGGAGGGTGCCGGGGAGCGTTCGGCGGACCTCTTCCTTGATCCATCATCGGAGGTGCTGTGGATGAGGTCATGGTTTGCGACCTTCCTGGCGGTGGCGCGGCGCCAAATATATTAGAGAAGGCAGCATCGCGCTGTGAGTTGTTGTCTGGGTAGCCTCGTGGCCGTGGTGGGGGTCGCGAATCGTAAGGGTAGTCCGCCATAGCTATAGATATGTCAGAGTTCAGTCACTTGTTGGTGAGATAGGTTTTGTGCACAAAGAGGTGGTGACAGTACCTTGGGGGTGGTTTGGGCGCGACCGAGATAGAGAGGCAGGCGAATCTACTAGACAATCTCACCACCAAGGCCAAACTCCGATGGGAACAGATACGCGGTGGTCGTGTAATTTGTAGTCCAGAAGGTTCGCGCTGGATTTGGCTTTCGTCGTGTCAGGTCAGCTGTAGACGCTTCTCAACCCAGGTCTGTGTTGGTAGGTGCGGCGGTTAAGAGGGGGCAGCCGCAAGATGAAGAGAGGTTAAGACAGCAGTATCGATGTGTAGGCCCGGAGTGAAACGGTTTGTCCCTGGACAGTTGTCTCTCCCACCCGCGTCGTACTTTTGCAGTATGTCTCGATCAGGTCGCGCCTTAGGCCTCGCCGACGCCGTGAGGGATTGGTTGCGAGCTGTCAATTGTCTTTGTATGTGGCTTAGACCATCTTCGCGTTGTACCTAGTGATTAAACCGCGCCACAGCACCGCTGTGGCGCACGGTGGCTGGTAAGCTCAGGGCCAAAACCGGACGCGAAAGGACACTTTGAGTGATGCATGAACCGAGATAGACTATACCAAAATCTATAAAAAATGATTCTTTCTTTTGGGTCACTGATCGAACCATACTCTGGCCTCCAAATTAACAAAGTAATAAGCGCATTGCTGCTTTACCTCTGAGATTCTCGGACTATGAGTCACGTGCATAAATGGGACACAGCTGGCTGGTGTAGCTAAGCAGGCGCCAATCATGGCAGCCACCTACCTACACCCTGCCTAGACGCCTAGCTCCTGTGTTCAGAGTGACGTGCATCATCCAACAGGCAACACTCACACGCAGCGTCCGGCATATTCACACTCAATATGGATTCAGAGGTTGCTCCAAAGTTTGCGCCCTTCATTGGCATGGTGAGAATCCGGAAGAAGCCCTGTGGCCAAACACCTCTAACACATTGACTAGGGTGGCATCGCTGCAGCAATGGTTTTCGGATGTACGACCGATCCTTCCAACCCCGATTATACAATATCAACTGAGAAATTTTGACTGATCTTCTACAGCTATCGGTGCTGCATATGGGACCGCAAAATCCGGTATCGGTATTGCGGGAGTGGGCACCTTCCGACCTGACCTGATTATGAAGGTAGATTTCTGGCTCGCACTATTCTTTCTTCCCGGACTCAACGCTCTAACTCTCGCAGTGCCTAATTCCCGTCGTTATGTCAGGCATTATAGCTGTCTACTCTTTAGTCATATCGGTCCTGATCGCAGAAGACTTAACACCGCCATCCGTGGGAAGCTACAGCCTGTTTGCGTAAGTGTGAATCATGCATCGTGATGCACAAATGCAACTTACAATCACCGCTAACACTTAGTAGCGGATTCCTACATCTTGGTTGCGGTATCGCTGTAGGAATGACAGGTCTAGCTGCGGGATATTGCATCGGAGTCGTAGGTGAAGCCGGCGTTCGAGCATATATGGAGCAGTCGAGGGTATTCGTTGGCATGGTACTGATTTTGATCTTCGGAGAGGTTCTTGGACTCTATGGGTATTTGATGTCTACCCTTGAATTCCGTTGCACGATTACTGACTAGATTGATAGACTCATCGTGGCGCTGCTTCTCAACACTCAAAGCAAGGGCTAAAACACGGCTCAATTGTCGCCGCTGGCAGCAGGCTACTGTGCGAGTTGCAGTTTTCTGCGCCGTGTCAGGGGTTGTGTTGTGACCGACTATACTGTACGATTTGGGTGACGTTTGGGGAGGCTTAGCATAGGACGGCTGCGAAGTCGATATTCCTCGGACTTGTGTATAACTGTCTCGAGGTGGTAGAATACCAAGTCATGATGTACATTAACTTCGAATACTGATCGCTGTTGTCCGCCCGGGATGTCCCAGTCATGCCTATGGAACCCCTGCGTGCACTGGACGAACACCACGGGTGTGGCGTCAATGAATGGGTAAGATGCGCTCGCCAATTCGGCGGGAGAGCCGTCTTCGTTGAAGGGCATCAGCCTCTCCGCGTATTCTGGTCCAGCTACGCTCTCGCTCTTCCCAACCCCTCATCTGGGCTTTCGCGGCCGTTAGGTGCATTTCTGTTCCTCTCGATATGACGGCATAGTTTGTACTGACCAATTAACCAGTCCCACTGCCGTTCTTCCTGCTGCAGCGTTGTGCTTGATGCTTCTCTCGCAAGCCGTTCCCTCCTGGCTTCGGCGGCAGCCTGCTCGCCCACCAGGTATGGATCCTCGAGCGGCCGAGAAGTCTCGTTGTGGGCTGCGTTCCGCTGCTCAGTCAGTCTTGCTGCTCTTTGGCGCTCTGGTGAGCCGGCTGTTTGGTATCTTCCGTCTACCACACGACGCTCGGCCACCTTCAGATAGTGCCTGGTGGTTGGCGTATCAGCAGCCGACCACATCGGGAAATGCGGCGGCACCCTAGTAGGCGGGCGTGCCGGTATAGGTGGGAGACCGATCGTTTCGGGCCGAGCAGACTCTCTAAGACGCTGGTCAACCTGCGACCCTGCTTCTACGGTGAGGTTGCTTTGGGTGGGGATTGGGTGTCTTCCAGGCGTGTAAAGTGGTGCCGCATCCGCGTTTGGGACGGTCGAGTGGTATGACGGCGTGTCGGATACTATCCGTTGGATTAGCCGACTGCGCTGTGCGGTCTTCTCGTTTGCGAAGACTCCCTCGCTCGGTCTGTCTCATGATCATCTTCCTCGCTCACCATATGATGGGGCCGCCGATCTGATCGAAGCCGTTTCTAGGTCTTGTGTGCTGTATCTTGGTGCAGTGTTTGCCACAGGCATCCTTATTCTCTGTTTCGCTACTAGGTAGCTGCCAAGGTGTACATACACTGCCCGGTGATGGTCTGCGTATGGTTCTATTGATAGTAGAGGTGCAGAGTGTGCCTTGCGAGCTATATGTTAACAGCTCATTTCCTTCATGTGCGGGGGAAGTTCTGACTGTGTACAATATTGACCTCCTCTCATATGCGGCGCAGTGGACCTGTATTAGTAACTGCATGTTGATATGATTTGGGCGTGGGCACGCGACCCCGCCACGCAGAGCGTCATGGTGATGAGTGACCTCGGCGGCGTAGTGGTTATCTGTTGCATGGAAAACAGCCCTCTAGTGGCGTGATGAATGGCTGGTGGCTGAGAGATAGACCACTTACATGGCATTGAGTCGCGGTTTTAGTGGCCCATAAGACTGGCGCCTTGTCGTCTGTTCTCCCTTTGGTGTTAGTTCGTCTTTTTATCGCGACGGGGTATCACATGCTGAATTACGACCACCAACCGCTTCCGCCTTCGTCACGGATGCTGCGTGGTTATTCTTTCGTTCATGTGTGAGCCTAGTATGTCTGCAGTGGTTAATGCATACCTGTCCTTTGCTGCGCGGCATTGAATAAGGTTACTGATGGCTCATTTCTCCAATACAAAGGCGTAGTGGGGTAGATGCTGGTGCACACGACAGCCTGCCACTGGGTGTGGAAGGTTTGCCACGACTGCGAGCAAAGTAAACGTGAACCGCAGAAAAAAAAAACCAGACGATACAAAACAGGTAGAAACGCGCACTACAGCACCTACGCATCCGGCAAGTCATACAAACTTCCCATGCGAGGGAGCCCCCCAGGTATAGGGTAGCACCACCAGCGCGACGGACTGATTAACGCGTCTCCGCAACCGCCCGCCCACAACGGCAACGGACCTCTGAAAGTAACACACCACCATCGACAATCAGAAACGCATGCAACCGTCAACTGGCCAGCGAATCGAGAGCGGCCCCATATAGCCGCGGCGAGAAGATGGATGCGCATTCACGAAATCAATGGGAAACCGACAACTCCCCCCCAAGTGCGCAACAGAACACGCGTCGAAACGCGGAGCACCCCCCGCCCGGCACCAAGAGAAAAAGGAACCATGGCAGTGCAGAGGGCGGTTCAGATGCAGCGAGCCGCGACCAAACACCAGAGAGCATGGCTAGCTGCGACGAGGATGTATACGACCCCGACCAGCCGCTTGCAGAGCGCCGGAAGGTTCAGAAAAGCTTCAGAGAACTCCTCCGCGATATAACGGAAAACTCGGAAGAATACCTCCAGTCCGGCTCACATGGACTATACGACGCGATAATCAAGGCAAACGAACTCACGAAACAAGTCAGGCAAACGACAGAAGCCACGATTGACTCGCGACTACTCGTCAGCACGACAGATCTCTCGTACCGGAAGACGCTACGACTCACACAGGGCAGTCTCTCGCAAGGCATTGACGTGGATGAACTCGTCTCTAAATGCATAACATTCATGCGCCAGGAACGCGGAAGTTCGGGCGGAGGGGAAGACGAAGACGGGGACGAAGAAGGCCGCACGACGACACAGCGAAGACATAGAAGGGAAAACTCCAACGGAATGGATGACCCCGAAGACAGGGATGGCGATATGATGAACTGGGATCACCTAGGCCGATTCGCGTGCCTCCCACACCTAAGGAGACCAGCATTAGCTGGACTGCTTCTCGGTCCGCTATCGGTGGAGAGGAAAAAACGAAGAATTACAAAACGCAGTGCTCCGTTCAGACCGAACAATCTTGCTGAAACGCGACCAGAAATTCTGAACACAGAAGACTTGGCCAAGAAAGGAAACGATCTCACCGCCATATGTGGCAAGATATTCCAGCAACTTCAAAATACACAAGAGCAGCTGCAAGAGGCAGTGGCCGAGGCCATACAGGACGAGATGAGTGACGAAGAGAAAATAGAGATAATGCACAGACACGCACTCCGGGGGACTGGCGGTATAGATCTCATGAGATTCGTGGTCAACCCTAAATCGTTCGGACAAACAGTCGAGAATATTTTCTATGTTAGTTTTTTGATTCGGGACGGAAGGATTGAGATTGAATACGACGAATACGATCTCCCTGCATTAGGTAAGTTCGATGCGCTCTTGCACGTACCAAGGAAGCAGCTCACAGAAAGCTCACAGCGCCTGTTCTTGGGGAGGAACACGAGGATGAACTGGCTCGTCAGAGTTCTGCAAAGCACCAGGCAGTATTATCCATCGATATGCAGGCCTGGAAAGACATAGTCGAAATTTTCAAGATCGAAGAGCCAATGATCGAGCACAGGCAAGAACCTGTAAATAACGGCCCTGGGGCGAGAGGTTGGTATAGTTGAATGCTGACAAGCACGTTTCATCTGAATGCTATGCACGTTTGATGGCAAGAGACAAACCAGAAGGTGAATGAAAACCTGCCTGCACATAAAGGGCCTTTCACTCGAAAGCAAAGCGTCGGCACGAAGCGATGCAGGCAGGGAATGTCAAAGGAAACTATAACGACCAAGGAGAAAGTATTTCTGGGAAGGACAGCACCAATGTTAACTCTCCTGTTGCATAAGTGGATTGTCATCATTTGGGGACACACTAAATTGTACATAAGAAGATCAGCCGCTTCTTGCTTCTCAACATACCGGGCTTGCAAATTTGAAAATGAAATTCCATCGCAAAAACCTCACCCCGCGTGCCCGACAAGTCAAAATGGATCACTTAACCAATACGCCACAGCCCGTCACTGAAGCTGACGATAGCATCATGAGCTCCGGGCTTTCTGAAACAGAACAAGAAGAACAGGCTTGGAGAAAACAGCAGACTAACGCGCGGTTACTGGCTGTCAGAAAAGCGCAAGACGCCCAGGACGAGGCTAACGAAAAAAGCCAGTACATCAGCGACAGCGTACCCAAAAGCGACCGAGGCGGGCAAAAGAAGCATAAGTCAATCAAAAGAGAGGCTCTCGCGGCTGGTTGGGCCGAAGTCGTAGCCGCTTGGGGCAAAGTCAAAGCTCATGAACAGAAGCTGGCAGAGGATGAGCGAGATCTTGCCGAGAAGAAAAAGGTCCTTGAAGATGCACAGCGGATGGTTGGGGCTATGAGTGCAGAGAGCGATATGCGGAAAAGCCTCAGCAGCACAGACAGAGAAATGAGAATGGGTGGCGAGCAGGAAGCGTCGTGCTACGGCGATGCAGTACTATCACAAAACGGAGAGAAGATAGATCCTGCAAAGTGGCTGAAGGATGACAACCTCGGGAGTCCAATCGACAGAGAACTGCGGATGACCCATTGCAGCACATTGAAAGGTGAGGAGTGCTTAAAGGAGGGCATCGCTCTCGCGCCGTCATTTACGGGTCATCCTGCTACGACCAGCACCACCACGGCAACTTCAACAAAGGGAGTTAACAATCCAGGCTACCCTGCGCGCCTTGGCAAGGAGGAGAAGCTAAAGGCTCCCAACGAAAGGCCAGCGTTGAGGCAAGTCGGTTTGAAGCCACCTGGAGGCGCACGCAATAATGATGCAGAATGCAAGGCGTGTGGGCTAATGAGAGCCGCCCATCTGCCGCGGTCTCTAGACTGTCCTGGTCGGGCTCTGACATGGTCACTTTGTGCCATTCTCCTGGCTGTTGGTATTGCAATGATCATCGCGGCATCCTTGCAGTTACGGGAAGCCAAAAAGGAGCGAAATTTGTGGCTCCAAGCGAACGGACTTACGAGGGCGTACTTGCTGGCGATAGCTCCCGCGGGTAGCGTTGACTAATAAGGAACTAATAACAAGCTTCCAAAAGGTGGCGACGGACGAATCGGACCAAAGTTTGGGTGATTGATAAGCGCGAAGGGTCTAGTGAGGGAAGTGGCTGAGGAATGCCCTGCTATCTAGATAGAATAGGAGGAATAACCATTCCAAATTCACATGTTTCGTAATATTTGGCTCTCCAAGGCTGCTGACTTTGCTGACCGGGCAAGGCTGATGAGGTAACTATGTAACAATTGCGCTCCTAGATATAATCAAGCAGGTCATCGATTGCTGTACCGAAGTGCACCGATTTACATATGTACATACATACATACATACATACATAGCTTCCATAATTCATTAGCAGGCGCCACGAGCAGTTAGTGCTAATAGCTATTAGTACATATCTGTACGTACCCGTAGGTAGTGCCGCGATTTGGAATTCGGTACGTGCCTACCTATCGAAACTAGTAGGTAGCCCCGGCCGAGCCGATGCAGTGATGCAGTGATGACATATACAATAGTTACCTTAATAGTGCCAATGTTGACGCTTCTCAAATTCGGTGGCTACTTAGGGTAGGTACTAGGCTAGGAAGTTAGTGGGTAGATTAACAGGTAACTAGTAAGTTAAGGGTTCTGAAGCAGTCGAGGCTGGCCTGGATCCGCCAGCCGCTTGCATCTCTTAAATATAAAACTACAGGCTCGTCGCTGGTCTGTCAGCACACATGTTTCGAAATACCAGCTGCCGCTTTATTTCCACACGTATACGTCTAGCCTGTTGTGAGAGATCACTGTGCACAATGTCGGCAGAGCTTATTCCTCCCAACCCATCGGATGTCATGGTCATCCGCAATGTCACCCCCAACATTGCGACGTTTTCTGTCCCGTTTGCTAGATTTGGCAAAGCTAAAATCGGCGGTCGAGGAACGCTTGGTTAGTGAATCGCAGAGCCATCGCCAGACCGTGCAATGACTATGGGTTTAGGCTTGTTAGCTAACGTCTTGCTACAGTGAAATTGACATCGGGTTCCTTGGCTGCGTTTTCTCCGGTAGCACTCACAGACGCAACCAAGGCCAAGGTAACCGAAATGGGCGGCAAAGTCGGCTACCTGGTCGCCCTGGATATTGAGCACCACATCTTCCTATCTGAATGGGCGAAGGAGTACCCCGGTGCCAAGATCATTGGACCTCATGGCTTGCCCGAGAAGCGAGCCCAGCAGGACGACCCAAAGATTGGAAAAGAGGAGTTCGCTGTCGTGTTTACGCCAGAGAAGAAACGCGAGACCAAAGTCAGTGAAGAGTTCGATACCGATTTCGACTACGAATATGTTGATGGCCATGCCAACCGCGAACTTGTGTTCTGCTACAAGCCCGAGAAGGTCTTGATTGAAGCGGACCTGTTGTTTAACTTGCCTGCAACTGAACAGTACAGTAAAGTACCAGAAGGCGAACGACAAGCATCGGGTGTGGTAGACAAGCTGTTTACCAAGCTTCAGAGTACCGAAGGTCAAGGCAAATGGATCAAGAGGTTCAATTGGTACGTTCTTGCCAAGGATAGGCCGAGCTACAACGATAGTCTTAAGGTGATTGGTGGCTGGGATTTTAATACTTTGATCCCCTGCCACGGCGATGTTATTGAGGGTGACGCAAAACAGGTTTTTGACAAGATATTCAACTGGCACTTGGATGGGAAGAAATGAGCGCAACATACAGATAGTGCAAAACTTGGCAAAAGTTTAATTGGGAGTTTGGTGGAAGCGAATGGGTGTGCGAGTTCATGATGTTATACCCCAGATGTATCTTGCATTTGTCGCAAAATGAGATGGAAACTTTCTGTCAAGTCTGTGAGCTGGGTGCAGAAAATCCATGTAGGTTGATAGGTGCTGAATATTGGGCGAGTAGAATATTTCCCTTGAACAAGTTCGTTAAAATGAAGCCTGGGAGCCTTCCTTATTTGAGGTGGAACAGCGCTGCAACACGGTACTCGGAATGAGTTACCTACCTACCTACATACATACCTATTTATGTATGGACATACATAAGGCTTGAACACCAATCTATGTACACTTTTGGTGGGCAGGCAGCCTGCCAGCACCCATGGCCCCGCATCTCTCATCTCACGCGCCAGCCACCGCACCAGCATCACCTTGCTCTTGCTCCCTCTCAACATCCCCAGAGCTTCTCTCAAAAGTCAGCACTCACGGCTTCTTCCCTGCTCTCTCCACAGGGTATAAGCTTCCAGATCATGTGAATGTAAACCGAGTGAAAAATGACGGAATACGGGAAGATGGAGCCGTTCTCATTCGCTGGCTCGAATGATGTCGACCACGGCGTCAGCATCCGCATGCAAGTCCAACCATGCTATGACATATCGGTGGATGGGTATAAGCTAACCATCCGTAGAATGAGCCTGGAGGGAGAAGGAGCAGCGTTAAAACAGTCTACATTGCTCAGTCGTCCTGATTTGCGTCACGTTGGATCAAACATGAGGTACCCGTCTACCCACCGCTCCCGCATTGGATTTTATGCGACTAACATGGTGTAGTGTCTATTCAGATTTTTATGCCACGGCCCAAGTCTGGGCCGGCTCCAAAGCTCTCACAGTTCCCGTGCAGACATCGTACAAACCATTTCGTGCGGAGAGACGGTATGCCATCTATTTCTCGCGCCCCGTGCGAGTATACTCATCTCAATAATAGGTGGAACGAATGGCTGCGACTCCCCATTTCTTACAAATCGCTCCCGGCAGACTCTTGCATCGCCATAACAATATGGGATCTTTCCCCAAGCGGCGGGAAAAACTCACAAGGGCATGCTATTCCATTTGGTGGAACGACCCTGTCTCTGTTCGACGCTGAGAATCAAATTCGAAAAGGACGCCAAAAGTGCCTGGTACACAGGCATAAAGTCGCCGATGGAACCATCAGAATGGAGACCCCAGCGATCTTCACAGCCAGGAAGAAGGCCATGACTGGAGAAGTTGGAGTGCAAGCTGCTCGAGATGCGGAGGAACTGGAGCGAATGGAGGGCCTTTTCAAGAAGCACGAAATGGGTGATATTCCCAGAATCGACTGGCTCGATCAACTGGTGTTCCGCGACTTTGAGAACCGCGGCCTTAAAGCGGCAGAATCCTCCTTGCAGATGCTGCAGCGACGACGACGACTCGACAAGCTCAAAACTGAGGGCACAGACCTTGCAGAATATAAAAACAGCGAATACTCGAGCCCGCCAGCGTTTGTATTGAATGTGGAACTCCCGAAATTTGACTTTCCGGTTGTTTTTGCAGACCATGAGTATGATGTTCCCCCAATATCTGCACATGCACCGGTGCACATTCATCAACCGGGTCAGCACCACCACCAAGCGCCCGAGGTTCAATTTGGGCCCGGTATCAATGCTGTTGATGACAGTATGTCAGCAATAGGTGCAAAAATAGCGAAGGTTTTTGATCCAGAAGTCGGCCAGAGAGACAACCCTGCGGAAACAAAGCACAGACGGCTGTTCAGAAGCTCTCATCGTCATGGAATATTGGACAAAGACCTCAGGCCGAATGCAAAAGTCCGAGATGAACTCAACACCATTATGAACTATTCACCAACTCACTTCTTATCTCCCGAAGAGATGGATCTTGTTTGGAAATTCAGATATCACCTTACAAGGGACAAGAGAGCTCTTACCAAATTTGCCAAGTCTGTAAACTGGGCTGATCAAAGTGAATCAAAGCAGGCCATTCAAGTCCTTGGGCGGTGGACTGAAATTGATGTTGATGATGCTCTTGAGTTGCTTGGGTCATCTTTCAGCAACCCTGCCGTGCGTTCATATGCCGTGGATCGTTTGCGCAAAGCCGACGACCATGAGCTGTTGCTATATTTGCTGCAGCTTGTGCAAGCGTTGAAATACGAACATATTTCTACAGAGTCTGTAGAAGGCGCCCTTGCGGACTCGTCGCTGGCCCGGTTTTTGATACAACGGGCAGCTGCAAGCTTTCTGCTCGGTAACTACTTTTACTGGTACCTCATGGTAGAATGCGACGACAATAGCCCGGAGCAGGGAACTCAAAGCCGCGACATCTACAGAAAAGTGGCGTATGACTTCATGCGAATTTTAACCGATCGACCGAATGGGGACGACGAAAGAAAAACACTACTTCGGCAAGCGGAACTTGTTGCCGCGTTGTCAAAAATAGCTGTCGATGTGAGAAAATCTGGCGAATCAATGTCTAAGAGGGCCGATAAAGTGAAGGCGCTTTTCGCGGACCCAAGCAACGAGCTTATCGTCATTGACCCTCCGCTTCGGTTACCTTTGGATCCTTCTATCAAGATAACCGGCATTATTCCCGACCAAGTTACAGTTTTCAAGTCGTCACTGAGCCCCATCAAATGTACCTTCAGAACTGTTGAAGGTCAAACTTATCCAATCATCTTCAAAGTGGGTGATGATCTACGTCAAGATCAACTTGTGATACAAATCATTACCCTTATGGACCAGCTGCTCCAGAAAGAAAATTTGGATCTCAAGCTTCTTCCATACAAGATCCTAGCCACGAGCACGGCTGCCGGAGCTTCTCAGTTTGTGCAATCCCAGAGCTTGTCTAGCATTGTCGGGAAATTCAAAAACAACCCGGCTCTGGCGTATTTGAGGTACCATAACCCAGACAATACGCAGCCTTTGGGGGTTCGCCAAGAGGCACTGGACACTTACGTGCGTTCTTGCGCGGGATACTGTGTTATTACATATATCCTTGGCGTAGGCGATCGTCATCTCGACAACTTGCTATTAGCACCCGACGGTCACTTCTTCCATGCGGACTTCGGGTACATTCTTGGCCGCGACCCGAAGCCATTTGCCCCTCTAATGAAACTATCCAAAGAGATGGTTGATTGTATGGGGGGAGTGCAATCCGAACCCTATAAACAATTTCGGCAGTACTGCTTCTTGGCCTATGCTGCTCTAAGAAAGTCCTCTAACTTGATCTTGAACCTGTTTAGCTTGATGGTAGACGCCAACATCCCTGACATTAGACTTGAGCCGGATAAGGCCGTGTTGAAAGTGCGGGAACGCTTCCATCTGGAGCTGAACGAGGAGGAAGCAATGTTGTCACTTGGGAGGATCATCGATGACGCCCTGGCATCTTACGCCCCGGTAGTGATTGACAAATTGCACGAGTGGGCTCAGGCATTGAGAAATTGAGATCGTTTAGACTCTAATATACATTTTGGTTGGGGGTATTCAGGTCTCACCAAATAGGAACACACCTTTCCCGGATCTGAAGCCCGTGAGTCCGCTCTGCACAGCCTCCTGAAGCTGCTTCTCCTCGGTCTCCCAGTTCCACGGGACTTCTTCAATGGGAATGTCGGAAAATTTGCCCTGGCGTATCATGTCGAGAATATCATTCACCATGTGCTTCTTGCCTACTGCGTCGCGCTCATTCCAATTGGAGAGCCAGAATCCAACGAAGCGAATATCCTTGAAGATCAGCAGCCCAACGGGAAGGGCAATTGGCTGCCTGGACATTCCACCATACGAGACCAAGGTACCACCATCGCCCAGAGCCCTTGCGAGTGTCGTGGCGGATTTCCCACCCACGCAGTTCAGAGCGAGGCCGATGCTGTCGCGCCCATTGCGGGTGATTTCGGCGAGCTGGTCTTTCCATTCGCGCGACAGAAATTTGGATTCTGAAACGACGACATCCGCACCTAATTTGTAAAGCTCTTGCTTCAGAGACTCAGTCTCTTCGGTGGATTCTCTATCACGGATGACGTTGATGCTCCTCAAGCCCCAAAGCTTTCCGAATTGAATTGCCGCCCTACCAACACCAGAGTTGGCACCATTTTGAATGAACCATTGTCCACTACCCACATCAAGGGGCTTCATTTCAATTCCCGCCTTGAGTCCCGCGCTTGGTCCGTAGCAGCGAAGCATTTTGTAGGCAGAGCACGGGTTGACGCTCACGGTTGCCACCTGGGTTACCGACAAACCTTGCTTGTCAACCTTGAGGAGTTGATTTGAGTCAAATACAGCATGTGTTCGCCACGTTCCCATCTGCGATGCAGCTGGAATGACCCAGTTACCTTTTTGGAGCTCGTTGGAAGCACCACCTGTGGAGACGACCTCGAAAACCCCTTCGTTCCCCGGCGTGATCGATGGCTCGGCGGTGCCAATTAGCGAGGTGAAGGGTGGTTTGGTGCCATATGTGCCTTGTATAGTATTTATGTCGGCTGGATTGATCGGCGCGGCGAGGGAACGGACGAGAACAGATGATTGCGGGATCGATGGAGATATAGAATGAGTATGGAGTCTGCTCGGGGGGAATTGGTCAGCCAGAACCCAGGAACACTGGAAGGAGTCGTCCCATTACCTGAGAACGGCAGACGGCTCTCCATGCTTAGAGAAGACGAGCGCTTTGGCTTGGGTATAGCCGTAAGGGCCAGATTTGTTTCGTCTCGTGGAAAGGGGGAGCCGGGAGGCGTTACTCGCGGCGGAAAGCCGCAGCGTCCGTGACAATAAACTTGTTGTAGGAGACTTTAATGCGTATGCCATCATTGGATCTAGATAATAGTTATGCGTTGCCTTGCGATGAGGTTGGCGGCGGAAGAGGAAATTGGCTCGGCTTGCGTATAATTAAAGGCATGAACTTCTTAGGTTACCAATGACGTTGCGGGGCTTTCATTGACTTGACAGAGAGCGTTTTTTGGGGAATGGATCTTGGACGTTCACGCTTGCACCTACATAGGTGCTACCTTATTAGTACGTACCAGTGACGGACTACCCAGTAATTAATAGTAATAGGGTTACTAACTAACTAACGTCGGCCACCCACTTCTGAGCCACACCCCCTTTTGAGCCACCCATCGTCAACATAAGGCACAACGCAAAAGCTTCATAATAAATACAATTAAAATTCAGAATATATAAAAGCTATATCAATCAATAGCTAAGAAGCTAGAAAATCAATCTATAGCTGACTCAATAATTGGATGTGTGATATTGCCAGTTAATTGCGTATCAAGCTGCCGCCGTGTGTTTTCAACCTCTATGACTTGAAGGAATAATTTATTAGGATCTGTAATAACTGTTTGACGTTTTTTGGGCCTGATGAGCTTGATTTTAGCTTCAAGCTGTTGGATCTGGCCCTCTGCAAGCGTTATTCTGGCTCGTTGGATGTCGAATTGCTTCTCAATTTTCTGCTGCATCAACCGTATCGTGCGCTCATTAGTTGAGCGCTTCAAACTCTCTGAAAACAGGTGGCGAAGCTCTTCTTTGTTAATAGGTGTTTTGAATAGCGGAAGGCCTTCATTAGGCGCTCTTATCGGCCGTGGAGGCGTTGCTTGAGGCGTTGTTTTTAGTGCCTTAAGCAGCAGCTCACTCATCAATGGGCGCGCCACACAGACAGGCCATAATCCTGACGTTCGCCAGCCTGAACGAATGTTATTTTCTGTTATTCCAGCCTCTCTTGCGATAGCATAACACTCGAGAAAAATCCTCTTTCCAACCGGCGAAGAATCGTTATCATTAGGGCGTTTTCCAAGCTCGGTCTTATAGGCTCTTTTGACGGCACTAAAGACGGCTACGTCAAGAGGCTGAAGGATGTGAGAGCTGTGAGCCGGCAGGAATAGAAGGTATATGTTATTATTATAACATTCGGATAGGAATTCGTCCGTACAATGGCTGCCATGGCCGTCGATAATAAGAAGTCTTCGCTCCTCCGCTCTTATCGGCTTCGTCTCGGGGATGAAGATCGTTTTGAGCCAATTAACAGCGATAGTATTGCTCGTCCAGCCCCTCGAAGAAGCCTGGAAATGCCAGTCTTTAAAGGCTCCTAATTCGTCAGGAAACCACTGTTGTTGAATGTTCTTTCCGTCAAAAAGAACTAATGGATTCAGCTTCTTCCCTATGGCTGAGATGCACTCGAAGATTGTGCTCCAAAAGCGCTGGCCAGACTGTCTCTTCAGGGCAATTCTCTTCTGTGATGACCCAAGCACCAGGCCATTCTCTCGAAGCCCTATTGCAAGCCCTGTTTCGTCCATATTGTATCGGTTGCGGGGGGGTATATCGATGATCTGTTGGACGCTGAGAAGCTTGAAGAAAGTCTGAATTGTATAAGTTGAAGCCCCATTTAGACGTTGAAAATCAAGGCGCTTGCCTCTAAGCGTTTTGACCTCTGGGTTACGGTTTAAAAAGCCTTATAACCAGTTGATTCCAACGTCATGATTATCGCCATTGGCTCGGCAGAGACTTGAAGCGATCTTCCGGACCTGCTGGTGGGTAGGGGGGTTGCCAAGATGATCCTGAATTAGGATCCAAGAGACGAGATGTGATTCCTGAGCGGCCGGAAGCCGTTGCAACGGCTCAAAAGCCTCTTTCCGTGATGCTGTGCCTTTGATGCGATGCTGCAGCGTTCCTCGAGGTACGGACCAGCGATTTGCTGCCTTTCGTGTGCTCATGCCACCAATCACGTCTTGAACAGCATTTTGAAGGTCTTGTTCGGTGTATTGACTCATAATAACTCAATAGTAAAAAAATGATAATTATTAGATTTTTTAGGCGCCAAAAAACGCGCTTCTAATGAGGGAGGTTTGTCGCGGAAAATGAAGAGGTTGGGTGGCTCAAAAGGGGGTGTGGCTCAGAAGTGGGTGGCCGACGTTACTAGTTTGGGAGGTTGGAGATGGCACGAGGATCGGGGCCGCTCGACAATGAGATGTTAAGCCTGCCCGTTATGTGTCGAAATAAAAAAAAATTCAATTGACAGATGAACCATCATCTCTGTCAAGGTACCCCGCCCGATACATGGCCGATGTGCGGCACGAAAGTAATCTATCTTTTCCTTTTTTGGTGCAAGGGGGTTAACGAGGCCGGCGGGCAAGTCAGTGATCGTCAAGAGGCGCAGGACATGCGAGTTAGAACAGAGACATCTTCCGAGTGTTTCAATTTTTATTCAATTTTTATTCAATTTTTGTCCCCTTTTTCTGTTGGAGATGTGCTCTGGTGGCGAGCACAAGACAGTTGGCAACGTTGCGACAGCGCGCACCTGGGTTTGTTACTACCTGTAACTAAGTTCGACAAGTTAATTGACCTCTGTACCAACGACCTGGTTGGCACACGACCCGACTTCTTACGAGACCATGCAGCCAAGCTATGGTTCCGTTCGTCGCATGTATGTGCGATAACAATAAGTGATTTGTTGCCACTGCACTGATGCAGATCGCACCATAGCGCTACCCAAGTGTTTGTAAGCTCCTCAAGCATGTCCGGCCTTCGGAGTGCGCGACTCACCTCCTCCCAGCGACCGACCCATGCCCTGCCACTGGGAGCACTTTTATCGACTGCTACGCAGGTCTAGCATCTGTTTACTCCAGGATCATAACTTGTGCCCCGTTCGTTATTAAAGACCTCCGTCAGGGTTGGCTGGCAACCTCGTCAAGAGCCACTAGTTTTGAGGATACCAGAGCCACCAGCGTCCATTATCCTTGCAAAGCGTCCAGCCACTGGGGAGCTCCAATTTTGCTTCGACCCTTGGCCTTGCGCGACCGACCTCCTTTCTGCACGTTACCTGATTCATTGCCGCGGTAATCTTGCGAATTTTCCTCTGCTTCCTAGTTTCTTTCATTCACCGTGAAAGAAACTGCAAGAGAAGCCGGACAGGTGAGATTGCCGGTTCTGGACGTCCCTGTCTTTGTTACAAAGGCCATTGTGGTCTGACCTCTCTACGGTCTATCCGTCTTTACGCCAACTTCCTACTCATTTCGCCATGCCCGCCCTGACAATGTCACATCGGCCAAAGAACGGCGCGAAGAAGCCGCGGTTTGAACTACCCGCACTCGATCTCAACTTTGGCAACATCACGGATGGCACCAATATACCGCCACCGCTGCCGTCGCCAAAGGTCCCAACGCCCCCGCAAACGCCCCCCGCGATCGATGCCAAAGACGCCCAGGCTCATGGCACAGCCGCTGCGAATAAAGCCAATGGTATTAGTACTGGTACCTACCACCCCAACGAGCCTGCCCCGTTGAGCCCGACCCCCTTTGTTCAACAGGGCACACTCCGGCGCATGTTGAGCAAGCGCACCATGAGTAACACAGCTGCAGAAAGCCGGCTCCCCGGCAGCCAAAGCGCGCTGCTGCTGGACAATGTCGACCGACCGCAGAGCCGTGGTGGTTTCAGCTTGATGGGCGATCGAAAATCGAAGCGCAATAGCGGCTGGTTTAAACGTTTCAGGAACGGCGACCAGCCGCCCTCGTCAAGACGGTCCAGCTTCCTCTTTAGCGGCAGCTCCAGCAACTTGCCCGATACCTCGAAGCCGCTGGAGCCGCCGCCGCCAATGATCCCCGAGCTTCGGGAACTTGAGAAGGACGAAGGTAGCTTGGGCTCCGACATATTTCGAAACATAAAATAACAACCCCCCACGGTATGAAAATTCATGAGGGCATCCAATATGCCTGTATGATGCGAGCGTAAGAAATATGCCCGCGCGGAGAAACTTGTTCGCAGCGAACCTTCTTGGATATATTCAGCTTTGCCCTTTGCCGCCAATAGAGTCGACGGCTCAAACATCACGGCCGCAGTGTCCGAATTACGATACCCCCGCTCATTAGAAGCCTGTTTCTTTGCCCACAACAGCATCAATACTCCCTATTGTCGCTCTCTGCCCTTTTTATTTATTTGTTTTTTGTATTTACGGCAATACCAGGCCTCATAACTGGATTCATTCTTCCTTTTGGGACCTAGCACTCGTTTTAACACTTGTGTTGCGAATATTTCTCAGTTACAGCCAAAGAACAAAATATTTGGCTAGCAAAGCTGGTTTACACGAGATTAAACTACATCATCTATTCATCTGTTTAAGAAAGAAATTGCATATACAAACTATCACGCTGGCAGCAGCTGCTCTTGATTCCATATGACAAAATTCATGCCTGAACATTTAGACTGACCGACCCCACGTTCTACTGTTCTACAGTAGCTCTTTCCCCTATCCTGTAGTCTAATAACTTTTATCCTAGAATGTGGAACAAAGCGGGTTCTGGACTTCTAGGGCCGTGATTTATCGTCCATTGGGATCGGCCGCTCATCATGCAAGTCTTCGGGCTTACCAGGGCGGCAAGCCCAACCGTCGACAGCGCGTAGCGTTTCCCTAGTCCATATCTTGTTCATGAGTGCAAGCCGCAACGGGACCAGTGCGATAATTATCAGTGGAAATGCTGGAGCTGCGACCGTCAAAGTCACACCGAAAACAATGGCCGTAAGGACTATCTGGATGATAGTATAGGTGTGCATCCCCAGCCAAGTCACGTTGGTAGGGAGAGGCGGCAGCTCGCCCCTGGGCGTGACGAGATTGGCGATTCTTGGAAGTATCGGGTTGACAGAGAGGCTTTGGTATCCCATAAACATGAAGAGACCGGAAAGTACAGACGTCGGTGTGAGCCCCAAGACTTTTTGAAATGGTGGAGAAACAAATATCATAATGAAAGCAGCCTGCAGGAAGGGAGAAAAACGCTGCTCATATACTCGAGCAACTTTGGATCGTGTGTTGCCCTCCTCCGGTTCTATTTCTGTAGTGTCAGCTTCCATATAGTGAATCAACGATTCCGAATGTAGTGGTGCCTGTGGGAGGAGGCCATTAGCGGGCGGAATCCCGAGAACTCCGCAGGTGATCGTGGTGATACCCAGGAGAACAATATCCCATGCAAAGCCGCCAGGCTTTCGGGTGCCATAACGCTTAACAGTACAAATAATACTGCTAATTTCATGGTCGAAGTAGAAAAGCACTGTGATAATCGCCCCGGGTATAATAGACAGAAAGATCCACCCCATATCGAGTTTCCAGAATTCGACGAAGAAAGTCTTGCGTTGGGGGTTGGTTGGCCGAAAGCTTGTTTGGATTTCCAGGCGTTCGTGGTCCAGATAAGCGAGCTCTCCAATACGCGGAATACCGATCCATATGATGATCGATATTGCCGCGGCGTATTCGGACAACCCTAATCGAACGTAGCGGTGAAAAAGGGGCTGCCATGAGTTTGCTGTTGAGAGTAGAATGGCTAAAAGGCATGTTCCGAATGCACCGATAACTGCGTAGAGAAAGGCTGCCAATGATACCTGTGAATGCGTGCGCTTCAGCTCAAGAGCGGCTTTATGGAAGTAAATGATACTATTCAATAACGAAAATATATCAGCGCTGAAATGCGTGACATATTGCATGGTCCAGTCGTGAGCATTGAATATGGCCAATAGGATATGCATCCAACCAGCATGGATGAGTGACCAGGCCATGACCGATAGAAAATCAACCTGTCTCAGGGAATTAGGGGCTAAAAAACGGTAATGCAATGGCAAAAACCCGACATACATGGAAATGCTCATTGCAAAGCTGATAGATGTTCTCAGCCAGAACAGAAAACGGTCCGGTAACACCCAATATACATAGCGGCTGGGCACTGAATCTGTTTAAACAAACATGAGACTTGCTAAGCATCGACAGAGTCCAAGAGACTTACAATGCAAATGCCAACCCGCATAATCCAGTACTGAAAACAACCTCGATAGTTCCCCAAGACTTGCCGGTGAGAACATACAAGTCGCTGGCAAAAGTGATGCCCGGTAGGATATTGGTAAAGAAGATATACACAGCACTGGCGAGTACCTGCTGATTGAAGACCGTCCAGTCAGAGACGTATCTACGCCTCAAATTGCGAAAATCGACTTTCAGGAGTCGAAAGGGACGGAGTCGACCGCCTTTGGCAAAATACCGTGTACGTGGTGCAGCTGGCGTGGTAGGTTCTTGATGACGGCTGCGGCGCTCCAGAACCCCGCCAGTACCAGAGTCCTGCGAGACGAATTCCACACCACTAGTTGGAGCCCCTGCGGGGGAGATGTCAGTGTCGCTGTTATCATCGTACTGCCCTGCCATTTTCAATATGCAAAGGAATTCCTGGGAAGTGGCACAGGAGAGAGGGAGGAATCAAGTTGCGTAGCAGGCTGGAGATGCACAGGGAGAAATGTCATGGCAGTTCGCCAAGCGGTTGAGTAGTGACTAATGTACCGAAACATTCTCGACGCAGTTAGGTAGAAGAAGCTACGGCACGCCACATTGCTAAAAACCAAGGTTTCGATGTTCAGGTGACGACGGGCTATCGCTTGACAGGAATGTTTACGGAGGTGGTATTCAGCCGCCGCAAAGCGGTGGCCGTCTCTTCAGCAGGAACCAGGTAACTATGTACCATAAAAGACCAATAACCCGGCGCTGCAGTGTACCCGAATCTTTAAAGAAAGAAACTTCGCCAAGATCACTAATTCTTTATGCCAAGCTGTTGAGTGGCTTGACAAATAAATGGGTGGTTTTTCTGTAGTCGCTAGCACCCAATCTTATCGGCACGTGGCGCCGCGCGTTGGAGCGTGTCTCCTGATAACCATTCAGTGCAATAATTACCTAGCTACAGAAGTAGCTTATTGAGCAGAAGCAACGACAGGGAACTGATCAGTGAACACCAAAAATCGAATTCAACACCTGCATGAGATCAAGGGTGCAAAGCTTCGTTGAACTAGCTTCTTCTCCAGAAAATGGCACAATTCGTGCCAAGATCGTCCTTCCAAATTCCTGGAACCGTACCCAAAACATACTTCCTGGGCCATCACCATGCTGGCGCCAGCAAGATCAAAACCATTCTTCCAAACATTTCCGTCGTGCTTGAATGCCGCGATTTTAGGCTACCCTTGTCTACACAGAACCCAAGCCTCGAGCGAGCAGTTGCTGGGCGCCGACGCATTGTGGTCTACACAAAATGCGACCTTGGCACCGATAGCAGCGCCGCGCGCCAAAGCCTAAAGAGGATCTATGGAGATAACGCTGTATTCTGGGATAAAAACAAGCCTGCTACCACCACCGCGTTGCTAAAGAGGTTAAAGGACTCAGCGCGCACCATGGACTCCCTAGTCGGCGTGCGAGCCCTTGTCGTTGGGATGCCAAACGTGGGTAAGAGTACACTCTTAAACTCACTTCGCAACGTTGGCATTTCCGGCAAGGTGGCAAAGGCTGCAAAAACTGGCGACCAGGCTGGAGTGACGCGCAAGATTGGGACCGCAGTGCGTATTGTTCCGTCCGATGACAAAGGTGGTGTCGGTGGCGGTGTCTTCCTCATGGACTCGCCCGGTATATTCCAACCCTATGTCGAAGACGGAGAGACCATGATCAAAGTCGCCCTGGCTCATGGTATCAAGAAGGGTCTGATACATGATGAAATTCTTGCCGACTACCTCTTGTACAGCATGAACCGATGGGACCCTACACTGTACAGGCGGTACTGCGCGCCAACAAATGATGTTCATGAGTTTCTCGTTGCCGTCGCAAAGAAGGACGGCAAGTTGAGAGCAGGCGGCCTCCCAAATATACCCGAAGCAGCCGCGAGAGTACTTTCACAATGGCGGGAAGGCAAGCTCGGACGCTATGTACTTGACGATCTCTCCGAAAATAGCCTCCGAGCGCACCAGGCCAACATTGAACGGCCATCCCAAAGCATGAGCCAAGCAAAGAAGCATCAGAAACTGGACAGGAAGCAGACAAAAGAGTCAAGCTAGTCTATATACCAGTCGATAGCATGACACCCTGTGCTTTGAACGTGGTGGCCCTTGAGTTGTACAATATCCATATATATTTCTGTCGTTCCATATGCATATACATTGTTATCACAAGCAAATGAAGAATGAAGGAAGGTCGGGTACGCTCTCGAAAAAAAGAAAAAAAAGAAAACTACCAGCATCGCGAAAAACACAGCGTCTCATAGCATACCCTACAAGAAACCCCAGTACTCCAAACCAATCCAGGCAAATATACGCCAACGTAAACCAAGCCGAGAAGAACAAGACAAAAACACAATGACCCACAGCCCACTTATGAATAATGGTTTTGCCATTTGACCATGTCTCGGGTCAAAACATCCATCATTTCCACGCACGTCAAATGACCAAAGTCCTTGTCGGTGACGGAGCCTTCCACTGGTTCACTCAAGGCATTACCACGATCCCGAGGATTACTTTCGTCGTCCACCGGCCTCTTATGTGGGCTAGCTTCACCGGAACTGGAGCTCGTTTGATAAGCTGCCTCTGCCGCAAGATCGAGCTGTGTGCGAGATATAAACTCCATAATCGCAGCAACTCTTCTCTTCATGTCCAGCATCGTCATTTTACTCGCGGCCGCGGTTTTAGCTTTGGAGCTCTGTCGTGTATCGCTCGAGGGAGACTTCGGTTGCGGCTCCTCTGCAGGCCGCTGAATATCTCGAGACACTGAGCGGTTGGGTGACTCCTCATTCTCATCTCGGTCTTTTGTATACTGATTTTTACCTCTGGCTCGTTTGTGATGGTTCTTCGCAGTTCTTTTATGAGAACTGCCGATTACCACACTCGTTGGCGGCGGCGTTCCGGGGGTATTGGTGACGGTCGGTGTTGGTTCAGAAGTTGATGAGGATTCGCTAATCTTCGGCACCATTAACTTGGCGCTAGCCAGAGGCATTTCTTCCGATATGTCTGAATCTAATTGCAAGTTAGTATGCATAGTATGTCCATTAGCGCAACCATAGTGCGTTACCTTCGGCACGACGTCGCTCGGCACGGTTCTTTCGTTTACTTGCGGCCTCCTGCCTTTGGCGGTCTCGCTCGTCTCTTTCTGACTTCTCCTTGGAAACCTTCTGAGTCTTATTCTTCTTCGTCCCGTTTCTTGTGCTCGCATCGTCATCAGAGTCGTCCTGGATGTGTTCCGTAGAAGGCTGTGCTGCTGGAGATGCAGAACGTGATGCAGTACGTTGCCGTTTAACGCTGGCTTGATTCCTGTGGATATGATTAACACATGTTGAGGAAACACATATGGTTTGGCTCACTCTTCGCTGTCACTGCGCCCACGTTTTGCTCTACGCATTCCAGATTCAACATCTTGTGGTGCATCTTCTCTGCTCGCCTCGATTGCCCGAAGGAGTAGTTCATCGTCGTATGCTGCGTCACGGCTATTCATGGTAGAGCGCCTCTTTGAAGCTTGAAGAGCTTGTTCGGCGCGTGATGCTTTATTTGGCGGTTTGGGGGATTTCGTGCCATCTTTGTGTACCGAAGTTGCGCGGGAGGTCGGTCGCGATTGTCGATGCAGAGGTAAATATTTTGAATATTTTTGTCTGAAGAAGAATAGATTAGCCGAAGAGCTACGGAAGACCCAAAGGACCAGCCATTTTAGGCTTCACAGGCACATAGAGCCGAGACCTTTGTTTCATAGCAAAAAAAGCGCCTGAGGAGTTTGCAGTAGACGTGGCGATCATGGATGATCAAAATGGGGCGACAAAACATACCCGTTATTCGCGATTGTAACCTTGTGAAGATCTTGTCGACATTGCTCGCAGAAGTACTCATCAGGCGAGCTCTCGGTGCTGAATATTCCCACACAGGCACCATGCTGCCAAACTTTGCAAACATCGCATTGAACGAAGAAGCCTGTCACATCCTCTGCAGTAAGGTCTACTGATGCGAACAATTCCGCGTCGGGGCCATCCACTGGCGGCCGCCCCGGGTATTCGTCCGAGCCACAGATGCACCGGACAGCCTCATCTTCCTCGTCCTGCATGTCGTCGCTCGCATTGGTAATTCCGTCCAGCGTATCACTTTGTAGCATCTTTTCTGTGTCGTCGTCGAGTCCGCGTCGTCGTCGGCGAGGCATTGGGCCGTCCTCGAAATCTTCCAGTGGTTCAGAAGATAAGGAAGCGCTCGGGGTAGATTTATCGGAAGCGGGCCGATGAAGGGATCGCGTGTTTCTCTCAGAGCGACTGGAGACGCCTGAGGACGACTGTTGTGATTGGGGGTGGGCGGCGCGAGCTCGAGAGGAACGTCTGGGGGACGGAGGCGCCATTGAGAAAGGAAGAAAGTATTGCGCGTTCTGGCACGCGAGACAAGCAGTCTAGCAGCTGTTCCGGATGTAGTCTGGGAAGATCACAGTAGCGCAACAACTGTCTATTCGTGAATGTTGGATGCGTTGGTTGAATGGGTGCTATTTTGTGTGCCACTCTGCTGCTCTCACGGCCGCGGATGGTGAATATTGAGTGGCACGAATGTGCGGGAGTGAAAAAATAATTTCGCAAACGCTGCCGAATTGATTAATATTTTCCACGCAGCAATAGGGCATTGCGGCTGTCGTAGTGGTTGTAGAATGGCTCCCAATTGTAGGATCGAAAAGTGATGCAGGATGATGAATTGGCTGAAGGCGGCCTAGATGGTCGCGCGCCTGCGAACGGATGTACTCCGTACTTTCATTGCTTTTTGGTTTGTCAAGTTCTTGGGTCCCTTGGGTAACTATGGTAGTAAGTGGGTGCCTTGTTGAGGTAGGTACCCTAGGACATACCTACCTACTGTACATACATACATGGGTAGATACATATGAAGGGGAAGGTATGTACGTACAGACCCTGCGGGGTTATGGGTTGCTACGTGGGGGATGCGTTGGACAGATGTGTGTAAGTAAGGGATTGTCTTCAACAACTTCAGCAGAAGCTTCCGCTTTGCTAGAAAGCCTTCCATGTTGATCATGCTCTAAATAGGGATGGTAAGATTAATCTTGATATTAGTACTTTTTCTTCATATTTTTCAGATTTATCATCTCAACTTTGCATAATGTTCAACTTGTGTAGCTACTGGTGATTCGTTCCCGGTGTCAAATGTTACACTGCAATTGAATGATGACGACCACGGCTGTTTGCTGGCCTCGTCATGACACCGGCGCCGACGCCCGCGATATAGACTCGAGCTGCTCGAAAGGAGAGAATATTTTTCCTAGGTCATGTCACAAGCCACTCCATTGGATTCTAAGCTAAATCTTCTTCTGTTTAGCACTTGTAGATATCACCAGCTGCTTACCTAATTTCAGTGTTTGCCCTGGGCGTGGCACACCTCCTTATCCACAAACTGTGGAATGCCCAACGACAACATTCATCAAGAGGGTGCAGCTCCGGAGAGGCAGTCGAAGCTCTGTCATTATCTCTCGTATAAAGGACTGTGAAGACCAGGCCTCCCATACAACCCTCCTGCTCGAGAGTCAGCCCCAGCGGCATATTTCGAAACTGCAAGCAACAGTCGACTAAGTCACATCTGCAAGAGGCTATACCCTAGGGTTTTGAGTTCGGCACTGGCTCGTGAAATAGGTGAGGATTTCTGACGGTGGATTCTTTGCACACAAATACGAGACCGGAAATGCCAAATGACACTTCCTGGGCCGAGGATGGCGGCCATTCTTGTGGACTGGGCGAAGATCTAACGATTCACAGTGGAAGTCCGAGTAATCCAAACTGCTATTTCATGGTTGCGAAAGCCGCGACTGCCGACCGAGACGAGCGTTTATTTCGAAGAAAGGACTGGATAATACTGGTGCCAATCAGAGCAGTGCTTTTGCAGGTGCGACGTATAATCGGCCCAGCTTTGCCGCGGCGCTTGCGTTTCGACACCAAGCTTTCTGCTGAATACCTACAATGTTTAAAAGGTAAGATTGCTACGAAGACTGCCTACCAAGTCCTCTTTTGCGAACACCAAGTCTTCTGGAAACGTCGCAATCAGCATTGACGTGCGAGTGTCGTTGCAAGGATCAAATTGGAGGGGCTTTGATTCCTACGTGGCACATTTCTGCACCTAATTACCGTGGTTTATCCTAATAATTCTCTTTGTGGCTAATAAATCCGGACCGCAGTATGAGAAAAAGCTGAAAATATGTCACCAGACCGAGTACCCTCGCTCTTCCCGGGGAGGCCAATACGGCCACTCCCGAAGCGAAAGCTCCGAGAGAAGCTGTCACCCGAGGCTATTCAAACGATCGAATATCCTCCCGTAACCGCGAATAGTATTCCTCTATTTTTTTACCCCACATACCCCGCCAGGATTCCGGCGTCTGATATCTCGAAAGCACTTGGGGTGCGTCAGAAGCCAGCGAACGAGATACCCGATTGTGCGGAATCATTGCATCCCTACGGCTTCGAGTTCTTGTCTATGGCCTCCTATGCGAGGAAACCACAGCCAACTTTGCAAGAAAACGTCAAATGTGTTGCTCCACCTGATCAAGGAACCAGTTTGTGCCCAAACATTTCGGCTACTTCTTCAGTAGATGGCTACGATTCGCTCGAGAATACGAATAATAAGAAGAAGCGAAAGATCCCGTCTGCCTCTGATTCTATATTGCGAGGGTCTCTATTTGTTACCAGCGACCCTCCTGAGAGGTTGGAGCCAGCAAGCGAAGCGGATTGTGGGACAGCATCTTCCCCAGCTGCGTCCGAGATACGACCTGTGCACAATGAGGGAATCGCTGGTCCTGGACGTGGGAGACTAGGTCGTGCAGTACACGCAAGAAGCCCGTTAAGGACCCTTTCTGACGGGAACAATGTGTGGCCAAATCGACAATCCAAGACAGGACTAGGACCCGGTAGGCTCTTCGACTTCTAAAGTGATCTTCTGGTGACATTCAAGTCCGAAGACTGACATCTTACCGCAGGCCAAGGAACAAACGGCATCATTTCAACCGCCATCGCAAATGCAAAGCGACTAGCCCCTTCCGGGCAGGAGAATTATAGGAGCATGTTACGAGAGCCGTATGACTCCGAAAAAACTACCCCAATAGCTTCCCAGTTCACCTTTACCTGCGGAATACATGTAAAAGGTACATCTTGGTCCAGTATGGCCCTTTGAAATCGGATACGCTGGGGCTAGTCACTTATAACTTGAGTAGATGCTTCATCCGCGACGAGCGGCCCTGCCGAATGCCAGCAATCAAAACAATTAGCTCATGGAAAAGGCGTACCATCAGCACTGGTCTCAGACAGCAAGGCTATTAACGAAGGGCGAAGGAGATCACGAGCTAATAGCCGCCGCAAACTCGAGAGAGATATCATGCTGGCAGCTCGTGATCGCCGGCAAGCTGCTGTCGATGCTTACCTTCACCACCCACCGAGGCTTGAGAGTGTCTGGATATGCGAGTTTTGCGAATACGAACGCATATTCGGTAGCCCCCCAAAGGCATTGATACGGGAGTACGAGATGAAAGACCGCCAGATTCGTCAAGAAGAAGCGGATCGACGACACCTGCTGGAAAAAGCTAAAGCAAAGAGCCGGAAAGGTAAGAAGAGTATTAAGGGGACGAATGGCGCGCAGTCGGCAAGTCAAAGCCCCAGTCAAGTACCAGAGGAACATGCTGTAGTAGAAGCAGCTCCAATGAAGCCTACGCAGAGCCGCGCCACACAGTCGGAAGTTGACTATGAAGACAAGGCTGCTGAGTCTCGGCCTCGAGGCCCTCCTGATATACTGGGATTGCATATGAAGGACTCAGCACTGGAGAGTGTTCTTACTGTTTGAACGGAATCTGTTGGAAGAGAAAGTGGGCTGTCTTGGTGAGAAGTAAGGCTCAGAAGCGGAGATGTCGGTAGAGACGTGCTCTGTGTTGGATTTCGCGCGCGCGTAACTGTGTGCCAGCAGGTCATCAAGTGAATGGCTGTTTTTGACGGACTCCCTATAAATCAAGTACAAATACCTATGTACATACCTACTCGCCGAAGTTGTTCTGGATCAAGTTGCCCTGTTACGTGTCTAGAATTAGATTACGAATGTACGTTCACAAGGTAACGTAGCTCGATGTTAGAGGAAGCGCCGACGGACAGTACCCTTCCATTGAACCTTTCATAAGCTTGCCTGCTATTGGTTCACAAGCTTATTCGTGCTCTACCTCAACTGTCGTTACTCCTCAATTTTCTCTTTGTATGAATGTACTTGTAAACAGCTGGCCGAAAGCCTGAGCCCCTAGCCGCTTCGGAAATGCATGAAACGCGTACGAACGGACGTTCCAGGGGAACGCGATGGAACTGCTGCCAAGGCACACGATGTATTCGTGATAATCTCACTAACAGACTAAGAAGAAGACGAATGAGCTGAAGTCACAGGAGCCAATCCTGTTCTGGCTATAGCCTCCCAAAAAGTTGGCAGCATTTCCTGATTTGCTGGCCGAGCCAACTGAAAAAGAGTGGAGGCGGCGGTGGCCGATTTCTGGCCTGGCTTCCCTGGGTGTGGACGACTCTGTGTCGTCATCGGCCTTTAGCGCCCCCCCCTGCCTGAGTTTCAGTGATTTGTCCCCCAAACTGGGCAAATGAGTGGGCAGGTACCTACTAACTTACCCACATACATACATACATACATACATACATACATACATACATACATAGGTACTACCTAGGTAGGTAGGAGGTGTGCTACACCTAAGGTAAGGTAGTCCAGGTTATCCTCTCTGGCCCTGAAGTGTGCAGTGCGCGCTCCTCGGCAAAGTCTAGCATTGCATACATGCTCTTCGCTCCTCAAACCTCGCTCATAATAAAGACATCGATCGATCCCCATCTTCTGATGCCCACCCGCTCCTAACTCGTACAAGGCTCCCGAGCGGCCCAGTTGCCCGTCATGTTTGGTCGCAGACATGCTGCCCCAGTGCAGGTAAGTTTCGCGCCTGTCTAGTCTGGCCATGGGAATTTAAACTTTCCCGGTGTACCGGCTGCAATTCATTCGTCAAAGATCAGGCCTAGTCAGACGGATCAGAAGCTTCCCTCCTGCATTATCATCACACTGTGCTAATCATGTATGTTGTTCGTTCGCCGCAGCCCTTGACCAAGGAGACAGCCAATGCGAATGCCGCCACCGCCGCCGCTTCGGCGTTCATGCGTCGCGCCTCCGATGCCTCTCTTTCCTCCGCAGCTGCCGCAGCTGCGTTACGAGCTCGACCGACAAGTCCGACCAATGTTGCCGATGTACAATCAAAACGTCTGTCGCGACGAAGCCCTTCTGTCTCCTCCGCCACGGGCAAGCGGCGTGAGCTGACACGCACTCCGAGTGTTGGCTCAATGATGGAGCGTACATTTCGATCACCTTCGCCCGGCCGCAGACCGGCGCAAGTGCCACATGACGTACCTCCTATCCCGCGCATCCCCAATGACGATAATCACAAACCCTCCTCTCGGCCTACCAGCTCCTCGCGCAAAGGCCCGCAAACCCAAAACTTCCGGACAGCAAGCGAGAGGATGAGAGATGGTAAAGGGGGCTCATGGTTTGGCGCTGCTACTGCCCACGATTTGCATACGGTGCGCCGGACGACTTCGGAACTCCAGCTCTCTTCCGTCCGCGCGCCATCCGACCCAAGACCTGGGAGCGTCAGCCCGTCAATAAATTTCTCGTATCCTCGCGCAAGACTGCGATCGCCTAGCGGAAGCTTGAGATCGCTGCAGCCCGAAGACCAAGCTCTTGTCTACGATCCTAACTCTCGGCGCATGGTTTCGAGAGCGCAACTCGAGGCTCAATCCCAAGACTTATACGACGAAGAGTATGATCGAGCCGTAGAGAAACCTCAACCCAATAAGAGACAGCCCAAAGCGCCAAAAGAGCCGAGACCAGCTCACATTTCGAGAGCAGGCTCCCATCTCTCACGTGGCACCGTCGGAAGAACAAAAGCACCAGCTCTAGAAGCCATGAGCGCAGCAGAGCTTCAATCACCCTCAAGCACAATGCCTGAGCCTGACTCTGGCCAAGAAATCGACCAGGTAGATACTGCACCACCAAAACCGAAAGCGAAAAAAAAGAAGAAGAGGAAGCAACTCCAGTCGGTTGACTCGGTGGCTCCCGAGTCAACGTCAGAAGAAAGGTCAGGCAGCTCTGTTCCGGAAAATACGATAGCAGAGAAACCGCTTGCAACCACAGAAAGCAGTACTGTTTTGCCATCTGCCATGGAACAGGCGAAAGCACCTTCTAATAGCGCGAATGGTGCAACTCCCTCGCCACATAGGACATCCAAGGTGAAAGCTGTCGCTAGGGAACCTTCCGAGAGCCCTGCTCGATCGGCCAGATTCGCGGCATCAGCAACAGATCAATTAGTTATACGACATGAGCCACCTCCGCGATCACTTTCCCCTCGCAAATCTGCGTTGAAGCATGCCAGTCCCACCAGAACTGTCTCGCCTTCCGACGATGGGTCAGATGTTTCCGGAGTACCCGGCTCGTTAGCTTCGCCCGACGACGCTCGCAAGAAGAGTTTTAGAGTCAGTTGGGACGATCGTCATACAGTCGTCGTGGGCGAAAATCCAATGCAACACGCCGTTGAACAAGCCCCCAGCCCCAACCAACAGGCGAAGAAGACTTGGCATAGCATTGTTGGAAAGGGTAGCAAAAATGAGGCCATTTCCGTGGAAAAAGAGGAGACAATGTCTCCCAGACCAACTCTACCTAGTTTTGGGAGTGTACGTGAGAAGAAACCAAAGGAGCAGGAAGAAAGACGACTAGTTCGCCCTGAGCATGCTGTCCAGACCGAAACTTCCCTAACAGCTGCAACGGCATCAACGGCGTCTCCAGTCGAGCCCAGCACTTCCAAGCCACGAGAACCCGTGATGAATGTTCCTTCATCCGTGGACAAGGGTGAGGAGTATTCAAGCTCCGAAGATGCCTTAATGGAAGATACATCGGATGAGGATCCGGATTCTGGAGTCGAAGCTGCTGCGAATGGTGCGACTAGAAAGATCAACGGTTCATCTGGAAATCAAGTCCCGACAATAGCTGTTTCACGCGCAAGCCCTCGCCCGCCTCAAACCGAACAGCTCGAGAAGATGGCACCCATAGATGTTGTTGATGATGATAGTTCTTCGGGAAGCGAAGACCTTGAGACAATTGATCCTCATCTCCATGGCACTGGCCAACCTATGGATGATATACAAGAGGAGGAGGAAGGAGACATGTACAGCGATGCCTACGAAGAGATAGCCGAACCGGATGGCGATGGCTTCTTATCCCTGGATGCTGTTCTAGAAAGCCCAACAAGCTCACCAAATTCAAAGATCACCAGCAGCAAAACCGCAGCTGAAGCGAGGGAAGCAGCAGCTGCTGGATCGACGAACCAAAGCGAGCCACCGGATGACTGGGGGAATGCAAAGGCTTATTGGAAGAGTCTTTCATCCGAAAAGCGGCGACAGCTAGAACGAGAGGCCATAGAGGAAGGCGAGGAAGGGCATCAAGAAGATGCCAAAAAAGTGACCGCTGAGGCGCCAAAGACCACCCAACCCACCACTGAATTGACGCCCACAAAAGAACGCTCTTATCAAATTCCACCGGGTACGATCCAGCCATACGATAATACTCCTGAGGCTACCCCCACCGCTCAGGAGTCGAAGACAAACGGCAGCACTATGCGAAAGTCAATGAGAGGCAACCAACCTAGTTCACCGCCCAAAGCGGAAACTCGAAAGCCTGGTGGCAGCCTTCGAAAATCCATGCGATCGGAGCACCTTGTTTCTGCTGGTGCAGAATCTGCACCCCAGCGTCTGGCAGAGCCGATGAATTCGTCCGCTTCTCCCCGCATGAAGCGTTCACTTCGCCATAGCTCGATGGACCTGACTAGCTCTGAATCACGTCCTTCATATAGCGCAGCTGACCGCCCTGCGTCATATCATGCAGCCGTGGACTCAGCTTCTTCCACCAGGCACACATCAAGTCTTCGAGTGAACGGTTCTGCGGCTGCGGCACAAGGGGCCGACATGAAGGCAACGCTACGTCGCCGTGGCTCGGACTCGAGCGAGAGCAGCTTTACACGTGCGCGGGCTGGCTCTTCGGGTACACATGAGTTTCGCAGATCGATGCGAGGCAGCATGCGCCAACCACTGGCCACGTCTGATGGCATATGCCCGTTGTCGCCTCCTACCGTCGGCACACGGCGCGACTCTATCTCATCGCTCCCATCCGGGACCGGCTTTGGCGGAGGTCGGCTGCGCCAGTCCCTTCGGCGAGAGTCTGCAGATCCACCTGCCAGAAGGCGCATCCCTAAATTTAAAAAATCGACTTCGGGTAAATCAAAGAAAGGAAAGAATGACAGCCGGTTCGGCGACTCGAGTGACGAAGACGAGGGGCCCCTGCGTATGAACTTGTTCAAGAGTCGTTTCGCCGACTCTAGCTCCGAGGATGGCGAATCGCACACCAAGTCAAAGGGCAAGAATATACCCATATCACTACGCGCGAAGCCAAATGCTCGTGCTGCCTCAAGTGCTCTTGATTTGCCATTCGATCACGACGGGCGTGAGTCCCCCATACTTGATGCCGCCATTCTGATGCAGCCCAAACGAACACAAGCTGCTACTGGCCAGCCTGGCTCTGGCCGGGGTGCTCTAGTGCCCTTACCGCAGACTGATGACAGTGACAAGTCGTTCCGTCCCCAGCATACCAGGCGAGGTAGCTTTATCTCGCTACTGAGGCGTAAGAAGGATTCTTCGAGCAAGATAAATCGCGACCTGTCGGAGAGTGCTGCTCGCCAAGACACGAAGCTTGAACGCAGCCCGGAAGAGCTGGAGGCGCTCCGCAGCGCGTCACTGCACAAGCGCGGCCCGAGCTGGCCACTCCCCGAGCCGGAGGCGACTGGTGCGGGGAGCGTCCAGCAATCCCCGGAGCGTCCATCTACGGCTGGAGGGGCTATTGTCAGCACCAGCTCCAACAGGTCCAAATTTATGCGACGACGCAGCGCATCGCACGGCATGGTCCCGGCAGACACGGTGGACATGGACGACGACTTGGTTACAGATGCCGTGCCGCAGAAGAAGAAGAAGTTTGGCGCTCTGCGCAAGATGTTTAGACTGCACGACTAGAGACCTGCCGCCTGCTGCTGAGCAGCATTACAATCCGCAGAGCGTCGAGGCATCCCCCGACAATGTACATTCATGCTTCACTGGAACATGGCCCTTGACTTCATTCCTTTACTACGTCGTTTATTTCTCGCCTGTTCTTCTTTCGAGAAACCACTAAGAGAGCTTGGCTTACTCTTTTGCGTTTGGTTCTTTTACCCCTTTGCGTCATCCGTCTTTCGTTTATCCTACCTTGGTCTTCTACACGAGTCTTTATTATCTTTTGTTACATAGGGAGGCTCAACCTGTGTCTTTTTGCAATACAGAAAAGTCTTGAAGAGGTTCCGTTTTGCCTCGTTTCCGCTGCTTCTTGTTCATTTTGTTGTTGCCACTTTTATATATATATAAATCTCGATTCTACAAAACGAAAATCGGGGCGATTTATTCCCATCACTGGATTTGTACATTCGAGCGCTGGCATAACGTGTAGGAGGGAACTTCGTTTGGGATGGGTTCGTCTTTTGGGGGGATCTACATCTTTTAACCTTGAGAGTTTGAAACCAGCTGGATTTTTTGTTCGCCTTCTTGAGTTGATACGACAGCTTAATGTTATTTTGTGTAATACCGCAGCAGCTTTCTACTCTACATTGTCGGTGAAGCCGACAAGATGAAATGAATCTCGAAACGAGTTACGTCCCCCAAGGTGTAGTATTTGTCCTCCTCCCCAGTTTAATTAGAGTTACATCAACGCCATGAATGCATCCCGTCCTGTTTTTCCAACTTATTTTTATAGACTACCGTGTTTGTAATAGTATGCACGTCTTTATATATATGGAGATCGCGAGCCGCCACGAGAGCCGCCACGAGCTGCTAGCCTGAGGCGGCCATAAACACGTCTCTTCTTCGGCCCTCAACTTCTTGGCCTTTCCTTTTCACGTTCCAAGAGAAGCGTGAGCTGACTCTTGGTGCGCCCCAGGGGCAGGACTACGGAGCTGCTCGGCTGCGTTGGTGTCAATCGCGTCTCTCGCAAGGACGACGTGGACGACCCCCCGTGTGAGCTGGGCTCGTCTCTAGGAAAGTTCGATATCGATATCTGCGGCAGGCTCGGTATGCTCCCAGACTGGTCAATTATGGTACCCTGCACGGCCACGTTGGTTGTCGAAGAAGTCGCCGCGGTAAAGAGGGAGCGCGTTGGGTTGGCCATGGACAGCTCTGTGTGATCGGACGCCGCTTCTTGCTGTGAGCGACGCGTAGCTTTTTGCTTTCCTCCGGCAGTTTTATCGCGGGCTGGCGCTGTTGATGGCTCTTTTCCTGCATCTTGTGTAAGACTGTTAGAATTTTGCGTCGTTCTACTTGAGCGTTGGCGGCTGGCATCGCCTGAACTGGTGGTGGGTTGGCCATCATTCCGATTTTGGTGCGCCTGCAGGGTTGGGGATCCGTTACATGTGGGCTGATTTCTGGTCGCAGATAACTTGGAAGTCAGGCCAGTGTTTGCCGTGGGTAGCTGTGAGTTCTTTGTATCAGAGCCGTTTGCCAGGGTACTTCCTGATGACGGAATATCACTCTCGGCATCATCTTCCTCTGCGGATTCGTGGGGCGAAACGAAGCGAGCAGTAGCAGTATGCCTGGTAACGTTTGTAGACGAGCTGCCTGCCTTTTTCAGGATAGGAGGCGGCTGCGAGGGACGAAGAGCGCTGGAGGAGGAGACTCTGGCGGCAGCTCTCTCATTGTGTCTTCTAGTCGATGCCGATTTTTTTCCGGCATCGTTGTGCAGATTTCTTTGTATATGAGCCATAATCATTTCAACGGTCAACGGTGCGGCCTAATCTAGGGTCAGCGGAGGTCGGGCAGGAATGGAGAGAAGTAGAGGCAGAACGGCTTACATCTGGTCCTTCCCATCTATTCGGCGGCCCTCTTAACGGGACAACTGTCGGCCCAAGGGAAATGTCTTCAAAGATTCGGGCTAGAACGGGGCCGCTCAGTTTAGAGCGGTCACTGCCCCAGACATGCCACCAGAAATTCTCTAGACGACGAGCGGTTGGGTCCTTGAGCTTTTTGTTGGTTGTGGTGTATACTGGAGGCGGAAACATGCGAGTCAGTAGGTAGGTAGCCCCGCGATGCGGTGAGTCAGGCTTACCGTGCCAGTACTGGTGCACCTTGTCGGCGGGCAGGGTAGAGTAGGCGGCCACTTCGTCGTAGACGGTGCTAGAGTTGGTGAGGATGCCCTTTGGCAGCGTTATAGATCCGGGGATGTCCATGGCGCAGATAGTGCAAGGGGCGGCTGCAAAGGGCAGCAGGGTATGGGGTTGAAGGATGGAAGAATCACGAGCGGGTGGGCGCTTCGAGGATGGAGGGAGGGAAAACGGGTTCAATGTCCGCGTGCCTGAGAGGAGGACCTGGGTCGGACGACACCGCCGTGCTGTTGTGTAGCCGATGATGGGAACGCAAATGCAGATACCGGAGCCGGAGAGGTGGCGATTGTCAGAGGCTATACCCGATGATGAAAGTCCATTGTTGCAGTAGTCCAAGGTTTGATGTTGTCGAACATTTAAGTGGTCGTTTATTGAGATGCAGAGAGAGAAGAGACGAATGCTTCAGAGTTTGGAGGCCTGGTTGGCTTCGACTGTCCGTCAAGACCGAGGCGGGAAGAAGTCGGCGCAGCACGAGGTCGAGATAGCGCTAGCAGCAACAAGTCCTTCCCCCCCCTTGCTAGTTATAATGCGGGGCCGAGATGCGAGCAGCGAGATAAATTAAGCGGCGACCAATACACGGGACAGGCTGAATGATATTCAGGCACGTTGAACTGCTTCTTCGATTGGGAGTGACGAAACGAGGCGGCTAAGAGGAATGGGGTTCAAAGGAGATTTGAATCTCACTGATGAATCAGGGTCGGACGGGTGTGATGATGGATGGGGCGGGTTCTTTGCCAAAAGCCCTTCCTTGGCTTGAGTTGAGCGAGGGGATTTGCCAGGGCAGAGTGAAGTAGGGAGAAGGCCTACGTAGCTACTAATCAACTAATAACTCGTACTGCGTGGGTAGAAAGAGGAGAAAGAGGAGCTTGGCTGGCTGGTCATCTGATAGGTGACCTGATCTACTAGCAGGGCTCGATGCAATCTTTCAGGTCGAGAAAATCACGGCCGCGACACAGTGATACCCGCCATTATTATCGGCCGTCTAGTCAGTTGTTAGTCTAGAATAGCGTTTATAAATTCCAGGGTGCTACCACACGCGATAAAATGCTGCCAGGTAATCGGACTAATGAGACGAAAAGAGTTGATTGATTGATCCATCTATTACTGCGGGTTGCTAGAGCTCGAAGAAGGATTTCCATGCAAAGGAAGATACCAGGAAACAGCCAAAATCGCAGCCAGCAGCATCAAGAGAGTCAGGTATGCAATTAATTTATGTAGACCGTGCACTCCGCCACGGCCGAGCCCAGTACCACGGCTAGGGCAAACTTTGCTTCCCCCAATGCCACATTACTTATCATAGCAACGATAGAACCAACACTGCTCACAAAGGCAGAGGCGGAGGGAATAGCGAGCACATGGGCATTGTCCAAAAGTCACAATATAAACACACACCTCTTACTCCGTCGAGAGCAACCCGCACCAAGAATGCGTCTCACAAAGAGCAAGTGACCAAGAAAGTGTCTCACAAAAAAGCCAGTGCGTCACGCGGCCCTTTTTGCACCAGGGGCCGACCACACAAACAAGAATCGAGGGGCATCTGCCTCGTGGTAAACAAGGAAGCTGTACGTGCAACTAGCCAGGAAGTTGCTTCTGCAGCGCCACGATCCGCACCGAGTACCAATGTTGGATTACCCTTCTTCTATCCTAGCTGAAATTCTAGGCAATATCAATTGTGGCTTATGGGCCATATATGAGCACCGCATTGCATCTTCTTTTGAAGCACACCATCATCTCCAGCAGTTATTTGGTGCCTCTCATGAAGCTATTAACTAGTTCATTACGTGAGAGTGTATCCGCCATCCACGCGCAAGTCAACCCCATTGACATACTTGCTGTTCTCCGAGAGCAAGAAGATGACAGGCCCCATCAAATCACTAGGATCGCCCATCTTACCCATCGGAATGAGGGATACCCATTTCTTCTTGAGCTCCGGGTTCTCGTCAAGAATCTTCGCAGTCCTATAGTTAACCGCATTAGTACTCCAAAATCCCGTTCAATCCGGAGACCACTTACAAAGCCGTCATCATGTATCCAGGGCTCAGACAGTTGACTCGGATGTTAGCGTCAGCCCACTCAACTGCAAGGGAAGCCGCGAGATGACGCACACCAGCCTTGGAGACGTTGTAAGGCCTATGAAGCAGCCGATTAGTCCTCATTACACTATATCATCATCGCTACGAAGCACCACTCACGTCTGAGGCTGGGGCACGTTGACAATAGAGCCAGACATGCTACCAATCAGGACCATGCTTCCAGGCGCCTTGCGCTCCATGAGATGACGCGCGACAGACGTGGCGAATAGATAGGTGCCGTCGACGTTGACCGCCCACAGCTTGCGCAGGCGGTCAATGGGATAGTTGACAGCCTCGTAGTTTTCGGTGAAGCCAGCCGACGTGACGAGGCTGTCGATCTTGCCATGCTGCTCAATGACTTCGGCGATGCAAGCATCGACAGAGGCAGGGTCAGAGACGTCCGAGAAGTGAGCGGTGACTTTGGGGACACTAGAGCACAATTTTGTTAGAGAATGAGCTGAGAGGGAAGGGTCCTGCGAGAGAAGAATAAACAGCAGCAAAGGACTCACCGTTCAGCATTAGGATTCTCTCGCATGAAGGCCTCGACCAGAATCTTGGTCTGCTTCTCAGCCTCCTCCTCTGTAAATGCATCAGTACCAGAACACGGCGGTCACCAGCCTCAACACGACCCGACTCACTGTTCATGTCCACCAGGGCGACGTCAGCGCCCGAGTACACCATGCCCTGGGCGATGACGAGTCCCAGGCCGCGCGCTCCGCCCGTGACGAGGCCCACGTTCCTGTCCAGGGAGAAGGTCTGCAGCGTCGGCTTGACGTACTGGCCGCCGGCGCGGCGCACGGGCTCGCTCGGCAGCTCCTCCTCAGGCGGGAAGGGAATTTCAATGTCCGAGTCGGTCTGCGAGTGGCTGCCCGGTGTGTTGCGGCGCGGCGGTCCGTTGTGCAGGGCGGCAGCGGGCGACCACGACGCCGGGCGGCCCGCAAAGGCCGAGCTGGCAACGGTGCAGCGGCGCGCGGCATTGCGCATGAGCGGGTAGAACAAGCGCGGGGCCATTGCGTAGGATTTGTTTTCGATAATGTATTATATCAACCTTGAGCTGCCTCGATGCACCCAATTGGTTGAAATCGACGTGTCTTGCTCGGTGTAGAGCTGAGGGGTCAGCCAGCAAAAGCACCTCCCGCAGGACTAGCGCTGATGGTGACGACAGAGATTCAGTCTCTCAAGCAGGGCAGGGAGACCAGAGAAAGGGGCAAGGCGGCAGGCAAAATTTCAACTTTTCGAGACAGGAAAGAAGGAGGAGGAGGAGGAGGAGGAGGAGAAAGAGAAACACTCTGCAGTTAAAGAACTTTGAAGAAAGAGGAGGGAGAGAGATGGAAGTGTAGCTGGGCGGGACGTGGGTAGGACTGGCTGGCCAAAATTATAAGCATCCCTGCCTGCATGACTAGGTTCCAGAAAAGCTTCAAGGCAATTGACAAGTCTCCGATGATCGCTTGCCTCTACGTCTAGGTAAAAATTCGCTACGTCTGCCGGGGTCAGCATCCCTCTGTATTTCGTCACTTTGTCTACCCTTTGGCCATTTAGGTCTTCCCCGCCACGATTTCTTTTTATGGAGTTGCACGCCTCGAGCTTCGCTTTATTACACGCCCCTCTCGGTGGAGAAGAAAGAGCTACAAGAGGGCCTGCGAGCTCGGCTCGCGTTGATCTGCACAATAGTAAGTCGGGGATATGGGTAAGGAAGGTTGAAGAAGGGCTTGTTCTGTAGAATTGTTTGAGGTGTGAAGAAAGGTAATACTAGTGACAGAATAGGGATAGCCGGTGATATAATGAGCAGTTCTTCCGGAAGTTTCTAGTCCGAACTGTCTAACTACTCCTTACCGTATTGTGGTATCTTGAGGAGATATGAGGCTCGGCACTGAGATACTGTCGTCGCTTTGTCGTCCAGAGACTTGAGTAAAGAGCGCGTAGAAAGCTTCATCGCTACCAATTGGAAGTACAGGTAGCATAAATGACGAAACCAGGGTACGTCAAGGCCTATCTTTTCCACCTTGCTAAAACACTCCTCCAGTATTTCGTTCCATCGCCCCAAATAACTAGACAGCCCTCGATGGGTTTTCTGTGGTACCTAGTAATCACCAATGACTTAATTATCCATATTTAGTCCGCGAATTATCTTTTAACGTTGCCAGTCCCGTTTACAGCAATAAAATGCCTTGCCTCGTGTCAGTCAACAGTTTATCAATACCGGTTCCGACAGGATCCAAACTCCACCGCATCTCTGGATCGACCACTAAAACGAGATTTTTCCTTTTTTTTTAAAAAAAAAAAAGAAAAAAAAAAGAAAAAAAAGACAGACTCTGTCATCAACACACACGTCACTCAAACGGGTAGAAAATACTAACAAGTCGTCTTCAATACACGGTGTATAGACACCGCCCTCACGCCGACAAGGACAACTTGCGCTCCGACTTCCCCGATGGCCGTCCACATTTCTAGGCAGCAAAATAAATCTCAGACCACCTCTTAACGCCGGTGGCTTGAAATGGCCCTTCTGGATTCTTCACTAGCCGACAAAGCAGTACACGCCCCTAGCTCTGCAAGCCACAGCTCCCTCCACTGTCGGAGTGTCGGGGACTGGCGACCATCTCCCCGTCTGATCTCTACATGTTCGTCAAGCGCGGACATAATACGCGAAATGCACATCGGCTTCTAAATGCGTCAATTGCAACGAATAAACAAGTATACATGCAGCTTCATGTCTGCCTCCGCTGTGCGCCAGTCATGTTAATATCCTCTACAAGTGTATTTTCCTGCATCGGCTTCTCTGCCAACCGCCAGCGTCGTCACAAACTGCCCCTCAAACACCATTAGGCATTCGCGTACTGCTTGTTGAACGCGCGCCCAATGACCATTCGTCGAATCTCCGACGTGCCTGCACCAATCTCATACAACTTGGCACTGCAGAGAACAACTTTGTTAGCCAAATGAACAAGCTCAAGTCATGTATCAAGGTACCAGGGCACTTACTCTCGTAGCAGCCGCGAGGCCGGCATCTCCTCCACGTATCCCATGCCGCCCAGGAGCTGTATACAATCCAGCGAGCACTCCGTCGCGCGCTCCGCCGCGTACAAGATGGCGCCGGCGCAGTCCTCCGTGCGGATCCGGCCCTGCTCGTCGACCGCGCGCGCAGTCGCGTACGTGTACGCCCGCGACGCCTGCAGCTTGGTGTGCATGTCGGCCAGCTTGCCCTGGACGAGCTGGTTGTGCGCGATGGGCTGGCCGAACTGGCGCCGCTGGTGGCTGAACGGCAGCGCGACGTCGAGCGCCGCCTGCATCAGGCCCAGCGGGCCGGCGCTCAGCACCAGCCGCTCCAGGTCCAGGCCCTCCATCAGCACCCGGACACCGCCGTTGACCTTGCCGAGCACGTTCTCGGCCGGCACGAAGACGTTGTCGAACATGAGCTCGCCCGTGTTGCTGCCACGCATGCCCATCTTGTCGAGCTTGCGCGCGCAGCTGAACCCCTTGGCCGTCGTGTCGACAATGAAGGCCGTGATGCCCTTGGACCCCTTCTCCGGCTCCGTCTTGGCGTAGACGACGATGACGTGCGCGTCCGGCCCGTTGGTGATCCACATCTTGGAGCCGTTGAGCACGTAGCCGCCGTCCACCGCCTTGGCCATCGTGCGCATGCTCACCACGTCGCTGCCCGAGCCCGACTCGGACATGGCAAGCCCGCCGATGCTCGTGCCTGCAATCAGACCTGGCAGGTACTTCTCCTTCTGTGTCGGCGAGCCGTTGAGCTGCAGCTGGTTGACGCAGAGCTGCGAGTGCGCCGCGTAGCTCAGAGCGATGGACCCCGACGCGCGCGACAGCTCCTCCATGACGATGCAGTGGGCCTGGTAGCCCAGCCCCAGCCCGCCCACGTCCTCGTCGGCCGTGATGCCCAGGAAGCCCGCATCGCCCAGCTTCTGCCACATCTCGTGGGGGAACGCGTTGGACTTGTCCGTGTGCGCGGCGACTTCCTCGGAGATCTCGCGTCGTGCAAATTCCTGTACCCGCTCGCGGAGTTCCTCCAAGTCCTCGGTGGCGGGCGGCGCGAAGCCCTTGGGGTGCTTCGACGAGTGCAGGCGAGACTGCAGCGACGTCACGGTGATGGCGGGACGCAATTGTCTGGCGGTAGGGCGCGCCAGTACTCTAAATGCTTTTAAGCTTGACATTGTGAGTTCGTACGGTCGGATTTTGTGTAAAAATAAAAAGGCAGCTCGCCAAAAATATTGCACAAGAAGAAAAGCGGCGGGAGAGATGAAAAATGCAGGAAGAAGGATGCGTTGCCTTGCAAATGTGCTGGTTCCCCGGATTCTGGCGGCCGAGTGTGTTCAGCGGCTCACGTGTCGGCTTAATGCGGCTGGACGCGGCGGCTGGTTACCCCAGGTTTCGCGACCGGCGATGGGTTCGGCTTAAGACCTGCCAACCCATCTTACTAGAAGCTCGAGTCCCCGTTTGCGTGCGAGACAACACACCAAGCACTTTTCCCTCCCTCGCTCGGCTCAATTTACCCAAGGAAAAACGCATCAGAAGAGACCTAGCAGGTACAATTGTTCAAGGACTGCCTGCGCAGAAACTCAATATCTGACCTCCTCATCCTCCCTTCCTGCCAGCGCATCGAAAAGCACAGACGCCATGTCCTTCTCGCGACCCTCGCAACAGGCGATACGCCTCGGTCGCCAGTCCGCCGCCCGGCTCAGCCGCCCGGCGCTGCGCGGCGTCGCAAACCTCAGCTCGCCGCACCAAGCGGCCGCCATCTCTCGGATCCAGAGCAACGTCGACACCTCGTCGGACGAGTACCGTGAGAATCGGGCGCAGATGGCCGACGTCATGGCGCGGATGCAGGACCTCGCCACCCGCATCCAGCTCGGCGGGCCGGAGAAGGCGCGCGCGAAGCACCTCGCCCGCAAGAAGATGCTGCCGCGCGACCGCGTCACCGCGCTCATCGACCCTGGCACGACCTTTATGGAGCTCTCGCCCATGGCTGGCCACGAGCTGTACCCCGAGGCCGACGTCCCCGCCGGCGGCATCATCACCGGCGTCGGTGTCGTTGAGGGCGTGACCTGCGTCATCGTCGCCAACGACAGCACCGTCAAGGGCGGCACGTACTACCCAATCACGGTGAAGAAGCACCTTCGCGCCCAGGCCGTTGCTCAAGAGAACAAGCTCCCGTAGGCTTACAGCCCTAGTTCCAGAAACTCCATCTTCCGCCTCCCGATCTTGCTAACCTTGTCCCAGCTGCATCTACCTCGTCGACAGCGGCGGTGCCAACCTGCCTCACCAAGCCGACGTTTTCCCCGACCGTGACCACTTTGGCCGCATCTTCTACAACCAGGCGCGCATGAGCGCCCAGGGCATCCCGCAAATCGCCGTCGTCATGGGCCCTTGCACCGCCGGCGGCGCCTACGTCCCCGCCATGAGCGACGAGAGCATCATCGTCCAGGAGCAGGGGCACATCTTCCTCGCCGGGCCGCCCCTCGTCAAGGCCGCCACCGGCGAGGTCGTCAGCCACGAGGACCTCGGCGGCGGCAAGATGCACTCCTCTGTCTCCGGCGTCACTGACTACCTCGCCGTCGACGACGCCCACGCCATCGTCCTCGCCCGCCGCAGCGTCAGCAACCTCAACTGGCCGCAGCGTTCCGCCGCCACCAACCCACCGCCCGCGACCACCTTCTCCGAACCCCTCTACGACCCCGAGGAGCTTCTCGGTATCGCCGCCACCAACCTCCGCAAGCCCATGCCCATCCGCGAAGTCATTGCCCGCATCGTCGACGGCTCCGAGTTCTCTGAGTTCAAGCGCGACTACGGCACCACGCTCGTCACCGGCTTCGCCGAGATTTACGGCCAAAAGGTCGGCATCGTCGCCAACGACGGCATCCTCTTCGCCTCCTCCGCCGTCAAGGGCGCCCACTTCGTCGAGCTCTGCACGCAGCGCGGCATTCCACTCGTCTTCCTCCAAAACATCTCCGGCTTCATGGTCGGCTCCGCCTCCGAGCGCGAGGGCATCGCCAAGCACGGCGCCAAGCTCGTCACTGCCGTCGCCTGTGCAGACGTGCCCAAGTTCACCATCGTCGTCGGCGGCAGCTACGGTGCCGGAAACTACGGCATGTGCGGCCGCGCCTACAGCCCCAGATTTCTCTGGATGTGGCCCAATGCCCGCATCGGCGTCATGGGCGGCGAGCAGCTGACTGCCGTCATGGAGACGGTGGGACAGAAGGCAGACCCCGAACTTCGAGAAAGGATCGATCGCGAGAGCGATGCCACCTTTTCATCCGCTCGTCTCTGGGTACGTATTGACACAACAATTGTTTCCTCTCCCTCATACACACGCTAACATTGCTGGAATAGGACGACGGCATCATCCCTCCCCAGCACACTAGACATTACCTCGGACTCGGTCTCAAGGCTGCCATGGGCGGTAGAAACGAGGTCAAGGCAGGAGATACTAAATTCGGTGTCTTTAGAATGTAAAATATAATAGGGAAACACCATGACAAAGCAATTTAGACGAAATGCATGCAACGAGGCTTCTGTCGCCAAACAACTGCATGGTGCTTTTTCCACCAGCTTCCGAAGGTTATACTTTGTGTGCGTGAGCAGAACTGACACTGAAATAAACAGGGCTATCTTCTGAAATTTTGCTACAGATGTAACGTGGTATCTAGTCCGGAGCTCATCAACGCCGGCCGGTGCTATCATCGCCTGTGCGGCTATAAACAGTTCATGGTAAAAAACGAAATAAGAACAGCACATTCCCAATCCTTATACAAGACTTGATCCCTTCATCTTCATGCGCAATTGCATCGTAATGCGGGCTAGATTCCGCAGTCGTGTCTGCCCCCTGCAGAACTCACCCAGTCTTTACACCCCCAACAAGTCCATTTCCGATATCGATGCGAAGGTCGACAAGGTTGATGGAATTACCATTACCAATAGTAATATTAGAAGCCTCCTTTTGAGTAATTTTGGGGGCGTTGCTGGAATACGCTGTAATGATCTTTGTAAGGAATGTTTGCACATCGCTCTGCGCATCTTGTGCATTGTTCACGCCGCGCTCCTGGAGAACAAAGAGTACAGAAACTCGGCAGAAGTCAATAACAGTATCAGTGGCATTAAACGGTTGGTCGTCGTTGTTTCGAATACGAATGATGCCGGCATCAGTTTCTGGGCTGGCCAGTCGTGGGTTCGTGTTTGTGCTGTCAGATCCAAACTCTCCATTGGTGATTTGCCCAGGCAATGCGGTGCTGAGTTGTCGTGTTGCCCTTTTCACTTTTGGGATCGCTTGCTTTTCAAAGGTCGCCGAGGATGAGCGACCATTAAATGTAACAAGCGAGTTTTGCGCGATGCAAGAAAGGCCGCTAGCATTGATATTAGCCAATATCGAGGTCCCTGATAGTGGAACAGAAAAGTTGGAATTTGCCTCAGCAATGAGCCTTGGAAGAGCCTGGCCAAGGGTCACGTTTTTGATCATCGATGTCTTGTCGGCTGATACGAGATCCGTCGTTGTGCAGCCCGCTGATCCGACAGTACCACAATCTGGGCCAGTGAAGCCCCCAGTGCATATGCAAGAGCAGGTACCATTAGCAATAACATTGGTACCGCCATTCAGGCAAGTGAGATCGATTCGGCACTTGTCTATTTCACTCTTGTTTGAAGAATCATTTTTGTTGAAGACAAACAGTTCGAGTGGGACAGCGATAGCGGCAATAATGATGCAGAGAAGCAGGATCGCGGCCACAATAACGGCCCAGAGTGGAAGTCCGCAGCAACGACGTTTGGGACCACCTTTCTTGTTTGCTTTCTCAGCTTCGCCATTCGGGCCAGATCTTAGTGGCCATCCACCTTGCCCAGGCCATGAGGAGCGGTTCGGACCGTTGTTGAATTGGGGCGTTGATACTGGCGGTGGGAAGGCTGCGAGCATGTCGGAGAGTCCAGAACCAGGACGGCCACCTGAATGAAGATGTGTTAGCTGATACTTGAATCATATTCATGAATACAGAAACCTACCTCGAGTATCCCCACGCCCCTCGCTGCTGAGTTGCTTCTCACTAAGAAAATCGCTCAGGTTGTCCATTCGACTGGTGGGCCGTTTGCCTTTATCTATCATAGCCGCAAGTTTGGTTGCTCTGCGAATGAGATCCGGCAAGCTGGTAAGGCTACCTCGTGACTCAGCTTCTCTTACTGCGTCCATGTCAATGCGAAGTCCCTGTTTGAGGGCTGAGCTGCGAGGATTTGCAGGTGGGCTTTGACCCATGCGAAAAACAGCGGGAGCGCCAGAACTTGCGGCAGCGTAGGCCTGAATAATGTCATCCTTGCCTGACTCTCCTGCGTCCAAAGGCTGTCTTTGAGTGCCAAGAACGTTCCAAGACATCCTCTTATCACTGACACCGGCGCCTCCGACTGTCCTGTTTGTGCCAATAGGTTGCTGCTGATTCGGAGGGACGAGAATGGCAGCAGAGTCAAGCTCAACCGGTTGAACCAGTCGTCTGTCATCACCAAAGTCTCCGTAAATTGACCGTGGGCTGGCGTCCGTAATAGATTCTTCATAAAATGTCTCCGCATTCGGGTTGCGGTTGTCCTCTATAGCGGAGGGCCAGTTCTCAGGCATCGCAGCACTAGAGGCGTAAGAGCCGTGAGACCTTGCATACGGATTCTCCTCGATGATGGGAGAAACGAAAGAGGCATTGGAGTAAAACGACGACGCGCCCCTTCGGCTGGATGGGGGAGGTCCGAGAATGACACCTTTTTTCTGTAGGCTCGCCTGGCTCATAGAATTTGCTGAAGGGAGGTCCGTTATGTATCCGGCACTGGGGGAATACTGTACAGAAGAGTATAGCGAGCCTGGGGAAGGTTGGCTATAAACGCTGTCCTGTGGGCTTTTGATAGTGCGTACTGGTGCAATGAATAGAGGGGTTGGTTCTTGCAGGCGAGTTTGATCAACCATGGAAGGAATTCGGCTTGGTCGGGGAGGTCGCTGAGGTGCCTGGGGTGGTCTGTTGGCAGGAGGTCGGTACGAGCTGGGAGAGCCAGCAGTTCCAGTCGGCGAGGGGGTCTCGGGTGGCAGGTATTGAGGCATCGGGCTCGGTCTGGATATCAATTTTCCAGCGCCACCTTCATACTGTGCTATGCCTTTTTGCTTGAAATTCCTGGAACTAGATGATGATGTTGAATCTGCTGTGCCGGGTGCAGACGGATACACAGGTGAAGGAGCTTGTGTGTCTCCCGCTTGCCGCTGCTCGGCCAGCATTCGTGCTCTAGCGACAGAACCGGGTTCTAGTACTGGCGAGTCCATTCTACTGCCATTATACCGATCACCCATCTAGCTTGCCAATGTACCACTATGCAGTAGAAATCGTTTCGGATATCTGGGCTGAGTTGGGTCGCACAGGGTGCACAGGCTGAGGTTGGACGTCGATGCAAACAGAACAACGGTGTTTGTGGCGCGGCGTGTAACAGCGAGGGCGCGGGTTGTTTTTTGTCTGCAGCTTCCCACTGATTAGTATAAGAGTAAAAGCGCCGCGATTATATTGCTGTCAGAGCAGATCCTGGGGGGCAATAATCGAGTTGCTATTGTCCAACTATATTCAACCGGTGGAGTGGCAGTGAGACATGGTGCTAAAAATGGAAAACCTACTGGACCTGGTGGGTGCGGCTTTCAGATGTGTCGCGAGACAATAACTACAATGCCCTTCTCGTTTGCGCGCGCGAAAGGTGAAAACCAAGTGTCAATCTCACAGGTGTCGTCGGCCCAGCCAAGATCGAAACAGATTTTGCGTACTCCGACTCTAGCTCGAAAGTCGTATCCCGAGAGTCGAGTTGTTCGCTGAACGTCAATGCACGCCGAGAGTGGTGGTGTTTCAGGCACCAACCAGCCTTATCAACAGAGCAATGTTGTGGTATGGGCGCAGCAGTAGAACTATTGCCGCATGCTAACGATGCTGCAGCCACTCGGGGATGAGAAAAAAACGTGCTGGAATGGAAGAGAAGTCCGCGTCTGCGAGTGCGAGGAACGGTAGGCGCTGAGTACCAAGTGAGAGTGTGTCGGTGGATCGGCGAAAGGAGCGTTCGAGGGAAAGAATGGCAGGAAATCGGCCGTCGCGGTGTATGGAAAAGAACGAACAAGGCCAAGACCAAGAGAGAGCCACGAACGGTAAACGAAAGGATGAAGGAAAGAAGCGAAAGAACGAAAAGAAAAATGAGCGTTTGGGAAGGAGCGGCAGGCTGTGCAGCGCGAGAAAGGAACGGTGCTGGAGGAAATGAAAGGTCAAGAAGGCAGTTCGGCGATGTGGGAATACCAGGCACCAGCCAACAGAAAGAAATCAACTCGCTGATGGAGGATAGTGGCGCCACCAGGGTACCCTTTGTTGTAGGAAGTAGAAAGGAAGAGAAAGAGAGGCGGGAGAGGCAGGGAAGCGCACAGCCCTCTGCAAGAGTGTTGCGGGAGGTAATTTAGCCGTTGGCGAGATGGAGATGAGCGCTAGAATAAAAGAGGTACGGCAGATGGGGAAGCGAAAGAGGACGCAGAGTTGGAAAAGTGACAAATAACAAAACTGCTATCTGAGCCTATGGACACTACGAAACTGCCTTAAGTTACGTTGGTTTACCACTAACATGGGGAAAATCCTGCCTACTGTAAAGCCATCCTGCGACGGCGGAGGCCGACAAGCAGAGGTCACTGAGTTATTGATTGGGGATTGCCTGAGGGGAGGCGTGGCCCAACAGCGGCACCTGCAGAACGGGTAAGCACCAATTAACGCCCAAAACGCGCTAGCAAAAGACGCCAGTAGAAGAAGGGAGAGAGAAAGAAGAAAGAAAACGGAGGACGTGGCTGCGTAAAAAACGCAGGCTGTCTCGCGGGTTAGGGACGAAGGTCGTATTGCAAAAGCGATCCCACGATCTCGTTGGCCCGTACGGAGTACTTTTTACTCCATTGGGCAACACGGAAGCAAGGGGGCGGTCTTGGTTATTTACAGGGGGGTCGCACTCATACCACCACCAACGGCGGCGGGAGCACAGGAGCCCACCAGCACGCAGCGCTAGCAACCTGCGGCGGCGGCTTGCATGAACGGCTCGCCAGAAAACTGGAGTTTCTGTCAGGGGCCAAGCCTGCTGGATTCGTTGAGGCGGCCCCAGGTGTCGTGAAGTTCCTTTGTTGGTGGTTACATGCTGGGAGGACAGGTCAGTTGATAAGTAAGTTGCGCTTTGTCCAAGGAAACCGAAAACATTGTCTTTACACACTCCAGAATAGCTCCGTATTGGTTTGCCATAAGACTCCTCATACCTATATTCCCGAGGTATACATAGGTTGTTACCGTTCTCATCAGGGTACCTTGTGTATTCATATGTACGTCGTATACGTGGTCTCAGCAGCATGACAGGGAATGTTACCTGCAGCTTGTTTCGGGTCGAGGGGAAGAGGGGTGAATACTAATTGGTTGCCAAAGTATTCCCTCTGCCAGAAAAGTCCTTCCTCCCATTACCAGGTGCTGGTTCAGCCAGCGCCTCCAGCCTTATCGAACGTCCTCCAAACAACAGTATAGCCTGGAGCTATTCGCCTTGGCCAACCATCAAAAGACACTCAGCGCCTTTTTTTTTCTTCTGATTAAATTGCATCCTCCTTGGCGGGGCCAGAGCGAGAAGGATAGGGAAAAAGGCACCCAATCGCCACGCGCAGGGTGGCATGATGGCCTCCATCTGCAACGCCGTGGCTTGTTCCAAGTTGAGACGGACCCGGGACAGTCTCCAGTCACAGGTCATCCGCCAGACATGCAGCAAACCTAACGTGGTGCGCAACAGCGGGCGTCCAATAGTTATCATTGGACCAAAATATCTGCCTGCTCCCAATACCAGTACCTACTAGCCATGGCACAGACCCAAATTAAAAAGGATTGTGCTGCACTGGGGAGACCCCTGGTCCAGTCCGGCCCGTTAGTTACCCAGCCCCAGTACGAAGAGCAACTGGACTGGGCCTTGCTCACGACAGCCAAATCCAAAACACTAGCGTCTTGTTCCCGCAGTCAAGTCAATGTCCCCGCGGCCGAAAAATGTTGGCTTGGGCCGCGCTCAATCGGTTTGCTGCGGCGCCCAGTCGCCATTTTGACTCCTTTAATAATACAGTCAACAAACTCAAATTGTATCTTTATTGTCCTTATATTCCTAGAATATATTTATATTGTTTCCGCCTCCTTTGTATGACTCTTCATCCGCCCTCGTCGTTGTCATACCCATCCTTTTGCAACCTTCGTGACGTTGCCGACTTCGATAGCAACACGACGTCAATCAAGTGTACTCATCAAAGCTGACGACAGCTGCGGGTGTACGGGACGACGTTTACTCGACGGTGGACTGAGCTTGGATGAAATATACTGCGCTGCACGGCCCATCACTGGCGCTCTCCGTGCCACGCCACCCGAATGTATATATTGACGGTGAGGTATACCCGGTTTGGCGGATTGACCCGCCGCTGCGGTGGTATTTGTCAAGTCCGCGACGACGCAAATACGTTTGGCGGGGCGAGATCAGTCTCGACAGTTAAACGCGATACATCGCAGCTCCGTCACAGCAACGGGTTTTATTTTTTGGTGCTGTACAGGACGCAGATCTCTCAGCCCATGAGCCAATCTCATTCATACTCGCAAAGCAGATTTCTTAATCTTCCATATTCTATGCCAAGTAAAACACTTCTTCGAGCGTTTTCCACCAATGTCCCATCTCAGAGCTCACCGCGCCGTCCACCGGGCTCTCTTGGTAACTGTCCGTCATCTTCCACCATTCACGCACCTTGGGATTCTCCGCCATGCGACGCATGTCGCCTTCAAAATCGTTTCCAACGTACTTCATAGATGAGAATAAAAGTCCATGCTTATCGTCATACCAAATGCAAACTATAAGCACCATACGACATGCGGCCCGTGGTTAGCCCGTTGACTCGTAACAAATATTAACTAGGTGACTGATTTGCGGTTGGACTGCATCTTGGATGGTGCGCTCCCTTTGAGAACCTACAGTCTTGAATATTACTATCCTTAATCTGCTTCAGCACCTCTGGCCACGCGTTGGCGTGACAAGCTTTGTACTGCTCCACGCAGTCTTTCTTCAGGCGAATGACCTGACCAAAACGTCTTGTGGAGGTTGGCTGTGACATTGTGGCACCGACTATGCCAATGGATTGTCAGTAACATGATTTAGGATTTATCGACTTCGAAAATGAATATGTGGAGTTGCCCGTGAAATGAACAGGAGCTCAAAAAATGAATGGTACTTGACCACGCTCAATCCTGCCCAACCGGCCCGTCGAGTCCGGGCTTCAGGGTAGCTTCGCTATACCCTACCTCTTGTATAAAGAAGAGGGTGGCTACTCACAAATAAAGCGGCTTTGAGCTTATTTTTTTTTTTTTTTTTTAGATCGCCTTCACTAGATGAAACATGGCGCTGTTGTTGTGCTCGGGTAATTATAGGATAGAACTACGATTGTCTGGTGAGTACTATCTGGAGCACCGATTCTGATGCCGCTGCGGGGTAGAGTGCTCAAGCGGTTGAGCAGCTAAAGATAATCACGTTACCACGGCGCGATCGTAACACAGTTTACAAGCACAGACGGTACACACGCATAACATGTAATCGATACAAATAAATTACAACTCGAAACGAGCACAATGACAAAGGCCGACATCAGTAACCGCCCGGCGCGAAGATGCAGTAGCCACCTGAACGCACGCTGCAAGGTAGCTTTCTCCGCCCCAAGACCATCGAATTCCCTCAACGACGGGCACAACATCGGAAACAAAGTGGACTACGCCGTTGAAAGACGTACATGCAGTCTGGATATTGTTGCAGGAGGATGGACGACACCCCGTGATTTCATTCAAGCTATGCCATAAGTTGTGCCTTCTCCTCCGAGGTGGCCTGCTCATTATGTGGCACTTTGTGCGATTCGCTGCGATGATCGCAGTTGCGCTTGCCGCGGATAAGGCTGCTGAGGCGCCTGGCCATGCTCTGAATGCAGAGTGCAAGGCTGTTCAAGTTAGTAAACGGATAGAACGGAACGAAGCGGACAAGTACGTACAAAGCGACAGCAACGCCAGCTGTTACTCCCATGACAATAGGCATGATAATGTGCCCAGCAACGCTCTTCATTAAATGACGCCATTCTTCCTTGGAGCTAATGGTTGGCTCCGGCATGTCGGGGATAAATTCTGCACTAGTCTTGTCGGTTTCAGATGGCCTCGTGCTCTCAACCCCAGAGTCCAGCTTCGGGGGAGAGCTCTTTCCACATCCCTTGACCTTCTGAGCCTGCGCCCATAGCTTGTCTGCTAGTTCCTTCGCGCGACACCAGATCGTGGTGCATGAGGACTTGGCTGGTTGATCGAACACGACCGTGGCCATGGCGAGGCTTCCACCTGGAGTTTTGATGAGCCCAACCTTGACAGGAGGGATCCCGTCCACAAATCGGGTGCCGACTTCGATAATCCTCAGATCAACCTCGATCAACTCCATGCTGTCCTCTTTTGCCGTGGCCTTGGGGTAAACGGCCAGGCTGTAGCCCAGCTTCTTGCTCTTTGGCTTTCTGTGTCTGTGGCCGTGAACAACCGCAGCATGCAAGTCGCCGCTCCAAGGGTTGGCGTCCGGGTACAGCTCGAACCCGTTGAGTAATAGTTTGGTCTCATCCTCGATCATGAAGTCTAAGCGCAGCTCTGTGTGCCTGCCCTTGCAACCGGGGCAAGGGACGGAAACACTTTGCTGGAGGGCCGACTCTGGGATGCCGTAAGGGAGCGCGCCGGCAGGATTATCGATCGGAAGCGCCTTGAATATATTTTCGTCATTCTCGGATATTTCGGGGATGATGACGAATGCGGTGGCGACAGCGGCCAACACAAGGTGCCTGAACAGCATCGTGTAGGCTTTATATCGATATTTGGATTTTAAGCTAAGAGATGCGGCCGTTGTTCGTGATGGAAACGGACGCTATTGATGGTGACATTGAAAGAGACAAGTTAGGTGGCAAACCTTGCCGGAGGGCAGCGACACGACACAGGAACTTGGACTGCATGACGAGTCCAGCGCCGGAAGACGCGGAGATGGCTGCTGCCCCACCAAAGTGACACAACCCACAATCAGGGAAGATAGCTGCTGACGTAATGGCTGTTGCGTGTGCTTATTGGTTCCAGCCATCGAGAGGAACACGCGACACTTCTTTGTTAGCTTTCTTAGTTGCATACTCAATAGGTTGTCATTCTTTGATTCATTCATTCGATGATTCTGCCAAGAACTATTTGATCTGAGTAATACTCAACAATTCAAGCAACCGTGGCAGCCAATATATAATTAATTTTCCGGCGGATGATTTCAACACACGATTCATCTGGGGGGCCTACTCAGTGACCCACCAACATCTCCAAGACACTGCCCTCTGCTCGCTGGGGTCGCGGTGATTCCTTTCGATCAGAATGCACATCAGAAATCGGGCTCCTGAACGCGATGGAGCGGCCCACTTCCACCCCAGGGATCTGGCCAGCTAGGGCTGCCAGGCATTCTCTTCCCAGAAGGCGAAGGATAGGCCGAAGTCCAATCGTCTTCGGCGGATGAGGTAGGCGAGACCGTGGTTCCGAAGGTTGATGGGGCGGGATATGTCACTGTCACTGTCACCGTTGCTGTTTGCTAACATTAGCCCATGTTGCGTATTTTCAAGTGTGATAGCTCTTACCATTCGAGCTGGTGCCAGCAGAACTGGACGAAGTTGCAGTGCTTTGGTTGGTCGCATACGCAGATTTTGAACCAATTTGGGTGTGCTCGCAAGTAGTATTGACATATGTTGGCCGAGTGCCATCGGTCGAAGCCCAGGTGGTGGTATTCAGAACCGTTCCAATCACGCTGGAGGTTGCAGAAACCGTTGAAAGACTGGTGCTCCAACCGCTGACTCCTGCAGTGGTAAGAACGCCGCTACTTACCGTTGAAAAACCTCCCGTCGTGGGAAACGCCGATGAGCTGGCGTTGCTCCAAGGATAAGGGGTGACAGTCAAAGTTGTAGTGCTGCTGCTGTGCAGAGTCACCGAGGTCTCATGGGTCGAAGCTGTTGTCTCCGGGGGCGTAGGATACACAGTGATGGTAACAAAATGCGTGGAGACGCTCACAACAGGCGTCTCAGAAACAGTAGAATTGGCTGTAGATGTTGTACTGTTGAGACTGCTCGGCAGATCCGACAAGGGAGACATAGTGCCAGTGCTTTGTGTGCCCGAGGCTACACTTGTAGCGTTGATGCTCCTAGTGTTGGTTGGAACTTCTGTGCGAGTGGTATCCGCCTCCCACGATCTTGTCCCTGGCCGGTCGGTCAAAGTGACAGTGATGTTTTCAGACACCGTGTGTGTAGTACCTGATGGGGAAATAGATTGAAGCGAGGTCACTGCACCGCTGGCATCGGAGTTCAGCGCTGGTCCTGTGACAGATGATAGATTGAACGAAGCAGAGAAGGGGGGGATGCGAGAGATTGGAGTGGGCCATTCGATGGTGGAAGTGGCAATTTCCTTGGACGTAACTGGATCAGTTGCATCTCCAGTGGTCTTTGACATGCCTGCGTGAGCCTCCGTCCGCGTGATGGTGATGATGCTGGCTGCGGAGGAGGTAACAGGGCCCGCAGACGTAGAGGTCTGGCTCGATGTAGTTTTGACAGTTGATGTAGTATTTACCTGCGATCCTGAAAGGCTTGACGTCTGCTCTGCGTTAGAGAAAGTGCGATCGATGGACAACGTGATCGTCTGGAGAGACGTGATTGTGATAACAGAGACATAGCTATCTGACACTGTCGAGGAGGTAGATGCGTTAAAAGAGGCATGTGAGCTTGAAGGGGGAGAGGTAATTGCTGCTCCTGTGCTAGTCGGTTCGCTCGAGACGAAGTTTGTGACCGTCACAGTGACAGTCTCGTCTCCATGCGCATCCGTTTGCGAAGCAGGGTCTGCGCTAGAGTCAAATAGCGTAGTGGTGTTTGATGATAGTGCCTCTCCAGTTGATGGCTCTTGTGTGACAGCAGTAGATGTAGATTCTATCTCCGAGCCATTGCTGATTCCGGGCGATCTGGGCTTGGTCGTGGCAGTCAACGAATGACTGGTCGGAGCCGGATAGGGGTTGTAAGACGGCTCGTCATCGATATCAGCTGTGGAAGTAGGCAAAGGATCTATGATTTGTCAATATCAGAGGAAGTCACATCAAAATGGGCAATTTCCTACAGGCAGCAGTAGGTGCGGTGGAGTCGTCTGGGTTACCAAAGTCATACGCAGCCGGGGAGTCGTTCTCATCATCTGGTGCAGAGGCAGCCAAGAGAAGCATGGAACGGTCAAGAACTCGTGAACGGTAGGAAGGTCTTAAAACCAAAACTTGATCCCCAAGGTGCAAGCAGTTGGACAAGACGGCGAAACAGGCGATGGCCAGGAACGCCCAGAACCCACCAGAAGCGGGATGGTACTTCATTGTGGTGGACGATTGAATGAAAGCTATTGATCGGCAGTTAGCATGAATATATCTTTGAGAGGTAGGAGACAAGAATATTCGTACCTGTTGCTGAAAGGCTATTGTTTGGTGATAGAGGAACTTGAGTCTTCAATAGGGTGATGGTGGATACTGGAGGAGGAAGAATCTGCAGCACTGGCACGAGCTGTTGATGAATCAAAATAGGAGTCCAATTGTCAAACTTGAGCAGAGAAGGATGTGAGCAGGAAGTGAGAGCAAAATTTTCACTCCAGAGGCATACAAACGGCACGAGTGGCAACTTAGGTACGGACAGTTTTCAAGCAAACGGATTGGTACGAAGACTGCTAGGGTTATATACTGATCCGTGGATTTCGGAAACCCCTGTGAACCAGAACCCGTCGTTAGGAATTCCTCTTTGGGAGATTCGAAACATTCACGGGACACTCTGCCGACCCCAATATTGGCCATCATTCTCCGCATCTCAGTTAGAAGGTGCACACATTTTGGTGCGAAGCAAGCACTATGCTTGTGTTCTTGTGAAAGAACAGCAATTGCGGCGATACATACGCAATTGAAGGCAAAGGATACAAATAGCAAATTGTTTTAAATGAGACCTACATATGGATAGACTTGCTCGATTGCTCTCGGTGTGTCGAGTATACCGGCCATGCAGTGTCACCCAAGTAGCCGAAGTGCAAGCATTGCTGAGAGAAATTATGTACGACGTAGAGCGTTTATCCGTCAAACAAGTAGTACCTACCTACTTAGCATATAAGTAGGCCGATCAAAGAGTTGATACCGCCCGGATGTTTCAAGGATGGCTTGTAAAGCAGTCTACCTCTGGAAATAGCTTCATGCAGACAAGCCATGTGAAGCTACCCAGTTCAAAGACTGCATCCTCTGCTCTGGCGAGCGGTACGATTTAAGTACCATGTACGAGAGATTCTAAAACTCCGTGCTCTAAAATCTTGAGTTTTCACAAAGTTCAGATGATAAATATGCAATTGGTGCTTGCTTTCACAACTGCCATCTCCACCAGGAAAAAACATGTGGGCAAACGACTCGGACCTGTTCATCCGGACACAACGCAAACCTTGACTTGTCGCTATAGAAGTGCCTACAAAAATACCGTTCTAATTGTAAGTGTTTATTGAAGGTTCTTCTTCATCACGCTTGATCTGTTGCCGGCTCCTGAAGTTGTCGCCCTTCGTGGAAAGCATCTCGAGCTGCCAAGTCTTGCGTGTAGGAGTACTCACAGCTAGATCGGCATCAGACTTATTCCTCGCTACCTTTTAGGTAGTAGCAAAGGAATAATGTGATAGCTAGATTGAGTCGTTCCGCACTATTACATGAAGTTTTGTGTATCCATCGTCATGCCATGTCAGTTTTCCCTGCTCCAAACAAACCGGGCCGACCGACATTACCAAGAGTGTACTGCGTACCAGATAATGCAAGCGTCGGCATTCTGACAAGGGTGCCCGAGTAAGCAAGCCAACGGCTGTGATCTGGTGCGCCATGTGCCAAGGTTCTGATACCCTGAGTTGTACTATTAACGTTCTTCGTTGGCGGTGAGATTTTTTCCTAACCCTACCGTAAGAAGCGCAGTCGACACCTGTTATATTGCAGAGATGGCGTTAAGTATCAAGATCGGAACTAATGTAACAGCAAAGTTGCTGAAAAAGCTAACGCTCCAGAAGTATGTATATGAAAGTAGTGCGGGGTACCCCGGATTCATCCTGGAACCTCGATGTACTGGTATGACTTGTTCGGGGATGCATCGCGATTTCCTACCGTTTGAATATTAAACTAGCGTAATAAGCTTAAAACTGTTGCTCTAATTGCTACTATAAGTGGCCAATGTATTGTGATGGTACTCTGTGTTAAGACGTCTTTCGGCTCTGGTACGCACTTAGAAAGACCTGAATACACACAAGATATATGGTGATGCTAGTCGTGTACTGTTTTACAGCGCAATATGTGTGAACAACGTGATGTGTAGAAAAATAGAACTATGTTTGATGAGTAGTTAAATCTGGGTACTGCGGCGGATTTATGATGAGATTCAGTTTGCGCCTGACTCGAATTCCTGGTGTATTGTGGGGTAGTTGATGCCTACCTAGACGCGTAGCTCGACGCGCAACCATGATATGAATAGTTCACCATCCATATCTTAGCAGTCTCAGCTGTATTCAGCTGTATTCAGCTGAAAGAACTGGGCGTTTAACTTCGGCCGCTGACTCACTGCCGGGCGGGCCCCAAGTGTGACTATCTATTTCGAGAGATATTGTGAGGGCCATCTTGCTGAATGGTGGGGTTTTGCCGCTAACAAGGCAACCGTGTTCAAGTCGGTTGGTATTCTGTTGATAATGTGTCCCCGTAAGCAAAGCCGAAGGACACATAAAAGGCTGAGCAAGGCCTTCTACGAGAGACCAAACGAGACTTGCCCCGACATCCGAATCCTATTTCGATCATGACCGACGTTCCGAGATATATGCCGAACGACCAGCCGCTTCGGGCGTTGTCAAAGACCCCGAAGGAGCTGTTCCAAGCTGCGCTGGAGGAGTTCATCGAAAAGAACGGCGTACCGGAAACCTTCGAAGATGGGCAGTTAATTGGTATATTTGCTGGATTTACTGGTATTTCTTACCTGCTTCTTCAGCTGTCCAAGCTTCACCCAGACCTGCAGGTCCATGGCGAGAGTCTTCTCCAGCTCGCCAAGCGCTACATGAAAGTTCCCCCCGATGCCCCGATGCTGGAACAAGACATCGAATGCGGCCTCATTAGTGAAAAGCTCGGTAGAGAAGCGCTAACTGCCTGCCTGTCCGGCGACGACAAGGACGTGGAGCGCTTCATCGCCAGCACGTCTGACGCTGCTAGTCCAACTATCCCGACATCCAAGACGCTGGCAAACGAGATCCTGTACGGTAGAGCAGGAGTCCTGTTCCTCCTGAGGTTGGTCCGCTACTGGGTCCCGGGGAGCAGGGCGAGGCTGGAGATGCAGATGCAGGCCATCGCCGATCGCATCATGGAGGCCAACAACCACGGGCAGGACAGCTGGGTCTGGGCGGACAAGAAGTTTCTTGGCGCCGTCCATGGCGATATTGGCATCATCACGCAACTGGTGCTGTGCCTGCCACACTTGGCGCCGGTACTCCAGCCACACCTGCTGCGACTGCTGGCCATGCAGTTCGATGACGGAAACTGGCCGAAATTGACGGACGGGAGCGAGACGGCCTCTGAAATTGTCCAGTTCTGCCACGGCGCCCCAGGTTTCGTGATTAGTCTGCAGGCGCTGCGGCCCTACTACCCGCACCTGAGCGCCGCCTTCGACAAGGCTATTGCAAAGGGGATCGATATTATCTGGACCAAGGGGCTGCTGCTTAAGGAGCCGGCCTTGTGCCATGGAATTTTGGGAAATGCACTGTAAGTATCATGGGATCAGCGATGAGGGATCGATTTGCAAGATGAAAGTAATCCGCTGATGCAGTTATACTAGGGCCTTGCCGCGAGGAGAGAAGCGCGATCATTTCTTGGCACTCGTCGAGCCTCAGGCAACTGAGGAGATGAAGGAAAACTACCCGGATGCTTTCGGCACGGCAAACTACGGCATGAGATATTGCATCCCCATGATTTACTCGATGAGTGCGGTCTGGGTCTGGGGTGTTTGTGAGCAGGAGTGCCCTCCCTTTTTTGCGTTCAGCGATGTATAGCCCGCTTAGAATTCCACAGAAAGCCAATATCAAACTGTCATGAAATATTTACCCGATCACAATTCCATTCAAAAGACTAAAGAGACAGGGCGTGCGTCATGAATGTGTCAGGGACTCTACCAGCGCTACAGTGAGCTCGATATCCCCACAAATGCGGTGAAGGAAGCGAAACTAATAAACAAGAAAGAGACATCGATCGAGAGAATAACAGACCTAGAGTTGCATCTGCTTAATAAGTTTCTGGAACTAACTTAGTCTTTTCACGTCGGCACTTGGAGCCAGCCACCAGCCAACACATGCGCTAAAAGGGCGGCGATCCTACACTTCTTCTGTTTACGTCAGGACTGCGTGACCTAATTAAGATTCACTGACGTTGACAATAAAATCGCTATCGATTATCGATGGCTCATATGCAAACCGACGTAATATAAAGGCCTGGACTCAGAATGGAGCCCTCAACCATGATGTCAAAGAAGATCGAAGTTTTCGAGGTGGATGCCGCGGAGCGTCCGTGGATCCTACGACTACGCTCCAAAATTTTCAATATACGTAGATAATTTACCAGGATTTAAAACGGCCGAAGTAAGTAGAATCCAAATAGAGTAATCTTTAGATATAAATAATTCCGCGCCATAAGAACAAGTAGAAGTTGTCGGAGCCTCTCCCTACTCGAACGAACAGCACGCGTCCGCCACACTTGAGGATCATAACCGATATTAAAATTAACAGCCCCGAAAAGCACCCATAATTGTAACAATCGCAGCGCATATCGTTGGTAGTCCCTAGTGAGATGCCCAACGGCGGAGATCAAGAAGCCGTTTGCAGCTGAGAGTAACATGCGAGGAGTGGAGGGGGCGTGTGAGCTGTACATTCCGAATAACGTCTATTGGACGTTAATCTCGAGTCAATCAGTCGATAGGAAAAGGAAAATATTAAATAAGCAGCTTATTAGGGGGCAGAAAGAACGTTGTTGTTATTCGCCTACTGGATCCGGCTGCAACCCGGCTGGTCTCTTGGCGGCGTCGGCGACGGCCGTACGGAGTTTTTGGCTTTTTTCATTGGGCCATTTTTCGGCTCTTGTTTGCCGACGTGGGCATTTTATGTCATATCCGTCTGTTATTATATTCTCAACCCGATTATGATAATCATCATCCGGAAAAAGACTGGAGAGACGGAGGTTTTCTATAACCCAGGGGTCAACCGGCATGGTGCTGATCACCAGAGGATGCTGACATTGACAGCGATGTGTGACGGGGTTGTCTTTTTGTCTTGAAAAAATACAGAAGTATGCTTACCTTATGCAAAAATTGATACCAATAGACTCGAAAACAAAGTCATTGCAGCGGGGCTTTATTTACGAATTTCTCGAGCATTGTTTGTGGCTTTTACACCCTGTGGTTATATTGCGAGCCCTTGCATAACGACGGGTCCACCAAACGCCGCGCATTTCTAGGAAAGAAGCTGCCGCACCGAGATTTATTAAGGTAACCTCGAGTGTTGTAATAAATCTGTCCTCGCCCGGCGTATAGTACTGCGTGGGAAGGTATCGTACCGGGGCTGTCTTGGAGAATCGGAAGGCGGCCAGGGACATGAAAAGCTATAGCTAGTAACACGATAATGGAGTTTATAGCGCATAGCGGACTTACGGGCAGTTGAGTTTGCGACAAAAGCCTCTTTGCAAGGGAAGCGCGAATACTAAGAAAGTGCTGGGGGTCCGTACACTTGCTAGAATTGGAGGTCATGTTACCTTTGAGCTTGACGGCGGTGGCGCGCATCCCGTGTGCGGAGCGGCGGGCAACCCGGTGATACGACGCCACAAAATCGGCAACGGAAAAGTGACGAGTTGCTTTTTTCTTTTTCTTTACCTTTTTCAGTTATCGAACGGTCTGATGCAGCTTTGGGCATGAGACAAGATTGCATGTCTTGGTCCGGACTTTATCCCTTGGCGGGGAGATAACGTGTCGCCAGGATCGCCATGACGAAATCAAGTTTCCCGCGTCTCGGCGGTTCGCGAGTTAACTATGGCGGTTTACGGGATGAGAAGGAAAAGTTCCTCATCTTTCCCGCGTTCATTATATGCCCGTCTGGAGAAAAAAATATTGCGCTCGTCGCCCGAATCTCGGAATTCATCGTGATAACTGAATCATGGCACGCAGTCACGCCACACTGGTTTTGCATGGCCCACTGCCATGTGAGTCTAATTCCCGTTGTCACATCCCCCCCCAGGGGCGCATTGACGGAACTGGGTGCACACATACGGGTGCATTTAGGGGATACGAAGACGACGTTGTGCGGCTGCTATAGGAACCTGCAATCTACGTTCTTGTTTGTTCTTGGCGCTGCTGACCGACGACGATCCAAGCAATGCATGAACGATTGGAGTATCTCTTGTCAATTCATTGCCTGTGCCTTGGTAGCAGCATGCGATGCTCAACGTCTTGAAGAGGGGGTCGTGTATTTTCGGAAAAGAAAGGAATAGGCCCCGTTGACGAGACGAAAATGCACGCCCGGTGCTGGTGCGGGTAAAATGGCTAAACCGGTAAATAGACGACAACGCCGAAACAACGAAAAGACTCTCTTTTTCAAGTCAGGCTATTAAGAAACTGGAGCACTTCATTAGTCGCAGAATCTAAGAGACAGCAGAATAAGTGGCACCCGCCCGGCCCATATCCGCGGAGCCGCGGGACTGAAAACGGTAGTCGGGCTCGGGGCTAAGAAAGCGCCGTGGGCCGTGGGCATGTCGGGCCCGGTGAATCAGCATTTCATAATTACGGGCGGATCGCCCACAAGGCTAGGGCCTGAACCTGAAATGGGGTGTGTGTACGCTATTCGAGTTTGCAATGATTATTCTTAGTTCCTGCGCGCGGTACCGTACCGGCGCTGCGGCACCCACCCCCCCGTTGCCTGTACGGCAGTCCTCGCGAATAAGCACTGTATATGCCATAGCGCTGATTGCGTAGCGTTGCATTGGCCTGTCGGTCTGGTCTGATCTAGGGTGAAGAAAACTTTGCTGGGAGCGTCGTTGGAAGGAAACCGGTAGAGCTCCTCCAGAGCCAGGGGATTGAAGAGATGAGGATTTAACGCAGTATTTGTCAAGTGACAAGTTGGATCATAAGATCTGCATAGGGGTTCAAGCCTCTTTCCCAAGATCACAAAACCATCAGGAGCGACGATGATAGTGTTGGTGTGAATTGTGTGTGGCTTGGGACTCAGCCAGACTATTTGCGTCCGGGCATCCACACTCACTGTTCACGTCAAATTCTTGGCTGGAGAAATGTCCGATGAATCATCTCTTTCGTCCGCCGCTGACAGATACGCTCCACCTCGCTGGGTAGACTAGGAAGAACGTTAAGTATAGAACCTTGTTGAGTTGATCCATGACGTGAAGCAAGAGGAGGAGCGAAAGCGAGGAGCGAGGAGCGAGCAACTAACACACCGATCACTCACTGTCTTTCAGTTTTTGCTTTCTTTGTTAATTATTAACGAAGACCAAAAAAGGTTCCAGCCACTCAAGATGTGCTTGTTCAGCTCATGATTAGCATTGCGCCAACATCGCTGTTTATGGTTTGGCTCAGAGCATAACGCCGCCTCACAGCCTGTTGCTCCAGTTATACCAGCCCGATAAATGCGACATGCGTTATTCTCGATGCCACGTCGACGGGTAACGAAAAAAAAAAGGTTTGGTAGTTGAGACATTCTCGATGAAAGAGGGCATGATCCCGGGTATCTCACCGGTAGATGCTCTGGCGACCGACATTTGCTTTGCCTTCGAAGACGGGTCGAAGATGCCAGGAACTGAGCGCGTGAAGCAGAAGAAAATGATAAATGACGGAGCGGGCTTTGAATACATGGCAAATGCCACGTCCGTCAGGATGGAAAAGGTTTACCCGTTGAGGCAATCCTCAATGGAATAGGGAATGATTTCATGCACCTCACCGGTAGATCGTTTTGCGACCAGTATTGCCTCCAAAGACGGGCCATTCTAAGATACTGGGAGCCGCGTATGAAACGGAACAAGATGATGGATGATTAGACGAGCGACAAATAACATGACAAATGCTAAGTCAGGACTGACTGACCGAAGAATGAGTCTACGGTCTTTCTCTTGCGTGAAGGTCAACGGCGATACGAATTACATTAAGAACAAGACAATAATGGCTATGGGCTTTGTCTTGCACCAATGTCAACAACAGTGATACAATGAGAACGAGACAAGTGAGGCCGTGAACATCAGTGAGACAAGCCACGCATTTGGAGTGGCCGCCGATTTTACGTATACCGTATACGGCAAGAGTAAAAGTCCGCGCAGGGATAGAAGTGCGGAGTTTTCTTAATTAAGCGACAGGATCATTCGAGGGACAAGGACGGACGAGACCTTGGCTGGCGGGGAAATACAGGCCATGGACGTCCACGGTGGGAGGGAATGGCTTCTGGAGGAGGCCCACAGACGCCCGTCCAGAGGGAGTTTTTGCAAGCATCAGCATCCACAGTTCAGTTACAGTGGAGGGTAGTGAGGATAGGGATGAATAATTAGGTATGAACTAGGTTGGAGATAGTGAGGGCGTGATGGTGATGGGGATTGATGATGGACAACTATCAAGACTGGTGGTGGTGGTTGTTGATACAGCGATGAGAATTGGCGACAAGTTTTCCAAGCCTCAGCCACCAGCCACCTATTTGTCTTGTCCGCAGCAGCTATGAGTGAAGCCCACAGTCAGTCCTGCAGTCTGTAGCCTTGTTGTGCTGTCGCATGGAAGCCAGTTCTGAACGTCCACGTATTGTAATTGAGGGCTAAAATGCCAACCCTTGGCCTGTACCACAGATAAAAAGTTTACCTTGCTTGGGCTGGGTGGCGCTGGGCGCTCGACCGTGGACGAAGAAGCCCCTAAAGCCTGGCTGGCTGGCTGGTCGCACTCTCGGACATAGGTTGGTGACCGACGCGGCTAACGCCACACCCTCCTTATGACAGGTCTACCCAGGTCACTACAGGTTTTGCCCATCCCCCCTCTCTTCCACCAGAGTCACCACCACAAACTGTGCGAAGCTTGTCTAAAATTGAATTATAAAGCAACCCAATCTGATCAACCCGATCGTGTCTCCTCGCACCCCTCCCCCCCCCCTTTGGTGAAGTCATGGAATTTTCCCTACTATGCCCAGCGCCCCATTTTTCACACGCCCTCCTCCTCGTGGTCTTTACCACCCATTATTAAGCGGACACCCATACAACACACTTCATATCCTCCTTAAACACGGCGCTCCCTCCGCCGTCTCGGACTTAGATATACCTCTTGTATACATTGTGCCCGTTTACCCATCTCCCCATAGTCTACCGTCCAGACGTTTTTTCTTCACTGCCCGCTGACATATATACATGTCGGATTCTCAGTCGCACGCCTCCAAGCGACAAACACACCACAGCATCATCGCCACCACTTATATAAAACCACCACCCCAAAAACTTTCAGATTCGACCCTCACAATGGGCGCCCAGAACACCCCCCCCTTTCCCACCGAGGACACGAAGGCGAAAAAGACGACGAACAAGACCACCAAGCCGACTCATCGCGCTTCGAAGCGTGCTAACAGCGCATCTGCCGCTCATCACCATGATATAATTGCCGGCGCCACTGGCATGGACGGCCGCCATAAGAGAGTATGGAAGGCCTGTGAGCGCTGTCGGATGAAGAAGACCAAGGTGCGTTTGTCACATAGAATTATGGCACTCAACTCACTCAGGCCTCATCGATTCTAACTCTGCTCTTTAATAAAGTGTGACGGCGAGTTTCCCTGTAAGCGTTGCAAGGACGACGGACTCGTCTGCACCGCTGGCATTCGCAAGAAGATGGAGTACAAGCAGCTGCCCAGAGGGTACGTCAAGTCACACAATAAGTAAACCTTACCGGCTCACGAACCGTCACTTACACTTTCACCTCACGCAGATACGCCGAGGTTCTCGAAAACACCCAGCTCACACTCATCGCCACCATTCACAAGCTCTACTCTATGGTCCGCAGCGCACAGCCGTGGGAGCTGGGCGAGCCAGATCTCAACGACCGCGGCCAGCCCGTCGTGCACAACATTGCCCAGCGCCTCGGCTGCATCCGTCCCAACAGCGACATTGACCTGCCCGTCCACTCCGTCTTCCCAGAAGACGAAGCCAGCATGGCCGAGCTCGCCCGCCAGCTCGAGGAGCAGCAGCCGCACGACGTCCCCAACCCCGCCGCCGCCGCCAGCTCCGCCAACACGGAGGGCGGCGACCCCTCGGCGTACAATTCCACCGAGCGCGCGTCGTCGTCCGACCTCGACCACTCCGACATGGAGCAGGACTACCGCAAGATGGCGTTTGGCAGCCACAACGCGCTGTCCCTTTCGCCGCAGAGCTTCGCCAGCGGCAGCGACTTTGAGTTTAGCACGACGCCCATCGACCTCGACGCCGGTGCCATGTTCTCGACGCAATCCGCATCGATGCCGGACTTTTCATCATCCTGGGCCGCGGTTCCCAAAGCGCAACAGCAGCAGCAGCAGCAGCAGCAGCAGCAGCAGCAGCAACAATCGCCGGCGACCATGTCCATGTCATTTATGCAACCCCCGAGCTCATTGCAGAACCTCGTCATGATGAACCAGGACGCCCTCGACGCCGATTTTGCGACAATCAAGCCCGATATCCTGTCGTACGCTAACACTGATGTCATGATGAGCATGGCGGCCGACCCCATGATCTACGCCGGCTTCGAAAACGACAACATGAGGCTATAGTGTGGGAGTCTGGGGCGAGATTACGGCTACGAGTTATGCGATGGAGGAAGATTCCGGATGCCTTGACAGACCCGACCCATGCCGCAAAGGCGTAAGAGTCTGAGAGGCTGCGCGTGTACATGATTTCTACTTTTGTATAATGGGTTACGGAGTTTTTGATTCAGTGACTACTGCAAGAAAACGGTGTTTGGGTGACTAGGAAGGGTATATGACATTAGAGGGGACGGGGACCTGGGCCCTGGGAGGACCTGCAATTGCTTTCAGTTCTGGGCCTTGCACATGTTGGGCCGATTTTTTTTTTTACCTTTGTTTCTTCTGCGCAGCGACTATAGATTTACGAATATGATTATCATAACCACTTACAGCGAAATCCTAACACGCGTGCCCAAGTCCCTGATCGACTCACCAAACCAGCGAATTAGATGAAAGCGCGCACGTCATCGCGTGGTACGTCGCTCGCATTGATACACGTAGACCCTTGGCGATTTTGCGATCCCCAGAACAAAAACACACATGCAGACACAGCCCAATCTAGCTGACGCCAAGGCGGGCCACTCACAGGTGGGCGTTATATCTACGACTGGTGGATGATCCGTGCCATTCTGGCAAAAAGTTGCCGGGCTGAGGGAGGAGCTTGCGACAACAACGGCGAGGACGACGGCGTCTTGTGGCTTGGCCGCTTGGGGGAAAGCCAGTCCACTTCTAATAAAGGTTCGCTCACCAAAGCATTTGAAATCATCAGGAAAACCTACATTCATCAGAAAGGGAACGAAGAAAAAAAGGTTTGGTGCCCCGAAAAAAAAGATGCCGTAAATTCTCAAATTTGATGAAGAACCCCTGCATGGGCTAGGCCTATGTAGGACAGTGATGGAGTAGAAAAACGCGCCTACCTTTCTCGGGCACTTCCAGTGGTGTTGAAGGATTTTTTGTCAGCCTTAGTTGAACATTTGGCTATCCCACTGTTGCGATTACAAAGCGCGCCGTAATAAGCTTCGTCTTCCTTCCCCAGGGCCTCCCCCGCAATCGGACAATGCTTAATTCAATGGTTGAGTGCTACCTTATGTGATGATGAGAGAGAAGGCATCGGAAATAGACGAATGTTGCATTACAAAAAATATCGTTGCCTAGACCCTCTAATTACTAGTATTTCAAAAGATCCATGTCGCTCCTCCTTAACGAGAGGCAATGTTGCTACGATGATTCTTTTTAGTATCGTCTAGAAACACCAGTAGCCTATAGCGGGCGGGGTATAGGACTGTCGTTTTGCGACTGCAGGCAAAGTGATTGATTATAATAACTCGGTAAGGATGGCACCGCTTGTCGATCACTCCATCTGCAAAGAAGCAGGGAGTCACCCTCACGGCATGATACACAATTCGCCTTTCCAATTAATAGACGACCTGCATGGACACACCCCTTGATTTTTACATATCTTATGGGCTATACGCAAGATACGGCTTACTCGTTTCTTCACGGTGTCCCCACGACGGAGTTGTGTAAATAAGACCAGGATGCATCCCGCAGTGTCTTACTTGAACGAGTTCCCACCTGTTAGGGAGGGTTGCAGCGCAGGCGCGCATCGACATAACAAAATACCCTCTATCTGTTCGCTTCACTTTTGTTGATGCGATGCCGGAAAGCAGCCGAGGGGATATTCAAACCTGCGGACGCGACCGTGGAATAATGCAGTTTCGTTTGGCGCCTGATTTTCGGCTAGTTATAGGGTTTACCTTGCTTCAGCAGCAGGCCCCCCGTCTCGAGGCACAGCCCTCGAGCCGGTCTCCGGGATTCTCAGCAAGCTGCAGCATGGGGAAGGCGGCTGACTCGTCACAGACGGGCCAGCGGGCCGGCGACAAGAGATGCCGTGCTGTATACACGTGCCGATCGACTCATGCACGGCGACTTGTGAGAAGAGCAAAATCCGACGGAACGTGTGCATCCTGGAGGGATAGAGTACGCCATTCACAGAGACCGTACACAATCACCTTGAACTATACACTACACCGTCACCATGCGCCTTGGTTCATCTATTCTGCTCAGGTGGCAGTCCTTCAATTGACGAATAGCAACGCACAAAGAGGCGGCGTGCTATGCGGCTACTTTCCTTTAACTTTGGAAGCTAAGTATTCCAACCAGCCTGGCCGTGTTTCATCAGACTGTGTTTGAACTGACTTTTTTTCTTGTTGCAATATACATAGCCTTCTGTTGTCATCGATCTGGAACCTAGCGTTTGCGGATCCATGCCGCTTTTGACAACCGTCCCAGCTAACTATCTAAACTCCTTTTCTCGAAAAACTAACTCAACACAGATGCCAAGCGGCAATTGGTCCACCTTATCTTACATTTTTGCATATCTGTTTCTTCATAATTGGCTTTTCTCGATTTCAACGATAAAGTCACGACTGTCGACAATCGGTCTGCGTGATGAAGTTTCGATCCATCACTAAAACTCTACCAAAAGTGAGGCTCGCTTAATCAAGAATCGTTTCCAGTCGTTGACTTTAGTAGCTTAATGTTCGATTCCAAATAAGCCTATTCCTCCGCAAAGTTCACATTTCGTCCACTAGCGTCTTTACGTATATTGCGATCCTAAACTACATCAGGCTTTGAGTAGCCACCGATTTTCTCGGAAGTCTTTTTACTTATCTATCATCCTGTTCGGTCGCTACACCATTAATGCATCATCCGTTTATCTACAGCAATTCCACCGCCCTAGAGGCAAGCAAGCAAAACCTAGAAGCAATAGTATGAGCCGCTACTAGAGCTGAGGCTGGAGCTATTGATATGATCTGATCTGTGCTAGCAGAAGGGGATCGTAGAGTTGCAGTTAAGAACGAGATAGTAGATATCTTTATCCATCCGGGTACTTGATAAGCGCACTTATCATTTGCCCTTTGTTTCAACATTCAATTGCCGAATTGCAAGTGTTTAGACTTTATCGCCGTTGCTGCATCCGGTGTTAGCTGCCAGGGCAGGTACGAAGTGACAGTTCGTACAGCTAAGTTCCTATGTACACAATTACCCCAATCTCAGTCCAGGGCAATCTCATATCTCACATGTAGTAGTGTACAAGAGAAACTTGCTCGTATAAAAACACGGGAGCGTCAGTCCTTGCCTGGTACGCGAGTGCTACGCACCTGCGACAATGCCCCGAGAATACGACGAATATGAACTGACAGTGGCGGCCCCTCATCATCTATCTCGATGACCCTCCACAGCCGTGACATTCAGCGTTGTGAGACTCGAGAAACCCCTGGTAAACTCTGTCTCGTGGCTGTTCGCCGCGATGCATCATATCCGTAAAGCAAGGCAGAAAAATAACCAACTCCCCTTGTTGACGGGCCGAAAAATCTCTCCGGGGCACGGGCGCGGGCACTGCCTCGTCCTGAATGGATCTGTTCTTGCATCGTCCTCGGGACCGAAAGTGGCTGAAGTTTCCGAGCATATTCGTTGTCCGCTGTAAATGCGCGGGAAATGGCCGTTTTACACCCACACCCCTTCCCCTCTCCGCAAGCCTCATTCTACCTCAACGAACCAAGCATGGGCCTCGCGTATTACGCGTATTGCTCTAACCAAGGCCGTTGAATCTTTTGAATCACTTCATATTTTACTCACGGTTTTCGAATTTACCTTTGCCCATTTCCCACTGGTGACATTGCATCCGCAGCCAAGAGAAGAACTACCCTTGGCCTGGCCTCTGCGCCAGCCTCCGAAATTCTTACTTCTTTTTGCCTAGACAACAAGCAAGTTCTTGGCACACGCAGTTTGCAGCCGTGAATTCTGTTTCCAAGCCGCTTGCTTCGCGAGGGCCAAGAACCCCCCAAAAAGGAACCATTCCGCGACGGGCTTGCTCGTGCATGCACCATCTGGCGGGCAGTGCTCCGCGAAACTCGGATTCGGACAATGGCCTCGCATCCAACGCTAATAAAATGCTTTGCTGGCCCGATTTTGTATGAGGAGCCATGAGGCGGTCAGCCAAGGCTTACGACCCCGCATGCCGTTGATGACAGGGAAGCTCTTTTGGTCAAGTTGGTCGACTCATTGCTAGTCTGTGGGCTTGTTGTGACAGTGCAACCATTAACTACTTCTAATATTAGCAGCTAAAAGGATCATCGTTGAGGCGGCTTGCGACAGCCCTGCCTGTTAGCGCTCTGGCTGCTACATAGCTATGTAGATAACATTGCTACGGCACGCACCCTACGCAACATTAACTTAAAGCAGAAAAGGGCAGTGGCCGGAACTTAGCCTCCGTCGCACAGTCGGAGATCAACAGCAAAAGATGAAGCTAATTCACTTCTATACACTAGTTAAAAAACTCCATAAACTCCCGCTAACAAACGCCAATTCGTAGGGCTGGACGCCCAGCCTGAACCAGGCAGCCAGCCCTTGGGTCATCCGTTGTTGTAGACCGGCCTCCATTCTTTTGCCGGTGTGCAAAATTGCGCCAACAGAGCAGCACATCTTTCTCATCCGCTCTTGCTATCCAACAGCTGCGTGAGTATGCTCTCGCTGGCTCGCCACCATCTCGCCCGCTGCTCCAGGTCGTCGCCCACCCCGCCGAGTGCTGCCTCCCTCCTCCGCTTCGCCTCGCGCGCCGCGGCCCTGCTGTTCTGTCTCTTCGTCTCCAGAGGACCAAGCTCCGCCTCCAGCCGCTCGACCTCCTTCCTCTTATGAGGGACTTTTGACTGCAGGGCCTTGAGCTCGCGCGTTACCTGCTGCTGCTCTGCCTGCCGACGCGACACGAGCTGCCTCGTCTTGCTGAGCGGCAAGTTAAGCTCGGGGTTCGAGTCCGCTGTGGCCCTGGAGGCCTTCAGCTCCGCCACTCGCGCCTCGAGATCGCGGATTTTTGTGGGAAGCTCCTCCAGACGCGCCGTTTCCAGCTGGATGCTCGCGTACTGTTGGCTGAGCTCACGGGCCTTGTGCTCCAAGTCGTCCACCATGCTCGCAACGTCCTGCTTGAGCTTCTTTAGCTCCGCCTTTGCCGCCAAGTTTTGCGTCTCCAACTCGAGATTCTCCCGCATGCTGACAATCAGCGGCGGGTCTCCCACGATGGCGCGTATGAATTTCTCCTTGGTGACTTGCTCGACGTAGGAGAATCGCAGTTTTGAAAAGAGCTCGCTGTAATGCGCCAGGTCGGCTTCTAGGCCTGCCGGCGTCGGGCCCTCCAGTGCCGAGTTCGAAGCATCTGAAGTTCTTTGTCTCGGTTCTTCGGCGCTATAGCTCGTGATAGGCTCACTCAGCTTGATGATTGAAATCTCGTGGTGGGCTTGGTGTCGCGTCAGCGCCTTGAGCACGTCCTGCGCTTTGGCCACCGTCTTGCGCGGCGAGGTCGTCATTGCCGTAATCAATTAGGAGAATGAATATCTCGAGAGTTTCCGAGACTGCAGAAGTTTCTTTGAACAAGTACTCGCGCGTCGGCACAAAATTTTGGAGGGATGTTTTCGAGTGCCAGGTCGGTCGCGAAAGTTACACCTGTTTACTTGTAGCCTAATCCGGTTAGGATGTACCACCCCACTTCAGTGACTGCACTGGCTGGCGATAATGTCTGCCAAGCCTGAGACGATTTTGCCATACCTTTCTTTTGTAATTCCCTTTGGACAGGATCGTGGCGGCTACATCCACTGCTCATGATGTCGAACGAAGAGATCCTCACAGACGAATATGTTGCAGACCTGCTGAGCCGCGAAGCTTCAGACTGTTCGATTAAATATTCTGCCATGGGCGTCGATGCTTTCCTAGGAAAGGGCTCCCACTCCAAAAAGTAATGCGCCGAATTGCACCGCTGCGTTAGAACCCATTTCTGACAAGTCATAGACCTACGAACATACCCAAGCCGAACACGAGATTTTTGCGCAATATTATTAAAGGCACCGACTCTCACAACAAGGCACTCTTGGCCAGGGAGGCTGCCGAGTCCAAGGCTCGCCTGAAGAAATTGGAGTACGCCGAAGAGATCAAGCGAAAGAAGATAAATCCCACGACAAGAGATATACGAGAGAGACATATGGGTGACATCCGAGCCATCTTGGGTGGTGGAACGCGCAGACGCCAAGGCGATGACAACGACGACAATGAAGACAAAGAACAGGATAGCTGCGATCGAGCGAAGTCGAAACAAAAATCGAAATCTCGCGAACCCAAGAATGGTGCAGGAGAAGCGCAATGCTCTTCACCGAGTCACCAGAGCGACAGCCACAAGCATAATCGCCAACATCGCGATGGCGCGCGGCGATCGCGGCAGAGGGAGCATCCGTCCGATGATGAGTATCAATCTCGCAGGAGTAGAAGCTATCGAGATGGTAGATCCAGATCCCCCAACAGCGGTCATCGATCTAGACGAACTAGAAGCCGAGACGCGGAGCGCCGACGCCACCGGCATCGCTCGCCGCAGAGAAAGAAATCGACAGTGTCAACAAAGGATGAGGATATGTTAGGCCACTCACAAGATGAGAGTATTGGACCAGCCCTGCCCCCTAAGATTCGCGGCCGTGGCGCGGTTGGTTCATCGTCAGGAATAGATAGACGGTTTTCGGCGTCGTATGACCCAAGAGAGGACATACAAGGCGATGATGATGTTGACGCATAAGGTCGTCGATACCTTACATTCACTATCAAATGAGAAGGTCAGAACGGAGGTAATTATGAGCCACGATCAAGTCCATGCTCAGGTTGATTGCCTATGAAAGATAGAGCGGTACGATGAGATGATTAACGGACAAGGGCTCCTTTAGGAGGAATTTTTGTAATTTTGGATATGGCATAGCGACACTTATCAAGGATTTTGTCAGGCGCATTCTCTTTTCGGGCTGTGAATGCTGTGTCGTCATCTGGAGTCCGTGGTTCGCAATACAAGAGATATGTCTGGCATGTGCACATTCCTATATTTCCGCTCGCAAACTGTCTGGGAGTATAATAAACTACTTATCCACCAATATTATAAGCATGGCGGAATAGAGGAACATGGTTGGTAGTCTGGCATACAGCTGACACGGTCGAGGACCAAGGTGCGTGATCCCAGTATCAGTGGCATGTACAAACTTGCATCATGACCATGCCACCACGCCAAAAGAGGGGGCGCATCCAAAGCACTCCTCAAACGCGGGGTACAATAGGATGTTACTGTGCATGTGCGCGATAAAATGAAGCGGCCGGGTTGTAAAATCTACTTTTTTTTTCCTTGCTAGAATATTTTCTCTCTCTTCAAACGATCGATAGAAACGCATTCCAGAAGAGTTTTGTTTTAGTGTTCAAGCAGTTGTCGTTGCAACTTTGCCCTAAACTTTAGCATAGCCAGCCCGTGGTCGACGTCATGAGGCCCACGCCCTTGTTCCAGGGGTCCTCTCAAGTCCTTTGCTTTGCTTCGGTGGGTCACGATGGCCTGTCTTTCTGTGGACGCCAGCGCATTTTAGGCGCAGATACTCGAGCCTGACCTCCTGAGGAGCTGCTAAGCCCCGGAACAGGACGGGGCCCCATTGACAGCGTCCTCACGCCACTGGCTGGCCCAGGCCTGCTGCACCAGGTAGACTAACGCAGTCCCATGATATCGTCGCTGCTCGTTCTCCGCCGTTGTGTATTTCATCTCCTCCTGATTCTCTGCCACTCCTCCCTTCGTGCTTTTGCTCCCGTTAATTCGCCTTCCATCCCCGTTGCATCACCCTGCGCGCTGAGCGATTGCCCCTCTGAAACTACGGCAGAGTTTTCGCGCTACCGACTTACCTACCTCTCATTCTTAGTTGTTGGCTGCCTCCCCCATCACATCAGCTCCCTTCATCTACCTTTCCAGCGTCAATCGGCGTATGCCGATGTAAAAGAGCCAACCACGCACAGCTGCCCTTGCTGGCCGCGAGAGGTGACTCAGGTGTCACCTCGTCAGCTTGCCGCATTCCTCGACCTCCTTGAACCCTCCGATACACCCCGTTCAAGGTGCGAACGACAAGATGCGAACCACGCGAATTGTTATTCTCGCGATCTTCTTTACCGCTACCCTCTTCGTCCTCTTTCGAGCCGTATTCGTTGCCGCTACCCGATCCTCAAATGTCGTTCGTCCGAAACCCGGAAGTTCTCACAAGTCCATTCTAGGACTCGTCTACTACAACCCTCCCTTCTCCCTCTTCCAGCCCAATGCCGCCATCAGCTTGACGGATGACAACAGCACGTCGTTTGCTGCGCGCCCTGCCGCATTCGGCCCGCAGCTGGCAGCCCATGGGCTGAGTGGACAGCTCTGGGTTGGCAGCGGATTTGCTGAGGACAGCCTCGAGTCTCATGGCGAGCTTGGCTGCAGCGATATACCTGGCTGGGAGGGTGGCGCCAGCCCCCAAGCAATGCTCAAGTCCTCCATAAAATCAGTGGTGTCGCATCACTCGCCTGCCGAAAGCAAACCCGGTGCAACTAAGAAGGGCAGTCACAGTACCCCCGAAGAAATCGAATCAGACAACCGTACGCCTAAATATCCGCGGGCTGTCGATGACGGCACCGACAACTATCTTCACGAGACAGTCCGCAGCTCCCTCGCCCGACGGGACGCTTCAGCATCATCCCACGCCGATATTCAGTCTATGCAAGAATCTGCAGAAATCGAGGGTAAAGTAGTGCTGTTGATGCGTGGAGGCTGCGGGTTCTTGGAAAAGGTCATGTGGGCACAGCGCAGAGGCGCTATTGCTGTCATTGTTGGCGATAACCAGCGAGGCGGTCCGCTCGTAAACATGTTTGCCAGAGGCGAGGATGCGGAAAATGTCACCATTCCGTCCGTGTTCACCGCGCGAACCACCGCTCAACTCCTATCCTCTCTCACACAGCCCGGCAGCTTCATCGAGGATAGCATTGACGAAGGCGGAAATCCGGTATTAAAGGTCCAGAAGGGCGTGAAGTCTCCCACGAAGAAGACCACAGAGAAGACGAAATCGGCTGCTCAAATCAAGGCGAAATCGGCCGTAACGTCGAGCAGGCTGTCCAGCCGTGCTACCAAGGGGCCCGCACCTGAAACCAAGGATGACCGAAGCTGGCTTTCCCGCCTGCTTGGCCTCGGAGCGAGCTCGCGCCGTGCTACCACCGACTCTCCAGCTGGTCTTGGTAAACTAGAGTGGGTGATAGTTGATGAATGGGACAACGAAAATGACAAGAAAATTTCGGACAACATCAAGAGCAATAAAAAGCAGCCGCACAAGCCAACCAAGGCAGTGGGAGACGAATTTCGCATTGGGGTCCAGGACTGGCGTGATCCAGATCTGGTTGACAAGTCGCGCTCGGGCGAGAAATCCAATACTGCCCTCTCTGATTCCCGAAAGGCAGAAGGCAAACATACCAGCAAGCCTTCGGTCAAAGATTCATCATCAAATGCTGATGCAGACCCGCCGGAAAAGTCTGGCAAGGGTCGTGGCCTCTTCACAAAGATGTTTGGTGAAGATGAACCAGATGAGGGCAGCGAGATTCCGGCAGCTGAAGTGGACGATGGGAAAGGCGAGCCTCCGAAACACGGTGAACCAACCCCCGAACCTCATCACGGCCTCTGGGTAACAATCACGCCAAACAGCGGCACGAGCCCCTTCTTCGACACTTTGCTCGTTCTTGTCGTCAGCCCCCTCGTCACCCTCAGCGTCGTTTACGCGTTGTTGATCTTGCGAGCGCGCATTCGTCGCCGACGCTGGCGCGCCCCGAAATCTGTCGTCGAGCGCTTACCGGTGCGCACCTATCACACCGTAGCAGCTACACCGAGTCTCTCGCCACAGACGTCCTCGCCTTCCAACTCATCGCCCACCACCCCCTTGCTTCAGCATAGCCCGTCGCGGCCCAGACCTCGCTCACGCACGACTACTGGCGTTCCCGAAAGTGAAAATCTCACCGTCCCCAGTGCGTCCATCCCGACTGCCTCAAGCGGGTCCCGAAACCGCACTGGAAACGAGCATGAAAAGGGATCCAGCGGCTTCTCTGCTGAATGGCGCAAGTACATGGGGCGGCAGGTCGAGTGTGTCGTTTGTCTGGAGGAGTATGTAGACGGCGTCAGTCGCGTGATGAGTCTTCCTTGTGGTCACGAATTTCACGCCGAGTGCATGTGAGTCCAACTATCTACCTATCTTCTTACGAAACCGCCACTAACACAAGATCGCAGTACCCCTTGGCTCACAACTCGGCGCCGCACCTGTCCCATCTGCAAAGGCGACGTTGTCCGCTCTCTGGCCCATTCATCCCGTTCCATGCCGCGATACGAGCCATACCGTGAGGACAGCGACGACGATGCCGCCGCCTCTTCGAGCTTAACATCCGATGTTGAGCAGGGCGTCAACCAATCGACCTCGCGAAATGGCCAGAGCTCCTCTCGTGGCGATGGCTGGTTTGGCGCCTTCTCTCAAAGCCTAAGTAATGGTTGGCAGCGCGTGCCGTCAAGATCACCATCTCCGGCCCCTCGTCGACAAAATCCCGACCCCTAGCTCAGCGCGCAGCCGATACAATCACACATCGTCCCCCTCTGTGAACCCCGAAGGATACACTGTTCTTTTACCGCGTCCACTTGTTCTATTTTTTGTTAATTTCTGCGATGGAGCTTCGGCGTACTTTGGCATTGTTGATACTTTGGGCGTTCTATGTTATCATCTAGTCCTATTTTGCTAAAGTGTCTAGAGTGAGGTAGGTATACCTCAAAACACGCATCTCGTACATCCCCCCTCGGCGAGTCTTGTTTCGGAATTACTAGTAAGGGATAAGTAGCAAAGAGATTAATGGCCAACTGTCCTTGAACTCGACTATCTATCGAAACATGTTTACTAGCTAATGGAACGTGAAGTCCTGGAAGAAATTGCCACCATCATACTGAGAATGGGGATGCATTGACATCTATTTGAAGCTCAACCAACTCATTGTTTTCGTTCGTTCTCGTCTATGTACTTTCTCATGAGGTGATGGCTACCTCCGGTATCCGCTCGACTGTATTGTCTGCTTTGCGTCCTTGTCCGGGTCATCACCTTCCTTGCCTTTCGGGAACGACTCTTCGTTCAAGAGCATGCCTTCTGGCATTGGATGTCGGCTCCTCGGATGCATCGCTGCGTGCAAGGGTGCCGACGCCTCGGCAGGCCGGTGCACCTCAGCGGGCACTGTCTCACGGTCCAGTCGTGACACGCCCTCCAGGTGCCGCCCATGCAGCCGGGCTTGGCGCGGGCGACCAATTCTGGGAACAGCTCCGGCAGAAGCTCAGAAAGATTGAATGGCTCGTCATCATCGTAATCCTCATCAACAGACTCCTCACCGAGGGTAGAGAGCTCGGATGTCGAGCCCGCAGTTGTCTCGACGGCTAGGTCGACGCTGTCGCTCACGGTAGCTGGGGCAGCTACGGCATTGGTGGTGACGAGCGCGAGGAGAGCCTGTGGCAGTCTGAGTCAATATGAAATGACTTTTCAATATAGAGAACTATAGAGAACGTACAATGATGTTGCAAGTAAAAGCCTTCATTTTGATTGAGTGAGTTTTAGTTTCAAGTTGAGAAGCGTGTTGTGGCTTGTGTAAGTGACAGAGGAATATAGATGACCTTTATATAGAAGAGAAAAATAAGGTTACACATATATTTAGGCATCAATTCGTGAGGTTTATCTACAGCCTGTGGACTGATGCGGTATTCTTTGCGCGCATCAGCCGTCATCTGATAAGCCGGATGTTACCGCAATTAGGCATCTCCATCTTGGCAATCCCCACGCTCCAGGGGGGAAATACAGTAGCTAAATGCAAGTTCCAATATTACAACAACAATATAGGAGGCAATTCATAGAGTAGAGATCCTTTTGCTGCTCTGATACGTCATTCCAAGCTCATTTCAACACCGGAGTGGATGAGTGGCGTGGGCTTGGCTCAGCATGGACCCGTATGGGAAGCTGGATCGCGGTTACCGCTTCAGAGGTCCAAGGAAGCCGAAAAATTCGTCTTGATTTAAATTTTGGAGAGACTTGATTAGAAATGCCCCAACGGGTTCAACTCTTCGCGGTAACATGGCCAATGAAGACCGTCGACCAGCGACCGACCGCGGGACCGCCCGACCGCACGTTGAGACTGCGGAGGAAGAGTAACTAAGAAAGAAGCTTGCGGTGGATTTGATCCGCAAGTTCAGTCCCACAGTGGTGGAATTAAGGCTGCAGCTGAATAAAGATTTGTCAATAAACGCATGGGCAAGCTGCATGGGTCACTAGCAGGGCTGACAAGGCAGCTTCGGGACGACGGCCACTGCCATGTGGCCATTCGTTGGATAATGCAGCTGGGCGGTTAGTTAACCGCTGCGGGTGTTTATATACATCATTGATATAAATCATAGGTAGGCTTATCAGGTGGCCTACAGGCTAGTCAGATGAATTGAGTAGATATCACCAAGCGAATACCTAGCTACGTCTCTCGCTAGTATAAGATTCTTCAAGCTCATCCTGTAACCTACGGATGAGTGAGTGAGAGACAGTAAAGGTGCAGAAGATGATTTTACCGTCAGCGACAGCAGAAGATTGGTCAGTTCACGTAGTGCAAAGCTTGGACATGTTATTCAATTATCAAAACTCCTAACTCCATACCCAAATTCAACCCCCTCCAGTACACCTTGCATACACTTGTCGTATTATTCTAGTTTGACACTTGCTGCTTCAAGACGTCCATCACCAGTCCCCAGTCCAATCTCTCCTTCAACTTGTCGTACTTGAAGTTCAGCAGTCCCCAAGCGGGGAGGTCCCACCACTCAAGCCCATCTGACGTATCCAGAAGCTTGTCCTCGCCGCCGCGGAGAAATGTGACGCGGGCGGCAAACTCGGGGTACTTCGCCTCGCCGCACGCCGCGAGGATCCCGTCCAACTCCTCAGAGTCGCCGTCGCGGCCGCCCATCTCCGCGCACGCCACCCGGCCCGGCGCGACATGGTAGCGGAACACGTGGCGCTTGGCGGTGATGGTGGACACGGACAGGCACTTGATCATGGGAGAGAAGACGCATCGGCACTCCGGCTCGCCGGCCGCGGCTGCGGCGACGCCGTGGTCGCCGATGACGAGCCAGTACGTTTGGAGGGGCGGCAGACTGGCAAAGAAGGGAGCGGGCAGTGACCTGATTTCTGTTTCCGCCTTGGTGTGAGCCCAGGTCTCGTCGACGTGCGGCGGCAGAGGCCCCGGTCGTTGACCGCTGTTGTGATGTACCTGGTACGGCGCTGTGCTCAGAGAGATCAGGGAACGGCTTATGTCGATGATGGGCTTGTCAATGGAAAAGTTAAAGTATGAGAGCGTGTTATTCTTGCTCTTAGTCCCTTCTGCGCCGACAGAGGTCAGCTTCCGCTGATCCTTGAAGTACTTAGAATAGCCAGCTCGCTTGCGCGGCAGGCGGCGGGCATCGCAAGAGCGTCGAGTCGGAGCACTCATTTGTCGTATTGAGACGTACCAGATATCGGAACTTGCCGGACGGCATGCAAAAGTGAACGATCCTCGTCTGCACCGCGGTGGGGAGCTTCGAGAAGCCCTCAAAGAGCTGCGGCGATTCTGCCGCGCACTCCTCCTCCTCCTCCTCCTCCTCCTCCTCCTCCTCACGCGCTGCCTCTTCGACCGAGGCGCAGTGCTCGACGATCAGAGCATGAATGTGCGTGGGGAGCTGGGCGAAGCATGAGGATCCTTGTAGCTGCTTCTCGCAAGAAGCACCTTGCGGGGACGACTTCGGGGGTGTCGCAGCGGTCGGACGGCGGGGGGCTGGGCGGTGGAACGTTTTGAGGCATGGCTGTCTTGTCTTTGCGCGGTGACATTGATCAGTCGACGGCGGAAAGTGGAAATATTGAGGAAAATGTTTTTCTCAACAAGTTGCCTCGGGTCACTGATTGCTGTAAATGCCCGAAGCTGCTCGCGGGCTGGGGCCAATACGTGCCCAGTCTTCGTTTTCGCAGATGTCAGGGTTGTGGCACGGGATAGTAAGTCTTCAGAATATATTAAAAGGGAGAAAATACAAAAGAAGGAGAAATCTGTCCCAACAGAAAGGTTTGAGACAAGGCCAACACAGAGTTCCCAACCATCCATCCCATCTAGCCTATTAGGCTTTGACGGCGCAGATTCGCGCATAGGCTATCACGAAAAACGCGCTTAAGTTCTATAAAGTTAACATGATTTTCGAATCGTCATTCTTCATGATTTTTAAACTAGCCTTTTTTTGCTCAAGGCAGCCGTGAACGAGCCAGCCTTGCGCCGACGAACCTGAGAGGGAGGGGTTGAGAGGACAGTTACCAAGACGGGAATATGGAATGATGCGTATGAAGAACTGCTTCTCTTTTCCCGTCTTAATTCTGCTCATGATCATATCTAGCGTACTTTTGCAAGTCTGGTTTTACCTTCTGTTTATTCTTGCCATGCTCTTCATCGAGCTAAAGGCAAATACTCGCAGCCGAGCATTCATTACCTCAATCTTGCGGTGTATCTTCCGCGTGGCGTCGCGTCCATGCCAATCATTCATCACAGCACCTTCTTTCCTTTCATTTATTTCATTTGAAGTGGATCTTCACACCCATTCAAAGAGGCCCAGCTAAAAGGCGAAAAAAAAAATAAAGATTAGGCAGACTGGTCCTGATGTGTCTGCTACCCATGGGTGCGAGACCCAATGTGTCGGCGTGAGCCCTCGTCTGTATCATCTGATGATTCCCACCGGAGGGAAAACGTAAGGATCCTCTCGACTACTACCCACCGCATCGAGTCGCGAGAGCCGTCTTTGGACTTGATGCCGCTGCCCTCGCCCACCGCATCCCTGTCGGTGATGCGACTCCCGTCGGCATCGGCGCTGGTTGTGTCGCACCCGTCCCACGGCGCGATGCGCAGCCACCCCTGCGACGGTCGATACTCGCCCTCCATGAAAGTGACCTTGGAGAGCAGAACCGAGCGTCCGCGGTTGAGCTCCTGGCAGTCTGGCTTGCCGCACCGCCCCTCGCGCAGCACGAGACGAGTGTCCGGATCGTCCAGGCTGAGGGGCGCCATCTCCACCACGTTATGCTGCACCCAGTAGCGAAACTTGCGAGCGGTCCGGTGACAGTGTGGATGCTGAGACAGCGGCACGGGATAATGTAACGTCGCGCGGCCGGTCGCGGATGTGTTTTTAGGAGGCGCGGCCGCTGCCGCCGCCTCTTGCTCCCCCAGGTCTGCGTCAATCAGCCACGCCCTGTCCACGCCGCCGACCTTGACGATCCACAGGTCTCGTAGATTCGGAAACCAGAGCTTGTCGAAGTCGACGGCCGGCAGCCTCGGTCCGGGGGATGGTACGCCGATCCCAGCCGTCGAGGACGATGGTGTAGAGCCCGATGATATCCGCGCGGCGCTGGCCGCCGCCGCCTGGCTCGCCGCGAGGTACGTCGAGTAAAAGTAGGGCAGCTCCACACGGTTGTCGTCCGGGAAGCAGTCCCAAAAAGCAAGCCGCTCGACTCGCGTGGCGAGTGCTTCCAGGGGCTGATTCGAGGTGGTCTCGGTGATGCTCGCGTCGCAGACGAAGATGTCTCGGCCAAAGTGGACGTGGGAGGAGCGGCACGGACCGACGGCCTCGTAGCCGTCACGAGACTCGTGCCGTGCCTCGCGGCTGACCTGGGCGACTGAGGGCAGAGGATACGCCTTCGGCCTGCGGAGGACGTCGTCGAGGATGACGACACGCGGCTCGGCCGCGCACCGCCATATCTTTAGACGCAGCTCGGCCGGCAAGCGTTTGAAGTTCCTCGCAACCGATGATTTCCAGGCTATTGGCGCCTCCTTGGATGAAGTGTCGCAGCCAATGGTTGCCGCTGTTAAAGCCGGGGAGACAATGTCAGTGTCTCCGGAAGGGGGTGTCTCCTCCAACATTCTTTTGCGCTCGCCAAGCGATGTTCGTGTTCTTTCCGCCCTTTTCTGCCTTTGACGAAAGGGATGGACAAGATTGCAAGCTTGTAGTAGTAGTAGCGAGCTGGGGTCTCTTGACGATGGTTGCAATAAAGCTAGCCTCACACCGGTAGAGCGGCGGCCGGGGCCCTACCAGGTTCCCTCCGGGGTAGTGAGCGGGCGTTTTCTTTGTCCTTGATTTTGTGCTTTTTTTTATGATATGTGAGAGTTAAGATTTCGGAACCCCGGTGAAGACTGCACACCGACGACGGAAGGAAGTCATGGCCTTGTTGGGTTAGTGCACACGAGAGAGATGCGGTCAAGCCGGGCAGGGCACGAGGGCATGGTGCACATATATATGGACGGGATGGGCGTGTAGTAGGCAGTAAATTAACAAGCAAGTTGGTAGCGAAAGCGAGGCAGGCATAAATGTGGCCTCTTGACACGGCTGCAGCAATCGGTACAACAACGCCAAAAGGGCTGACACTGTGCGACGAAGCAACAGAATGGAAAAAGCTGAGCAACACCGCATGTCCGATGCCTCGATACCGATGCGATGTGATGGTAATGGCTCACGAGCGCGTCAGTGGCATCTGACAAGGGATCTCCATCAGAGACAAGGGATACAGACTAATAAGCACCCTTGTTCGTCACACACACACACACACACACACATACACACACACACACACACACGCACGCACGCACACGCACGCACACGCACTGGTACAATCGGGGGTCACGGCCACCCCCCTACACTCTATATCATCATATCCTCTTTGCCACAGGGCTCCAGGATGGGGGTAGGCGGGGTACGTGTCCAAAGGGACTATGCTTGCCCTGCTTGCCTGCCTATGCATGCGTCGCAGACTCGTCCCCAGGATGTTTGAAGCCATCGCAAGCAGAGCCGGGCTTCCCGCCGCCCGCTCGCCCACCCGCCCGCGGTCGCTCCCGTGAGACGATGTTGACATTTTTGACAGGGTGGTGATCCAAGTGGATAATAACGCCTTCAGTAAACACGCGTCTGGCTAGCTAGTTAGAGCAGCAGGGGACCGGGGGAGGGGGGGGACCTTGGCCAGTCGGCGACTCGACCAGCAGAAAAGAAGCGGGAAGGGAAGGGAGGGACCGAGCCGGGTTGCCTCTGTTAGTTAAGTGGCGCTGTCGATGCAAGTTGTCAATGCGGGAGGAGCAAGTTGGCCGTCTACTCTCGACCTGAAGGAGTGAGTTATCGTGGAGGTCGGTCTAGATGTGATGGCGGGCGTTATGCCCCGGGTCGCCGACTCTAGGCCAACAAGAACACCTCCTCCAACTAGCCTACTCGGCACACCGGTCTTGGATCAACTAAATATTAGTTACACTGCGTACATAGTACAGATGAATGACTCGCCGTTGCAGGTTGCCATCCATTTGGCGTTGCAGTAACTTATGTACGTACAGACGTGCAAACCGCAAATCAGTTAACTATTATGTATCGGCCCAACGATAGCATGACAGCTGCACTGTTTCGCGTGCTTCAGCTTGGGGGATTGAGGATATGCCCTTTACATCCTACATTGGCACAGTACATGGCCAAGCCTCGTGTCCCTACTTGATCCCCTTCCAATTATCAAGGTCCAACTTGGCTGCCCATTCCTCATTCGCTTCCAACTTGCAGGCTTTGCCGCGTAGCACCGACATATTTAACTGTGTCTCACCACCCAATGCAACTCACGGTCAGCCAAAATACCTGTGCCTGTTTTTGGTTGGTTATTTCTCATTCCTCCCACTCTCAATTGATGGATGTCCCTCGCTCCATCCATCATGGAGGCGGACCTATGTTGAAAGATCCGGAGAGATGGCACAGGACCCTCGGCCGGTAGCTTGGGATGCGCATAGTTTGTTTGCTCCTTGTTTCAGCCACCACTTTTTTGTTTCTCTTGTGAATGGAAATTTATCTACACCATGTCTTGGTTGCATTTCCCCTGCCCAATACGGAGTAATGGTTGTGCCGGAACGTGCGCCTTCTGCCAAGTTGTTCACCACAAAAACCTATGTGAGCTGTGTCGCACCCAGTCATCACCATAATCTGGTCGTGAGTTTCAATAATGGCCATGTATTGCTACATAGTAGCCCGTAGCTTCTCGTCAATTTTTCTTTTACTGGACAGAAGAAATACGTCTTGGTTCTAATGTTGGCCGCGATGTAGGCATTTGCCTTGCCACATTCATGTTCAAGCCCATTGCATCACTCGCCAACCACTCTCGGCAGTACTGCGTATGTTCAGCGCCAAACCATATTACTTTGGAGGTTTTGGAATACGTTTAACAATTGGTTGTGAGCCTGCAGGCCTTCGAATCGGTTGCAGGAAGGCGCCACGACCTTGGCTGGGTTCAAAATTGATAAAAAAGGCGACCAATGCGAGCCCCTTTCTCTTGGTTCCCTTACATAGCCAAGCTTCTCATTGTGGGTAGCAAAATGCCATCCCGTAGCCTATCAGTCGAGTTTTCAAGAGTGGCAACAAAGGGTGCGCCGCTTCTCCTCATGTGACATGGCTGAGCTGACGCCTCGCGATGTGCATGAATGAACGCCTCGCACACCGACGTGGTGCCCAACACAGGTACGAAACAGCCAATAACAATCCTTACCCACCAAATGGCATTGGCTGTGAGTGTCCGTCGTGCCGCCCATCAAAAACTGCTGGCCTCGTTTCTGTTGGACCGCGCCCAAGCAGCCCTTTTCCCCTGTCGTTCGGGCATTGCTCCGGTGAGTGAGCCTTGTTGCCCCCAAAAGTGTTTCGGGCAACGCATCACGCTCAGTTCTCAGTTTTGTTGGTAAGGGGGACGGGTCGGGCCGCTGAGAAGGTGTTGGCCTGTCTTCCTGTTAAACAGACCAGGCAGGCTTGTGACTGAAGGAGTGCATGGAAAGCTACAGCAAAGATGACTAGGCATGTGTAAGGCCTCTAATGATATACGGAGGAAGAGCTGAAATGGTTGATGGAACTTTTAATGGTTTTATGGTGTCAGTGGCTCAGCTGGAGCGCATAGCCGAAGGACTCGGCGGGTAGGAGCACCTGCCCGATTAGCGATGCATTGATTGATGCCCAGATTATGGCAACATGCCACGTGCATTGAAATTTAATAGATGGATTTTCAAATTAAAATTAGAATGAAGGTATCTAGTATCTTGAATCCAGAGTGGCCGGTGTGAGCGATGGGCTAAAGTCTGTACTGCAAACCCCGATTTGCAGTGGCAGCGTTAGTGAGAGATCCGACGTGGCGCAGCCCAGAGAAATCTTGACCTCCAATATATACGTTTGTGAAATTAGACAGGAATAAAACGTCGGCAGGATCGGCTTCCGCTGACACGCCGGCAACAAGAGCGGCATCTCTAGCTGTGCTCGATAACAACCACCACCACCACCACCACCACCATCCGTAGGGTCTTGGCTCCAGCGCCAGGCCGGCTTCAGCGGCGTCCGCGGGAACAGCTCGCACGTAGAGCTATATTGCACCGTCGTTGGACTTTTTCCGCCGCCGCCGCCGCCGAATTCCCCCGAGAGCTCCGGGAGTAGCTCCGAAGGCTCGGCGCAGAGGTGCGTCGTGCCGAGCGCCGTGCCGGACACGACCAGCCGGCTCGGCGGCGGCCGGGCTGAGCAGTCGCCCGGGCGGAAGTCGAGATCCATACGCACGACGGAGCACGGCGAGGACCGGCCGCTCGGGTCGAGCATCATGGCCGGCGGCTGCGCGCTCGACACCGCGAGCCTGCCCGCTCGCTGCACCAGGTTCCTGCGGACCACGACCGACTTGCTCGGCAGGAACGACCCGGGGGCGACGGAGTCCAGCGGCAGGGGGGGCAGCTCCGGGAGCGCGGGGAGGATTGTTACCACCTGCCTCCCGGCGACGACTTTGGACATGCCGCACCCGGCGCCGGAGCCGACGTCGTCGTCGTAGCATCGCAGGCGCATCTCGACGTAGTATTGTATCCGACCGCGGGCGAGGAACTCGTGCTCCTCTATGTCGCTTGCGCCGTCGAGTGTCGGGGGCAGATGGGAGTGCCGCTCCCAGACGGCGTGGCTGGCGCAGGGATGGCGACACGAGCCCTCGAGGAGGTACTGAGGCACGACGAAGCGGAACGGTATCGAGATGGTCTCCCCGGCGGCGATAGGCCCGGGAAAGGGCGATTCCAGCTCCAGGATCCCTCCGTCACCGGCCTCGGTCATCATGTACATTTTTAAGAACGGCGACAACGCTCGTGTGGGCTTGTGTCTCGTCAGCTCCAGCCTCGTTCCAGCGAGGCCGAGGAGGAGGATCTCTGCATCTTCGCAGTATGCGTCAATGTCGCTGCGGATGATTGCTCGCCCCGAGATGAGGGATCCGGTGGTGTATACTTGGGGCTCATTGCGAGAGCTGTCGTCAATGGATATGGTCACTTGCAGTGCCTGCCGAGGCTCGCGTAAGCGTCGTGTCGATGGATTGCCGGCCATCAGTGGTTGCGCAGTTGGGAAGATTCAATACTCACCGAGAGTCCTCAAAATACACCTACTGGCATGCCCTTATATCATTTATATACAAAATACAGGGGATCACACCGACTTGCTACAGCTTTAGCAAACGGCAGCTGGAATGCAATTCATCGCCCTGTCTCGGTTTAGATCACCCGACGGGTAGCAGTGGGCCGAACGACTTTGGCGCATCAAGCTAAACGCAACTTGGGCAATGGCACTCATGTGGCTTCAGATTAGCAGAGACAGATGCTGAATATCGTATGTGAATGCCATGCTTATTCTAAGCTGGTGAACTGGAATTTGAATTGGCAAGCAGGAGCTTAGCAAGCACGTTTTGGACGAAGGAGCTCGGTATCACGATAAGTGATGCGAGTACGCATGTATGTACATACATGCCAGCTGGTGAGCCTCAAAGTCATAAGTAGTAATAAAATAGCACGCGCTATTTCGCCTCCTCAACAGCCGTAAGAAAGTGCCTTCTAGCATGTGTATAATTCAGGTTAAAAGTGTCAGTTTATTATATGTAAAGTCTTAAAATAAAGAGGAAAATGACCCTTTTGGTTCATTTAACGAGCGATACGGCACATCTTTCTATGCGCAAAACTCGGCTACTTCCGAAAGGCACATCAAACTAACTTGTGTATATCTGGCTTGAATTTGGATTTTAGAAGGTGATTTGACAGAGATTTGTTGTCAGTTGTTTTTTGCCCCCAACAACTCAGTATGATGGTGTCATGTCAGTTTTGGTACACCGCCGCGATCGTTCCCCGTCGCCGCTGGGAATCCCTCACTAAGTGTTGTCCTTTTAGTAAACACCAGGAAGAATCTTCCATCGCACCACCGACTTGTACTTTTCCCAATCTGCTCCGTACTTCTCCGCGCAAGCAGCGTCGTCTCTACCCTCGCGGTGAATCAAGAGAACCGCAAAGTACAGGGCGTGGAATGCAGTAAAGATGACGCCCCATCCCTTCGCAACACTCTGCACGACCTCTGTACCATCAGCCATCCTATAGCCCAGGACGTCCGCGGCGGCCATGGCGCCGGAGGGCAGGATCACGTAGCCGGCCAGTCCCGCCGCCAGGCTAAAGGGAAGTGACTGCATCCAGTCGCCAAAGTAGTTGATGTGGCGCGAGACCCCCCACCAGCCCGACGTTAACAGGCGGGTGCCGCGCTTGGTTTGCAGGTAGGACAGGTTGGCGACGCTCGGGTGGTCGGGTGTCTTGCGGAAGACGGCCTTTTGCGTGTTGGACGCGCGAAAGATGTAGAGCCCGATGGCGAAGACGCTGCTGAGAACGGCCATTCCCAGCCAGCCTAGGTGCGTCGGGTATACGGCGAGGTAGCGGCACTGGGTCGAGTAGACAAACGGCACCCAGACAATGTCGCCAAAGGTGAGCATGAAGCCCAGCCCATCGGTGATGATGTCCATCATGCTGAGGATGCCGGCCTCAGCGTACTGGCCCTCCAGCACGTAGTAGCCCTGGATGGCGGTCACGAAGACCATGCTGTCAGAGATGTAACCGTAGTTGCGGTACTGCTTGGCGATGAAGGCGAGGTCGAGGAGCAGCCACCCGGTCAGGCCGGGACGCATCTCAAGCCAAGTCTTAATGTCAATTTCGCCAAAAAGAGGTAGCGTGACGCGGGGGTTAAGCTCGCGGCCAATGTAAAAGTCGTAGATGAGGTTCCCGGTGTGGCCTCCTTTGGCAAGCTCGCGAAGCTGGCTGTTGCCAGTCTTGACGGAGAAGCTGGCAACATAGACGTAGATGGAAATAGACCACGACAAGATAATGCTTGCCGTGAGCAGCTGCAGATAATTGTCATCAATCCATCGCCAGACAATAAAGTCAGCACCATAGATGTAGGTGCCAACAGCGCAGGCAGCGACCTGAACCAGGGTGGAGGAGAAGGCTGCAGAATATCCAGTCAGCATGAGGGTAGCATTAATTACAAAACTCACAACAGAACATACCGTTGAAGCTATAATCCAGCGGGCGGCCGGACTCGCGCAACTTCGTGCCGAGAACCTTTTGCGATGGCAGCACGCGGAAGAGCACCAGACTCAGGAGGTAGTAAGCCAACGTCCAGCCTGCGGCCTCGAGGCTGACGAAGCCGGCCAGGCCATCCTCGGGCCAAGGAATCTGTGCCTTGAGCGCGTCCCAGGTGAGGTCGCGGGGGCTGAAGAGGCCGGGCGCAGGGCAACCGGACACGTCGTTGCAAGCGAAGAAGAAGGCATACACGAGGACGGGCAGGCCAAAGACGATGGCGGCAGCACCCAGCCTTGCCAGGGCGTTAGTATTTTGTATTTTCTTGTTGCTTTGCTTGTGAATTTCCAACTTACGGGCCGCCGAATTCATAGTCGATTTTTTTCGGGTTGTTGGGAGCCATGGTTGATGGTGTTGCCCCTTTTTAGACGACTGGCGTGGTCTACTTGGTTATGTGCTGGGAAGCCTTGGGAGGGAGAAGCACGAGAGGAGGAATATATATAAGCAAACTCCAACTAGTTCAGAGTCGATGAGGTTGTACGGAGCCGCCCCGAATCTTGGCTATACGCGTATCGGATCTCCTTGCGTGCTCGATCTAGTTGCAAGATTTTGATGTGGCTGTGCCGTGCATGTACGGCGCAGCTCAGGTCATCCGGCTTGGAGATTTCCGGTCGCGTCGGCGGTGGAGACGCGACTCAAGCCTACTTGAATAGCTGGACCCGTTTTTTAAATGCACAGAGTGCGAGTACGAAAGACATTTCCTGCGGATACGAGACGTTTTTCTTTCCTTCTCCAATTCAAACGACAAACGACGTTGACTTGATTGCCTCATACACCGGCGAAAGCTAGTCGAACAACATCCAATCACATAACTAACGGAACAGCCAACCTCATGCTATCAATATTTATTACTCGTCGCTTTTCATTACATTCCCTTTCGCTAGATTATTGCTTTACACCAACATACCCGCCAGGGCAGCCGCACCAAGAAGACCCATCACAGGAGTTGCGGCGGCAGCAGGTCCCTTGGATGACGACGTCGAAGCCGCGCCTGCGGTTGAGCCGCTGCTGGCAGCAGATCCGGTGCTGGTAGCAACAGCACCAGCCGCGCCGAGCTCAGACGCGAGAGCCTTGGTGGCCTCCGGGAAGTCGGTAGCAGTCGTGCTAGCCAGCTCCCACTGCGCGCACACTCCAGTCAAAGCCTGGCTCCAGTCTACACGATGAGGTTAGCACGGTCAATGGTTCAGCATTGTCACGCTAGGGTCGGGCAAGAGAGAGAGAGAGAGAGAGAGAGAGAGAGACGTACTGGCCTGGCAGTTGGCGTCGAGTTTGGACGTGACCATGGTCACGACGATGCTTTGCAGGTGCTTGCAAAGGCAGTCAAACGTCCCGGCTCCAATATTCTTGACATCGCAGCCCTCCTTGCTGAGGGCGTTCTTGAAGGCCGAATAGGAGCACTGGGGGAAGTCCTTGACCGACTCGGAGAGGGACTCGATGGCGAGCGCGCCCATGGCATTGGCCATGATGACAGCGGAGAGAGTCGAGAATCGCATGTTGAATTGTTTCGCTAACGACGAGGCAGTATATCGAGATTCGACAGCAAGGTTTGTATACACTTGTACGATTACTACGGGGCCAGAAACGCTCGCTGAGGGGAGTGGCGGCCGGCTGGTTAAAACTGTTTTGGATGTGCTAGTAAGCCAGGACCTCAGCTCTCATGTCCTCCCAAAAGCTGATACAAATCAGCCAGTAATTTCCTGGGGTACTGCTATTTTCGTCTGGGCGTCACTTTTCCATTTGTCCTCTGCTCTGCGCTAAGCCTTCTCGACGGCTTTTTCGTGCCGCTGGGTGCCGCTGGGCTTTCAGCTCCTCGCATTCCAGCTCAATTTGGAAGTTGAGACCACACGCCCGGCTTAGTGCCCTCGCCTAACTCAAGGGAAACATGACAAAGTTTACCAGTAATCTGTGCGCCTGGTTTGTTTAATTGGTTGCCTTGGGTCGTCACAGCTCGACTCAACTCGTCCTCAGGCCCCCAGGCGAAGTAACTCAGGGGTCAATCCTCAGCGATTGCCATAATCCCCTCTTCAATTTCTTGGCATCCTCGTAGGGCTAGTCATTGATGTCGAAGTCCGACAAGAATGGATCTCGGACTTGTTCTTGCATGCATCAGACTTATAGACTTCTGGCCATAGACTAGTTATTCGGAACGATCCCCGACAAAGCATGATGGAAGCGCAATTCGAGTAACCGCTTCATGATTAAGAAAAAAAGTCCATCACTCGCGCGGGTCAGACTATTTGGAATCACGAATACAGATTAGATTGATTGCAACAGCGCCTTGTCGCTTGTTAACTTGTTGGTCTTAAGAGGAACGCCACAGAGGTTTTGAGTGGTGTGGCTCAGCACGCCCCCGCGCCACACTCATCGTCACTAGTTCCACTCTGAAGCTATCTTGCCGCATATCTCCAGCAGCCATCTACCATTGGCATCGACTTGCGACAAAGTCCCGCGCGACCCCCGTGTCGACCAGAAACAGCTCGCTCGGCGATCTTCAGTTAATCTGTGAGCTGCCTGTGGCACCCGTCATGGCATAGGGATCTTCCCCCGCCACCGAGCGCAAGACTTGATCAATCGGCGTCATGACCATTGCGCCCGTGCGACAACATGCCGTCCCACGACAAAACAGCTGAAGAGCCGAAGAAGGGGAGGATCATTAAATCCGCCTTTGATAGCGAGAGCTTTGAAGCAGATGGCACAATCCACGTGGACGGCCTCGTCGGCTCGGCCACAATCTCTCCGTCTGGTCGAGATATTGCCCTCGCATCGTGAGTGTTTGGTTTGAGCCACGTTCAGCGCTTGCGCTAACATTTACAGTCCCGACGGCCTTGCAATCATTGACCTAGACTCTCCGTACAACCCGCCTCGCCGTCTCCGAAGCCCTGGAATGCCATGGCTTGTCGTCGACGTACAATGGTCACCGTTCGCGGCCCGAGACTACTGGGTCGTCTCTACAGCCAACCACAGAGCCCTGGTATGGAATCTTAACATGAGGGAGGATTCAAGCTCCGGACCAATCGAACATTCTCTTCAAGGGCATAGCAGAGCAATCACGGACGTTAATTTCTCCGCCCACCATCCCGATCTTCTTGCGACCTGCTCAGTTGACGGTTCGGTTCACACGTGGGATCTCCGACGGCCTCGTCAACCTGTACTTACCTTTTACGACTGGTTCGCCGGCGCGACGCAAGTGAAGTACAATCGACAAGACTCCCACATCGTTGCGTCAGCACACGACCGATGGCTCCATATCTGGGACGAGCGAAAGGCCTCAAAGCCTATTCGTTCCATAACCGCACACACATCCAAGATTTACGGTATCGACTGGAACCGAACGCGATCGACAGGAATTGTCACATGTTCTTTGGATAAAAGCATCAAGTTCTGGGACTACGAAACCGGGGGCGACGAACCAGAACACATAATCCGAACTGACTACCCTGTGTGGCGAGCGCGGCATACACCCTTTGGCTGGGGACTTCTGGCCATGCCTCAGAATGAGCCGGGTGACTTGTTCCTCTACGACCGCCTCTGGTCGGACGACTCTCCGGTCGAGGCCTCGCCTCCGCCGGCAGCCATTTTCCCTGGTCACGGAGAGCACAAAGCAAAGGAATTCCTGTGGAGAAGTCGCGGCGGTGTTTCGGAAGCAGGCATGGATGAGCGTGAGTTTCAATTAGTGTCGTGGGGAACTGACAACGAGCTGCGATTGCACTGCATCGACACGACTACACTGAGCTCTGTAGGCCATGCGAGAGGTGGCCCTGCAAGAAAAGGGTTGAAAATTACCCGAAAAGGCGCGAGCTATAGGACCTTCCGAGCAGTCGATGATTCATCCAGCAAGGACCGCAAAACTGGAACTATGAGTGACCAAAGGATATCTGGACATCCCCAGCAAAGAGCCAGCGCCAACGCTGGCGCTCGAGCGAGTCTACCGTACAACCGATACTCACAGCCTGTTTGGCGTGGTCCGTCAATGAAGGCTAAAGCGCTTTCAAGTAGAAAGACCACAGACAGCCAGTCGGCGATTGGGTGGATGAAAGGCATTACAATGAACAAGCGCAAAACTTCAACAGATACCTTTCGTCGTCTCCCATCGAAAGTTGGTCTCATGTCCCACAGCTTTCCAGAGGACCAATGGGGCGAGCCTGATACTATCCAAGAAGAGCTTCTGCGCGTTAGCACGCAAATTCCCAAGGTAAAATGGGACAACATCGACATGGACAGTTTGACATTTAACGCATCATTGACTGGTCCTTGGGGCGTTGATGCCGATTCGATTTTCATCAAAGTCAAAATTGATGTTCCAACAGGATACCCCAAACGCAAGGCGCCCAAATTCACCATTGAAAAGTCCTCCTTCATGCCAGAAGGGACGCACAAGAGATTGCACCGCGAAATACACAAACTGGCAAGTCAGTTTCTACTGCGGAAGCAAAACTGCCTCGAAGTTGCTTTCACATATCTTCTTGGTGAGGTGGACTTGGAGTCGAGCACTACGTTCTTCAAAAACGTGCGTGATCTGGACGACGACTTGGATGGTCTGGCAGACGACAGCTCAAGCGAGGACGAGGATCCGGCAGCTACCGGATCGGCGTCCATGTCGCAAGAACTCCCCAGCACTGGCGAAGTCGACACGACAATTGCTCCTCATGGTCGCGCAATCATGCCGCCGCCCCCTCGAACCTGTGGTGCCCGGTTCTCCAATGATGGAAAGCTTGTATGCTTCTTTCCCACCAAGGAAGAGAAATTCCGAGCTCTATTTTCGTCTACTGGAGATGTCGCCAGGGACAGGCCCAAGAACGAACCTTTTTTTGCAGGATTCGGGCGGTTATCTTATGATCAGAGTCCACGCCAGCGAGAAAATACCGAGGAAGCGTCTGCTACCGATGACCAATCTGGAGATTCCGATTCGGACCGGTCGTCCTCGGATTCCTCCTCTAGCGACTCAGAATCTACCTCTATTCATAACATGAATATGTGGTATCGTCCGAGTCGCCAACCCAAGAAGGCATGGAGCGAGGACCGTTCCGTAAGATCCAGTGGCGCTGGCACCGGTACTGGAACAGGCACCGGCATTGGAACAGCTACTGGTACTGGGATGAGCCGCCGCCGCATCGTCAAGGCGCGGAATGTCATCTCGATCCATGACCTCCGCGCAGATTTGCCCTCGAAACGCGAATTTGCTGAAGAGTATGCCATCTTCGGAGATGGCGCAGATGTCTGCAACCATAATGCCCGCGTTGCTGAGAAGCATGGCTTTGCCGATCTCTCAAATATCTGGCTGTACTTGGCCCTTCTTCTACGCCAGGGCATCCCACTAGAGGTGTTGGGCGGCAATACACCGCGTGGCGACTCGATCCTAGTAATTGCGCGAGACGTTGTTTCACGAGTTGGCCATATCGATAAAAATGCTCCTCCAGATCCTTGGGCGCGTGACAACGCGCTTTTTGGCAGGGTTCGATGGGGCCAGCATCCTCTAGCGAAGGATCTCATTGCCGACCTATTTGATCATTTCGAGAGCACAGCTGACATCCAAATGCTAGCCATGCTTGCGTGCATTTTCAGCGAAGCTTCAGCAGAGCACAGTGTCGCATACGCCAAATCAAACCTGCCCAAGCAGGAAACTCCTTTACCCTTAAAGGCACCATCATATTCGTTGGACTACTTCCCTGCAGATGCTACGTCGTGGAACATCTACAGCAGGAGCTTCACCAACTCTGCGATAACAACACCTGGGACGCTTCATACTCCGGTCAACTACGCTAGGTCACAAACATCAGATGATGGTGTATGGAACGCAGAGACGGGGCCGAATTCCTTCTCATGTGGTGAAACACCGCCGTCCAAGGGGAAAAGCCTCCTAAATGATCAAGAATCTACGGTGGTGCTTTCCAAATCTCCGAGCTCGCGGCCAATACAGCAGAAAGGAAGCACCGGATTTGCGTCGACCTTGGCTGCGAATCTTCCTCGCTCATTTACTGGAACCGCGACGTCTACATCACCGCCTTTGCAGGGAAAGAAAAAGCCCAGTCCAGCTGAGATGATTTTAAACAGCATTGCACCGCGCACAGTGAGCAGCAGCGGTGGAGGAACTGCAGGCGTGGTTGGCTCTGGAGGTGGCAGGACGTCCATGTCGGATGACGATGCTCTAAAGGAAGACTTGACAACACTAGTCCCCACAAACATTGCGGTTATTCTAGAGGACCAGAGCATTTTTGACGAAGATGGATGGATGTCTTACCCGCTCCTTGATCCAAGGCTGTCCGACCTTTATACGAACTATAGATACGCATATGCAGAGCTGCTGCAGATGTGGGAGCAGCCCTTAGCTCGGTTGGAGGTGATGAAGTTCAACATTCTAAAGGAAGATGCCTCGCCAAACGGGCTCGGAGACAGCCCGTTCAGTGCCAGCGGCAGCGGCATCCTACCCAGCAAGTCATCACCACTAGTCATAGGCAAACAGGATAACCTGCAGGCCCTCCTTGCGTCAGGCCGCGGGCTCGACATTATCGGACTCTGCCGCGTCCACGAAACACAGCTGGAGCCGCTGCAGTACACGTCCTCTGATCCCAGGGTCGGAGGCGCCGTCGGCACCTGCGACCGCTGCCAGCAACGACAGAACAAGCTCCTCTGTGTATACTGCACGGAGCCGGTCGACGCGCTGTTCCCGACCTGTCTTGCGTGCGGCTGTGCGAGCCACGAGGACTGTTTAGGCGAATGGCATGCCGCCGGCGAGACGCAATGCCCGGCCGGCGACGAATGCAACTGCGTGGAAGAGGCGGCAAATGGGCAGGTGGAATCGTGGGCGGCGCTGCAGGCAGCGATGCTCAAGGGCCGTTCGACGATGAGCCTGCTTCCTGACCCTGCGATCGGCAGCGGCGGCGAGGAGCAGGAGGAGGTGGCCGTGCCGGACAAGCAGCCTCGGGGATGGGCCCGTCTGGGCTTCGATACCGCGGCAGGCTCCGGGAGCGGCAAGTCGAGGCTGCCGGTGACGCCGCCCGTGTCGCTCGGTTTCGGCCCGTTTAAGCGGACGGCCGGGTCGTGGTCACGGGGCACGGGCCAGAAGCGCGGCGGCCGGCGAGGAGGCTAGTTTTCCCTCGTCGGGTAGCCCGGGCTTCTGTGCGTTGTGCCCCCGAAGAGGCTTGATTGACCGTCCTCCCAAGGATGCCAGCGAGCAGCGGTTGTCGTGCCAGTGTACTCCTGTAATAACAATGAAATAATTCAATGTATAAAATTCACGATCTAGCCATGTGCATGTGCCTCGGCCTTCAATGTGTTTTCTCACAACGAACTAGCCGGAGGCGGGTCTCGGTGAAAATATCCCCGGTAAAGCAGAGCCTCATCTCGTTCGAACCGGTAAAATCTTACACATTTCATTTAAAACTCAAAAATCGTACAGATCCCCTCGACTCATCCATTGGCCTCCATCCCATCACTTCTTCATCTAGCAAATCCCGCACTTCACCTCACCTCACCTCACATCCCCCGGGCCCGGCCATGGCAGATCCGGCACCGGCGACGCCCCCCGCCGTTCGCATCGGCACGCGGCAGTCCATCCTCGCCAAGATCCAGGCCGAAGGTGTCCGCGCCTCGCTCTCCGCGCTGCACCCCGCGCGCTCCTTCGCCGTTGATGCGATGCGCACGCTCGGGGACCGCGACAAGGTCACGGCGCTCTACAGTTTCGAGGGCAAGAACCTGTGGACGTCGGAGCTCGAGGCCAAGTTGCGGGCCGGCGAGATTGACGTCATTGTGCACTGTCTGAAAGGTCAGTAAACCTCTTCCTCTTTCCTTTCCTTCTCTCTTGCCAGCCTCTCTCTCTCTCTCTCTCTCTCTCTATTCCCTTTTTAAGAAGAGCAAAGTTGCTGACATGTGTGTGTGTGCCTTCCCGCGGGGTATAGACATGCCCACGACGCTCCCTGAGGACTGCGAGCTCGCCGTCATCCCGGCGCGCGACGACCCCCGCGACGCGCTCGTCGTCCGCACCGACCTGCAGTCCAGCATCACCAGCGTCAGCGGCCTCCCCGCCGGCTCCGTCGTCGGCACCTCATCCGTGCGCCGCGCCGCGCAGCTGCGCCGTCGCCACCCGCACCTGCGCTTCGCCAACCTCCGCGGCAACGTCGACACGCGACTCGCCACCATCGACCACTCCTCCCCCTCTGAGTACGCGTGCATGATCATGTCCGCGGCCGGGCTGGAGCGCATGGGCGGACTCCCGGGCCACGCGCGCGTGCCTGGCGGAGCGCGCGCTGCTGCGCCGTCTGGAGGGCGGGTGCACCGTGCCGGTGGGCGTGGAGACGGCGTGGCTGCCGGGCGAGAGGCTGCGGCTGGGCGCGATTGTGGTAAGCCTGGACGGGCAGACGGCGGTCGAGGACGTGCTGGAGAGGACGGTCGCGACGGAGGAGGAGGCCGAGGCGCTGGGGTACGACCTGGCGGAGCTCTTGGTCAAGGCGGGCGCGCAGGACATTCTACGAGAGGTAATTGCGAACAGACTGCCAAAGGAACAGCAGCCTGTTGATGTCACTGCCAATTGATAGTAGAAGAGGGAATGTACATAGCCTACATAGACGATACCATGAAAGCCGGCGACCCACGGCCTGGTTGGGCTGCTGCACTCTTCACTCAGCCAGCAAATCCCTTCCGTGGAAATTGATGTTAAGACATCCTCATTTTCCATATAGAAGGTGTATACGGTTCATAAATATGTGAAATTTTTATCGAGATTCCAATCTGTAATTCTTCAGGAGCTGTTCGATGCAATCCAAAATTTGTACGCGCACCAGACACGCCATCCGTGTCATCGGCCAGGTTTGCGTAGCGACAGGTATACAGAATTGAAAGAACTGAAAAATACAGGCATCCAGGTTCTATTTATCCGGCTATATATGCGGTTTTTTTTTTCAAGTATTATTTTTGCCAATTATTGCAATGCCCACCGCGAAATAGCCGCCAGATTGAGGGGTTCAGTACCTATGTACGCTTTGGTTTGGTGATTGTCGCAAAACCCCGCCACTTACTTATACTGCCACTGTAACAAGGCGTTCAGTTCCTTTCCCCTCCCTCCTCGCTACGCCAGAAGCCTCGCCCAACTAGTCAAAGTAACCTTTCGGCTTTTTTCTCCTTCCATCGTGGGCAGCAGTCACTATACACAAATTGCTTATCAATAGACATTTTTACTCTTTTCCGCCCCAGCAAGCTTGCAACAACACCATTCACTGACTCTACCCTGTCTTGCCTTGCAAGAGGTGTCGCATGCCCCGCCTCGCCGCCACCTGCAGCTGATCACGCAGCCAGTCCCTCTGCGCGCCGTTTCCCAGCAAGTCCATAGTTTTTGACGAGTCCAAAACCTCCTCTCAGAGTTCTCCTTTACGACTACGACATTTCGCCGAAGAAGCAGATAGAACACTACGCATTATTTCAAGGTTCAAGTCTTCTGTCCAGCGAACCTGTCACCATGGCGCTGCCGAAGCGAATAATAAAAGAGACCGAACGCCTCATGGCCGAACCGTACGTCAAACCCGTCGCCCAGCTCTTCTTACTTCCTGCCACTGCGGTCTCCCATACTAACCGTTCCATTTCCTCCTTCTTCTTCCTGCAGTGTCCCAGGAATCAGCGCCGTCCCCCACGAGGACAACCTGCGTTATTTTGACGTCGAAATCCACGGCCCTGCGCAGTCGCCCTACGAAGGTCCGTCCGTCTGGCCGTCCCCTCCCCCGCGCCTCGCTCACGAGCCAGCGTGACATAGATCCGTATATGAAACTGACGCGCGTGCCCATCCGCAGGCGGCATCTTCAAGCTCGAACTCTTTCTCCCTGAAGACTACCCCATGACGCCCCCCAAGATTCGCTTCCTCACAAAAATCTTCCACCCCAATGTCGACAAGCTCGGGCGCATCTGTCTCGATGTTCTGAAAAGTATGGCACCACCATTACATTCCTTGAAAGCCCAGCACATTGTAATCTTGGCTGACATTCATATCTGCTAGATAATTGGTCCCCCGCCCTGCAAATCAGAACAATCCTGCTGTCCATCCAGGCCCTCCTCGGCGCCCCCAACCCCGACGATCCCCTCGCCGCCGACGTCGCAAAGAGCTGGAAGGAGGACGAGCAAGCCGCCATTGCCACGGCCAAGGAGTGGACTACCAAATATGCCAAGTCTTGATATTGCTCATAAAATCATGGTAGACGCACGGTAGCAGCTGAGTTGAAGCGTTTGTTGATACTAGTATGAAGAGCATTGCATTTGGAGCTTCCTTGTTGGGTCCCGTTTAGAATCCGCAACTATAAAAACAACAAATAAAAAAATATGAAACTCATTTACGTCCATGGTTCTATCTGCATTAGCCTTAGCCCCATGTTGAACCAGCGTAGACACTCAACGCATCACTTGGCAAGAATTAAACAGAAGTCGGGTATAAGTAGAGACGTAGCCCTACCACTTTGATATATTGTATCTACAATGCTAGAGTACACAAAGGAAAGCTGTAGGGTTGCAAAGCCGGGCAGCGTAAGCTGATTATACAAGGGCGAGGTCGCCAAACTTCTCCTATCGGGGGTGTCAGCACTCTTATCCAAAATTCACAAGAGCCGAGACAAAAACGTACCTTGTAGCCGGGGACCATCCATCGGCCCTTGGAGATGAGCTGAGTCGCCTTCTCGTCGATGGACTTCTCGGCAGCGGCAACTTCGTCCTGTTAAATATCTCATCAGCACCTATCCCGTCACCAACTACCCGACAGCAGCATAAACATACGACAGTGAGCTCCTCGAACGGACGGGCCTCCTCAATGTTCTTCAGCGTGGCGGCCAGGTCCTTGAGCTCCAGGTCGACGGCCTGCTTGGTGGCCTCGGCGTTCTTGACGGCCTCGACCTCGAAGGCGTCGATGGCCTTGAGCTGGCGGTTGACGTCGTACGTGGTGGGCTTGAACGCGGTGAAGCGCTTCTCGATCTCGTCGACGACGGCCTGGTTCTTGAGGCCCGCGCGGTAGGCGGCGAAGTCGACCGTGGTCGCCTGCTCCGACAGGAGCTGCACCTTGCGGCGGGCGTCCTCGTTGCGCTTCTTGAAGGCCTGCAGCGAGGCGACGGTGTTGCCGCGGAGGCCCAGCGAGGTGGTCACCTTGGACCAGTCAAGCTTCAGAGCAGCGCTTCGCTATATAACGAGTTAGTCTCCAACTCTCAAATCCTTCATTTTTTTTTCGGCTTCGTCATCGCTGGACTCGCATTCGGGGGATGCTTCGGCGGATCCGCACGGTCGGGGGGCCAGGCTCCCTTTTTCCGTCGAGCTGGGCGCCTCGTGGCGGCGGTTTGCATCGCTCGGATTTGCTTCGGAGTGGACCTCGCGTGCAGGTCGCATCAATTGGAAAGTTTTCAACTTACCGTGGCCATTTTGTCGTTGTTTGTGAGGTTTCTCGGAGTGGAGAGGTATATTGCTGGTCCAAGGTGTTGATTGACTTTGCTGCAACCCGAGCGGCCAGGAACGAGGCGCAAACGTGACTAAATCACGTGACCTCAATCGCGGCTTGTTCCGAGAAACGAAGGTAAGCAAGTACGGAGTACCATGGACGGGAATGCCATCCCGGCTTGAAGCCTCCAACATTATGGCATATTTTTAGATACCGTAAAGTTGTTTCCTTATTTAGATGACATATAGTGAACGACGATCTGTTCAATTTACATAACGCCACTCCAGCAAGCCAAGCTATGCAAGCAGTCAGTCGGACCAATATCCATACTTGAGACAAGTTTTTGTTCAGTTTGATTCCATTATAGACATAAAATTCATGTCCAGGTACCAAGGTATATCTAGGTATACATGGCCAGTATATGCGTTCTACCGCACTACCAACATGTGAACATTTTTTCCCATCCCGCGCCGTCTTTCGTATGCGTTGCAGTAAAAGAAGATAAAGGTTTTCAAAACATATCAAGGGCTAGATACTGAGAGCCATGATGGAATTGACAATATCGTTGTCGTTTTCCTTGAGTGCTTTGATGGCCTTGTTGCGGCTGACGCTGGCCTGTGTCATGACCAGCTCGATGTCCTTATCCTCAATACCCTCAGCGTCAACCTCCTCATCGTCATCCTCCTCCTCCTCTTCCTTCTTGGCATCACCGTCCTGGGCGTGGCTGTGGCCGGCGTGGTCGTGGCCGGCATGCTCACCACCGTCAGCAGCAGCCTGGGCGGCAATCTGCTGGGCGGCGGCGGCCTGGGCGGTGGCGTTGATGTCCTCCATCTTGGCCTCACCAAAGACACTGCAGGCAGCCCGGTCAGCACCTCCGTTCCTTTGCGCGGCCAGTTTTCATCGACCAAGTCGCCGGGGAGACTCACATGTAGGTGTTGCTGTTGGGGGACCTGTAGACCTCGGGGTTGTTGATGACGAAGAGGATCTGTTTGGCTTGGTTAGCTTGCCTCTCCCATCAATTCCGCATTATAGTTCCTGCTGCGGTTCCAGCCTTATAAATTCGATAGACGTACGTTCTTCGGGCGGCGGAGAGTGACGCGGGTGATGCCAGGCACGCGAGTGAGGTGCAGCTTCTCGAGGGCCTTGCGGGCCTTCTTCTCGTTGCGAGAGTGGACGACGGCAGTCGAGCCGGCGGGCAGGTTGGCCTCGCCCTCCTCGACGTCGGACTCGTCGCTGCTGTCGTTCTGGTCGACGGTGGGACGCTGGGTCTCGTCGTCGGGAAGCTCCTCGACTCTGGGGTTGGCCATTGTGTCTGATGTAGGTGCTGTTTCGCTTGGTTAGCAAGCCGTCGCATCCCCGCATCACCATCAAATTCCCTCCAAATGAAGGCCCATTGATGTGGCTTTCTCTAGGTGTAAAATTGGCCGCATCTCAATCACTGGAGCGTTGGCTACTCACAGATTATTGTCAAATCCTATGGGGTCGTGCTCGAGCTACGATTCACTACCGCCGCCGTTTTGTGAGGCCAAAACTGCACAGCGAAATTCTAGGGTTTGGTGGTGGACAGGCGCTAACCCACATTAGGCAATCCACCACTTCCTGGCATGTCTTCTGGGGAACCAGAAAGAATGACAAAGAGTGGTGGTATTGAACGCGCGCGAACATTCAAAACATCATTTCATTATTCAAAATACATGCTACAAATTCAAAGCCATGCGAAATTCACTGCAGTGTGTGCCAATATTTTTGTTCTTTTTTTGTAATTCATTTGAATCTCTGAACTTCCGTATTGACTCCGTTCATCATAATCGATGAAATGTGACATACAGCCCTTCCAGAACGGGGATTGGGGGTTTATAAAAAGATAAACAGCAAGCAGCTTTTCAAACGCTGTCGTGCTGCCCGTAATGCGTTTTGCCTGTCCCGGAATTTTTCATACCGCAACCATCTATACCGTGAAATCCTCCCCTGACCTCTTCAATGCGTTCTCCGGCCCTAACCACGTCCCTTGCTCAAGGCTCCAACATTACAATTGAACTCCATGACAAAAGGTGACGGTTTACGCGGCAGCCTTGATCTTGGCCAGAGCCTTGCGCTCCTCGAATCGGCGCTGGGTCTTGAGGCGCATGACCTTGAAGCGGTCAAAGTCGGACAGGGCCTTGCGCTTGGCGAGCTGGGCGCGCTTCTTGGCCCAGTTGGTCTCCTTCCACTTGGCGTCAATCTCGGACTTCTCCCACTGCTTCTTCAGGGCGGCGTGGCGGGAGCCGCGGATGAGGCCAGGGATGGTGAGGGGCGACAGGAGGACCTTGTTGAGGGGGACGGCTTGTCTCGGGACAACGAGGCTTTCATCTGAGGAGGTGCCTTCGACGAGAACCTAGATTCGGGGAACGAAATTGCATGTCAGCGAATGACTACTCCATCACAAAACCAATGTAGCTCTGCTTTCCACGGTCGGTGCGGTTTTCGGCGGGGGGCGAACGTACGCGCTTGTGGTCGATGATCTCGACAATGGCAGCGATTCTGCCGGTGAAGGGGTGGTCGCTGGTGATCAGCACAACACGGCCGACCTCGACGAGGCGCCAGTTGGATCCCTCAATGACTGCGTCGCCCATTGTGACTATTGTTGATCTGGAGGGGAGGAACGGTCAGCCCGCAATGCTCTATTCGTACGGCGCAACGTCTTTGTGTTCGAAACAGCGAGGAATCGTTTGCGCTCTCGAGAACGGGGAATATTTATTCGTACCAAATGTCGGATATGGTCTGGGGTGGATGTAGTTTGGAGATGTGCACACCTTGAAAGCACCAAATGACTTTTTGACGGTCTCGGCTAAGGCAAGGCGTGTGGGTTATGAAAATCACAACGTGCCCTAACGAAAATTCACGGACTATTAGTTTTGCCCTACTCCGAACATCCCTACGGTCTAAGCCGAACATGTCGATTCTCCACTCTTTTCATCCCTACTTAATATTCTCTCTCAACTTTTTTTGGTCGCCCGTGATTCAACTTCCTGACTGTTGATTTACGTCAAGCTGCTGAAATGACGAGATGTGACGCAGCGTAGCGTGCCTCGACAGTCTCTATTTCTCTCTTCCGGTACTAATGGTAAGATTATTTCTTCTTTTTCTCTCTTCACCTGCTCGCAATCACACTGATGAGGTAAATTTGCGATTGATTCTGGCCGGTGGCTCTCTCGCCGGAGATGCTAAATCGGCCAGACAAGTGATATTCAATTCTTACATATTCTGACATTCATTCGTTTATTCAAACTTTTGTTGCATTCATGGCAGTGGACGGCTGGCTAACTGGTGCAAAAGAACTCAGGTCTTAAACTCGCAACGCTCTTCCCAACTATCGAACCGTAGCCCATCCACCGTAGGTGGTACTATGCATGCCAATAGCTGCAGTTAATATACTCTTCTTTTCTCTCTAACTGTTGACGAGTTCGTGAGCCTAACTGTTGGTTGATCGTGAATGTGATGAATACAACCCGGCGCGATTCATACACCAGCGTGGTGCACTGGCGTTGCTGCCTTGGATCCGAAGTAACGATGGCAAAGGGTTTCGTCACAGCGTAGCACCCTGATACCATGCTTTGACTGCACCTTATTTGCAGCCGTGATGGAGCGCGTACTGCTCCATCCTCCTAGTCCCTACTGCCCAGTGTGCATATGTTTTCATGGAAACGCTTCAAGCAATCTAAAGAAACTCGAATACACTAACTGGACGACATTCTTAGTACCCTTGATGAGACAGAAGATACCGTTTTCAGCTGAGCATAGCGTGCTATGTTGCGAGGAACAATTTGGGCGAGCAGGACAAGACGTAGCTTTACAGTGTCTCTTTCCGGTGTCGCTTTCCGGTGCAGTTACCCTAAAGTGGCAGGTTGATAGTGCGGTGGCCGAAACTGAGCTCGAAATATGCATCAAATGGAAGGAGGTACTATGCACACAGATTTCATTGTACGCTTTTTAATACTACCCCTGTCTGCTTGAGCGTTGCTGTACTTGATGTTTTTATTCTTTATCATAAAGCATCTGGATTAAACTCGTGACAGGATCTCGGCACGCCTATCGGAAACAAGCGGTAGCCATGCCCACCACCGACGCTAGGCAGAGCTCCGTGTTAGTAATGCCGAGCAAAACGTCATTTAGCCATACCTGTGAAAGCTTCCGCATAACACTCTTTCCATTGTCGCAAGAACCCATATAGCTCTGCAAAGCTCAATTCGCCACAATGTTTCGCTTCGTAAGTCAGATTGGACCAATCCAACTATCCACGTCGATAGACTGGCGACTGCAAGCTGACAAGACTGCCCGCTAAACAGAACAAAACGCTCGACATCGTCACCGTCTTCCACAAGGCGAGCTCACCCGCCTCTGTAAAGGTCGCCAACCTCGTTAAGCAGATCTCCGCCAACGCCCAGGTCGGCGCCACGATCGATCAAGCCAGCGATCACTCCGCCCAGACCAAGCCCGGCCGTGAGCCCTTTGAGCTCAACATCACCGAGGACGCCCCCACCACCGACCAGGTCCAAACCATCCTCGGCTACGTTGGCACTGGCGGCATCTCCAAGGTCATCAAGGGTGCCCGTGACGAGAAGGATGCGCTGAAGCGATTCAAGGAGAGCAAGGAAAACTTCCTCAGACCCCTGGTGAGTGCGCCTTCCATCGGCGCGACCCTTGACTTGCTAATCAGTTGCTAACTGTACCCCGTGCAGACCGTCGACTGGAACAACGGAAAAGCCATCGCCGGCGATAACGAATCGGAAATTCTCAAGATTCTCGATGCTAAGAAGAACGACTAAAACCTTCAACGTTGGCGTTATTCTGCTTATGTACGATAGACGGTTTTCTGGATTATTGTTAGCTTAGCTCGACATTCACCGGATCTACGAAAAGATACCTTACGGGCGGCAAGCGTTAGATTCAAAGTGAAATGAAAGAGGTACTTAAACTGTGTTGCTTTGTATATTGGGCGGGCGGGGGAGGGGAGGGGCGCAGGCAAAGCTGAGCAGGCAGCCGGCCCTCAAACAGCTTTCACCTGAACTCTGCTCCCTCACACTTCATTCACATCTCATTCAGCAACATAATCAGCGACCAGCCCCATGCCCAAGTTACCAAAGACTCTAACAAAAACGCGTAGGACAGGTATGGCGCCTACTTATTCACCCACTAACCTCGCCGTTTGCGTGCATGTTGTCTCTATATTCACAACCCAACCTGCACGGGGCTTCAGCCAAAGCTCGAACAGCGGCCACACAATTTTACACTCGATTTCCCTCACACCCTCCAATCTACCTTAGACAGAACCGCCCACTTGTTTTGATCTGAGATTCCTCCTCGCCGCGATGGATGAAGCTATGCCACTCCCTCGGCGTCTTATTCCGCAGCCGCATCACCGAATTACGGCTAAAGACCAGGTTGATGAACTCAAGGAGCCCTTTGCTAGACTCTATCCTTGCGGACTGCCAAAAGAATACAAGATGTGCGGTGCGCCGATTGACGAAGTCCCGGTGAAATACATCGAGGACAATCTCCCACTTGGTTTCTACACGAACCCGCCGGTTGGCGCGAAAGCCATCTTCTCGACGAGCAACGGGCAGCGCGCTTTTCGCCCCATGCATCACATCCTGCCACGCCGGAGACTGCATCTGTGGTCCAAGAATGAGATTCAAGAAAACTGCAACTCAATCCGCAGGCTGCACTGGGAGGCCATGCGAGGCATGACTGAGCCGAATTGCTGGGACGATCTTTGGAAGTATTTCGATGCATTTGATCTTTACAGCCACGGTGCCATCAACCTCTGGAACATTATCAATCATCTCTACGCCGAAAACAGAATTATAAAAGCTGATGTGTCGAAGAACTCTGCTCTGGAACTCGGGCGTTGGTCTCAGCAGTGGCTCCAAGTCAAGGACAACGCTGAGAAGCTGAAAAGGTGGGACATATCTAAGTGCTCAGTCCTGAAGCTTTTTGATGCAGCAGACCGGGACTCTCTGGGATGCCTTAGCGATGCAGACGTGTCCATCCTAGCAAACGCCCTGAGTTGCCGACGCGGCCATCTCTTGTCGCCGACTCGTACTGAAACGACTGAGCCCCGGAGCCTTCTCTCTTCTCTCGAAAGCGAATGCGGCGTCGAAAATTGGATGAGTAAGTCAACCGCGCTGGCAGCTCCATAGTGACCGTTCATGCTGACTATTCTTTAGCTGGTCAAGTGATTCACCGCAAAGGTGGATTGCAGCAATCAAAACCTGAGGAGGTCATCAACTCCGACAAACACGCCTACCACCCATGTATTGTCTTTGATGGAAGGCATTACTACGATCCACGTCCCAGATCGAAGGGAGCCGTAGAGGCCCTCAAAGCATCTGTGGAAGCTGCTTCCGGCCACATCATTGTGGCGAATGGCTCCCAAGTGTCACCGCCCAGACATCATCAGGTGAACCAGGCTGTGGCTAAAAAAGACTCCGTTGCCGTCAAACCTGTGGCTTCCGACAGCCGACAGACACGTCCAAGCTCGAGCGATGGCTCGTTGGCCATGCCAACTTGCTCACGCGCCACTTCTCAGTCTGGCTCTCCGCGAAGAATGTCAGACTCTACCATTCGACCTAGTAATCCTCCAAGCCCCGACATGGGTCAAACCCTGGCTTTCGTTCCCACGGGCGGTGCTCCGTCCGCTGCCGTCCCTGTTGTTCAGCACCAGAACCATACTCTTCTGCCTGTTCCTGGCCAAGCCTAGAAGGCCGTGTCAAGATCCGGAAGTAGAAGGAGTCCCGAGAAGAGTGTCGGGAACGATCAGTCAAAACCGCAGCGCGGAGCGGCCAGCAATACTTCAGGCACCCCTCCGCGCCAAGCTGGAGAAATCGGTTCGAAGAGGCACTTGATTCACTTTGCACACGCGAACAAGGAACCCCTCAGTGCGACTTCGTTTAGCGGCGCAGGACTGGAAAACAAGATCGGGTCTCCACGTCGAGGTAGACGGGCAGACAGCTACTCTTCGCAACACACTTCGTCACCATCGTCAAGACCGCAGTTTGGTGGGTTCAGCCCAGGAGCCAAGCAATTCTCTCAAAAATGGAGCAATAATTTCCGACGTCAGGATAATTTTGGCCCAATCTATGATACCATGCAGTATTTTCCAAACACAGGCATGCGGCGCAATGACACTCTCCTTCATGCCGGCGACGGTCAGGACTGCCCAAACGTGGGTGTCAACCTTGACCGTTCTAGCTACTTGCCATGTGGCTGCTTCCAGTGCGCCATGAGAAATCGGAGTATCTGGGTGAGAGTCGCCGACAAGCAAAACTTACCTCTCATGGACGTGCAGACCAGGGTTCGTTATGGCGTTGAGAGTCGATTTGGCCGCGTTGAAGACGTGAATCACGCGCCAGGACAAGGCAAACCCGAGTCAATGAACTTTATTGTCAGGTAAATCCCCGTGTATTCAATCTTTACATCTTGTGCACTTATCTCATACTCGATAGGTTTGTCTCTGAAGACTCGGTCCCCCAAGCCCTGGTCTACGGGCGAGGTCGCATCGACGAAAAGGGCATCAAGATCAACATGTCTGCCATGTTTCGGTCCAAGTGGGTGCTGCAACCGTCTGCATTTCAAACGAGTAGCCGGATCGCACCGCCAGAATCCATCCACCAAGTCTACAAGGCACCATCCCAGCGTCGCGGTGACCTTTCCCTTACTCCAGACTTCTTCATGGGAAGTGGAGGCTCGTCTGCTCAGAAAACATCTGGCGGCCCCTTTATGCACTCCAACAGATCCTTTGGACAAATTGAGTCTCGAAATTTTGGCCAAAGCGGACCATATTTTGGGAAAAAGCCGAGATTTCCTGTCAACGCAGATGGCAACTCTCAATGGCCGCAGCAGCAGCCATTCCATACCTTCCACCCCCAGGCTCAGTACCACAACCTTCCCGTCGAAGCTGCCAATAAACAGAGCGCTGTCTCCATGCTTGCACCTACCCAAGCCGAGAAACTGGATCAAGCTCAGCAAGACACCCCGGCACCGTCTGCAGTCGATTGTGCGATTAGCGGAGTTGAGGGAGCCATCCAATCAGTCCCATCACCCGAAGAGAGTGCAAAGTGTAGAGAAACTGCTAAGCCCAGAGTATCTCTACCCGAGAGGCTTGAAGTTCCATCGTCTACTGTCTCGGGCCGATGCTATCCGAAGAAGACCACGGATGAGCCGGTTGCCGCTGCACCCGTGGTTGCCCCGCGAGCAGACCAGTCACCCGTGAGACATTCCAAGAAGAAACGCCAAGCAGCCCAGCTTCAAACTGGCGCTTTCGAAGGCACAGAGCCCACCGCAGCTACCTCTGGTGGCAATATCGCCTCTGCTATCACTGCTGCTGCTGCTGCCCCCGCGTCCAAAGAGAAGGAACATCGCCGGCCCTCCCTGTTCACGCCAGACGAGATTAGAGACAGGAAGCAGGCATGGGATAGGATTGTTGTGCCCTTGATCTCGCCGCGCAAGCAAATTCTTGCGATAGCAGGCCCCGCGCGCCGCTTGCCCGCCAAACCCGGCCACGATCGCGCCAAGTCACTCCCTGTGACCATACTCGCGCCGTCGAAGACGACAGCGGCGGCAAATTCCTCCGACGAGGACCAGAGCCGTGCCACAGTCAGCGCGCAGAAGGAAGTTTTCCTAGAGGCGCCCCAGTATGTGGTGTCTGACGGCAAATCTGGCTCGGATGCCGGCCATCCAGGTGCCGCGCCGAGCGCGCCACCCTCGACCTCGCCCAAGAAGAGCAGTAAGGCAGCCCGGAAGAAGAGGAACAAGCAGGATGCGCAGTTCAAGGGACCTGCGAAGAAGGAGCACAAACTGTGAGAGAGCTGCCGAAGGCGGCTTCTCTTTTTTGCTACTCAAGGTGAAAATGGATTGTGGATAAGGTTGCTTTTGCTTTGGTTAAAGTAGTAGTTGGATGGCCGACATTCCGGGGGGGGAAAGGAGGGAGTAGGATACACGCGCAGAGTAGATTCTGATATTTGTTATCTTGAGACAATGTCATAAAATGTGATGATGGTACAGCTTTGGTTCTTCTTTTAGCTCCGATATATACAACGACGACGATTCTTATCGTCATCCTCCCGACCCCATCGTCCTCGTTACCACGCTTGGTAATGCTTTGAAACCTTCTAGTCTGACAAAAAACATGCTTATATCGGCTCGATCCGTAATATATTTCCGTTCACTGCTTGACAAGGCCGGTGATGGTGTCTTCGATCTGCTTATCCGACAGGCCCTCGAGGGACTGGGCCTTCTCGACACCAAACTCTGCATAAGAGAAAACGTCAGCAATCCATTGTCACCGTGTTTGAGTAAATGTTTTTGTTTCGTGAGGATACGCACCGTAGCGGGCAAAGACTTTGGGCACGGTGCCGGCGGCCTCGCGCATCATGATGGGGATGTTCGGGTTGTTCTTCTTCATCGTGGGGTACGCGCGGACGAGGAAGTTCCTGTGGTCAGTTGTCAGCTGATGAAATCTCGTGGGGCTGTGACCGAAGCAGGGGGGGGGGACAAAATCTGTAGGATTTGGGGCAATGGTCGAGGCTGCAGAGAGCGTTTCGTCGCAATTGCTTCGTTCATGCTTGTGTGCGAGCCTAACCCCAGCCGCGTAGGCATTTTGCCAACTTCGCGCCAATTGCCTCTTCCTGAGCCGTCGCATGGAAGGCTTGCACCGGAGCGCAAAGATAGACGTACCGTACGGGCGCGCTAGCCTCGGACGTCTGGCAGAAGAGGAAGCGAAGCTCCTTGAGGGACTTGGTGAAGGCGTATTTTCCAGACATGGTTGCTATGCAGTCGTTGATTCGTCGCGAAGGGGGGAGGTAGAGAATCGGAAGGAGGCGAAGAAGTTGACACAAAAGGTCGACGGGCACAGGTCCGTAGCGGTCGGTCGGTCGGTCGTGGGTATCTCAATTGGAAGCTTTCGAGATTCAAGGATTCCGAACTTGGCTGTTACTTTTGGCATTGACTGGATTGGCCGTGCCTTTGCACAAAAGTAATGTAAAGTGGAGACACGTGTGTATGTTATGCACTTCCGCCTGCTGCATAAAATGGTGGTACCTCTCTTCACAAAAAAAAGGTAGCGCCGGTCTCGCTGGGGCGGTTTATCTCCGGCCAGGGCGATCCACCCCCGAATTGCCTCTCAACGGAAATCCAGTCCGCGCCAACGACTTCGTCTGAACAATACAGCCATCGTCTTTCGCGACCTTCAGAACAGAACATGTGAGTGCAATTCGCCCCATATCCTTGTTATTCTCCCGTATCCCCTCGCCTGTCCTGTTTTTACCCGCTGGCTTTGCGCTTGCGCTTGCGCATTTCGTGAAATGATAAGCAGAAGAGCAGAAAAAAGCAAACGAGACGAAGTTATATCACGCGCGCGCCAAGCATCGCGACAACATCACCCTACTCAATTCACCGTCCTATCGATTCCTTCTCCCCCCCGTGCCCGCATTACCGTCCTCCACAAACTCCCCCAGGCGCAACGCCTACCGTACCCAACGAAACAACAAAAAATACGACTACTAACCAACCCCCTTCCTCCGAACAGCATGGCCTCGACGAGCACCATCCTCCGCGCCGCGCGGCCTATGTTCCGCCAGTCCGCCATCGCCTCGCCCGCCCGGCAGGCCTTTACTCGCGCGACCCAGCAGTCGCAGCACGCGCAGATGATGCGCTTCCGCTTCCAGAGCCGCCGGTGGCAGAGCTCCGAGGCCGGCGCCGGCGCCGGTGGCGCCGGATCCCAGTCGCAGCAACAGCAGCAGAGCTGGTTCAAGCGCATGTGGGAGAGCGAGATCGGTATCAAGACGGTGCACTTCTGGGCTCCCGTCATGAAGGTGCGTTTTCCCACAATGCCCAGGATCCGTATACCATGGACTGTTGGCTATAGGAGAGAAGAGGGGACCGACGGCTAACATCAACGCAGTGGTGCCTCGTCATCGCCGGCATCTCCGACTTTGCCCGTCCCGTCGAGAAGCTCTCCTTTACGCAAAACTTTGCCCTGACCTGCACCGGCCTCATCTGGACGCGCTGGTGCCTGATCATCAAGCCCAAGAACTACCTGTACGTCGTCCGCCCGTCTCCGATACTACTCGACACATAAAGAAACAAAGGGGACACTCGCTAACATGATAAAACCACAGCCTCGCAGCTGTCAACTTCTTCCTCGGCCTCGTCGGCATCGTGCAGGTCAGCCGCATCATGCTTGCCCGCGGCGTCACCGCTGAGGTCAAGGAGGCCGTGGAAGAGGCCAAGGAGGAGGTCAAGGAGCAGGTCAAGGCGTGAGGCGACCGAAAACACCCTGTATGACAGGAAAGGGACGTGACTGCGGAAATGGAAGTGGAAGGTGGACAAAGCATCGAGACCTGCAAGGGAAAAGGGAACAAACCCCTCAGAGAACCTCGTCATCAAAGAGCCAGGCTGGAGGTCGCGACGGCCAAGACTTGTCTCTCGAAACGGAAAGGGCAATCATTGCGTCTTGGCTTCTTGTACACAAAAATACACACAAAGGTCGGGACCAGATCCCGACAAACCTAAGATAATGCTCAATTTTCTTTTCGCATCGTTTCCATCCGCTACGAATCACAGACGAGATGGAGGCATATCCCATCATTTCTCCATCCAGTAGGGAAGAAAATGTAACATCGTGGCAAAGAGCGTGCGTCATCGACATCAGCGTATGCAATTCTCCAAGAAAATATTCAATTATAGAATCCCCCTGGCTTCCCTTATTCCAGAGACGGTCGTAAATGCTTCATTCAAATCCCCTACTTGCCCGCAACTCCATTCATCAACATCGTATCCTTAGTCAAAAGAGGGAACCGGATTATCAAAAGTCCAATAACATGGCATGAGCATTTGGCGTGAACAGGAAGACATGATTTGTTTTTTCTTTTTCCAAATAATGTCCTGTAGTGTGTGTGCTTTGCGTACCTCCGGGTATCCCGTGCCAAAAAATAATCCAACAGAAAAAAAGGTTATTGCAAGAAAAACAAAAGAAGGTTAAGTAAAGAGAAAGAAACACGCTGTCCAAAGCGCCAGAAGAAATTTCCTGTCAAGTAGCAATCATCATTCTCCATCACGTCATGAAAGCTCCCCTTCCACACAACTAAACATAAAACAAAGGATCAGCCAACCGGCTTTACGATTCCGAATGACCATCGTTGAGGAGCATCTCAAGGATAATCTGTCGCCCTGGCAGCTCTGGGTGGGCCATGGCAATCTTGACGGTCCCCTTGGAGGTGTCGCCGGCCGTCGCCAACTGGCCGTTGTGACCGTGGAGCTGCTGCGACTGGGCGGCATTGTCGCCCGTTGGGCCACGGATGCCGCTGTCAATGACGCGAACATCGCGCCCAGCAATTATCTGCCGTAGGCGGCCATTTTCCGCGTTGCGCACCTCGACATACTCCTCGTTGAACAGTAGTAGGTATTGCCCATACATGGTCGCGCCACGCGCCTTCTTCTGCTTGCCCGTGTACTCCATGATGAGCGTGCGCGACACGTCGCCGTGCTTGTCCACGTACACGGCGCACTCTTCATATGTCAGAATGAACTCGTTCTCGTTGAGTCGGAACATGCCTAGCGGTCGCTGGGTCCCGATCCGGCTCGCAATGTTGGCAATCTCTGGCTTCTTGAGGTCCGGGACCGACATTGGGTGCTTTCGGTCCAGCGTCAACATCTCGAAGCCCTTGGACGTCGCCACGGCAATGTACGTCTGGAAGATGCTGAGCGAGTAGCACTCGACCGGGAAAGCAAAACCGTCAAAATCGCGGAATGTGTCTGTGCTTCCTGCCGCCGACTTGCGCCCACCAAAGACGCGCGATCGCTTTTCTGTCGCCTTGTGGAATAGCGGCTCCACGACCTTGAATGAGGTATGAAGGCCCTCCTTGCGCTTGTAAAATATCAACGTTCTGTCTTTCATGCGCGCCGTGGTAAAGTAAGTCACGTCCTTGGCGATTTTGTGCGGCGCCCGTCGCGCGCTGTCTGAGATGGGCGGCGCTGCAAAATCGGACACGGGTGCCACCACGTCGAGAGGATATGACATGAGAGTCTTGTCAGTGATAACGAGGCACACGTTGAAATCCTCAAGCACAGCAAGCTGTGTAACTTTTGACACTTTCACGGTTCGTTGCCAGCCGCGCGGGTTGGACGGGTCGGAAATGAATACACCATAATCTGTGCCGATAGCAATCAAGGCCTTGCCGAAGGCCGAAAAACCCGCCGCACAGTTGACTTGAGCGCGGCAAACTGCCGCAACACCCTGTGCCGAGCCCAAAACGCTCTCTAGGTCCTGGATCGCACGGTCCAATGGAGTACCCTTGACCGGCACGCACAGGCTCCTGGCGTGAGGCGAGGTGGTGTCGTAGTGGAAGGACGCGTCCGCTAGGACACGGAGCCTGAATGGCTCGGCGTTCGCGGAGAACAAAGCTTTGGCATGCAAGGTCTTAGCCTCGATAATCTTGCTGCACCACATCGTGCGGCTCTCTAAAGATGACGCATAGAGCGTGTAGACCTCGTGACCCAAGTGCTTCACCTTGAAGGGGTACAAAACCTTGTTCTCAGCGTTGTCGTTTGATTGCGCCTGGGTCATTATCGTTCCGGACGAGCCTGTAGAGGTGTGTTCCAGCCCAGGCCGCCCACTGCCATTGCTGGTGACTTTACTTAGCTGCTGACCCGCGGCACCAGCAGGTGCTGTGCGGCCCAGCGGCGCTGTGATACCCTTTTGCTTGATGATTGGCTCGTCGTTATTGCTCTCCAGGAGGAGCAGAGGCATGGGAATGGGCTCCCGGGACACGTCGTACCTCTTCTCCGTTTTGCCGTCTTTGCCTTGCACCACTTTGGCGAGGATGAAGTAATGGTCAAATAACAGCGCGTGCGTGTCGACCCAACGCATACCCTTGGAGCTTAGTCTTTGCAATTCGCCCGATGTGATCAGGGCTCTACCCAGATGATCGAGGTTCAACTCGGACTGGAAACTAGGACGGAGAACGAGCATGCGTTTGAGCTCCATCATCTTGACGCGCTCCTCGGTTTCTGCAACCTTGGCATCGCATTCGTGCGTGACCGCCTTGATCTCTAGGATCGCCTTTTGCAAGTTGCTCTTCTCCTCGCTATCCCCAATCATCTTGCGTTCCACAGTCTCCAGGAGCAAAGTGTATCGCTGGAGACGCGTCACAGGGGAAATGAGAAAATGTCTCCAGTCCTGTTTCAGTGATAACTTGTGCTTTTGCTTGTCTTCCAAGAATTTTCTGAACAGCAAGTTACGCGAAGCCTCCTTAATCACATTGAACCCGGCAAACGGATAGCCACTCGCATACTCGACATAGACCTTTTTGGCTTTCCGAATCCATTCCCGGAAGATGTCGCTATAGCCCGAGACCCAAGGGCCTTGGTCTCTCTGCCGGTAAATGAGTTGCGCAAAGAGGTAGTCCTTGTTAATTTCCAAGACGGAGTCGATCTTGCCAAAGACGATGGCCAAAAACTTGTCACCCCTCCCCGGCCCGAGGATGGTCGGTTGCTGGGCGCGCAAGTCATCGCGCCAGACGGTGCGGAAGATGTCGAGCTGCTTAATGTAATTCTCCTCGCCAGTGACGATTTCGTGCAGGATGTTCTGTCGCTCGACTTCCTTTTTCGGCCTGGATTCTAAGTCTTCTTTTGAGAGGCCCCAGAAGACGTGCCAATCATCTGACGGTTTGGACCCCTCGCCGAACACGTCTAGGTCTGCCTTCTTGACAGTTCGAGTGCAATGCATCGAGTAGCATCGTCCCGGCGTGTTGTACTCGTGCAGTTTCGGAGCGTAGCAGCCGGTTCCGGTAAGCTGCCACAGGACGCCGGATATCTGGCCATCACCGAATTTAACCCATTCTTCCTCGGGCAGGAGGACGCCTGCTTGCAGCATAGTAGCAAGGATGGAACTGCTGAGGACTTCGGCATCGGCAACGTTCATCGTCGGCACCTTGAACGTAAACAGTGCAGTCAGACCGTCCTCCACAGTCTTAGTTTTTAGGTCAGCCTCGCCGGAAGCCATCTCACGCATCCAGGATTCAATATTGCTGAGTGCCCAGGGCTCCGCACAGCGCAGGAAGTCTGCCGGCCCGAGCTTCGCAGGAATGAACTTCTTTTTGCGCCCAGTCGGTAGCGTAATTCCATCAAAAGTCCCAATGAGTGGCGCCGCTGCGCCATAGTCGGCAGGCCCTGGGGCACCAAATGATGAAGCATGGCGATGGTGGCCCTGTCTTCTTCTATCTTCTGCGGCGTCTGTCTTGGAGCGGATGGGCTGCGGCACGGATGGTACGTTGCTGTGGCTGGAGAGGGAGATGGACCGTTCGGGTTGAAGAAGCTGGTTGGAGCCAGTGTAGTAAGACTCGGGGCCATCAGGTCGCAGAGAGTGCCCATCGGTGCCGAGAGAGTGCGAGTGTGGTCGCTGCGGTTGGCGCAGGCTGTTTTGCGCCGACAGTAACGAGCTGCTGTCTGAGCCTGGTGGCGGGGGGAGAGGTCTGTTTGTGAGACCGGGGTGGTAGAATAGATCCTGATACTCCTCCTGCATAGGAGATTCTCCACCACTTTGATGTGAGTGGAGCGAGACACGGTCTGGACCAGAGTCAAAGCTTCGGCGCGTGGGAAGCTGCAGACCACCCATCCCGAGATTGCCAAAGTAGCTCGGCGTCGGCAGCGGTCTTTGGCTGGACGACGAGCGCGGCGGTAGCGGTGCGTCGATGTTGCCGTAGGGCAGGTTGCCAGCATATCCACCTGACAGTCCAGCCAAGTCAACATTCGCAAAGTCACTCTCATCGCTACTATAATCTTGCTCTTCAGGGTGAGACGGAAGGTTGTGTTCGTCAGGCATGGCGGGCATATCGGCGTAGGCGAAGCCGCTCGAGTAGTGAGGCTCATTCATGCTCGAGTTTGCCTGTTGTAGAGCAATAGCACCGGCGGCGGCCTCATCGTCATCGAGATCGTTGGAATATGACTGATTCGATGAGCGTCTCTCGTCAGGGAGCCCAGGTGTGGTGGGATTAGAATTGAATTGGCGAAACATGCGCGCTTGATCTTCGGCTGTGCGACCATCGATGGGCGCGGGTCGTGAACGGCCGGATATCGTGGACTCGCCAAAGGTATTCTCGATCTCCTGGAGGATGCTATCGGTTGTGATACGCTGCTCGCCGCTGTTCCTGTCTGCCGGCGCCGTTGAATTCCAGGTGGATTCGCCAGGTCGACTGGGAAGCGGAGCGTTGGTGGGATGGCGGCGTAGGCCGGGAGAGCCGAGGGGCTGGACATATGACCCGGCACCGCCCTGGGAGGACTGGGAGCCGGGCCTCACGGGCTGGCTGTTGTATAATGATTGGTCGTTGGAGGCGTAGGCGGGACCGACGGGAATCTGCGATGCGGTTGGATATGGCGCAGCCGTGGCGGCGTACTGCGTATCTTGGTGGTCTGCGCCATTTGTAGGATACTGATATGATGATGAGTAATGAGAGGGATCGTAGGTCGGGGTGGGAATCTGGGATGACGTGTAGGACGCAGTCGAGGTCTGGGTTGAATACTGGTAGCCAGAGGAGAAGCCGGGTGACTGGGTTGCCTGAGAAAAGGAGGGTGAATAGGTTGCAGCGGGCGACTGGCCGTAGGTACTCGGGTTATTATCGTAGTTGCTGTAGCCATGGTAAGTGGGCTGTCGTTGGGGGGAATTGGCAGCCTGGGCGGCGTAGGCGGCAGGGTTATAGGACTGGGGCGTATACGAGGTCGGCGGGGACGTGCCACCGTAGACGGCCGCGGTTGAGGTCGCCGCGTGCGAGTAGTAGGAGCCAGAGTTGGTGGACTGGGAGCGGGAGAAGGCGCCAGAGCCGGCGGTACCATCGTTGGCGACAAAGGTCTGCGGGTTGTAGGAGGAGGCTGGGGCAGCATGCGACTGGGGCACAGCATCCTGAAAGCGATGCTGGAAGCCGGCGAGTGGGCTGGTCGCGGACGAGGCGGTAGTGGAGGGGCTGGTGAGGAAGAGCTCGTCGGCGCCGGCCGGGGCGGCGGCATGAGCAAAGTTGGGCCCGTTTCTCTCAATGGCGGCAGCGGCAGCGTGGTGGGAGTAGTAGGCACTCGTGTTCCTGTCGTCGCCCGTGTTGAAGCTGGGCCGGCGGCCAAGGTCCTGCTGCTGCTGCTGTTGTTGATGCTGTTGCGGTAGCTGATGTTGCTGTTGCTGCGCGGAGTAGGGTACCGAGACGGGATACTGAACGGGCGGAACGGAGCCGTAGCGACGCTGGTCGTCGCCGCGAAAGGACATGATGACGATGGCCGGCGAGCTGGCGTTAGTATAGAATTCGCGCGCAAAATCGTGAGAAAAAAACCCGGCGGAAGACAATAGGGAGAGCTGAGGGCCTCGCGAAGAGGGGGCTTGGCCTAGGTCGAGGATGGAGGGGGCCGGCAGCAGCTGGTCATCGAGGAGGGGTTTTGTTTTCTCTGCTCGTCAAAGCTGGCAGACCGGATTGCGGCCAGGACAAATAGTTTATGCGTCAGGTAAAGCGCTAGGGCGCTGAAGCGCGCGCGGAAAGAAAGATCGAGACGACGACTTGTTGGATGGTTCGACTCAAGAGGAGGATGCGGAGGACAGGTCCCAAGGCTGGAGGAATAGGTTACCACCTGTGAGGCGCCATGTGTGTTCGAAGGGGGAGGGACGGGTGATATGGATGACAAGGATAGAAGGCGTGTTGTGAATGCTGAGTTTGGTGGTGTCGTTGTTGTTGTGGTTTGGCAGGGATTTTGGTTGGTAGTGTCGACGTCGGTCGGGTTCGGTTCAGCCAGTGGGGGCCTTGTCGAGAAGAGGAGCAGGAGAGGAGGAGGCTGTAGCCAAGCTTTGGTTTGCAGCGGGCCTGGTGAGCAATCACCACAAGTGGCAGATAGTTATCTCTACCTACATAGGTAATTAGTTGATTGGGGGCTGTGCGATTTTAAGAAATAATAGCACAAGAGTTCCCCTTCTTTTTTCCTCTCTTTACCCATGATAATCCTGGATCGAAAAGGCAAAGGAACTGACTGTCTCGCGACGCTGTCCTGGGCGTCGCTGACGTTTCAGTGCGTTGTGGCTTGGCGGCGTTTGCCTTGAAGTGGGCGGGCAGCTGAATATCATAGGAGGCAACCTTGCTTTGGGCCTTGCAGGGACGAGGAGGCTATATAAACTACCTAATTTTGATGGCAGTAATCCGTACAAGTTATCAAAAATAAAGACTTCTTTGAGTGACGAATGGGAAGAGCAAAAAAATCTCCGAAGATTACGCTCAACCCGCTGTCCAGGATTTCCCGTCTTCCCCTCCAAGCTTGCGAGACGCCAATGTACCCGGAGGTACTCGTCTGCAGCATCCTGCGCCCTGTCGGCGCTGCTTGGTACTTGCCGGATGTACTTACCTGTCCGTCTGTGCTGGCCGCCCAGCGCTGGCTTGTTTGATGCTGAGACATCAGACGGTTCATCTGCGTGTATATTCGTAGAGATATCGAAAATGCCCTAATCTAACCAACTGCACCGTATGCATATTCTGTACGAATTGAGGCAATACTACCCTAACAGTAGGGAGTACCAGTATTCATGCTGTGAGGTACTGATACCTAAGAGCCTGGGCGTGTGCCGACAGATCTCAGCCTCCCGTAGCTGCCACAGGAACACTACAAATTAAAAACCAGGTAAATACATCTTCTGTCTCTTCTGACAAGGCTCGCATCATCCTTCATAAGGGCCTTTGGGAAAAGAGCTCACGTCAAACAAGTTTAAAGTCTGTCACCACCCTGTAGCTTGTCTGTGGGCCGCTGTCTTAGATAGGCTTCATTCATCGCGTCTCCAGCAAACTACGACCACAGACGAAATTGAAACTCGTCTCGTCGTATATTTCTTCTTCGCACCAATAATCCCCCTTCTCTTCCCAGCTCTCAACAAACCACATGGTTAACAACACCAATGAACCCCTGCCCATGACATCCTTGCTTGCAACGTCCTTGTTTCATTGCGCCCGCCCCCGCCATCGGACGGCCCTGCCCAACTTGGCTTGCCTTGAATGTTGAGAGAAGGAAAAATATCCCCATGCAAAGCATTAAAGGAACAAACGGGTCTTACTTATCCCCTCGACCCAATATCACCCTCCCAAGGTACCACCCCTGCAACCTGCGGAGCAGCCCCAGACCAGCCCAGCCCAACGAGCCCTGTTTTTCGCCTCCTTCACACAGTATGCGATGACGATAACACGACACTGTTATTACTGCCCCGTTTTGATTCAATCGATTCATAACTTATTAGTACAATTAGTATGGAACTAATGCACAATTATGCAGATATCAAGATGCACTATTGTGATACGCTGTCCTCGATATAGTCTCCCCGACCGGGAAAATCTCCTCTATATAAGCGCAACAGTTTGACTATAAATACCAACTACCAATCATTTACATCTCAGCTATACTAGTTTCCAAACACATCATATGGACAGCTCTCATCTACCAATCGGGACCAAATTGTTGAAATCGACCCTGCCGCATCCACCGGGTTGAACGGGTGGCTTCCGTCAACAACATGAGCCAATTACCAAAGAAGGTCATTGCCTCCCTCCATTACGAATCGACCACCAAATTCCTCCGCTCTATCCGCAATGCCCAGAACGTACTTCGCGCTGTCTTCCGGGCGACGTGTCGGCCCCTGGCCCTCCGGCATACCCCATGACCGGGCCGCCGTGTCGCCCATAGGAGTTTTGACCCAGCCCGGGTGGACGGCAACACCAACCACGCCACCCGCGCCGCCGTCGCCGCCGCTCAGCTGTGCGTGAACTGCTTTAGCGATCCAGTTGGCCGCAGCCTTGCTCGGCCCGTACGCGCCACCCGGCACGGGCTCCATCATACCGATCGAGCCCACCGAGGAGCTGACCAGTACATACGCACCCTTGCCCGGCCGGCCCTGCCCGACCCGTCCTTGCGTCATCAGCGGCCACAGACCTTGCAGCGTCACCAGCGGCCCGATGGCGTTTATCTCGTACAGCTCCCGCATTTGCGCCGCTGTCGTCTCCAGCACCCCCCCCATGACCATCGTGTGCCCGGCGTTGGCCACGAGCACGTCAACATGCCGCACGCCCTTCCCCGCCAGCGCCGCGCTGAATGCCTTCGTGATATCTTGGGACTCGAGCCCAGCGGCGTAGTCGACGAGAACGCTGATGAGCTTGCTCCCTGCGCCGCGCACCACGTCGGCCGAGCCGGCCAAGAGCTGAGCTCTGCCGTCGTCGGATCGCACCGTGCCAATGACAGTTGTCTGCGGACGCGCGAGAAGAATCTGCACCATACAGAGACCAATGCCACGGTTGGCACCAGTGATAACATAAACTGTGCTTGCATTCGCCATTGTATAATGTAAAAAAGTGTGTAAAAGCTGTGACATCGGATAAGCAAAAAGTACTCTTGAGTTTCAACAATATTATGGTTGGACGCGTCGAAATGTTGCACTTGATGAAGATGTAAGTGGGAGAGTGTGCCTGTAAGTCATTGTTGAGAGGGGGCAACCATGTGGGTAAGAACTTTGACCACTCCTTATTGAGCGAGGGCTGTGTAAGTCAGCCGGCCAGCCAGCCTAGATGTCACCATCCTTACATGCTGATCAAATAAGTCATACAAAGATTAGAATACATGATCTTATATATGACAGAGGAGCAACACCCAGATATCAGCTCAACGCCCCTCTATTTGCTCGGCTACGCCAAAGCAGAAAAGCATTGCTGGAGCCGCCAGTCTCGCTGCATGATTGCATATTTTGATTCCTTCCATCCTATATGGACACGTTTTGCTAGTGAATCCCATTCACAGCCGTTATATCCGCGGCAATTTGTTCTGCGTGATCGAAGAAACCAGGCCTCACGCTGTCCCATTGGGTAGGGTCGCTAGGATGGAGGGATTTGGCGCCTTGGCCATGCATGGCCCATTTCGTCAACTTGACCGGGCCGCCGACGTGAAACATAAAAGCCATGGTTCCGTTGCAAATTCTTACTGGCTCAAGCTTCCGTCGGCTGGCATCTTGCCATGTTTCATAGGTCTCGCCATGCGGCATGTAAGCCGCCTCGTAACTGAGACCACCCGGGGCGAGGACATGGCTGCTGCCGCCGTATTCTCCGAAAACGAGCCCCATGATCTCAGTGCTCATGTTGCGGTGGTAGTAAGGAGGGCGGAAAGTGCCTTCAGCGGTAATCCACTTTTCGGTAAAGATTAAGAATTCGCTCAAAGGGGTGTCTTTCTTGTTCGACTTGACAGAGAGGACAGTGTAAAGGGTTGGATCAGCTTGATCCTTCGTCGAGTTGACCAGGCTTATAAACTCGTTCAAGTCGTATTTAATGGGAACGTGATTGCCGTGCCAGGCAACAACGTCAAAGGGAGTGTGATTTTGCTCGCACTTGTGAAGAGCGCCATCGAGTTTGTGTATGATGGACCACGGATTCTCATCAATGTGGTAGCGAGCAAGTGGAGCGCAAAAGTTTCGTTCCATGGACATGCCATTGGGTCCGATGACGCCACGGTCGGGGAGTTCATGGTGAGCAGCAAAAGCCTCGTGGATATAACCTCGTGACGGTCCATCAGGCAGCCTGATACTGAAGCGCATACCACTCGGCATTAGGAATACCTCCCCTGGACGGACCATGAGGTTTCCAAGCTCAGTTGTTATATCCAGGCGACCTTGCTGGGGGAGAATAAGCATCTCTCCGTCATTATTGCAAAAGGCTTCCCTGGCCATGTCGGAATTTGCCGAGTATGTATGAACGGCGAGGCCTTCTTGCAAGCCGGCATCTCCTTTACCACCGATGGTGCGGATGCCTTGGACGAAGTTTATCGGCTTAATATCGCCGTTCACGTTGTTGCCTCCGGGAATGGGAAAGGGGTCCCAGGCTTGTTGAGCGGCACACGATTCAACATTAGGGTTTGGGGAGAGGAAAGAGGACTCAATCTAGGTGTCAGGCGAGCAAGGTGTTAGTGCCGAGTTGGAGAGGTTCTTCTGGCAGAGGCGGGAGTGCTTACATGTTCATTGATGCTAGGATCAAGACGAATGGGACCATGTGCTACCGAGGGACGAATTCGGTACATCCAAACGTGACGAACATCGTTCCGCTTGACGTTGACAGCTGATCCATTGAGCTGCTCCGAGTAGAGGTCATACTTGACATTCTGGGGTGTATTCTGTGACCAAGAGATGATACCCGGGAGTGCCTGGCTGATGAAACGATTGCCAAACCCGGTCGTATAAGAGTATGGATCATCGACTGTAGGCGGCTTGGTGTATTCCGCCTTGGCAGTTGCTGCCGGGGGAAGCGGACTCTGATCGGTCTTTGGCGGCTTTGATGCCTTTGATGGAAGGGAAACCATGATGCCAACGTTTGGTGGGAGCTACAAACGGAGAGCTTGGCTGTTGGAGCAGGGGTGTGCGAGGGTGTTTGACTGCTTGCCCCAATGGAGATTTGAAGTGGTCGTTGATGAGGATCTGGGGCACTATTGGAAAGCATGGATTTGATACACGGAGCAAAGGAAGGAGAGAGGAACAGACCATGGCAGGCCATGGCAAAATATTTATCAAGAACGGGCAAGCTTTGAGCTGTGCCACCACCCCACAGTCTAGCACATTGGTAGGTGTAGCTGACCTTACCTGTATGTACATGGCAATCTGGTGGCTTTGCTGGGCAGGCAAAGCGGCAGAGGTACCTTGATTACCTCTAGCTTTCTCGGCTGAGAGGCGGGATGCTACCTAGCGGAGACTTGCTGGGAGAACACGGCAAATGTCGGTGCTACTTGCTACCGATGTTGATAGGTATGATGTGCCAATTGCCCTGGTCAGGCGGATACCCGACCTCGTACAGTACATGATGTGAACCGGGTGAAAGGCGAGGGCAGACGAGACAGCTTTGTGGCTGCTGGCTGATGGGGCGGAGATCGGCCATGCCCCTCGGTCCTGAGAAATGATTGTAGTGCTTTTCTTTTTCGGGTGTGTCGATTTAGCGGTGGTGAGTGAGCGCACATGATTCACCGGCTGAAAGAGAATCAACTCGACAGTGTGAATTGACTCCAAGTCCCAGCATCACGACAGATTGCGGCAGGCATCGGAATTCTAATTCCTTAGCCAATACCTTGGCTAAACAGATAGTAAGTTAAGTACATAAATAGGTGCAATGATAAGGTACTTGCTGATTTCTTGGGTTCTAATACTACGTACCTCTATCTGCGAGGCCCTTGACAGCCCTGCACTGTGTGACCTGAGACAGTGTTGTACCATGGCGCTAGCTGCCAGGTGTTGTGGTACCTCTAAGCTGGCCGCTTGCCTTTTACCAGTGAAGTTGTGAACCCAGCAGCCTGCACGATCACCCCACCAGAGGTCCCTGTAACCCCGCCACAGCCCCGCCACAGCAGGCGCAGCACCACTAGCTGCCGCCCGAATTCCCAATACTGGGTAACTGAACATTAGTTATCATCTCTATTGGATCGCTGCCGTTTGTCTGCATTATTAACCAGTACACGAACGTCCTCACAAACACCAAACGCAGCCCTCGGCGGCCTGTCACTAAATGGTGTTTCAAATCTCTCCGGCGTTAAATAACCAGATTCCCCGCTGATGTCAAGTAAATCATGCACACTCACCCTAATTCTGTCAAAGTACATGGTGTCGTTGGGGGGCGCTGGCTGATTAGCACCAAGTCACTGCCCCTCAACACGAACCTAATGATTCTAATCGGGCGGCAAACTGTCAAGGGCCACGCCATCATCTTTACCGTGGACGGCCATCGGACACAACAGCGCTCGCTCACGATACCCATTAGGTATACTGCAGATGCTGCAGCCATGTATGGACCAGCCTCCCTCGCCTAGAGTCGGACGGGACGGACTGTTCCAAGCTCATAACCGTCTCTAGTTGTCTACTAGGATACCTACGAAAAGACCTGTCCATTTTCGCGATGCCGAACCGCCGAATACTCAACACCGAATACCCATAGACCCGGTCATAATTTCACGCAACGCCATGGAATCGACGGAGCGTCGCATCGTTATACAGTATCCCGTGGCTTCTCGTTTTCCTCGCGACTCGCAACATCCGTCTGCTATGCAGGCTGATGGAGCCAATGCTGATTGATGGCCCCCCAAGCAACCCAAGGTGCAGGACATCAAGCCACCGACTTTGTCCGGCAGGCAAATCGGGACGTGGGCTTGCCCAAGTTGGTCAAGCTCAAACCAGACTGGCCGCGCCCAAAACCAATCCCATGACAGGTTGCTCCATCCGGACAACTGGGCACGCCGACCGACGACAAGGCATCATCGCACCATTTGCAACTTTGGCGTCACACTGCATCTATTCTGTCCTACGTTGGCTAATAAGTCGCAACTGCTGCCGGGAACCGTGACTGGTGCCATATTCGCCCTCATGAACTGGCTGCAGGTTGGCGGCGACTGAGTGCTACTGGTAGAGGGGAACCGGCTGGGCTCACTCTCAGTCACCCCCGGGGGGTGCGTCTCTCACCATCCTGACGAGCGTGACGCCATACCTCTGTAATGTAGCCGCTCGGGGATAGGTGCTTCCTTCTTTGTACAGGAGACGGAAGTGCCCGTTTAATGGTTTCCATTCAAACGAGGACCAAAGTCTACGCCGCAAGCTACTAAAGTAAACTGCTGTGGAGCGATAAAGCTGAGAACCAACATGTATAATTTGCACATTCTGTGGCAAGACGAACTGGCAGACTGAGAGATGGCCGTTTTGGTTGGTCACCTTGTTGGTGATCGGATCATGTTCTTACGACTAGCGCCATCGCGGGCTAAAATCTGAAAATAGACAAACATGAACAAGACAAGCCTCTTAAACGGTCTCAAACTATGAATCTAGGAAATCCTCCAATGCAAGCTCGAACATGTACCGGTCTTCTCGCTGCGTGCTTCGGAAAACTGCGTTGGTAGACATGTTTACTCATTCGTCGGCAGACGGCACCTTGTCTCGGTACGTGCCCAGCTTCCACCACGCTAACTAACTACTGCCTTGGGCTGTAATCTCCTCTCCTCTTTCCATCCCGTCGTTAACTTGCCTTCTCTTCTCTCTTTCTTCTCTTCTCTTCCCGTCAGGAGAAGGCGCCCCACCACCCACGAGCTACTTACCTAGTGGCGAAGTACTAGCAAGTTATCCAAGGAGACAGCGACTCGCATCACCAACAGAGAAGCGTCCTCCACAATCCACTTCACCTTTGTCCTCTTCTACAGCTCGGCGCACCAAGAGGCGGCGCCGCACGCAGCCTCCTACCTAACTTAGCTCCAATCTACCGTGCCTCGCCCACACACACCCTCGTCGCTCCGATCCTCCGGCATCCCCTCCAGATCCACCGGCCCCTCCGTGTCGTTTGACCTCGTCACCAATCCAGGATAACGACCAAGTCTGTTTGGTAGAGAGAGGCTTGCTGTCGTGCCCGAATCATCATCGAGCACATCGCCTCGGACGCGATCGGCAAGCCCGGCCCCGTCGGCAAGCAGCCGGCTAGTGGCAACTATCAACCAGCACCTTGAAAAGATGGATGCCACGGATTTTGATGCCTGGCCGTTCGGTCTAACTATCCTGGCAACGCTAATGGCCCTGTTTGTTGTCAAAGTCGCCCTCAATCGACGCCGCACCAACGGCCTGCCCCTACCTCCCGGCCCCCCCGCAGAACCCATACTCGGCCACCTACGCATCGTGCCCTCTCACAGCCCAGAGTACACTTACATGCAATGGTCTCGCCAGTATGGATCAGATGTGCTCTCTGTCAATATACTTGGCCAGCCTGTCATTGTCCTCAACTCAGTCAAGGCCGCCGTCGACCTTCTTGATAAGCGAGGCCACAAATACTCGGACCGGCCGCGCTTTGTGCTTTTTGAGGTAATGGGATGGGGCAAGACGCTCACATTTTTGCGATGGGGGCCTGATTTCCGAAAACATCGACGCATTCTACAGAAAAGCCTCTCAAATAGTAGTATTGTGCAATACAGACGAATGCAAGAGCGGGAAACAGCCATCATGCTCAAAGGCTTGGCAGCGAATCCCGCAGAGTGGGAAAATGTTGTGCGCCGACTAGCTACTGCGATCGTTCTTGGCATCGGATTCGGCATCACAATTGACAGCGATAAGGATCCGTTTATTCAAGTGGCTGCAGACGCCAGTTACGCCCTTGGCCACGGAGGCGCCCCAGCCGGCACGCCCGTCGATTTCTTCCCGATTCTCCGATACATGCCGAGGTGGTTGCACGACAGGTCGCTCAAGTTTGCCAACGATTGGGCCTGGGCTATCCGCAATCTTCACGACAAGCCGTTCGATGCGGCCGTGTCGACCCGGCGGCGCACAGAGTCCATAATCCAGGCTATGCTGGATGAGCGACAAGCGCAGCTTGGAAAAGGAGAAACACCAGAGCTAGAACTAGACGATATCAAAGGCGCGGCTGGGGCGGTATTTGCCGCCGGACAGGACACAACATGGGCGACTATCATGGTTTTTGTCATTAACATGATTCTGCACCCAGAGATTCAAGCCAAGGCGCAACAAACCTTGGACCAAGTTGTGGGACGCAACAGGATACCGAGTTTCGAGGACAGGCAGAATCCTGACCTACGCTACATTGAGTACCTAGTGCAAGAGACACTCAGATGGTGCCCTGTCTCTCCGATTGGTATCCCTCATCGGTCGATCGAAGACGATGTATACAATGGCTACTTTATCCCTGCAGGGTCTTTTGTCTATGCCAATGCACGCGCTATGACTCACGATCTTGATATTTACCTGGACCCTGACGAGTTTGACCCTGAAAGATATACGCCTGTGGAAGAAGGCGGTCGCGGCGAGCCATTTCCAAATGGCCAATTTGGATTTGGCCGGCGCGTCTGTGTCGGCCAGCACCTTGCCAAGGCCACCGTGTGGATAGTGGTTGCGGGCATTCTGAGCACGATGGACGTTAAAAAGCCGCTTGACGACCAAGGGAATGAAGTGACGCCGAAGGTGGAATTGACGAATGGATTGACCAGCCAACCCGACGGTTTCGACGCGAGGTTTGTACTGCGAGACGACATGAGCCTTGATTTAATACGTGCGCTGTAAGGCAGTGGTTGGCGCCCTGGTTGTACGAATAAATCGCTAGCTGTCCTTCAAAGTGACAAGTGATTTTGGATTCGTGGTGATGTGGATGTTGTTGGCGGCTTTTAGGTTAGCAACAAGTGCGAAACCAATGTATAGATGGGTTTTGCGATGTTCATCAAACTCAACCTGCGCCCTAGCGTCGATTTTTGTAAATTCTCATCCTGCTCATGTCTTTGTTTTTTCTCCTCCTTTCTGTTTTCGTCAATTTTCGCATTTTTGTCGTTCAAGGTCCTCTTCTGATGACGCTGCACCGTTGTGCCAAGTCAGGCAGCTGAGACCTGCTTCGCCAAACGCCTGCCTGAAATCCAGATGTCGCATCTTCGTCATTCCCCGACTCTCGAAGAAATATTCATCTCTGCGGCTTCGGGTTGGTTGTCGTCGCTGTCGAGGCCTTTCCGAGGCTATCATTGTGGATACGTGCAGTGACGAGACTGGTCCGTGAATGGTGATTTCCAAGCAAAAGCTGGCGTCTCGTAACTCCGCCCTCGGGAGCGGCGCAGTATAAGCTCCGTCTCCATTGGCCGTGAATCTGGGGAGCTTCGAGCTGTGTTAACTAGTGTCGATTCGTGAGCTTTTTGCCTTTCGTTGCCCCTCCTCACTGATCAGGCGTAGCCAACCGAGCGTTTTCGTCGGCCAGGAAAAGCCCGCCCGCCGCCGCCGTAGGAGAGCTTTATTAAGCTTCCCCCTCTTCTCTCCCCCTCCTCCCCCCTCCTCTCCCCCTCCATCGATTGCATCATCTCCTTCACCCAAACATCAACGAGAAGCAAAAACAGAAAAACAATCATCCAAAATGGTCAAAGCAGGTAAGGAATTAAGAAAACCACCACAGGCGTACGCAATGAATATCTGCACGTCGTCGGATGATGCTGGTGATAAGATTTGATGGAGGGGCGGCTGCGCTGGATGTTTATAGGTTGGGCGGGAAATGCGAGCTGGTTTGCGCTGGTTTTTTTAGCCGCGCCGCCATGTGCCGTTACGGCCATCCATCCATCTTATTGATGACCTTGATGGATTGGGCTGGCTGGCTGCAAGACTTGTCTCTCGATTCGAGGGCCTTGATGGCACCCAGCATTGTCCCGCCCTGTCTTGCCCGCCCATCCAGCTGCTCCCCTCCAGATGCACTGCTCCCCTCCAGATGCACTGCTCCCCTCCAGACGAGCCCCCCCCCCAATGAACCCCCGTCTCTCACCATAACCAATTCTAACCAATCGCCCCCAGTCTGTGTTCTCCGCGGTGACGCCAAGGTTGGCGGCACCGTCACCTTCGAGCAGGAGTCCGAGTCGGCGCCCACCACCATCACCTATGACCTGACCGGCAACGACCCCAACGCCGAGCGCGGCTTCCACATCCACACCTTTGGCGACAACACCAACGGCTGCACCTCGGCCGGCCCGCACTTCAACCCGCACGGCAAGACGCATGGTGCGCCCACTGACGCCGCCCGTCACGTGGGTGACCTCGGCAACGTCAAGACGGACGCCCAGGGCAACGCGAAGGGTTCCATCCAGGACTCTCAGGTCAAGCTGATTGGCCCTCACAGCGTCATTGGCGTGCGTATACATCTATATGCGGCCACTCGGTACTTGTCACGATCTGCTAACATTGCTTCCAGCGCACTGTCGTTGTCCACGCTGGCACTGACGACCTCGGCAAGGGCGGCAACGAAGAGTCCCTCAAAACTGGCAACGCTGGTCCCCGTCCCGCTTGCGGTAAGCCTCGCTCCTCCAATAAAGCACTTTGAAATGAATACTAATTGTCTTCCAGGTGTCATTGGTGTGTCCAACTAAGCTGTTCGGCGCAAGAAACCAAAATGACGAGATGGCAACTATTTGAGAGAAAGGTCTTAAGCCGGACCAATTCTTGACTAGATTGACATGTAGTTTCACCCAATGAAAAAAAGACATTTCACTTTCGGAACTTTTGACTTTATGAATTGATTGTGCTGGCCGCCGCTGATTTCCGCCTCGCCGCACTGGTGCGCCCATCTTTATACATACCTTGACACCCTACGAGGCCGCCACCTGATGTGCCAACCCCCAAAACCTTTTTGGAAACACCTCAAGCCACATCGAGGCAAGGCTGCAAGGATCTCACTACCATGCTGAACCTTCGCCGTGCAGCCCGGGTGTCGTCTCACCCCAGTCTTGGGACGAGTTCTAACGGGCCCGTAGAACATTCCATCTGCGACATTGGCTCGCCAAGGTTGTTTGTGTATAAAACAGTGCATCAGTTTAGAGACGAAACATGCCAATAGCTAGGGAAAGTCCGGCTAGTGGCCGAGTCTGATGACAGCAGCGGCGCGCGGCTCAGCGCGGATGTGGCGTGGCCCGGCGTCGGACGAAGGACTAAGGCTGAACGCGGCAAAACATCAGATGGAGGCAATGTTGGAGGAACTTTTCTGCCCTGGGATTTTATTCTTGCCAATCTTCTACGCTTAGGATTTTATTTGACCAATGGCTAGTTCTGATTAGACGGGAAGACACAATGAGCAGAAGTTAGGGTGATCCGGCCAGCCGTGACTAGGCCATAACACCAAAGGTAAAACCACCATCAGAGCGTAATTTATGTGGTTTTCTCCCTGAGGACATCCTTCATGCTGTTGAAACGCATTATAAGTTATTCGCTTCTATTGGAACATGGGGCAATCTACTGTAATGTTTAAGGTAGTGCGGCTGCATACGAAACATCCTCCGTCTTAAACCCAGCACCGCCTCACTGTCAAGGAAGAACGCATAAAAAGGCGAGGCAAAAGGACCAATATCTTAGACCAACCAGGGGGTTCTGTGCAACAAGTCGCATTCCCCGCCATCCCTGAGTGCAGAAAAACTCCGGCCGCATGGAAATATTTAGGCGGTTTCATCCTATCGCACCCTTGTCTCAGGATCTTCCTGTCTCCTGTAGTTCGAAGCGAAGGGGCTCGCCACTCTATGCCGCCGCGTATTTACCGCCCCGGCGATCGTCAACGCAAATGAGTCAGGCCATGGCAGGTGCCAAGGGCCAGGACGTCTCTTACACAGAGGCAGCCGCAGGAGATCCTCTTGGCACAACAAGACTTGATGTGCGAAACCAGCCAGGACAGCGGAAACAGAGGCACGTCTTCCGATGAATGTCATCAGGTATAGCCCATGAGTCTTTTTTTGGGTTTCACACCTTCGAGTCAGATGGAAACAAGAAAAAACCAAGCTTGCTCTTGGCTTGTTTGTACTATGCATACGGAATGACGTCCCTCGCTCTGTGCTGGCCCGGCCTTCTGCTTTCTTCAGCCCACCCGTGTTCACTATTGTGACGGCCCGATATCCAGACTTGGGGGCCCCCGACTTGGTCAGATACGGAATTGATGAGCGCAATGCTCAGTTCAGCCACTCTCCAGCTCCGATGTGCAGTCATATGCCATTTATGTGTAATAGCGCAGAGTGTAAGTGCTGTGTGTAACGATTGTGCTGGGAGAGCATATGTGCGAGTTCGTGTATGAATCTACTATATAACTGTACAACGATCCGTTTGGATCTGCATCTGTAGTTCTTTGGACGGCGGACCACTGGCCTTTACCGGATAAAGGAGGAACCCAAGTCACAACTCACAAACCAACGAACCTTTAATAATAATATCGACACCATGAGGTACAGCTGGCCGTACACCACCACACTGCTCATTGCCCTCGAGACGACCGCCGCGCAGCGCGTCATTCAGGGCAGCGTGCAGCACTTCCAGAGCGAGGCCACTGGCCCGTGGCAGCCGCTGCTGGCGCTCGGCTTCGGCTCACCGCCGCAGGAGATCACCGGCATCTTCGACTCGGGCTCGTCCGACACCATCATCCCGCAGGCCGGGTCCAAGCTATGCCAGGTCGAGAACCAGCAGTGCACCGACGGGGCCGAAATCGTCCGCGGCGAGTTCGACGAGCAGCTGACGTCCGACGTCGAGGAGCTACCGGGGCAGGAATTCGAAGCCGGGTTCAGCGGTGGCGATGAGTTCAATGGCGAGTACATCAAAACAACTGTAACGGTCATCACCCCGGATGGGACCGGGGCCAGCAACGGTACCGGCAGGCTTAGCGGTGCTGACGGTGCCGGCGGTGCCGGAAACGTCACGGGCGAGGAGGTGCCCAACGCACAGGTGGCGCTGGCGTCGGATGGCCAACCTTCCGGCGACTTTCCGCAGTTTGCCATCTACGGCGTCGGACCTCGCGAGGCTGAGGCCACGGACAAGAAGTACGACAATCTGCCGCAGGTCATGAAGGACACGGGCGTCACCAAGGGCAACTCATATAGTGTGGTCATGAACCCGACGCGTGAGTGCTTCCCCCGCGAGAACCCCCACCTGCTGGTGGCGAAGAGAACTCTGGCAGACTCTAACACAACTCTATGCAGCCCTCGCTAACGGAAGCGTCTTTTTTGGCGGCGTCGATCGGTCCAAGTTCACTGGCGAGCTGCAGCAAGTTCCGATCGACCGGACCACCGATGGCAAGATTAGTGACTTTGTAGTCAAGATGAGCTCCATACGGCTGGACATGAGCGGTGGCAATAATCAGACGAGGCGGCTCACAAGGAGCGAGAAGCGTGAGCACATGCGCCTCAAACGCTCGATATTTCGCCGCACAGCCCCACGGAACAAAGGCTACAGCAAGGCCAAGGGCAAGTACGGCGGCGGCGACGAGACCGGCGAGGAGGACGTTCAGGCAGCGCGTGTCTTGAGCGCTGGCGAGGGCGGTCACAACTCCAACAGCAAGGGCCAGGGAAACAACAGAAACAGCAACAATGGCGGCAACTGCTGCAGCTGCAGCTGCAACAACAACAACGGCGACAACGGCGACAACGGCGACAACGGCGACAACGGAAGAGACAACCGGAACAAAGACAAGGGCAACAAGAATCAGGGCAGCAGCAATAACGGAAGCGGAAAGAGTGGCAGCGGTCTCATTGACCTTGGCCTGAACAAAAAGAATGCCTTCACCCTCTTCGACACGGGCGGCGTCGCCCTGACGCTCCCCGCCAACGTGCTGCGCAAGATGGCGCGCGCCCTCGACACCGACTTCAGCGACGAGTTTGGGGAGCTGGGGCCGGTAGACTGCGGCCTGCTCAGCGCCGGAAACAAGCTCGTGATGGGTTTCAACAACGACCGCGTGCAGACGACGCTCGCGCTCGACAAGATCCGCATCTCGGACGAGATCGCGGACCCGAGGCTCACGCAGGAGGGGCTCTGCGAGGTGGGCGCGTTCGCGTCGGCGCCGGACGAGAACCTGAACAGCATGGGATTCGTCTACTTCACGGACGTCTACACGGTGTTTGACCTGGAGAACAACAGCCTGTGGTTCGCGCAGGCCACGGGCGACCCGGGCGCGCCGGGCGAGCAGCTGGAGGAGTTTCCGTGATGAAGCCGAGCGTAGGAGAGCTCGGAGACCGGTAAACAATTACAGTAAGCTCTGAAGAGAAGAGGGAAAATAAAAAGTACCAAGAAGATACAGACAAGTAAGAAAGTAGCAATACAATAATGCAAGCGCCGACCTGGTCGGGCCGTGAAGCATAAAGTCTCCAAGCTATACAATTATGAAGGCAACAATTAATCAAGAAGGAACCGAGCCACAGAATAAAATGATCAATTGTCTAAATTATGAAAGAAGCCGATCAATTAGCCGCTCAGTTCCTTCGACAACATGCGAATGGGTGATTGGCGAGTAGACCCTACAGCATGAGCCGGCTCGAAGCACTGCTTCTTCCTCCGTCAAGGAAGCCAAACGAGGCTCGAAAGCAATGACGCGGGCTCCATTAAACCAACGTCGCGCCAGGAAAGAGGCCAGTTCGGTATGAAAATGAGCTGGCAGTTCCGGGCCGCGTCCAGCTGCGTACCTCTCTATTTTAAGACCCGTCCATCCTACCTCGCAGCGTGAAGGCGATGACCGGCCTCGCCGGTCGCTCCATTGAGATCTCGCATCGACAAACACCGCATACTGGCAGCTATATGCACATATTTTTTGTTGCTTTTTTTTTATCGAGATTCTGGTCGGTGCTTGCCGAAACATCCGTCCACGTTCGACTCACTCGTTCGGACCAGCTGACGCGGGCCAGCCGCATCTGTCGCCCTCAATCTCAGGGCAAACGACGCTGGGAGCCGTTGAAAGTCAAACAAAACGGAGCAAGCGAGGATGGAATAGCCTCGAGGATACTGTTGCCTGCTCAATGACTGGTTGCGGCAACTTGCAGTACTCGCGCCTGTGTCATCGGCACGGCACAGGACGCAGCCTGAAAGGTTGCTGAAGGGTCAATTGAGCAGCCTGACCAGTTCTTGCCAGGCGCATGTGCACCTTTGTTGATTCTACCTATGTTGAAATGACTATAATGCAAAAATATTCTGACGAGAACCTCCGTCCGGCTTTGGCAATGCAGGGGGTGCTTTCCGGGTTCCCGCAGGAGCGGATGTTAATATTTCTCGGGGGAAACAAGTGTGTCATTGTATCGAGGGGCTGGAGATTGCTATTAAACTGTGCACTTGGCGCAACAAACGAGAGCTAACAAGAAACCCTGGCGGTTGCATTGCGTTGTTGGCTGTGTGGTTCATGGCTCACTTTGACACTCTTGCTCCTTGTATTCTGGCGATACGCCTCACTGTGGCGGCTGCGTTGTGGCTGGTGATACAACCCCACACTCGAGTATAACTCGCCGTTGACGGTGGCCAGATTGTGCGATAACCCAGGTATTTTGGACAAATATTGGCTTGAGAGGTCTGTCTCCAAATTTCACATGCCTAAACGCCTTTGAAACTTATTTTTGCACCGTAGTAAGCGACCGTTACAAAGCAACCCTCGTATTGGTGGTGCAAGGAACGGCCACCTTGCCTCACCAGATTCTCAGGCACACGACAGGCCACAATGCGGGGCGTCTCCATCCAAGCTCCCCTTCCTACAGTCTGGCGTCTCCCAACCATTCGGCTAGCTTCTACTGACCTCTTCAATCTGTCTCTTCAATTGTCTGTTTCAAAGACCGTTTCTTTACTTTTCAATTCGGCTTTGTCGTCTGCTTCTTGCTCTTCTCACGTCTCTTGCCGCTAGGTACGTCAATCCAATTGCGTCGGCGGGGTTTAGCCAGGCACTGCTCGACAAGATGCTCGATGGCGGTGTAAAGATAATGGCACCATGAACATGGGAAGGACATTCGTCTACCATATGCCTCTGATGATTTGCAAGACGCAATGGCCAGAACCTCCACCAGAGATTGGATAGTGCCGAGAAATTATCGCCTGCATTCTGCCAATCTTGCAACCACGTATAGTATATGCAGCTGACCAGCGTCTGTTCATAGATCTCCCTGTGTATCCCTATCGGTTTATTCATCATGTCCAAGCCTTTCATCGGCAATGTCAAGAGCGTTCTTAGTGGCGATACTCTGGTTTTGACCAGCCCAAACAATCCTGCTGCCGAACGAAACATCTCCCTCGCCTACGTCACCGCCCCTCATCTGCGCCGCGACGGCGACGAGCCCTTTGCCTTCCAATCCCGCGAATACCTCCGCAACCTCGTTGTCGGCAAGGCCGTTCAGGCCACGATTCACTACACAATCCCCAACTCTGGACGAGAGTTCGGCACTGTCAAGCTCAAGGACGGCACTGATCTCCCCGATGAGTTGGTCAAGGCTGGCTGGCTAAAAGTCCGAGAGGATGCTGGCAAGAAGGAAGATTCCCCAGAGATTCTTGATAAGCTCGAGACTCTTCGTGCTCTTGAAACCCAGGCCAAGGCCGAGTCCAAGGGCTTGTGGGCTGGCACTGGTGGCATGATTGAGGTGCAAAACGACCTTGGCAGTCCTGACTTTATCAGAGAATGGAAGGGAAAGACCGTCGATGGTATCGTCGAACGTGTTCTCAGCGGTGACAGACTTCTTGTGCGTCTGCTCCTCTCTGAGAAGAAGCACGTTCAGCCCATGACCCTGCTTGCTGGTGTTCGTGCCCCGGCCACCGAGAGAGTGCAGACCTCAACCGGAGCTACACAGCCTGCTGAAGAGCATGGCAACGAGGCCAAGGCCTTTGTAGAGTCCAGGCTTCTGCAGCGTCTTGTCAAGGTCGAAATCGTCGGCGCGAGCCCCCAGGGACAGCTAATTGCCCACGTGCTCCATCCCCGCGGAAATATTGCGGAGTTTCTCCTTCAAGAGGGTCTCGCTCGATGCAATGATTTCCACTCGACTATGTTGGGTGAAAAGATGGCTTCACTGCGTGCTGCCGAGAAGGAAGCACAAGGCAAGAAGCTACGTCTGCACAAGAACCACGTTGCCAAAGCCGACGGCGGAAACCAGGACATGGCCATCTTCAAGGTCCTCGCTGCTGACACTGTGCTCGTGCGCACTAAGAACGGCGGCGAGAAGCGCATCAGTTTTAGCAGTGTCCGTGGCCCTCGTACAAATGAAGCCTCAGAGGCGCCATTCCGTGACGAAGCCAAAGAATTCTTGAGACAAAAGGTCATTGGCAAGCAGGTCAAGATTAGCATTGATGGCAACAAGCCTGCGACTGAAGGCTTTGAGGCTAAGGAGGTCGCTACCATCACCGACAAAGGCAAGAATATTGGCCTAGAGCTGGTTGAGGCTGGCTGGGCTACCGTTATTCGTCATCGCAAGGACGATACCGATCGATCGCCCATCTATGACGATCTTCTAGCTGCACAGGAAAAAGCCAAGGAAGAAAAGAAGGGCATGTGGTCTGGCAAGCCCCAAAAGGCTAAACAGTACCTCGATCTTTCGGACAACCTCCAAAAAGCCAAGATCATGCTCGCCACCCTACAACGGCAAAAGAAGGTTCCTGCTATTGTTGACTTTTGCAAGGCCGGCTCTCGCTTCACTATTCTGATCCCTCGTGAGAGTGTCAAGCTGACGCTTGTTCTCGGTGGCATCCGCGGCCCTCGTGCTCCCCGCCCCGACGGTGAAGGTGGCGAACCGTTCGGCAAGGAGGCCCTCGACCTGGCTAACCGCCGCTGCAATCAGCGCGACTGTGAGGTCAACATTCAAGATATGGACAAAGTCGGCGGTTTCATTGGAGAGCTATACATTGGTCGCGAGAACTTCGCCAAGGTCCTAGTTGAAGAGGGTCTTGCCACTGTGCATGCATATTCGGCACAGAAATCGGGCAACTCTAACGAGCTATTTGCTGCTGAAAAGCGCGCCAAGGAAGGCCGCAAGAATCTCTGGAAGGACTGGGACCCATCTCAGGATGAGGAGGAGGAAGAGGAGGCCCCCGCAGAGACACTGGAGACCGAAGTTTCTCTAGAAAAACGCCCCACTGACTACCGCGATGTTGTCATTACCAATATTGACAGCAATGGTAAGCTCAAAATTCAGGAGATTGGAAAAGGCACGGCTGCTCTTGAGCTGCTCATGAGCGATTTCCGCAAGTTCCATCTCGACTCCAAGAACAACAAACCCCTGGCCGATGCTCCCAAGACCGGTGACTACGTCTCGGCCAAATTCTCTCTAGACGGCCAGTGGTATCGTGCTCGTGTCCGTGCAAATGACCGCACTGCCAAGGTTGCTGAGGTCATGTTTGTTGACTACGGAAACTCGGAAAAGGTTGCCTGGTCTAACCTCCGCCCTCTTGACCAGGGCCAGTTCGGTGCCCAGAAGCTCAAGCCGCAGGCCGTCGACGCCTCGCTGGCCTTTGTGCAGCTCCCAACTGGCGCCGATTACTTTGACGAGGCCGTCGCCTTCATCGCCGAGCTGACGGAGGGCAAGCGCCTGGTCGGCAGCTTCGACTATGTCGACAACAAGGAGAACATTAGCTACATCACGCTCTACGACCCCAAGGCGGACGGCGGCCTCCCCGGCCCCAACGAGTCGGTCAACAACGAGATTGTCGCCGCTGGCTTCGGCATGGTCCCCAAGAAGCTGAAGGCATGGGAGCGCAGCAAGCCCTTTGAGCCCGTCCTGCAGCACCTCCGCCAGACGGAGACCCAGGCCAAGGCTGAGCGCCAGGGCCAGTGGGAGTATGGTGACCTGACTGAGGACTAGAGTTGAAGCACATGCCAAAAACGATTTATAACTATCGATAGATATATATTTGAAAAAAGGCAATGGGAACTGTATGGGAGGCTGACATACTAAGGATATAAAAGTGTTTTGATGGGACTCATGATTGCATTCAAGAAAACTTTGGCATTTTAAGCGCCGCCGCATGAACAGAAAGGGACACGTGAAGCTGGGGTAGAATGTAAAGATGATTAATGCTCCACCTAGAAGAGGTAGACGTTCATGAATTGACGAAACATGCACCTGTACAGCAACCCACCGAGAACTTAACAAGCGGTTTGACAGGTACGAAAACCCTGTGAAGAGGTTGTGAGAGGTTGTGGGACTCTGGTAAGAGAAAGTGATTAAAACATGAGATCAATGCATGAAAGGCATATGCTGTGAATAACACCCCTCCCCCGGAAACGACGAATTCTTTCAGCTGCGACGGGCTTTATCCTTTCCTCTGGCACAAATGGCGGTATGTAAACGGTACTACTCTCCTTTGCTTCCATGTTCACAGACCACACCCACCATTACCGCATACTTACTCTTGCATTGCCTCTCGTCTGTCGGTCACGGCTCTCCGGTGCCGGAGGCCAGGTATATGGGAAAGGGAGGCCGGTGCAGCATGCGGAGAAAACCCGGGAGCTTCGCTAGGAGACGGAGGCACACGCGGCTCCATTGGAGAAGAGAAAGAAATGAAAAGTAACTACTGCAAGGGAAGAGGCGGGCAAGGGATGAGAGCGCCACCATTGTGTGAGGCCAGGACGACGTTCAAGTGACGCGCTCGCGCTGTTCCAATCACCTGTCCATGCGCGTGCATAGAAACAGCGACGAGATGGGGAGGAGAGACAGACTATTCGCTCTGCATCGGGCAGTCTGCACGGAAAGGACGGCTCCCCTCTGACACGGTTCGCCTTTGCTCCAACGTTGCTCGAGTTCGGGTAACTTCGGGCCGCCTCCTATATGTTATCAGACGCAGGGACGAAGATAGCTTGCCAATTCTTTCCAGAGAAGGAAATACACATTGCCGTTGCATTCAGAACCCCAGGTTTATGAATAGTCGGTGTCTGTTTGCGGGGAAACCCTTTCCCACCTCGTATGCTTGGTCATGGCGGGATGCTTGGGCCAACACCACGACTTGGTCCAGGACGGCGCTATATTACATGCGGCAAGGCATATTCGCAGTCCTGCTGGGGAGCAACGCCGGTGCAAATCCAGCCAGCAGCGGTGATGGATCAGCTTCGGAGATGTAACGCGGGGTAGCATCGCCAAGAACGAGGGGGGCATGGTGAAAGTGAACAGAATAGAAGAGGCTGGTTTCAGCCTCTTCACAGCCTCTTCCTCACAGCTTTAAAAAGGTTCTTGGGATGATCTACCTAGCTTCCATGACTGCTGCACGCCACGCAGGGCCTATCCTGTAGCTTTCGGGCGAGCCCTTTCTCGATGGCCGTGTCTTCAACGAACAGCTTCCTCCAGTCTAGACTGCGCGAAATCTCGGGGCGAGCGCCACCGAACGGCTCGTTGTGGCTGGTTCGCGGAGCTATGCACCGCCAGGCGGGACGATCTAGGTGTGCTGCACACCAAACGATGGTGTCTGTTGCAACGGCTGTCGACAGGTCAGGTTGGTTGGGTTGCTTCGCTGCGCAGTGATCGCCTAGTGCGACGCCGGGCCGTCCATGGCGTTCTGGCAGAGCAGCAGCGAAGGCTTCACCATCTGCAGGTCGGCTGGCTCAAGTTGACCACCGGAAGGGGGGGGGGGGGCGAGAGTGGCGGGGTGAGTGGTGGTGCGGCCATCGTCAAAGTTGTGTGTGTGAATTGCGTCGATGGGTTGATCTGCGACTGCAACTTCTCCTTCGGGTGATGCTAGATATGCATTTGCAGCCTTTGAATCATCGCATCTTAGGTTTTCGGTCCCCCTGGGCATGGAGCGAGGTTGTTGGCGTTGCATAGCAGTTCTCCAACTCCATGTGGTAGTTTTGCATCGTTTTCTTTTTGTGGTGACTACTGGAGCTTGTCACAATGGCGCGTTGGTGACAGCGGTTTATGCCTGATCTGGACAATCCCCCGCCCCTAGGCTCGTCAAGTTGCCCACTTCCCCAGACACCGCTGGCGGTAGTAAACAAAGACTTGGTGTCGCAGAGTTGAACCGCGTCAACGGAATCGGATCTTGCTCGTCGTTATGAAATTCGTTACGTCGGCTATTGAGAGAGTCCAATTGCCAAGCATGTGAAGCTGGGGCTTGTGGCATGAAATGAACGGCGGACGATCTTTTACTAATTAATTAGAAGCAGATGTGGAGGGAGGCCGTCGGCAGCCTCCGTCAGTGGCCAATATTCTGAGACAGTTCGCAGGCGAAAGCGGGGGATAGGGGCATGCCATGCCAGGGGAGTACGAAGAGCTGGATGCCAAACGAGCCCACTTGCCCGCGATTTCTCAATTTTTCATATTGTTTGTAAACCTGGAGAACTGAATGCTCTACACAGCTTGCCTCTAGAGCGTTTCAGTCTTTCGAATGGCGCATCGAACGTGTCCGCTGGAGTAAAGTGGCGACGAGCTCTTGGTGGCTACTAATTTTTCGGCCCGCGCCATCGTCTGCATTGCGCTCAGACCTTGCTAATAACTAGACATGGGGCGCAACTATCGCTTGCTAGATGCCTTGCAGGGTGCTGGTCAAGGTACGAATAAATTATAACTAGCTCGTTCAGATCGTCTGAACGGGCGCAACTTCGCCGCTGGGGTTTGCCTAGTGGATTGGTACTATTTCAAGAGCCCAGGGTGTGGAAATGAGAGAACTATGAAATTAGGTTGCCTACTAATTTACTCAGGTTTGTCAACACTGGCACAAGTGCATGCAGTAGCAACTCTAGCTCGAGAGTGACAAAAGAAACGAAACAAAAGCTGGTATGCAGCCACAACGTCTTTGCTGACATGCAGTGAGCGAGGCTTCCTAGAAGTGTATAAGGCTGCGAAGACTTTTGACAGGAGGTGGCGTGAAGCTCTGGAGCAAGCCACATAGATTAAGAGCGAGCTTTGGCGTTGATAGATCTTTACAATGACAATTTAAATAGCTGGTTGCGCTGATGGTTGGTCGAAGCTGAAGTTGGGGCCGTTTGTATGTGCTGGTACTTAATAGCTTCCAGCTGCCAGACGCTCTTCTTTGCCATCTGCCAGCTGCCAGCCAGAAAACGCCACGCATCTCCAAAACCACTACCAAACTTGCATCACCAACTTCTTCATTTCTTCATCAATAAATAGCACCTTTTCTCCCCATTTGTCTACCTGTACCACCTTCAAATCCAGATACGGACAACTCTCACGTGGTAGTCAACCAGAACAAGATTCATCAAGCGGGTCGCCCCGAGCAGGCAGCTTCCTGCCCCAGCCAAGCAGCAGACCGGGCCTGCAGCGAAAAGGCATGTGAGCTGCGTCTGGCCCGCCGCCTCTTTTCGCTAGTGCGACACTTCTGCCTGCCCCTACCGAAAGGCTGTGACCAGTGCATCTGCAAACTGCTAATAAAAGGACTCCATCGAGAAGCGCCGAGGTGGCGACGCCACCACTCCATGGCCCTACCTACTAACCCAGCCTGATGTTCGTCTTTTACTATCCTGGTCGACTGCGCCGGCCCTAAATCTCTGGTGTTGCCCGCGCCTGTCCATAGCACGCCTCACTTATATATATTCAGAGACACTGGTCCCGCCGTACCTGGTCTTCGCTCTTGCTCGTTTTCCCATTTGGCTAAGTGGGATGTAAGACTGTTTGAAAACTGACCCTTGACCGGCAAACTCTTGTTTTCTTCACTTCCTACTCTGCGTCAGCATTACTGGAAATTGCATCGTTGAGAGGGAATTGGCCTCCCCCCAGCTCTCACAATGGTGGCCAACCTTTCGGGATACAAGGTGCCTGGCGTGCCACACTACGAGCCGCGTGCCATGAGAGTTTGGATCATTCTGTCCACATCATGGGTGACAACGTTGGCGGTAACGTCCGTCTTTCTTCGCCTACTTAGTCGACGGCTCAGAAGTCAAAAACTGTGGTGGGATGACTATCTCATCATGTTTTCCATGGTAAGATACAGGCAACAGGCCGAGCCCGAGACAGTTGGTTATACTGACTGAATAGATGTGGAACTGGGTTGTGCTTGGAATTGGCTTTGCCATGTACATTGAAGGTGTTGGTTACCATGTCGACAGCGTCTCAAAGCACGCCGTCCACAACATTTCCAAGTGGCTTCTCATCACCGAAATCATTTACATCTGGAATCTCTGCTGGACTAAGCTCAGCTTGCTGATGATGTATTACCGAATCTTTCGCATCCCCAATTTCAAAAAGCAGGTCATTGTTGTTGGTACCTTTGTCATCTGCTGGGCCATTACCATATCCTTCCTCTTCACCTTCATCTGCAAGCCGATTGAGAAACTGTGGATTCCCGAACTGGAGGGCAAGTGTGTGAACGAGGTCGCCGTCTGGCTGGCAAATGCTGGCAGCACTATCTTCAGTGATATTGTGATCTTGATGCTGCCCATTCCTCAAATCTGGAGACTAAATCTCAAGAAGAGTGAAAAAATTGGCCTGACATTGGTTTTCGGTCTTGGTTTCTTGTAGGTTCTCCAGCATCCACAGTCGACACGAAATCACTGACATTTTCGCAGCGCGGTTTTTACCTCTTCATATCGAACATGGGTTCTGTTCAACTACGACAAAAACGATATCCCTTATTCCCTGGCTCCGCTGCTTGTTTGGTCCGATGTTGAGATGTGCGCCGGCATCATCTCCGCCTGCCTGCCCACACTGCGGCCCGTTTTCAATGCCGCTGCCAAGAAGCTGGGCATCAACATGCACTTTTCCCGCTCGACGCCGTCTGCGCCGCCAGACGTCACAATTGCAACGATATCGAATATTAGCTGCAGAAAGCCGCACGTTTCTGTCATGACGACGCAGCACGATCCGTCTGACAACAATACCGACCGCAGCCCTTTTTACAGACTGCACGACGAGTCTGACGGCGAAGGCATGCTTGGAGAGACGACAGATACGAATTCCATCAGCAAGTCAACACGAGCCGAGTCCAAGGCCACCTGCTACGAACTGCGGGCCATCGATACGGCCGGATTCAGCGAGGAGTCCCTTGAAAAGGAGCTTCACAGACAACGGATGAACAGATTAGACGCATAAGGCGATCGGCACATAAAATTTTTGATGATGAAACGACGATACAATAATGAACTTCATATCTGCAAATAACTAAGTATTTGGTTCTCCTGGCGTTTGGCAGCTTGGGTTGGGTCGGAGTGTGAGGGGTCAAAGGCGATCATGGCGTTTCTCTTTCTGGGGTTCAGCATGCGCTGTACCGTTTCACGATGATTCTTAAAAATAGGATCATGTATCGCAATAGAACCGCAATTATGTAAAAGAGCCCGAAATGTGAAGGTGTTCTGATAGAAGATCCAGGTACCGCCCAGCAACAGTAATGGGTTTACTAGTTACCTTGTCTGACGCAAGACCAAGACGGCATTGGGGGTGGGCAATAGAGTGACCACCAGATCGCTGCAATAGCAGGAAGGGCCAGGCGTGAATAAATCCTTTCTTTGCCAATAGTTGAAATAGGGAACTTGATGGCGCACGAAACAACTGTTCAAGCCATCAATCCAGGCCATTGTATACACCGTTTCCCGCCCCCGCCAAGTTTAGCCTTGGTTCGTAGTAGCGCTTCGATGACGACATAGCTACTTCACGTTTCTAGATCGAAGCTTGTCATAACAGCCCAACAGCTCCTCTCTGGTGAGAGATCTCAAGTTTCATTCCCTACAAAACATTCAATTGCCTCAAGTTGCACCAATACACTCACCAAGACCTGTCGCAACGCTATTTACTTCCGAAACGCAAACAACCCCGATCGATCGAGCGATACGACTGACACCCCACGATCTGGCAATGAGTTCCAACACCTCATCCTCGGGCGCCGTCGCCGGCGGCGCCGATAAGAATCAGCCCAAGACGCGCAGCGCGCGCGCCATGGACGCCGTTGGGGAAAAGGCGGGCGAGATTTTGTGAGGCTCCGACACGTTTTCTGAGAGTTGTTTCGTGGCTCAAGCAGTTAACGTTCATGACCTCGCGCAGCAAGGAGGACTTTGGCAATGCGCGCAAGGTCGCGGTCGAAGCCATGAAGAGTCGCGCATACCTCTACCCGCTCAAGGTACTCCCGATCCCACCTCCTCACACCCCGAAGAATCTTTCTTCTGCTTCGAAAAACCCCGTTTCTAACCCCACCGATGACCCCAGGGCATCGCCTACTTCCTCTCGCACCGGTCGCTGTGGAAACCGTTCCTGTCGCGCCTCGGCCCACTGCTGACGCTCTCCGCCGGCGTCGTCGGCTCCATGTTCGCGTTCACCTACCTGCCGCAGCTGGCGGTGCTCGTGTTCGTCAACGGGCCCCTGGCGGTCGTCTCGACGGTGCTGCTGGTGCTGAGCGAGAGCTCGGCCATCATCAACGGCGTGGCGCGCGGGTGGTTGCTGCAGGACGCCATCCTCGACACGTTTGACGGCACGCTGCTAGCGCGTGACGCGGCGGGAATCGTCGCCGAGGGCCGCGAGCTGCGCGCGGGCTCGTCGCGCGACCCGATGCGGCGCCTGGGAAAGGTGCTGCGCAGCCCGTTTGACAAGTTTGGGCCCAAGGCGATGATCCGCTACCTGATTTACCTGCCGCTCAACTTCATCCCGGTCGTGGGAACGGTGGCGTTTGTGTTCTTGCAGGGTGAGATGCGTAATGAATGCGCTGTTTACGGCGGCAGTGGCTAACGAGGTTGACAGGCCGCAACCGCGGACGCTCGGTTCATGAGAGAGTAGGAGGCCGGCATCATGCAATCGTATTATCGGTGTACTAACAATAGTCCAGTACTTTCAATTAAAGAAGTGGTCCAACGCGCAAAAGAAGGACTGGGTTGACACGCACGTCGGGGCTTATACATCGTGAGTGCCGCGGCAAGCATGGCCAGTATGACCAACACTAACACCGTCCAGCTTCGGACTCATCGCTACCGTCCTGGAAATGATCCCCATCGCGAGCATGTTTTTTACGTACACAAACACAGGTGAGTCGGCATTTGCAAATGCAGGATGTAGGCGGCCATGGACTGACAGGGTGCTGACACAGTTGGCGCGGCGCTCTGGGCGGCTGACATTGAGGCGCACAGCACGTCGCTGACGAAGGAGACGGCGCCGAACCTGCGTGCGGCGGCGGACAAGGCGGCGGAGAAACCGGAGCTGTGATGGCTGATGGAGTGGCGAGAAGTGGCTACCGCTACATGGGGATATTCGCGCATGGTGTGTCTGCTTGGGAAGGCGTGGTGTCAGCGGATAGCTGCCGTTATGCAAATAATTACAAAGCAAACTGTCATTCCTAAGGACCGAGTTTTCTTGATATTGGTGATTGTTCATTGCTAATTCTATTCACTGGCGGTCGTTTTCGTAATGACAAGCGGCCCAGCTTCGGCGAGGAACAACAGCGCATGACGGCGGCATTTGCGGGCGGCGCGGATGCGGAATGGCCGTTGTTGGACGCCGGACCGGAGTTGCCAGGAGTGGATGTTCCTACGGCCGCCGCTGATTTGTGGAGATTTTCTTAGAGAACAGTTGACTGGCGAGAGATTAGAGTGTGATTCTGAGTTGTCTTGTTTCTTGTTGCAGCCCACAGAAAAACCTTAGCGGGGCGCCCACAGGTACATATGCCACCAAAATTGGCTGCAGAAGTACCTTTTTTAACGACAACATAATTTATGTAAATTTCGTAGCCTGAGGCCACAATTGGTGGGGATGTGTTGATGTGTTCAACTCGATCGGATATGCGTTTTTTTGAGCGTTTTGGAGGCTTCCGGAGGCTATGGATTCACAGGCTTCGACGCAGGATTCCTGTGGCGGCGGCAGCCAGCCACTGCCTGACTTCGAAGATCTCGTATCGGAAGAGAGAGTCAGTAGCTATTCCCCTTCGTTAGCTGACGATTCCTCACAAAGTTCGGGCTCTCTTACCCGGTCCTACTGGTCAGAAGAGCATGTCAAAGCCTTCATACAGCACATCAATAGCGCCATCGTCGACGGCGAATTTATCGCCAAGCAGCACCACACACACACACTAGTGTTTAATTCGATAATCACTGAATTCCGAACCGTGTATCCTAATACGAGATTTAATATACAGAAGCTTCAACGGAAATACTCACAATTACATGGCCTCTATAGGGCATATAAAAGTATCTCTGTCTATAGGGCGTATCGTATAGCGAAGAGACGTCAAGAGTGTTAGCAACAGAGGAGCATTAGGGCACTCTTCTAGGCCTCATGCCAGTGCACGGCAGGGCTCTAAAGCTACACGGCATCCCGGATCCTAATAGTCTTTAACAGATATGGCCTGACGCCCAGCCTACCGGAATGACTACAGTCAGCGTCGATGATATAGCAGGATTGCGTGCGTTACGCACCAATTCTGACCCTTCCATTACGCCGGATGAAGGTGATGATGTACTATCGGACGGACCTTCGAGCCTAACGCCGGCGAGATCTTCATCGCGCACGCCACCAGCGAAGCGTCAGAAGACGTCAAAAAGCACGCCAAAATCATCGGCTTCGACGCTGCTCAGCGAGGCTGTTCACGGGTATATTAAATTGAGAGAAATGGCGATACGAGGCGCGAAAGTTATAGCCTTTGAAGAGGTCTCTGTTGATGTGCAGGAGAGGATGAAGCATGCGGCAGCAGATGTTGAATTAGACATGTTTTTGGATAACGTAATCAATGATGTTGATAAACTGGAGCGATAGAGGACCAGCACAGCAGCCCGGAAGATACGACTTTTTTGGCAGGTCGTTGATAGGAATCGAATTGAACCATAATATTCATTAAAACCAGAAAAGTCAGGGCTGTAGGAATATATTTTCTGCTTATATTATTTCTAAGGAGAATGAATTTATCTTTACTGTTGAAGTTTCTCTTATAGTGCCACTCTAGTAAAGGCATGAGGTTATCACCACTTCTCACTTCTTTAATTCCCCCGCTTTTTGCCCTTCACTTTCGCCTCTGCAGCCTCTGCATCCCTATTCCTCTGCCAAAAGCTCTTCAATTCGCTCCATCAAGCTATCGTCTGGGTCTTTTTTCTTATTATTTCTAGTAGAATGAGCTACGCCTTTTTTTTTTTTTATGAATTGACCGCTTCTGAACCCAGGGGCGTCCTGATCCGATTTCTGGACCGCGGCTATTGGAGAGGAAATACGGTCTGTGGTGGGTTGTTGTCGCCGTTGTTGGCTGGCATCGCCACACCAGAAAATACTCCAGTATGAAGTCATGGCCGGCAGAAATTTACAGCCGATGGAATTCCTACCTTGCTTTAATCATAGAAATGACATGCCAGTAATCCCACAGCATCGTTTCTACTCGTTTCGCCAACTTGATACCCAATCGCGAGCAATTACTGCCCACAGGTGCATCCGTCTACATAACCCCCATTACCCAAACAACTCCGGAACCACTGTACAGCCGCTAAGTCCCCACCTTGGACCACTTCAGCGTCATGACACTGTTCTTTGCCATTTTATCATTCTTTTTTACATCTTCTTCATCTTTCCTATCTTTCTTCTATTTGTTATCTTTTATATCTTTCTTATCTTAATGTGGTACTTAACATCAGCGGCATGAAAGTATCTATTACGTTCCTGGGTAGACGTGGCGGCCTGGTATACTGGGCTGCCTTTCTTTGCAGAGGGGCAGATCATCACCATGCCTAGTACAGACTTCCACGGCGAAGTTTACGGAACGGCCCTACTGAGATGTTTACAAAAACACTGCAATGGCTATGAGAGAATAATAACATCCTGATTTGATTACCGTGAATTTATGTCCTTCTGTTTTGGCGGTAGACGCTGACCTGCGGCACCATCTGCCATCTTCGCGCCCGCGTATCCCCGGCCGATCTGCATATCGGCAAGACACATGGTGGTGTAGCTCAGGTGCTCGGTCAAGCTAGCCGTCATTCTGTACAGCTCCGCCTTCACTTGCTCGTCTCCTGCCTGGCCCATCAGAACCTGCGGCAGTGGTGCCAATGGTGGCGGCGGCTCCCGCAGGCACGGCCTCTGGTAAGTCTGGTGACTAGCAACACTCGTCGGCGGTGCCGCGCTCATGTCTAGGTCGATCAGGCTGTCAAACGACTCTGAGCGGCTGTGCGAAGCATCTGAAGCTGCCTCGTCCCAGCAGGGAGGCAAAAAACCACCATCCTCGACGGCGGGCTGGCAAAATGCAAAAGGAAACTTCCAGTCCTGCGTCGCGCGTTTCGTGCCGCCGAGATCCTGCTCCTTCGCTTCCTCTTCCTCGGACCCGGTGACAGGGCGCATCGTGCCCACGCCCAGGTCAACCGAGTTAAACGCCGAGCCGCCATCGCTGGTGCCGCCGCTGAGGTTGTTGTCGACCAAACACAGGTCCAGGTCTATGATCGATTCCCTATCCGCCACGGGAAGGTCGCTATGCAGTAGGGCCTGTTGCACGGGCGGCGCGGGCAGAAACTTGGCGTAGTACTGCCGCGAGTATTCGTCGTAGTTGGAGAGCGTGTTTGCGTCAAAGACCTTTTCGAGCGGCGACTTGACAGCGATTTGCCGTGGGGGGCGCCGCCTGCGCCGCCGCGGTGTCGCTTCCTCCCGCGCTGGCTCTTCGTCCACATCAGTCCCGTAAGCGCCGGGTAGCGCCCCATGATCAGACGCGTCGAGGACCTCGTCAACATCGGCTTCGACCGCTGTACTAAAGTTCCAGTCTAAAACGACGTCTTCAAAGTCGTCTCGCATCCCCGGCGCGCCGCCCTCGGCGAACAGAGACCGCCGATCGCCGCCCTGAGCCTCCCAGACGCGGAACGCGTGCACCAGCTGCGCCAGCGACGCCGTCGGGAACCGTTCCTCCGTTTCCGGCGCCACGTATGCGTGGCGGCAGACCTCCTCCATCGTCGGCCGCGCCGCCGGCTCCCGCCGCAGG